CTACTAGAGGTACTAGTAAGTAGCTAGTTAATCTACTTCTACTAAGAGGTAATAACATTCTTTAAGCTCTTAACCTTCTTCTTAAGAGTATTAACCTCCTCCTTAAAAGTAGTAATAGTACCCTCTATATTAACCTTACTCTTACTAGTATTATAAATCTTCTTACTATTACGTCTATAGTAGGTATAAGTATTACTACTACCTTAGTTAGGAGTATAGATATAGTAAGAACGCTTAGAAGGCTTCTTCTTATACTAATTATAGATAGTAAGAACCTTAACGCCCTTACTCTTAATTTCTATAATCTTACTAGTAGTATAGATACGCTTAAGCTTCTAAGCGGAACTAGTATTAGTATTATTCTTATCCTTAAATACCTTAAGGGTAGTATTAATCTACTCTTTCTTAAAGTAGTACTAGAACTTATTAAAAGGGTAGAAAGGTAGTAAAGGTTAATAAACTACTTAGGCTAGCTATATTAATATTAGATGTATAAACTTAATTAACTAACTAAATTATTAAGAAGGGACTAAACTTATATACTCTTATAAGGTAACTTCTTAATAGAAGTAGAAGTATTATTAATATTAATAATATTATTCTCCTTCTTATTAGAGAAAGGACTAAAGTTAAGATTATTACTCTTAGCGATAGAGCTAGTAGTGTTATTATCTATAGTAATGTCCTTAGGAACGATAGCGACATTAGTAGTAACTTCCTCTTTATTAGTAGTAGAGATATTAAAGATACTATTAATAAACTTATTTAAAGTAATCTTAGTAGAGGTTCTATATAAATAGGTCTTAGTAATATATAAGGAGGTCTTCCTCTTAGGTAAGGGAGTCTTACTAATATATAAAGGAGTTATAGTTATATACTTAGAAGTAGTAATCGAGGGACGCTTAAGTTTACTAGATAAGGGAGTAGTAAGAGCGCTAATAAAGAAGGCGGTCTTAGTAGGAGTAATAGGAATAGCGGCCTTAGTAATAGTAGTAGCCTTAGTAATAGTAGTAGTAGGAGTAGCGGCCTTATTATTAAGAGATATAATGTTATTAATATTAATATTCTTAAGGCTAGTAGTAAGATTAGTATTAGTAGTAGCGCTATTATTATAGAAGGAGTTAAAGTTAAACTTATTATTAGATATTATAAAGGCGGCTTAAAGTAGTCGTTATACTTAAGTACGAGTATAAGAGGAAAGAAGTAGTTATAGTTAATAACTTAAGCGTAAGGGTATAAAATAGCTTAAGTATAAGTAAGAGTATACTAGTATTAGTAAGTAGAGATTTATTATTACTATAGAGACCGGAAAATCGAGTATTAATAAGGAAGGAGCTATAACTAATAAGGCATCGATAGTGAGGTAGTAATAGTAAGGTAGTAATAATGGTTAGAAGTATTAAAGACTTAAGGGTAATAGTAATATTAATAATATATCTAAAAATCGCTTTTAGGGGGTTAAAAGAAGTTAAGGTATAGTTAGAGATAAGTGGGAATCTGGAGGACTGAATTTGTATGGCGAATCACACTGCGAATTGGTATAGAGCATTCTCTTAGGTTCTAAGTTGTAGCGGAGCACCTTAGGGTTTAGAGGTTAAGAAGCAGAGTGCCAAGGCACTGAAGATCCGCGTACTTCCAGCGGGCGGTCCGCGCGTGCTCGGACAAGTTTTTGTTCTTCTCTCTTGACAACAACATTTCTTGTACATATGCACTTCACCATGCCCAAAAGGAAAAGAGATGGCTCTGAGGCGCCCGCCAGTGACGCAGAAGGTGTAGAAGGCGCTGTCGGCATTCGCCAGCACAGAGTGCAACACAAGCTCGACTATGCCCATAAGCAACTCGCGCGTGCCTTCAAAACGGCAAAGGGCTTCGAGGCGCAAAAGTCTGGAAGACGGCGCAAGACTGCTACTGCAAAGAGCGACGACAATGAGGTCGCGCGCATAGAAGCCGAGACTGCTGCTCTCAAGGTGGGTCGTTCTTGACGTATCTCTTTTCATTTTCTTCTCTCTTAGCTCCTTCTTCCTCATGTGCTCAATCCTGTCACGCTCCAGCTGTAGAATGCACAATGCTATCGAAGCGGCTAGCGTCGAGAGTGACTCTCGATGCACTTGTCACCAAGCCATACCCAGCCTAGAAAGAACTGCACATCTTTACAGCTCACATCTTCCGGCCACGAGCGTGGGAGCAGGACACATGGGAGAGCTACACACGCTCCTCTGATTACGTTTCGTACCGCAACATGCTCATTACTACGTTACCCACAGACACTGGATCTTTCCGCTACCGCACGCAACTACCTCTACAAGTCTTTGGTCAAATTCAAAGCTGTCGCCGAATCGCCCGATCTACCCAAGGCTGTATCTAAACCTCCTCCACCAATCAACGACACCGCCAAAGCCAATGTCATTGCCCGACTTTGCAACTCAAACCCTGTCAAAGAAGCCCTCCCTCCCTTACTCAAGGACATTCAACGCGCCCTTGGCATCGAACCCAAAGATGTTAAAGAAGGAAAGAAGAGGCTGAGAGCCAAAGACATTGAGAAGCAGAAACAGGAGGAACAAGCAAAACAACCAACCAAAAATNCACAACCCGCTGCAGAGCCAGAGTCTGCCGATGTGAGCATGGGAGAACTCGACGACGGAAGCGACGCTGAACAACCCGCGCCACGTAGATTGGCCAGTGGCAGCGAGGACGAGTTCGCAGAGTTCGACGACAGGCTTGCTGGCTCATCCGACAGCGAGGACGAAGAAGAGAACGACGATATAGCCCTCACGAAGGGTAAGGCGTCACGCGCAGCGGCATTACGAGCTGCTCTTGGTGACATTTCACAATCGGCATCCGTTTCTCCTTCACCATCACCATCACCTTCGCGTTCACCCTCTCCCGAATCGAACTCGCCGGAAGCTAGACCCACCAAACCTGGCGCATCAGCGTTTGTGCCTTCTCTTACCATGGGCGGCTACTGGTCTGGCTCTGAGTCAGAAGCTGAGGATTTCGAAGATGCCCCAGCAAAGAAGAACCGAAGAGGTCAACGAGCACGTCAAGCTATTGCGGAGAAGAAGTTTGGAAAGAACGCGAAGCATTTGCAGAACCAGGAGAAAGCAGGCAAAAATGATAGAAATTCTGGATGGGATGCAAAACGTGGAGCGACAGATAGAACAGGTCCACGTGGTGCCCGTGGTGCACCAAAGGGCCGCTTCGAGAGGCCTGGTCAGGATCGTGTCAGAAACAATACCGCCGAACCTCCCAAAAAGAAACACAGAGATGACCAGGGTTCGTTGCATCCCTCATGGGAAGCCGCGAAGAAGGCTAAGGAGGCCAAGAAGGTCACGGCGGCCTTCGAAGGCAAGAAGATCTCGTTCGACTGATGCAATAGAGTTTCTATGACAGCTGCTCGTTCGAACCATCGTTTCTTTGTGCCCCACAGAACCTCTCCATCATGTGCTTGAACGAGTACGAAGCGTTTCATATCACTTTGTAAGCAAGGACTGCTCACATAATCTGATAGCTGCCAAGTCGGATGCGAGAGGGGATAACAACAGCATCTTCTGTTGAGATCGGAACCTGAGTTCCGCTTGAATCAGAGTCTCCACCAAGCTCCGCAAGTGTTTGAACGCGTACGAGATTTGCCTGTGGATGCCCAATGATAATCTTGCATGCGGACCCGACGCTTATCTCCGTTGAAATGCTTCAGCTCTCAGGCCTGCAGAGCCTCAAGCTCCACATGCAAAAGCTCGATAAGGGTTATTTTTGCTGCTCGCAAATGCTCGAAGCACACTGCAACAGCAATTATCTGCTGCCTTGTCGGCATTTATTGACACGGTGGAAAAAGCCTCACCAAGACAGCCATATATGTACGAATTGGCAGATCACGAAAATATTGTCGTAGAGCCAGAGTGAAAATCTGTCAAAATCATCAAGAGCTTTCTTATTGTTGTGGTTGTTATTCTTGTCTTCCCCTTGACAATTTATGAACCGAAAGCGAGATAGAAAATCCACTGTGTCAATCTCCTTCACACTAAGATTGGGCTGAGCTCCGACGAAGACCAGTGTCTTTTCGGCAAGCGCATGCTGTTTGTTTAATCAACGCATGCCAAGCACTTTCTTTTGTAACGTAAACCGGGATGCATAACATGCTGTAGATTCAACAAAAGCAACTGAGACCTGAGTCTTCAGTATTTACACTGTTCAGGTCTTTAAAGACAATTCCAGCAGCACTTGTCCGCACTGCGCAGTAACAGTTTTGAACCTGATAGAGCTTGAAGATTCGCGATTCAGATATGGAGGAAGGCGTCGGACGCTTGAATAAGACACGAAAATCATCTTGGCTCCTGCGCCTCTCTTTTACCATTGACCCGTTGTCTGACCCGCCGCGGAAACCTTACTCAGTGCCTTGAAGAGAAACCCCTTGTGCGACCAAACACAAACCAATACGTGCACAGACCACGATCAAGCACAAGAAAATGGTTGATTGTATTGCATGCCTTCGTAGAGCAACGTATCTGATCGATACAGGTGGCCGCAGATACAAGTCCGTGGCAGAATCTCTTCAGCAGAATCATCACCGCTACTGTAGGTCTGAATAAGCTACGATTTGATCTACACTCGCGCTACCTGACTTCGGCCGACGGGCACGGCTCAACCGTCGTTGAATTGGTTGGCGCTGACGTCGATATCAAAATGTGTAAGATCTGCTCGCGCATTATTCATCAGCGGCGCTGCATGCTAAATCCGAGCCAATGTATCATTGCCGTCCGTACCAAATTTCTTTTGTAAACGACCTTTCACTCGCGACTCCATCCCATTCGCTTCTATCTATCTTTCTGTGACGCAAGTTTCGTGGCCAAAAGAACATCGGTCGCCTTTCTTGGACACCGCGGACCTGGTTCTCTATCCAGGCCGGTATCTTTTATCGATACATCAACACTTTTAATTCGCATTGCAACCAACCATACATTTCTTTCTGAACGTCAAACACCAACGTCAATATGTGGGGCAGCGGTGTAGCTGATGACCCGCGCATTGCTCGTCTTGACAGTCAAGGAGGGCAAAATGCCTGGCACAATCCCGCTGAGCCTCGTGCTGAACGACTGCACAAAGATGCGGACTCCAATTCATCCAGCTCGGAAGACATAGATCGCAGCGGCACCTGGGGCGAACACGATGCAGGCATCCCTAATGAAGTTATGGCCATGGAGGATTTCAGGGCTCTTAGGAGAGAGCTCACCAACCGATCGAGAACCAGCACACGTCAATCACTAGGCCGAAAACAATCATCCAGAAGACACAGCAACGTCACTGATGCCGCTGACGAGGAATCCGAAGTTGGAGGAAACACTGAGGCTCAAGGCAAGGATGAGGATGACTTCGAACTCGGTGAATTCATGAGAGAAGGTCATCTCGGTCAGCGCAAAGGCGACAAGTCAGCCAAGAAGGTTGGTGTGGTATACAAGAATCTTACTGTCAAGGGTGTTGGAGCTGGCGCAACCTTCGTCCGTACCCTGCCTGACGCCATCTTGGGTACATTTGGACCGGATCTCTACCACATACTGTCCAGATTTGTTCCCTTCCTTCGCCACAAGAACGGTGAACTGAAGACACTCATCAACGACTTCTCGGGTGTTGTAAGAGACGGAGAGATGATGCTGGTTCTAGGCAGGCCTGGTGCTGGATGCACAACCTTCCTTAAGGCCATTGCCAACAATCGCGAAGGCTATGCACAAGTCGATGGAGAAGTTTCGTACGGTGGCATCCCGGCAGAAAAGCAGAGAAAGATGTATCGCGGAGAGGTCAACTACAACATGGAAGATGACATTCATTTCGCTACCCTCAACGTGTGGCAAACATTCATGTTCGCCCTCCTCACAAAGACGAAAAAGAAGGCCAATGGAGACATTCCTCTTATCGCCGATGCTCTGATGAAGATGTTCGGAATCAGCCACACAAAAATGACGCTAGTTGGTGACGAATACACAAGAGGTGTCTCAGGAGGTGAGCGAAAGCGTGTATCGATTGCCGAAACCCTTGCATCAAAAAGTACTGTCGTCTGTTGGGACAACTCAACTCGCGGTCTCGATGCCTCAACAGCCTTGGATTATGCAAAATCTCTTCGTATCATGACCGATGTCAGCAACAGAACCACGTTGGTGACCCTTTACCAGGCAGGTCAAGGTATCTACGATCTCATGGACAAGGTCTTGGTCATCGACCAAGGCCGCTGTATCTTCACTGGTCCTGCTGGAGCTGCCAAGCAGTATTTCATTGATCTAGGTTTCGAATGTCCTGAGAGACAGACTACTGCCGACTTCTTGACCGCCATCACTGATCCCGTAGAGAGAAAGTTCAGACCAGGCTGCGAGGCCAGCACGCCCAAGACCCCCGTTGAGCTCGAACGCGCTTTCCGCGAATCTCCATTCTTCACCCGAAACATGCAAGATGTCCAAACCTATGAACAACACCTCGAGCAAACCAACCACGAAGATGCCAAAGAGTTTGAGGAGACCGTCCAGGCTGGTAAATCCAAGACTGTCACCAAGAAATCACCATATACTGTCAGTTTCATCCGCCAAGTGCTTGCTTGCACCAAGCGTGAGTTTTGGCTCCTATGGGGAGACACTACCACTCTGTACACGAAGGTGTTCATCATCATTTCCAACGGTCTTATTGTCGGTTCTCTCTTCTACGGACAATCTCTGAACACAGATGGCGCTTTCTCTCGTGGTGGTTCCCTCTTCTTCTCTATTCTCTTCCTTGGCTGGCTGCAACTCACTGAGTTGATGAAGGCTGTCAGTGGACGTGCTGTTGTTGCTCGCCAAAAGGAATATGCTNTTTACCGTCCCTCTGCTGTCAGTGTTGCCCGTGTGGTTGCTGATTTCCCAGTCATCCTGGTTCAAGTCTGTCTTTTCACCGTCATCATGTACTTCATGACTGGTCTTGATGTCAATGCTGGCAAGTTCTGGATCTACTTCCTCTTCGTCTATGTCAACACCATCTGTATCACTGCACTGTACCGTATGTTCGCAAGCTTGTCACCAACCATTGATGATGCGGTCCGCTTCTCTGGTATCGCCCTCAACTTGCTCATCATCTACACTGGTTATGTTATCCCTAAGACTCAACTACTCAGTAACTACATCTGGTTCGGTTGGATCTACTACATCAACCCTATCTCATACTCGTTCGAGGCTGTGTTGGCCAATGAGTTCTCCGGTCGCACGATGCAGTGTTCTCCGGACAACTTGGTTCCCCAAGGCCCTGGCATCGATCCCGCTTTCCAGGGATGTACCTTGACTGGTGCAGCGGTCAATGCTCACTCCGTTAATGGTGCTGCTTATCTCCAAACGCAATATACCTACACGCGCGCCCATCTCTGGCGTAACTTTGGAGTTGTCATTGCCTTTACCGTTCTTTACTTGCTTGTTACCATCGCTGCCACAGAACTTTTCAGCTTTGTCGGCAGTGGTGGCGGTGCTTTGGTTTTCAAGAAGTCTAAANAGGCAAAGCAGCAGGTCAAGGCAGCCAGTCCCTCAGACGAAGAGAAGATCGGGTCCGACAGTGACACTGCTGTTGGCGGATCAACTGGCGAGAAGGAAGAACAAGATGCCTTGGACTCTATCGTGAAGAGTGAAAGTATCTTCACCTGGAGAGACGTTGAATACACAGTTCCCTACAATGGTGGTGAGCGCAAGCTCCTCAACAAGGTCAACGGATATGCTAAACCTGGTCTCATGATTGCCCTTATGGGTGCTTCTGGTGCAGGAAAGACAACTCTACTCAACACTCTCAGTCAGAGACAGAAAATGGGTGTCGTCCAGGGTGAGATGTTCGTCGACGGCAGACCTCTCGGCAAGGAGTTCCAGCGTAACACTGGATTCTGTGAACAGATGGATCTTCACGACGGCACTTCGACTATCAGAGAAGCACTCGAATTCTCAGCGATTCTTCGCCAGGACCGCAAGGTTCCTCGTGCTGAGAAGATCGCATATGTTGACAAGGTCATCGATTTGCTTGAGCTCAACGACATGCAGGATGCTATCATTTCTTCTCTCGGTGTTGAGCAGCGTAAGCGTCTGACTATCGGTGTCGAACTTGCTGCCAAACCTTCGCTACGTGAGTACTAGCTCTTTCTTGGTGAATTTTCTTATTATGCTAACACCTGTCGAANNGTCCTATTTCTTGACGAGCCTACCAGTGGTCTCGATTCGCAAAGTGCATACAGTATTATTCGCTTTTTGAAGAAACTAACCGCCGCTGGTCAAGCTATTGTCTGCACCATCCATCAACCCTCATCTGTTCTGATCCAGCAATTCGACATGGTTCTCGCTCTTAACCCTGGAGGTAACACATTCTACTTTGGTCCCATCGGAGAGAACGGCAAGGATGTTATCGAATACTTTGGTGCTCGTGGCGTCAAGTGCCCTCCAGCAAAGAACGTAGCAGAGTTCCTTCTCGAGACCGCCATCAAGCCTAAGAAGCGAGCAGACGGATCCAAGATCGACTGGAACGAGGAATGGCGCAACAGCAAGGAGGCCCAGGCGGTCATCGAAGAGATCGACGGACTCAAGCGTATGAGGAGCAAGTCAGTCCACGAATCGCAGAATCAAGACGAAGCCACCGAATTTGCTGCTCCCGTTTGGCTGCAGACTACCATGCTCACCAAACGTGTCTTCACTCAATACTGGCGCGACCCTTCATACCTCTACGGCAAGCTGTTTGTCGCAGTCATCGTCGGTATCTTCAACGGTTTCACTTTCTGGCAACTTGGAAACTCTATCCAAGATATGCAGAACCGCATGTTCACGGCTTTCCTGATCTTGACCATTCCTCCTACTGTCGTCAACGCTGTCGTTCCGAAATTCTATCAGAACATGGCGCTCTGGATGGCAAGAGAGCTACCATCGCGTATCTACGGTTGGTTTGCATTCACTACTGCTATGGTCGTTGCCGAGATTCCCATTGCGGTTGTGAGTGCAGTTTTATACTGGCTTCTATGGTACTTCCCATCCGGACTGCCGACTGACAGTTCTACTGCTGGTTATACCTTCCTCATGACACTGTTGTTCTTTTGGTTCCAGAGTTCATGGGTATGTATAGAGTTCAATTTTGAGGTTTCAGAGCTCATGCTAACGACATCTAAAGNNGGTCAGTGGATTTGTGCGTTCGCTCCGAGTTTCACGGTCATCTCGAACGTCTTGCCCTTCTTCTTCGTTATGTTCTCGCTGTTCAACGGTGTCGTACGTCCCTACGCCTCGCTTCCGGTTTTCTGGCGCTACTGGATGTAGGTTTTACGTCATTGTGTTGATACAGGATGTTTGCTGACCATATCTAGGTACTACATCAATCCCTCCACGTACTGGATCAGTGGTGTGCTTGCCAAAACTCTCGACGGCATCCGCGTTGAATGCACACCCAGCGAAACAGCCATGTTCAACGTTCCTAATGGCCAGACCTGCCGGTCATACGCTGGTGCCTTTGCAGCCTCAGCAGGTGGATACCTTCTTAACCCTGACGCTACTGCCGATTGCCAGTACTGTCCCTACGAGTACGCCAACGGGTACCTTGCCTCCCTCAACATTAAGGCCAGTCAGGCATGGAGAGATCTTGGTATCTTCTGCATCTTCGTTGTTTCCAACTGGGCTCTGGTCTACTTCTTCATCTACACTGTGCGTATCAAGGGCTGGAGCTTCGGCTTTGGAAAGCTCTTTGGCGCTTTGGGCAGCTTGGTCGGGCTTATCAAGAAGCCTTTCAAGGGCAAGAAGGAGTAGTGTCCTTTCTTCTCCTTCTTTTCTACTTTTCTTTTTTCTAATCAAAGTTCTTTTGCGGGTCGAAAATGCAATTTGATAAAAGTGAGCATTGGATCTTAGCATGGCGTTCAATGTTTCATCGTCGTAACGCGACTGTTCTCAGGAGTTATCTAGAGCTGAGAAGATTCCAGTAATCGAGAATGATCAATTCTCTATCTGAATTGTCTCTCGCATTGTGTTGCATGCCTATTCTGCACGATTAGATGATCTGGCCTCGCGCGGTCTGTTTATTTTGGGAAGGTGCAACTGACTTACTCGAGCACGTAAGCAACCATATATTTCGTAAACAGATGCGGAAGTAACAATCAAGATTGTCCAATGATGCAACGTACAAGAAGAAAGAACGAACGATAAACATGCGCAGATGCATGTAGTCTTTCGATTCTTAGAGGGTTTTATGGCCACACTCATGATTTGGTACTTGTGCATTTCGATAGTTTGTGTTACACAACAAATCATGGAAGAAACCTCAGATGTTTTTGAGGATGCCAGGCTGAATAGCCTCCAGCTTGTCACTCAATTCCGCCCAGACCCTCTTCTGTGTTCTTTTACCCTCTTCACTCCTGACAAACTTGGAAGGCTCCTCAACCATACAGTTGCTCATGTACTGGCCATGAGTATCGTGTGAAGCAGTTGCAGCAGCAACAAGGGTCCTGCTGCCCACTTCGGTTGTTCTAGCCAGAAGCTTGTACATTAAACGGAAGCCAAAACTGTTGACCTCTCTCGACAGCTCACTGTAACAGAAGCCAGGGTTCATGGTGTTGATAGTAACCGGATACGATGATGTGGTTCTCTCGACCAAAGCCCGAGTACAGAAGACATCCATGAGTTTGCTGACTGGGTATCGTTGGCCCATCTCGGAAAGCTCGGGCGTTGCCAAAGAGTCAAAGATTGAATCACCCTTGTTTCGTTCTGGAAGGTCCGTCCAATGATGGACTTCGGAGGCCACGATTGTGAGTCTTGGTTGGATGTTGTGCTTTTGCGATGATCGCTTCAGGGCAGGCAGAACAAGAAGTGCCAAAAGGAAGGTCGAGATTACGTTCACTGTGATTGTGGATTCGTTGTCCTCAAACAGCTTGAACTTCTCAGTGCTGATGCCNTGGTACGTACGTCAGTCTACGTGTGGTTATTCAGACAGGTGATAAGACATACCGGCATTCTCGACTATGGCGTCAATGCGAGGCAAGGTATCGACCTTCTTGGCAAACTCCTTAACACTCTCGAAAGAGGACAGATCTAGCGACCACACCTCTGCCACTCCGGTCCTTTGGGTACTCCGTTCGATGTCCTTGACTGCTGCTTCGGCCTTCTCGAGATTTCTGCATGCGAGTATGACCTTGTCTGCACCAAGGCGAACAAGATGACGGGCGGCTTCAAACCCTAGGCCGACATTTGCTCCAGTCACGATGTAGACTTGTCCCTTGCATGATTGCTCTGGATACTTGGGGGTGATGAAGAATTGCGAGTATAAGAACGTGAGGATAGACATGTAATCCATATTTTGTGTCTTTGGTCGAAATTGTTCGAAGGTAAGGGTTCTATGCTGGGCTAGTTGTTCGTGGTGGTAAAAGCTTGGGGTTCAATCCATGAGCAACTGTGATTCAAATATCTTTTCTCCCACGCGGCCTCATATTCGACCGTTCCCTCGTCGGCCATGAAAGCTGGGAATGACCGGACATAAACGAAAGAGTTGCTCCGGACTCTGGTAATACAGCCCCATGCCATTGCATAACAAGCCACGTTCAAAGCCTGGAATTGAGGCTGATGTTCGTGCATTCAGTGGGGGTGTTTATACCGGCATTTATCTTGGCATGACTTGCGACCGGCCATATTGTTGCTCCGTCGTCTTTGATCTCAGCTTTTGAATAGCATAGCGCCATCAATGTCAAAGTCCGTCATCGTGTCGGAGGAGTTACATCGTCGAATTGCTTGATTGTAAGCCCTCTTGTAAACCGGAGATGCTTTCTAGAACCAGGCCAGAAAGCCGTCGGTCTTGCATCGATCGCAATAGTCCGGTACAGCGATCGGTCCTCGGTCTTTAACCATCAATGGTCTTTCTTTCTGCGCAGGCCACAATTCGCATCTTCGTCCAGTCGTTTTTGCAGCATGACATTCGAGATAGTATCGTTTCACCAAATGGCCGCACTTCAGTAACTTGACTAACTCGAATGTACACATTGTCGCTGATTGGGTGCAAACTTAATAAATTCAATTATAATTCAACAAGACACCCGAGAAACGATTCACAATGAACACCACCAAGTATGTATACCATCGCGAGGTCTCAAAGAAGATCTTCGACTCCCCGATGCCAACGCGCTGGCATGGTGTGATTCACCAACCCGCTCCCCACGAATTCGCCTTGATGCACAGTACATAACGCCCAGAACAATGTTGAACAAATTCCATGAACGTGTCTTCACGCACCGGGCCGCCGGGTGTGCCCTGCAGCAGTGGACTTGGTATGCTCATCAACGCGTAAATGCATGAATAGCCGCCCGAACATCAATCCGAAACATAGAGGCATGTAAGCGACCAAGATTGTTGCTCTCCTCAAAATCATGCTCCACGTCTCGCGAATCCGGAGCGAGTAGCTCACCCAAAGAGCAAATGTAGCTGACAACATGGACGCGTGACGCTATTCTAGACTTGACTTATGGGGATGACTGCATCTAGGCTTGATGTCGGTCTATTATCGTATCTCGATCCAATGCTTGATGCATAGTAGGGGGTTATATCGCAAGTCTTCTGCGTTGGCCATACATAAGACACATGCAGCCGACATGATATCACGACCACCATGAGCTCAATCATCAGTAAGATCAATCACAACAGCCTTTCGTTTCCGCCCAGCGACTTGAGGTATCTCGGATGGGGTTGCAGTAGACGTCGACGCCCCAGCAGTAGCTGCATTGGAGGCGTTCGACGACGCAACGACGGTCTGCATTGGTTGGGTTGGCTGCTGTTGAGCGGCGGTCATGATCCTCACTTTCCTCAGAGTCATAGTCTCAATGTACTTGTCTCCGAGTAGTTTTCTGAGCTGACTCGGGGAGTTCGATGTACCCTCCTGGTCTTCGAGAGAGCGAAGTGCTGCTAATGCTGATGTGGCTCTCTCTGTCCAAGTTTTGAGTCTTTCTTCGAAGCTCTTGCCTTGTTTCGTGACCACCATGGTCTCGATATACCCGCGTTCGGTTATGTGAGTGCAGTCTGTGTATGCATCCAATTGAATATGTAGATGGTGTCGACGTTGTTTGGACACGCGGACTCTTTTGACACGATCTACAGGACTGCGCAAGAAGGCGTTCAAATCCATGCAGTCACGGCAATTGCACCTTACTGAATTTCTTGACCAGTTGATCTGAACAGGTTCCTGGCCAACAAACCGAGAGATGTATTGAGACAGACATCTTTGGAACAGACCTCTGTATATGTTAATCTGATCTTTCCCGTCGACCAGTCGCGTGATTATGCCTTTCAAGAGGGGGNNCAAGATCGTGTGCTCAAAGTCTTGCGGATCCATCGTATCTGTCTCCGCTGTGACACAGACTATAAGCAATTGACCAGAATCGTTCAGCGGTGAATCCATGATGTGTCCGAGGACATTTGACAGCAAACGACCATCGAGCGCAGGCTTGCGTGCATCTTGTTGTGCACGGTTTGAACCGTACATCCCCTAAGTAGAGACAGGTCGAGGCTGAAGTGGCTTTGGTTTGCGGAGTGAGAAATTAGTAGTCACGATCTTTACTAGAGGCCTGTAGAGCGATAACAAGTTCTCAGTGAGCGATTCTGAACGCTCAAACATTTTTGCAAGAAATGCTATCAAGAAGCTTGTCTTAGTCGGGTCCAAGCCTTGCATTTGGCGATCGATGTTAGGTACGATTCTNGCGATCATGATCAGTCGCAGCACACAATATACTTGATCTAGAGATACACACCGATCTCTCAAGAGAGAGCCGCTAGTGTCCGAAGTTGCTATTCTGGCTATCACATCACCATCTTCACTCGTAAGCGAATCCAGATTCGAAAACATTGCGGTCAAGATTCCTGTGACCCAGGCTCTGAGCTCCGGCATGCAGTCTTCTTGGTTTTGCACATCCAAAGCTTCAGCGCCGAGGAGGAATGAAAGAATTTCATACTTCTTAGAAACACTTTTATAGCCTAGTACGACTTTTCCGAAACTAACACAAATCAGTACAATGNNATACACGAGATTGAGCTTGGCCAGATCTTACATGTTTTCAAGCCTTGTACGTTCTTCTGGAAGACTTAAGTCCATTGTATCTTTCAAGGCCCTCAAGGACTGGAGAGCTCTCTCTGAAAGGTTGTCCTTGAAAGCAGATGATAGACTCCGTAGTGCATCAGTCATACCAAACTCAGCACAAACTGTAATGGCTTCAGACACAGTGGCATCTGTATACTTATGGCTTCTTGTCCCCGGATGTGTGGTTTTGATTCGATTGTCTGATATGACGTGGCCTATTTGCATCACACTTTTCCTCAGAGATTCTCCCCGAGGGCCTGGGGAACTTCGAGCTCGCTTGGCTAGATGCCCTAGGACAGCCATAGCTTTGGTGTCACGACCAGTGCCATAGCCATAATCGCGATCCTGCGCCAGGAAGACATCTACGATGTATTCGTTGGGGACCAGGACTAGAACAGAATCTTTGTACCAATGAGTCGAGGTCGCTCCTGCATTTCCGGTCCAGCCTTCGTACTCGTGTTCATCAGGATGACGATCCTCGTAAGATTCTTTCTGGAGAACATCTTCCTCCCCGACATTGAGGTCAGTAACGATTACATTGCCATCAGTGTCGACCACTCGAGTCAATTTCAGAGACTCTTCCAACACGTCCTCAATGGCACAAAATCCACCATCACCACCTCCATCTTCTTCTTCGTCATAGTGAGAGTAATAGCTACCATTACTGTACTCAGCGGATCCGTGCACCTGCTTTTCCAGACTTGCCAGGTAGAGAGTGTATTCCATCTGATCACAAACTGAGAAAAGCCGCTGTGCTTTGAGTAGATCCGACCCTTTGAGGGTGTTCAGACGAATACTGGCGTCAGTATATTTGTGGTCCAGCTGATAAATCATCTTGTCGGCTTCGCCATCCCCTTCTTTAATCGAGTTTTTCCACTCAGTAAGTATGGCGCGAAGTTTTCGATCAGTACCTGCAGCGGAATTGAAGTGCTCGAAATCGGTTTGGACAAGATTGTATGTCAAGACCCAGCGATAGCCTGAAGAAACTTCCTGAACCTGTAGCAAGGCATCAGCGACTTCTATCTAAGTATTCGCTATATGGATCATGCACTCGTGCTGCTTACCTCATGAAGTACGTCTGAGTACCTTCGTTACATGAGTCGGTTATCACAAACATGTCTTCCTAACTTACCAAGCAAGATATTCGTGGTTGTGGGTTTTGAGCGAGTAACGTTGTCCGTTGTGCGACACCACAACAGCGCCACCCCAGTGTGCAGATGGTAAGCTGATAACCAATGTTGCAAACATACCAGGGACTTTCTCGGAGTCAGCATGTTGTTTGAACATTGCTCCCTTCTCATACAGGAGCATTTTATACAGTTCCGCACGTATACCATCGCCATGCACTCCGAGATCAACACATGCCATCTTCATGATTGAATCAACATACTCTTGCCAGTGCTCGCCTAAGGAAAAGCGGTCAGGACTAATTTCCCACGTACTGGGGAAGAACAACACAATTAGCATGACTCCTGCGAGAGCAATGTTGTCTCATTGAGAAGCTGCGAGCTGAAATTTGTGCCTACTGCCTGGCACAAACCAACAGATGACTATCAGCTACGCAAGACGAGAAAACTGATCACAAAAAAGCTCTGATTAATGATGACCACGTACTTTCGAATCGATGTATCGACAATTGTCTCCTGTCCTCTGCCGAATGGAGCTTGGTGGGCAGCTTCGATAAGCTTGAGAGCGTCTCTGGATCCCAGAGGAATTGAGATTTCGTGCTCAGGTGTATCTTCAGTACCTTTCAGTCGGACCTGAGGGTCTACGACTTGGTCGAGCTTTTGATGGTTGCAAAACGACCAGTGGTGTTGATGCCATCAAGATACTCGCGCAAGTCTTCCATCAAGTCGTCAGAGAGCATCTCGATCTCCTTCGCAAGGTATTCGTCCTCAACAGTAAAGGCCATGGCTTCTGATGGCTCTGGCATTGTGGCAGCCATTTGGCGCTAGATGGGTACAATGTGTGAAGGTCTAGGTTGACGTGTTTTGACGCGTCCGAAAAGCTGCACGCATCTTCTAGCGAGAGTTTCTTCTATCACGCCCAAGAAGTCTTGTTGCTCGGCCCTGATTGGACTGTAACCCCTCTCAGGCTCTTAGCTTTTGATTACTCTATATCAATCGGTTCATAAGACGAGCAACAAACCCTCTTTTGGAGTCGCACAATTTGCATGGAATGTTGGCAACACTGTGCTAAACAGGTTCTACATGTGTTGAGCACGCAATGCTCATCTCGCTCAAGTCTGCTCTCGTCTCCTCGGGCCATAGCTTCATATTAGACAGTACTCTTACCCTATCGACGTTATCATAGTATGATACGGTGGTATATAGTAAGTGGTCAAGTCGATGTTCAAACCGTGTTATGACAAGATCCGGAGTGGCTACAGTGACGTAGGTAGTCTAGCTTTGTAAGGGTCACTGTCGACCGAGGACGGTCAAGGCGTCACACCATACCTGCCACAAACATACACCGCACTTGCCAAAGAAACTTCTCAACTGCAAAAGATCGATCATCTTCGTTTATCTAACACTAAACCTCGAAGTCCACAAGTCTTTTGCATTCGACACATGAGCCGAGCTCTTTATCATCTTCGGAACATCAGAAACCAATCTATCTTGAAGCTGGGCATAGCTACGACATCCAGAACAATGTCTTTCAGAGTCACAAAAACACTCACCTCAAATGACGGCAAGAACGAAGATGTTCCCTATGGACCCTCAGTCTGGTACACCGACAAACACCTGTTCACCTACGGCCACGAGTTACAACTGCCAGAAGCGCGACTTCAGAACTGGTATCCATCGTCTTTTGTAGACCCTAAGGACCCAAGCATTCGCTTCCAAACAATGGAGCACTACATAATGTGGCGCAAAGCCGAGTGCTTCCAGGACCACGAGACAGCGAACAAGATTCTCGTGGCAGCTACGCCTAGTGAAGCCCAAGCACTAGGCCGCCAGGTCAAGAACTTCGATGGCATGATGTGGCGCAAATATTGGATTGGTGTTGCAGAGGATGGAAATTGGTTGAAGTTTTCCCAAGTCGCTGAATGCCGAGAGGCCTTGTTGGCGACAGGTGATAGAGTACTCGCAGAATCAAATCCTGCTGACAGAAACTGGGGCATCGGATTCCGTGGAGACGAGGCTGCAGACCATGAGAGTGAATGGGGCACGAACTTGCTCGGCCTGGCGCAGATGAGAGTCCGGGATAGACTCAGGAAGGAGGAGAAGCAGTAGAGGCTCGCAAGATTTTGAAGCTTGTTCGTGAGAATGGAAGCATTTCGAGCGTATCATTACTCATAGCGCTGTATCAGTATCATGACCAAGAGCATAGTAGCTACAATCAAGTGAACTGCCAGTGTATCGCAACAGTGATTTACGCAAGTCATTTGTAAGAACCGCATCTCAACAAGTTCTAGATTTGCTTGTACTGTAGGATGCGTTCTCCGACAATCCTTCATGCTATAAACAAGCACGCCTTGTGGCACGAAGTATGTTCAGGGTAAAAGCTTTCGGTCGCATTTATCCGCCGTCAGACCATCGCAGGCAACAAGGGTGGTGTAGCCATCGTCTCTCCGGAAGAGTGAGATAGAGAGCGGCTTACAGGTTAGCGACAGGTATCTACCCCAGAGAAAGCTGGTTGTTATGGGAAGGAGGATTTTAGGGCTTGCTCTCAATTAGCCTATTTCAACTTCGCGGCGGTAAGATGGTTGTTATTATCGGAACTGCGCTAACGAGGTCGTTCCTGGTCCGGATGTCCGATCCCAGCGCAACGAAGTTGCGAGCTTCGAGGTGCCAGGCCAACAGCATTCCACAATCAAATTGACCAAATGAACGAAGTGCAAGGCTGACAATGGGCATATTACAAGACATGGCCAAGCGAACTCTCTCTGCGGGGTTCGCGGATGTGGAGTCTTCTGTGGCGTGACTCTGGGACTGCCAATTTCGACCTACACCCCATTTTATGTGTGCATGAATGTACCTTGTACATAGTGGTTCGCGTCGAATCGGGTCTACGATCTATATTGATGATCACAAGACCTTCGACAGGGGAGATACGGTATTGGAACAGATAGACAATTTAGGAGAATCAATTATTAAGAGGTTTAACTGAAATGGTGTTGAGAAGATCCGAATCAGATCGTCCTGACGAGGCTCCCCCCTCAATCCTTCGTGAAGCCTGGGTATCCTGCAAATAGTAACAAAAACATACGAGAAATAGTCATCCTGATTTCGAAGTCATGGGCCATCGTTCTTGCGTGGCCTCATCATCGAAATATCCATAACATTGATCGTGAAGGTTGTCGTTTAGACCGACTCGGCGGCACGAGCAGCTGAGTTGTCAACCTTCTCACGTCTCTCACGGCCCTTGTCAGACCAGGGGAAGTGGGCGACAGGAATGATGAAGAAGGAGTTGCTGGTGTCGGCGATACCGGCAAGGGCGTTGTACCAGGCGGCGAATGCAGCGAGGATACCGAAAGCACCACCAGCTCTGAGACAAGCAATGTTTCCGTGCTGGAGGTATGAGATACCCAGCATGAGGAAAGCAAGGTCGAGGGTGAAGAAGAGGAAGAAGAAGGCGACAGTCGAGCGCAGCGTACAGATAAGAAGGAGGAAGGTGAAGATGAACCAACCCTAAGCAGTCATTAGCTCAATTCAATGTAGGGCTTGATCGCATATGGTACTTACCATCAGATAGAAACCAAAGACGTCGTCGAATGAAGTACCCTCGTAAGCGCTGGCAATTTCAAAGCCACCAGGAGTGAGGATGATAGCAGTGCCAATCCAGAAACCGCCGTAAGAAGAGAGAGCAGTAGCACCAAAGGTGTTTCCAATGGCCATCTCCCTACAAGTTGTCAGCCACTATTACAGGAACCACAAAGGTGTTCTGAATACATACCACATGCCGGCAAGTAGTTGAACCAGACCACCGTATGCGAAAGCAGCACCAACAACAATGTTGGGCTCAGTAATACCACGGGTACCAAGGTTGATCAAGGAGAGGACGAAGGTGGTGAGGGCGAAAGCGCTCAGACCGAGAGGTGCAGGGTTGGCGAACTTGCGGTCGTTGATGGGCTTGTAAAGACCGGGCTGGAATTCACCACCAAAGGCAGGGAGACGGACAGATTCGCCAGTGTTGATGTGTGCCAGAGGGTTGCCGCCGTAATCGTAAGGCTTGCGCTGCTTCATGGGACCAAGGTTCGCGGGTGCATGGTCGTAGCCATTGATACCATTGAGACCGTTAGTCTCCTTGTCGATGCCGTAGCCCTCGGCGTTGATGGCGTTCTGCTCTTGTGCAGTAGACATGGTGGAGGGTGGATGAGGTGTGATGGAGTCGAGATAGAGTGGGTTGCTTCCGACTGGTAAACTTGGTGAAGCAGGGAAAGGGCGGATTATAATGTGGAGAGATGAAAAAAACCGCACGGCCAGGGGACGCCCTACGCTACATAATATATTTGCTACTAGTTTGATGACGAGGTTGTTTTTGTACGGGGTGTGGGGTGGATAGCCGTGCTCCCCGCATGGAGTTTGTTTAGCTCATGTGCTTAGTGCCGAACGTCCTGGGCCGCTTATTTGAGAACACGCCGTTGGTTGTCTTGCTTCCCACCACAATTGCTTTGTCAACCCTGAGGTCAAGTGGTCCGATTCCCTGTTCTGTAGACAGTCTCCAAGACTGCCTCTTGGGCTTTCTTGGTATGACATCGAATAGGTACACCATATAGTGTGCTCTCGTCAACACTGCTGCAAAGGATTTCAACATGTGTCCGACGAGCCGCCGTATCTGCTAGATCCTCGCACACCCTGCATGAGCCATGTCGCTGGGTTGTCGTGGGCACGTTCGAGACAGCCGACACTATGGCCCTCGAAACGAATTGCATATGTCCTGGGAATGTCTGTTGCCAACGATGTCAGCCCAGACGATCTGCGTTGCCGCGGTCGGCGGTATCGCACAACTTCTCCGCGTGATGCTTTTAGGTTCCATTGCTCCTCGTCCAGTCTTGACGTGCGCCATCGCGAGAGCTTGTCCACTTGTGCCGCTGACTTCACAGATGGATGACAGATCTTCAGAGTCTGGCTCTCAAGCGTCGCAGAGCAGAATCCAAAAACGCCACCAAACGTGGGCAATCTGCTTACCTCTCAAGGCCAAGCAACGCCATCTGTGCGTGGAAGGCTTCATCTCAACAAACTGAAGCTTCGCCTGTTCAGAGCGGTCAGCAAAATTCTGTTCACAACATCGCGCCGGCTCGCAGACCTCGCCAAATTGCTGCATCTCACTTTCTGGGGTTGTGTCGGCTAATCACTCGCGTCCAACACTCCGACCGATCTTCTCCTTCGCAGAACGATTGTCCGTCGATCAATAGCCGTGAGCCGGTCATGCAGAAGGCAAATCGGAGCCGCAGGACCACTTTGTGAAAGGGTCTGACTTGCGCACGTCTTTCTTGCTGTTGTGAACACCTTCCAATCGCTCTCACAACTCGAGCACTGGACGCTGTTTCAAGCCCTCGGCTCTTGCTGGTCGTTCCTATTTGGTAATATCCGGTTGCATGGATCGACAATGGGCCGGCGGAGCGGAGGTATGGTCGGTAATGTGCACGGTCATGGATCAACGAGTTCTCGCCCGTCGTATGCTATCCGAGATGCCGTCGAGAATTACAAACACGACAGGCAGGCTGCCGTTACCGGTGAACGATTTGGTAGTGCTGGGCCACCAACGCAGACGCTGGCGCATATGTACCGTTCTTCTGGAAGCTCATGCTAGAACATCTCGACGAACATTGAAAATTCCAAGAGACAGCGCTTTTGTCGTGGTATCGATCCCGCACTTACATGGGCCTGAATCCTACAGCTCCTTTCATCAATCATGAAACAACACATGCATGCGTATAGTATGAAGTTGACATGGATTATCTTCTGCGTGACTTGTCTCGACTCTCCATCCACAATCTACGGCTCGCAGCTAGCGAGCGTGGAAGGATGCAAGCCTTCTCATGGATAAGGAGCAAGCCAATCAGAAAATCACCGAAGTGATTCAACGAGAATAGCACAGAGTGCCCTGAGTACTAACAACTTTGCATGCAGCTACGCTTGGAAGATTTTTGATTGGGTATGCGCAGATCCCTAGATTCTTACTCAACTTTGAACTAAATCTGAGCATGTTCGCCGACATTCACCTTGTTTGGCGTCAAACATTGGGTATTGCTCGGTACCATGTCCTCAGCATCTGTTGGGTCGCTTCCACATGGAACCGTCTCAAAATCTGAATCGCCCACACATTCACATCCTTGACCAAGACTCAGGATGCATGTTTCGGTCGTGAGACTGACACCTAGCCTATGTTACGCGACTCATCGGTAATCTATGCTTTGCAATAGTTGTAACTTTGGTTCTTCTTTGGTGTTTGCATCAAGAAGCTGCGTAGCCAAGGTCCGTGGCGATACAGGATCCGCTAATTGTGTTCGAGGCATCTGAGGCCAGAAACAAAACAGTCTGGGCAACTTCCTTGGGGTTGACCATGGTTACAGGTCCCTTCATGTGGCAGTCAAAACCCTCCTCGTTGATGCTTGTAATGGTCTTGGAGATATTAGTCTCCATTCCTGACGGGAGCACAGCGTTACATCGGATGCCCTTATCCGTGTAGAATGCAGCTGTGTTTTTCGTCAAGCCCACAAGACCATGCTTGGATGAGGTATAAGCAGCACCTGAACAGGAACACATTAGCACAAGAGTGAATCTCTAAAAGAAAACCCGGCACCGACCAGCTGCGAATCCGCGCAAGGCAGCTACGGATCCAATGTTGATGATTGAGCCCTTGATCTGCTTCTCCAACATGTGGTTAACGCCGAGCTTGGTGACCATCATAGGCGCAGTCAGATTGACTGCAATAATGCGATCCCAGAGATCCTTCTCCAGAGAGCCTACTGGGTCTATAAAGACGAAAGGTTAGCAATTATCGTCTCATTAGGGGTCAAGGTAGTCCTGTCCACGTAGCCAACGAACCCTCATGGTACCATCAGGCACAAGGAAGTTCTCAGGGAAGCGCGCGAAACAGGGTGCCTTGTTGGGTCTGGACAAACGTACCAAGNNGCGATCAGTAAGTCCTGCATTGTTGACGATGATATCAATCTGGCCAAATCGCTTAATTGTCGTCTTGAACAGATCCTGTAGATCATCCTCTATGGTCACGTTTGCTTCGATGGCAACCGCTTTCGACTTGTCGTGAGAAGCTTCGAACTTCTGCACCAGATCCGTGTTGATATCAACAGCAACCACATTCGCGCCTGCTTCCAGGAAGAGATCTGTAATAGCAAGACCTAAACCTCCAGCGCCACCAGTGACGATGGCGGTTTTTCCTTCGAGTGACAGTACAGGTGACATGATCAGGATATCCAGGGAGATCTAAGCCAATATTTGTATTGTCTGTCCTCGTCGTTGTCTTGGAATTTTATGCAATTGGCGATTCAAGGTATGAGTATGGTTCTTGAGTTGAGTCGTGAAGTCATTTGTGATGAACTCGAACATTACGCAGCAGCGAGCTTTCGAAAGGCGTAGAAAGCCCCCGCAATCGGTGCCATCGCCTTGTTGTCACCGACGCCATTTCAACTTATGAGCACGCAATTAGCAGTTATTCTACTAGAAATACGAACGCAAAGGAGTAGTTCTCGAAGTGACCTTCATGCCATTGGCAGCACAACACCATTGTCCATAGTCGAGAGTGTCAGGGTCGTCTATTGCATGACCCGAGGGACAGCGAGTGACGTCATACAAAGTCGGCTAACAGGGCGACCCTGATCCAAACATGGATGCCAGAAGACGACACTGATTATCAATGGTGAGGCTCTTTCGTGGCGGCGAAAGGTAATGTGCATTGTGGACTGGTGCCTGGCAGATGAGACGGAAATAGAGCAGAACTGTAGGATCTAAACTCAGATAGGGCGATCTCCTGCGCGTCGTTTGAGCTACATCCTTCGATAGCTCCTCCGTTCAGTACCCCGCCCCGAGCTCACTTCTTATCTTCTGTCCCAATCCCTTCGCGCTTTCCTGGCTCTTTCTCTCCGTTTCTGTTCGCGTCACAAGACTTCTTACAGCACTGCGAAGGGATCAACTATCCAGATCGCGAAGCAAAACAAGGAAACAATTCCTCTCGTGATGGCCAGGAAGCTTATCCACAAGTTCGAAACCAGTACATCTTGTCATCTTCGGTACAAGCAACCGAGAAGCTTCTGCTCGAGGCCGGTCGTTTCACAAACAGCGTGGATGGCGCGGTGCTTGTCTACGATAAAGGCTACTGGCAGAAGAGCCGTGAGTTGTGGGAAAGCATACAGGAAGCAGAGTGGAGCAATGTCATTCTTGATGAAGACATGAAGAAAGATTTGATCAGGGACGTCGACACCTTTTTCAACAACCAGGACACCTACAGAAAGCTCAAGGTACCATGGAAACGAGGCGAAATTTTCTGGGGCCCTCCAGGTTGTGGAAAAACCATTAGTATTAAAGCTTTGATGCACTCACTCTACAAGCGCAAGGATCCAGTTCCTACTCTCTATGTTAGATCGCTTGCTGGGTAAGCTCATCTCCTGCCAGAAGTACCACGAAGTTGACAATTCGCAGTTATGGTGGTCCTGAAGCCTCGCTCGCCACTATCTTTGGACAAGCTCGGCGATACGCTCCCTGCTTCCTCATTTTCGAGGATCTGGATGCCATCATCACCGAGCAAACCCGCAGTTACTTCTTGAACGAGGTTGATGGCCTCACTTCGAACGACGGTATCTTTATGGTTGGGTCCACAAAGTAAGTAAAGCAGGGACTCGGTGAGCTGGTACTCACTTGCGAAGTGCTGGACAGCAAATTTGACTGTAGCGAGCATAGCTTGTTGATCCAACTCGTTGGCGGATAATTGTAGTTGGGATTTTGCTGACAGCTTCTATTAGCCACCTCGACCGTCTGGATCCTGGTATCTCCAAGCGTCCCTCTCGCTTCGATCGCAAATATCTCTTCCCTAATCCGAATCACGAGCAGCGTGTCATGTACGCACACTTCTGGCAAGGAAAGCTAAAAGACAACAAAGAGATCGAGTTTCCAGACAAGCTCTGTGAAGCAGTATCATCTATCACAGATGGCTTCTCCTTCGCATACATGCAGGAAGCCTTTGTGGCATCTCTGCTAGCTCTTGCCACTAGCGATAAGGAGGAAGAACACCATGACACTGATTTGGACAAGTTACCTCTGTGGCAACAGCTCAAGAAGCAGATCAAGATCCTCAGAGACGAACTTGACCAGGATCCTGGAGAGGCATTGGCAGCACTCAAGATCTAAGGACGATGTTGCCAGCATGCGATATGTGTACAACAGCGGCTAGCCAAATTCAGGATATTCCGTCCTGATCAATGAAACAGCTTATTTGATTTTTCCTGTACGACCTTGCAGTGTCATGTGGTGAGTCGAAAGTTGGCGAGTGTGAGGCTAAGCGAAGTGGTAAATTCAAGGTGATGCAGAGTGCGAAGGAACTTCGAGGAGAGACGGAGAGCGGTAGAAATGATCCCTTCTAAGAGGGCGACACGTTGGTGACGTGAAATAAGATGCTTCGTGGGCACATGAGCCAGGATGTCTAAACCTGTCTGTTTGATCACTCGCGCAGTGCGGAATCAACAAAGCATCATCATCCACTCGCCAACTCGACAACAGGCAGGACTGATCTCCACGTGACATGCCGAACAGCGATGACAGTTCCTCGTACTCGATGAAATAATTCGCGTCGACTTACATGTGAAAGCATGACGCAGGTGTTGGCGATGGAAATTGTGACGATGGGCACGAGATGCGAGATGCATCTACACGCAGACACGCATGGCTCCTCAGTGTAACGCGTTCTCAAGTTCCGAGTGGAAAGGCACACCAACCCCGTTCTATTCTGATCAATCCCTCTTGTCACAGAAGGTTGTTTGAAACAGGGCAGGATTGGTCTGGAGATGGCCGCGTGCTCCCAGAGCACGGGCCAACCAACACGGGGCTTGGCATCCCTTCGACTCCATGTTTGGCAGCTTCAGCTCAACTGCGCCGCTTTTTGATTGTAGCACCGCCTCTATCGGACGACATCATCGAGAGTTTTCTGGCTGTGATGCCGGCATTGCAACTTGCCGTTGTATTCTGAGGGAAGTGTACAATGACGAGCGTACCCCAGGCAGCCGCTAGACTGGGGGCGGGTTGGTGGCAGCCTAAACATGCTTGATGGCTCTTACGGACCTACTCGTTCCTTGCATTATAACTTGACCACTTAACTGTCCCTGGAGTACTGCAGGTACCCTCTCAAATCGTGTGACACAGTTGAACTTCGAGTCTTGAACGATCTAGTTCTCAATCGCTTCAGCATCGTGCAATCAGTATTTCGGCCTTGCTGTTCTAGTCTGTTGCCTTGAGAGTATGACTCTTACTCTTGGGGCTGTGTTTTGGTAGGTCGGTGGCCGAGCAAGGGTCACGATGTCGTTGCCTTGGTTGAGTTTGGCCCCCATCCCTCACGAGTGTGCGAACGAAACGGCCGCGGCCGAGGTTTGCTTGCGTCAACTTCTTCTATTTCATCATCGTGGCACACCTCGTCGTAGAGAGGTTGAAAGTCCCTTGGCAACATAGCCACTTACTTGCTGCTTGTTCCTTCTTATTTCTCTGCTCTTGCTACGTATAAAAGGCCTTGCCTGTGCCCAAGAGATTGACCTTTCTTCCCTCTACCATCTATCAACCATCATCTGCCTACCAATTACCAAATACCATCACAGACACACGCCAGAATCGAACAACAGCAACGACAACACAATCACATTCAATCAAAACCTTTACAACATACGCAATCATGTCATCCAACACTTCATCATCCAAGTCCTTGGGCAACCAGACACCCTCGTCGAACTCGTCTAGCGGCAAACCACATGGGGCCAGCTCTAGGCCTAATGTAGTCCATAACCATGGCTCCGGCGTCAGATATGGACCACCAGAGCCTTCGTCCCGCGACGCCCGCCTTGCCCGAACATGGCGATGAAGCACCGTCAGCATATCAAAGCCGACATCAAAGAGATTAANNCACCAACAATACATCCTGGCACTCCTCACGGACTCTNCCTGCACATCCCAAACTTGCTGGACAAAAAAACATNATTGACGACTGAGTCCGACCACAAATTGTGTCACCTATGCCCTCGGTTCAAGCACCGACAACAAGATCTTTGGAGCGTGACTCAAAGATTCANCCCATTTGAGCCTCACANAGAAGATTCGACCATCGCACGAAGACAGTACGGCTCAAGTCATGATCCTCACACAGCAACTACCATCTTGATCACGCGTTTTGATTTTTGGAAGCTCTTGATTGGTTATCGTTCTTGCGCTTTTCATGATGAAGCTATTTATTTGTCAACGAACGGGCATGAGGTGTGAAGACGGAAAGACACGGAGGACACGAGAAAGACAGGAACAGGAGAGACGGGAAGGGGCATGAACTACATGCAGGTCAAACCTCTATTTTGTGACGGGTTCCTGAATGGCAATTTGAAATAGTGTAGCGAGCTTACACAAAGTGAGGGGTGGGGATTCTGCGGCCAAGTCACGTTCTTTGACAAGATCATTTGACGCATTCGAAATCAAGCTTGATTCCACTCAATATCTAAGAAACTTGTTCGCAACACCTTAGTGTCGTGTTCCCCTTTATTTCGAACCTCCTGACAAGTCTCTGCTTCCAAATAGCGAGACGACCTGTCCAGCGTGGACATGTATGGAAGAGAGCGAAGTTGTATAATGGAGTGGTAATTACACGACGTTCGGGGGCTCTCTGGCAGTCAGAGCGAATCTCAAGATGTGTTCGATGCTCATTGGCGGTTTGGAAGGGTCGACGTTGTGTCGTTGTAGTCTTTTGACAGGCTCGGGGATGGTGTCTACCATATCCACATCCATATCGAGCTGTTTGTCTTCTTGCTTCTTGCCTTGTGCTCCGCCTTCATCGTCCTCGTCCTCATCGTCGCTGTCCCACAGCTTGCGACGCAGACCAGTAACGACATTCTCAATGCCAAGTTCGTGTTCTTCGAGAGTAAAGACGTCGTCGAAGGAATCAGCACCCATGTCGCGAGCAATTCTATTGCCTTCACGACCGGCCCATTCCCAGAGATCGGTCAACTGAGCTGTGTTCATGGACGATTCGGGGAGAGCGCGGTCCGTAGAGGAGCCGTTGGACTGGGATGAATCGATACCACTGTTTGCAGCATGTCGCTCTCCATTGGCGATCCAGTCTTCGACTTGTGGTTGTAACTTNTTGCGCAAGAGTTGGGTAAGCAAGTCTTCCTGAGTGCGGCCTGGGTACGATGGTAGTGGGTAGACGTGGGCGTTTGCGAGGAGCGGCTGAGCACCAGCAATGATCTTGTTCAGTGAGTCGAGATTGTGATAGAGCAGGTTTGCAGAGTTCTGCAGTGAAGGNCCTGTGTTCAAGGGCTTGGGCATTAGTGAGCAGTTGGATGGGTAAGAAGATGGCTTTGTCGCATACCACGAGGGAAGCGGGTCGTTGGTGTCTAGATCGTGCAACAGTTTGCCGATGGTGTTGGCAAGCGTATTCAGGCGCTGACGCACCTGCTCTAGCGAGCGCAACGATTCAACTGACATGTCGTGTGTGAGAGGCAGGCGCAATCGGTGGTTGCGAGTAGCTTGCGAGTTGCGACTGTTCAGGTAAGAGCGGTTGCATAAGCCGACACAACTCTAATTGGTGAATTATGCGCGATGACGCCTGTCTTGACCGAGATACTCCAAAGTGCTCGAGCCCATGTTGATGAGCAAACACAAGGCACCTTCTTCCTTCGGGCTTGCTCTCGATTCGCACTCGCTATGCTGCAAATATAATGCTGGTATCTTTATAGGGCCATACACCCATCTTCGCGACCGAACTCAACCTCGCGTGACGCCGTCTAGGCCCGCAGCGCAATCATGTAGGCTTCGCGAGACATGCGACTATGGATATAGCGACGGCGACTTACCACAAGCAGGTTCGAAAAGACCTCTACGCCCTTATCCGGGGCATGAGGAACCACAAGGGCAATGAGAAGGAATACATCCAGAACAGTCTGAAGGAATGCCGCCGCGAAGTCCGCAGTCCCGACATGGACAACAAGGCCACCGCTCTGCTCAAGCTCGTCTACCTCGAGATGTTCGGCCATGACATGTCCTGGGCTTCGTTCAACGTTCTCGAGGTCATGTCTAGCCAGAAGTACCTGCAAAAGCGCGTTGGCTACCTCGCTGCTGTCCAGACCTTCCGTCCCGACACTGAGGTCCTGATGCTGGCCGAGAACCTGCTCAAGAAGGATTTGAACTCGCCACAACTCCCTACCATAGGCCTCCCACTGGTCACCATTCCTCACGTCGTCAACCCATCTATGGCCAATTCGCTCTTGACCGATCTTCTACCCCGCCTTACCCACTCCTCGCCCGCCATTCGCAAGAAGACCATTGTCACTCTGTACCGTTTGGCCCTAGTCTACCCCGAAACCCTTCGCCCGGCATGGCCAAAGATAAAAGAACGTTTGCTTGACGAGAACGAGGATTCGAGCGTTACCGCTGCCATCATCAACGTCGTGTGCGAACTGGGCTGGAGGAGACCACACGATTTCTTGCCCCTGGCTCCTCGTCTGTTTGAACTCTTGGTCCAAGGCTCCAACAACTGGATGGCTATCAAGATTATCAAACTCTTTGCTACTCTTGTCCCTCTCGAGCCCAGATTAATCAAGAAGCTGCTACCCCCACTCACCACTTTGATCAAGACTACTCCTGCAATGAGTCTACTCTATGAGTGTATCAATGGTATCATCCAAGGCGGTATACTGGACGGCGCAGAAGGTACTGTCGAAGGTGACGAGATCGCTCGTCTCTGCGTGAGCAAGCTCCGCGGTATGCTTGTGGTCGAGGGTGATCCGAACTTGAAATACGTTGCTCTGCTTGCATTCAACAAGATTGTTGCTTCGCATCCTCAACTTGTCGCCTTACATTCTGACGTTGTCGTTGAATGCATTGATGACCCTGATATCTCGATTCGCACAAGAGCTTTGGATTTGGTCTCCGGAATGGTCGATCCCAGCAACCTCATGCCTATTGTCGAACGTCTTCTTCGACAGCTCAGAGAGGCTACCCCAGCCTCGGCTGCTGACGATCCAACAAATGACAGAGGTATGCACGCTGGTGTCGTTCCCTCTGGGGATTCGGATGACGAAGAGGCAACCGAGTCATTACGAAGGCGAGAGGCGCGCTCTTCAGAAGCGCCGCCGCTCCCTGAAGACTACCGCCAGAGTGTCATCGAGAAGATACTCGACATGTGTTCAAGAGATACGTATTCCAACATTACCGACTTTGAGTGGTATGTTGGCATCTTGGTCGACCTTGTCGGTCACTGTCCATCCGTGAGCACTCAGACCTTGGACAACTCCTCGAGACCTACCAAGGATATCGCTCACAACATCGGCCTTGAGCTTCAGAATGTTGCTGTTCGCGTGAAGAGTGTGCGGCCAGAAGCAGTGGCAGCGGCCCAATCGCTCATAATAGTCGAACGAAGAAGAGACATGTTCCCTGCTTCTGGAAATGGCGCACAGGCTGTCCTCGCTTCTGTAGCCTGGATGGTCGGCGAATACCCTGACTTGCTTCCCGATCCACAGGCTGTTTTGAGTTCGCTTCTCCATTCTTCGAGCGCCCAACTGCCTGCCAATATTCTTGCCATCTACGTTCAAGCTATACCCAAAGTGTTTGCTCGTCTGACCTCTAGCCAAGAACGATCATGGACCGCCTCTCGAAAATCACAATCTGATCTACTGATGGCTAGAATTATTCACTTCTTGGAACCACTCGTACAACATCCTAATCTTGAAGTCCAAGAACGAGCTGTCGAATATCTGGAATTGATGCGTGTCACTTCCGAAGCGATCCAGGCTCATGCCGTTGAGGGTGAAGACGATGGATTCGTTGATGCTCCCCTTNTGCTTACTCAGGCCATACCATCACTATTCATGGGTCAGGAACTCAACCCTGTCGCTCTTGGCGCTCTCAGCAGGGTACCGCTTACCGAAGGGCTGGATCTTGACACACCAATCAACGACAACTTACAAATACTTTTGTCGCAAGCAGATTACGACGACATGTCTTATCCGGATGAAGACAATGTCTCCAGATTCTACTTCGAAAAACCTTCGGCGCTGGCTGTTCAACCCACAGCAGCTGCTGATTACCTTGAGCCTCAGGAAGCACAGCAGACCGGGTCCTATCAGTCCGAAGACCGCAATATCGATCCAAAGGACATTGCTAAGAAGAAAGCCGAGAGACGTGAACGTTATCGTGATGATCCATTCTACATTGACTCTGAGCGCGGATCCGGAACCTCAACACCTCTACACAACATCCTTAAAAGCAGTAACGGTGAAGATTTGGATATCGACTCAATCCCTATCATGGACCTGCAACTCGACAGCAACAACACCGCGGCCGAGGCAGACCGACTTCGTAAGTCTAAGGCTTCGAAGAAATCACGCAATAAACGTGTCGAGATTGCTCAAGATGAGACTATCGGCGATGACACACCGACATCTGTAGCGGCACCTACGAAGCCATCTCTTCTCAGTAGGCCCAAANAATCTCTGTTGCACGTCGACAGTAGTGGACTTTCGTCCCTCTCTTTGTCAGAAGACGCTTCGGCGCGCGAAACACAACTAGACTTTGAGCGTCGACAGCAAGAGGNNGAAGAAGAGATGGCGAAAGCAATCAAGGAAGTCGAACGTGCACGTCTGGAAATGCAGCGAGCACAGGAAAGAGTGGAAGCAAGTCATATACCCGAAGAAGGCACCGTAGTCAAGCGTAAGAAGAAGAAGACGAAAACAAAGACTGAAGAGGAGAAACCGACAGAATCAGAAAAGACACAAGATGACGGTGCACTAGATACCACGGTGGTCAAAAAGAAGAAAAAGAAGAAGACCAAGGAGGAAAAGGTGGAGGATGCAGGAGAGAGTGCTGGTGCAGAGGTCGAGGCAGCCACGGTCAAAACGAAGCGAAAGAAGAAGAGACAGATCAACTTCGACGAGCAAGCGGATACGTCAGCTGCTTGAGCTGGCAGTTGCGCTGCTCCAGAATATGAATCGTAACTTCCTGCGATTTTCGTCTTGCAAATTGTTGTGTCTCTCCTGCCAAATTATCATGACTGCCTTTTCCGACTGTGTCATTACTCAACAAACTATTTGCTTTTCGCTCTCACCAGCTTTCTTCTCAACTATACCATCACACAACAGCGCTCTTCTATCTGGCGATTGGCACAAACTTTATGGTTGAACCCCTATTTCCCTTCCCCTTTCCACTTTGTACACCAATCATCGATCGTCTCCAAACACGCGAGTCCATCGCCGTCCTACAGTATTGAAGCCCATCTCATCGGTATCCAATCCTCCGCTCACCGCTTGACGGTTGCAACCATCAACGAATGCAAGTCGACTCCTGAGTAAGAATATTTGCTCAAGTCAGCCGAAAACATAATCTCTGGTCCTTTCATCGGCCATCAACCTCAAACATATCATCGTCCTCGTCGACCAGCCTTCCAACGTCTCACATGAGAAGGAACTTGACTCATATATCCCATACATATCTACCCTCAACCCCAGTACGACACAAGATGCATAGCGTTCACCATCAGCGACAGTCCACCACGCGACACTCTTTACTCCTATGACCTTACGGGGCTTGTGAGACTCGAAGATGTACCGTCTAGGAGCATCGCCCCTCTGCTGTTGATACATGGGCGTGCTGCCTTCGACGCTTGTCTTATCTCGAGGTGTTTGTGTAGAAGCGGGTCGATTGATCAAAATGGGGAGACTTTCTCTTGTTGGGCTCGAGTGAATGTTTGTTGGTTCTACGACAAGTCATGTGTCTGGTTCATGCAGCCCTCGGCATCCTTTGTGGCAGAGCCTCATCCTCGAAGGTGGCCATCTCGCTGATTACACATTGCCAGTCGATGAGAAGAACATGTGGTGCAGAGCTGCACAGCACTCAAACCCCCAAAAATGGTCATGATCTAGATCCTGGACGCCCGATCCATGCAGTCATCACCTGGGTCCGAAAGATGATCCTCCACCCTGAGTCATAACTCAGCTTAATCTGTCACTCCAACCCCTCCAAATGGAGCCACGGCTTAGACATCGACACGCTTCCAGATGACAAGGCAGATTCGATGTATCAAGACAAAAGTGTTCCTTCGTTTGGACCTCAAGTCTATCACGGATGGACTACAAGTGGCGGACAAAAGAGATCCTTTTTCTTCTGCATTATCGTTGTCGATTGTTCAAGCTAAAGAACAAGCTTATACAGCTGCTAGTCGATAAATGGCCAGACTTTGACAGCACTTTCGAGCATTAATAGAGCCTTGCTCAGACGGCGCACCAGATGCAGTATCTCTGCTTTTGAGCTATAGTGGCGCCACTAAGCGTCGATAGTATCTTTCTTACGCATTCTGCGTCTTGAGTGGAGGGAGTGAAGTCAAAGACCCTCCTCGTCAAACTCTCGAAATCGCTCGTGGAGCCTGGAACAGCTCCCTCCTGTTACAGTTGCAAGCTGCTTCTTTTGATCTTGTCACCATCTACAGAACACAAGTGGAACTCAGGAGAGCACCGCCTAGGAACAACGAACTTGCTCCCGAATTCATGCAAAGGCCGCCTGATGATTGATGTCAGAATCATACAGCTAGATGTACTGCAATTCACCAGACACGGAAGTCGCAACATCTGCCATCTTTTGGTCTATGAGCTCGGCCTCTACGGAAACGTCAACACCCACGATCGCACGGCTCTATACTCAATGTTTCTAAATCATGATACAGTAGAGAGGTGGGGAAGATAAAGGATTAAAATTATTTCTCTCATTTTGGTCAAAGGGGTATATAGCTCGTGTGTATCGTCTCGACCCATGTACTGATTTTTGCTAAGGCCTCTTGGCTTTGTAAAGAGGACCAGAGAGGCCTGATGTCGGAAACGAGAAGCGGGAAGTACAAAACAACAACAAGAAGAAGAAAAGACCGGAAGAGGTGTGAAAAGTTAGAACAAGAAGCCTCAGCATCATCGGGAGCATGGCAGCCGAAAGACACAATCTGTCTCTTCTCTCGAGGAGCGGTTGAACACGTCGTGGCCTGAACGAGCCCGCTCAAGAGACGCGATAGAGAAGAGCGCCCGCCCCTGACACGTAATCTGAGGCGTGATGAATAAGAACGCCCGCCCCTGGGGCGTCATAGAATAGAGATCCACCCCATCATTCAGCAGTAAGGTGAATCGTATCCGGCAAGTGAAGATGGATTCGAGGTTGGACTGGCAGGGTAGACAAGCAAGACCCTGGTCAGTGAGAACCGCACGACTAGGCGGGTCAATGATAGCATTGGTGCTGAATTGTCTGTCCTTGGAGATTGATGTTTGTCGGTGCCAGAAGCCCAGCCGCGTATTGTGTATCGGCAGTGGCATGCAAGCCTTCTCGTTCAGAGGATAGGCTTGACCTGAGATAAGATGCGACCGCCTCTTCTCTCTTCCTGTTCTATATTGCCTATCCGGCCAAAATCAAGCTCTAGACTTGGTGGGCAGAAACGAGGATTCTACTCATCGTCCTCATCCTTGCCTTCGTGCTTACCACCGTCCTTTCTGATGGGGATCTTGATGCCCTGGCCCGCGAAGCATTTGCTCAGCTCAGTGCTCTCGATGACACCAGGGAATTTCTTGGCCGAGAAGACCTGGAAGGGCTCCGAGAAAACGGTAGCCAGGACAGGACGTTTACCAGTGGAGAGTTTCGAGCCTCCATCGCTACTTCCAGCGCCAACGTCGAAGAAGCTCATCTTGAGACGGAACACGGCCTCGGTACGAACAGACAGATCTTGAAGAACGAACCAATGTCCTTCCTTCCCCGAAGGATCGCGCAATTGGTTGGCGTTGACAGTCAAGCTACCGATGAGGTTGCGTGTGAACATGCCGCTATTTGGTTGTTGCTGCGGCATAGGAGGTTGATACTGAGCTGGAGGGAACATTTGCGGCTGAGATCCAGGATACTGTCCATAACCTGGAGGCATTGGAGGTTGGGCATAGTGACCGGCAGGGGGAGGGGCACCTGGCATGTACATCTGCGGCATATGTGGTTGTGGGTATCCCCAAGGTCCAGGAGGGTAAGTAGGTGCGGGGCCATAACCGGCGAACTGGCCAGTGCGAGGATCTGCGTAAGGAACTTGAGGAGCATAGAGAGCCGGACGCTCTGGTGGAGGCGGATATGAGGTGGTTGTGGCAGTCGATATGGATGTAGCGGGAGAGTTGGTGGCTGCTTTGACGATGTTCTTTTCAACCTGTCCATGCTCGTCCCACAAATCAACCTGGAGAATGAAGAAGCTGGCGTCTAGTTGGCTGCAACATGTGAGAATTAGCTAGGCTTGTGCTAGACATGATTTGGAGGCTTCTTACTCAGCTGGCACCTCCTGCTGTGTCTGTTCGTCGGTAACAACAAGCCGCACACATGGCGGGGGGNNAGTAATGGGTCGGCGGTCCNNTACAAATGTCTCAGACGGGTCAAATCCTGTACCACGGGGTCTATTGCTCACCTTGTCACCAAAGCCACACATGCGCGCTCGGACGGGCTGCTGCACAACGACCAACGAGAATCTCAAGCCGTCCCTGACGACTGATAATGTCTTAGCAGTTTGGGACACGGGCGCTGCCTGCATTGCCTGGCCGTTTGCTTGCAGTGGCACTTGTCGATTGTGGTCATACTGAGGGTGAGGGGCTGTGGGATAGCCGGGATGACCGCCGTATACGGGCGGGAGATTCTGTGTCTGAGCCATGTTGATGGTAGCCAAACGGTGAATTGATCAAGAGGGTCTGCGGTGCAGAACAGGCTACCAATTGAAGCTCGGGAGCGCGTGCACTAGAGCTTGGAGAAGGTTCAAGCCACGAGGATGACTTGAACAGGGCTGGACCTTTCCGAGGACTCGCACACAGAGAAAGGAAAATGTAGGTTGTTCCAGTGAAGGCAGCAGCGTAGAGAAAATGTGCCTTTTGTGTGTGTCAAGACAAGCGCATCGACGAGATGGCAGTCGCGCGCGTTACACCAGCCGGAGAAAAAGCGCCCACGTTGCAGCGGCCGTGCGTTTCAGAATGCGTGCTGCTCAGGAGTCTACAGCAGCGTGTGGGTCTAGCAGGTGTAAAGAAGGACGTGTCGTCAAATCGACTGCGTATATATACCAGTGCGATAGATGAGTCTGGCCTTGGCCTCGTGGGACGGAGGAATGTTCAGCGGCGGGAGCGCGAGAAGCGAGTGACTCGGGATAATGGGAGTTTGGGCGCTGAGCGAGGTAGGAGCGAGTTGGAGCTCTCTCAGGCAGACACGAGATCAATCGCGACACTTGTTCACGCAGAGTGGAGAAAAAGACAGGAAGGAGCAATTGAGCAGCGCGTCCAAGCCTTGATCAACTTGGACCTGGATCGCCCGCCATCCATCTTTTAGTTCGTCAGAAGATAGAGAACCGCCACTAGGCTGGGTTCGGGCCTCTTAGTCTGTACCGAATGAGCGTACCGAAAACCTTTTGGCCGCCCGGGAACGAATCGGATGCCTCCAGACCGTTGCGCCATACCTCAATCTCGTGCCAGGATCCACAGGGGAGCTTGACGACCTGTATCAAGCATCGATACCATAATAATTCAGTCTGGATCTCTATATGAGCAACTCTCTGTGCCTCATTATTCATATCTTCCAGCTTGAAAGCCCTGTCCGCCCCGGCTGACCTGACCGATGCATCCCAACTGAAACCTGCAGGCACGCACCAATCTGAGACAATCTTACTTCAAACACTTACGCCCCAGCAATATGGCGCAACTCTTCCCGATGACAGCCACGACGTTGTTTCATTCGGGGTTCTGGGTCAGTTTGTGACTTAGGTACTCAGCTACACTGCGGTTGACTACGGCAATGGCTTGCAAAGGGCCACCCACCGTTAGAGCAGAAACCCATTTCACCAGCCTCCAGTTCCCACAAAGTACTATGCCGGCATTGCAGTAGCGCGCCCAGTCCTCATTACCGCGTCGAGACCAATTCTCGGGTTGCATATGATGTACTCCATATCAACCAATCTACTCGGTGTCTGTGATAGTATCTTTTTGTCCATCCTTATTTTCCAATATTCAACGATTAATGCGAACAGCAATAGTCTGCTGATAATGAAGGAGGCAACCCGGACGGTGGCCTAGCGGAAGCTTCGAGGCCCAGTCTTGAAATAGCTGGCAATTCCAGCCTCGACACACCACAGCTCTTACGTGCGTACGAGACCATCCTCCTTATACAGAGATTTTAATCTCGAGTTTTCATTACTCAGATCTTTGGCCAGAAGATAAAAGGCTGAAAGTATACGGGACGCAATCTCCGATCCCAAGGCGGCTTTCTTGATTGACGCTGGTGCATGCAGTCAGACAGTAGCTTGCGCAGTGAGGCTTGCAAAGCAAAAAGTATCCGCAAGAGTGCATTTGAAAAGAGGAGTGACACGTCAATTGTTAATGGTATATGAAAGCCATGGCGCGCCTTGCAGCAGGCATACATGGCACAAAGGACGAGCGCGGGGCGATGGCTGGTCAGAGGTTGCTGCCATACAATCGACAGATTCACCATGTCTCATCATGCTTCCAAGGTGTTGCGATGTAAATGAATACGTCTGAGTACTAGTGTGGAGAGACTGAAGTGATCAGACTCGAGAAGGTTTGATGGTTTGAAGGCTTGTCAAGTTGTCGCGTGGAGGGTTGGTCGATCCCTGATTCGTGTGCGTCGCAGTGACGTAGGCGCTTTGGACCTTTCACCACCGCGACCCTGGAGAAAGCATTGCCTTGCGACAAGACACATCTTACCTAGTAATACACACGTTACAGCATCCGAACACAGTCATGTCAGGTATGAGAATCAGAGTGTAGTGGCAGAATTACATGCTGACAGTAGATAAGCACCGCCAGTGGATTACTACGCCGCCCTAGAGGTTGACTCCAAGGCAACACAGGAGCAGATTCGCACTGCTTACAAGAAGTACGTTTCTCGAATGTTTTCAGCAATCACGCCACCTAACAAGCCTTCAGACNAAGCACTGAAGCACCATCCCGATCGTGTACCTGCTGATTCGCCAGAACGCGCATCTCGTACCAGAAAGTTCCAACAGATCAACGACGCCTACTACACTCTATCAGACCCGACCAGACGAAGGGACTACGACGCCACAAGACGCTATCATGGATTCGGCTCTGGATTTGGCGGATTCGGTTCTGGCTCAAACACGGCCCCAGGTGGCTACAGTGATCCAGAAGAGGAGGTTCCACGACCAGAGCCTGGCAATCAGCAAGGAGGAGGTTTCAGCTTCCCATGGAGTGCTTTTGGCTTTGGTGGACAAGCAAAGAACGAGGAGGATGCAAACAAGTTTAGCAGCGAACAATTCGGCAATGTCTTCGAGGAGATGCTCAGGTATGCAACAATCCCCACTGTGTCTTTCATCTTCTAACTTTTATCCAGGGAACAAGGCATGGCCGAGGGTCAAAACAACACCCCGACAGGCAGATTCTGGTCTCTGGTTGGCGCAGTGAGCGGTGGTGCAATGGGCTTCATCATTGCCAACGTGCCCGGTGCCATCGCAGGCACCGTGGCAGGCAACAGACTGGGTGCTGTCAGAGACAACAGAGGCAAAAGTGTCTACGCTGTCTATCAAGAGTTGGATCAGCCAGCAAAGATGCGTCTGCTTAGCGAGCTGGCGAGCAAGGTGTTCGCTCATGCCATAAGCTGAGGGACGGTACATTCATGAAGCTTATGACTGGTTACGCGAACTTGGTTTGTCTGCTGTTTTGTTGTTTTAGAGAAATTGGGCACGATGCATGCAATACCCCTATCAATGAATCTTTTTACTTCACGTACATTTTCTGTGTCTAATGTTGGGACTGGGTATCTCTCTTGCTTCTGTACACGAATTCTGATAGATTTGAAAAGTTGACAGATCATCGCTGCACAGATTGGGTGTCTCTGTCCAGAAGTTCTCTCGCAGCGATGAGTTCGGCTTGGTCGTATCCATCCCAGCCTCGCTCACCACTCATACTACGTCTGACGATTTCCGAAAGCTTCCTGGTCGAGAGTTCGCGCAGCTTTTCGACAGAGGTTACTGAAGGGGGCGGTAGGTCGCCGACTGTTGCATCTGAAGATTGTGCTTTCGGAGGTTTGCCGCTGGATTGTGACAAGACTTCCAGGAGACGTTGTGATGTCTATGTGTTACTCGATCAGCCAAGGAACGAAAGGCAAGCCGGGAAATAGACAACTTACAAGNNCTTGAGACCGTAGTAGCCACGGAGGTAGTCATCGCACAATTCAATGCTACGGCAGAAGCTGCGTTGTGCGTCTGCAAGAAGCTTGAGCCTGCCGCTAGCATCCTCAGCAGCATTAGCGGACACAAAGAGTGTCTCACCAAGACGAGCGTGGATNCTATGGTACTGTTAGCAAAGCGAATCATGGAGGGTTCTTGAGAGCATCAAACGCACGTTCCAAGCATTCGGCATAATGAGCAAAACTTCCTCTAAGCAGAAGACAGCCTGCGAATGCATGCTCTGCGAGAAGTATAACTCGGCCAACTCGGCCCACGCTTCGGCGTCAATGGGCGAGCTATCCAGCAGTTTAGTCAATGTCTTTGTCGCTTCGTCCAGCCTGCCCAACCCCNNCCTCAACAATGCGACCTTCCTCTTCATGACCGGCACGTTCGCCGGCTTCTCCTCTAGTATCGCGTCATAGCTCTTCAACACCTGTAGCAGTGCTTGGTCGTCCGTTGCGGTGGCTTCCTCGTACAGTCCATGTAATGCCTGTACGCGCTCGTTGTCCGGTCCAAAGCGCTGAGACAATTTATCCAGACAGATAGAAGCGGTTTCGTCGTCGCCAGTTCGCAAGCAGGCGACCATCAGGTTCTCGTTGGCTTGCCATTGTTCGGCGGACTCGGACGTTGTGAGGAGGGAGAGTGGGTAGGGGAGGTTGCTGGGTGCTTGGCTACGAAGCCATCTCGGGGCCAGCTGCGACAGTCGCAAAGACTCAGTCGGCGATAGATGCGTCGGTGGTGCTAGTAATTGGTCCGTCATTTTGTTGTGTGGTTCGGTTTGTAATGTACAGGTAGCTGGGTTGTGGAGCTTCTCCAGCTTGCTGGCGCAATGTCCGCCAAGCACATCCGAACCGTCACCCTGTCTCGACTGTCTACTACTCTCTTCTGATCATTCACTCGGGGTCAACACTCTATCTATCTACCTAGCATAGATGGCCTCTTGTCTGTAGTCATGTTGTAGTTCCAGTATTCACTCACCATCACGCTGATGAGCGAAATTGTTTCACATAATTGAGAGCTCGCAATGTTCGAGAAACATATATTGAAATGAAGATTGAAGATAACCCAAAAGTAATAGCGCCTAATGCTAATCCCAGATCCTCATTATTCAAGCCACATAACGCCTCTGGAAAGATGAACGAATAGAAGGACCTCCTCTAGACATCCTCCTTGAACTCGTCATGGCTACCGTCAGTACTGTGCGCAGGATTTGTGCCATTTCTCTTCTCGTTGAACTCGGTAGCATTGCTCTTGTTGCGAGCTGCTTCCATTGCCATGCCAGCATGAACAGAAGAAGTACGTCTGACCTCTTCCTCCTCACGCTCAATGTAGGCCAGAGGACGCTTGGTGCTGATGGCGTCCTTGTGGCGGAACACAAGAGGATCGTGGTTCTCGCGGAAGAAGCGATCCATGTCCTCAAGCGTTCGATCGCTGGTTTCGGGGTAGAGAGTATACACAATGGGGATGAAACTGAAGTTGAAGACTGTCCAGATGATGTAGAATTTCCAGTGGATGCTGTTAATACCGATGGGGGTAATCTCAACAACCATGAAGTTCATGATCCAGTTGGTTGCAGTACCTAGAGCAGCGCCCTTGGTACGCATCGAGAGAGAGTTGATTTCTGTCTGGAAGTACCGGATGTCAGTGTTCGCACCAAACAATGCAGTGAGGGCACAAAACAAACTCACAGGATACAGCCAAGGTACTCCTTGCCAGCCAATACCGAAGAAGACGTAGTAGAGGAAGAAGAAGGCAACTGAGGCAGAAGCTACCTCACTCTTGTGAGCATAGCCGTCCATGTCGTTGAAGCGCAGGAGAATGGTGATCAGTAGGTAGCAACAGCCTTGACCAAGAGATGCATACAGCATCATGTTGCGACGGCCCCATTTCTCAATGTTGGGAATTGAGATGAATGAGAACAGGAGATAGGATACAGAATTGCAAGCTGCCAGGAGACGGGCTAATTTCTCACTGAGCCCGACAGATTGGATCAAAACAGTAGGCAGACTATAGNNGCAAGATACAAATTAGCGGAATATTCAGAGATGACAGGGGAGAACCTACTAATAGGAGGTAACGTTGATTCCGCCGAGTTGTTGCATTGCTTGAGCACCCATTCCCAGGAACAAACGGCGCATCGTACAGGTACCGCCCTCCTTGCCAGTCTTGCCTCTGAGGAGCTCGCTCCACGAAGGTGAGTTTTGGCGCTCGTAATCGACAGCATACTGAATCTCATTGCTTGCAGCGATGATGTGCGGGTCATCATGAGTAGTCGACTCGAGAGCCGCAAGAATGTGGTTTGCCTCCTCGACGCGACCTTTGCTGATGAGCCAGCGTGGTGACTCGGGCAGCCATGGGACGGTGCCGTAGAGGATGAAGATGAAGAGAAATTGCAAGGCCAAGGGCACACGCCAGGCAGCGCCTCCATCGAGGTATGAGAAGCCATAAGTGACCCAATTGCTGAGACTGAAACCAGCAATGTTCATGATCATCTCGATAATGATCAGTTTACCACGCCACGATGCCTTTGAAGTTTCTCCTTGCCAGACTGGCGCTGTTGAAGTGTTGATACCGTTTCCGATACCTGCAACGATACGGCCGACAATCATTTGAGGAGGTCCGAACGCTGTGCATTGGAGGAGTGCTCCTATGGACATGATTGTAGTGCCCACCAGGATCGAATTCTTGCGTCCGAGTGGATCACCGATCATGACTGCAGCAATGGCTCCAAAGAAACATCCGATATCATAGATGGCAGTAATGGTTGATAGTAGACCGTTGTTGTTGGCGAGATTGAGCTGCTGAATGTAATCCTGAGTAACAACTACTCCGCCAAAAACTCCCNNTTGAGAGAAGTCAGACATTTTTCCCTGACTGGATGACACTCAAACAACATACCTGGTCATACCCAAAAGAGTCATATCGGTGGCACAGGCGACAGTAACCCATACTGTCAACCATGTACCAGTCATACCGAAGTATCTCGGCTTTGTCGTTGTCTTCTCAGACATCTTGCTGTCAAGTAAACTGAGTGTGGAGAGACAATGCGGAGAAAATGTTGGAAAAGATGCATGTCGGCGAGGGGTAAAGTCAGATCCTTATATACTAGACCTTCAGGAACATGATCGGCCTCTTACAGACCAGCTTGCAGAGGTTGTCTGATTCTCCATGGGTCGTGTGCCTTGAGTCTGGGGCACAGACAATCCTTCCGAGCATGACGTCGCGTGTGGCTCTTTTCGTACGCAACGGTCCCAGTCGCTTGACTAGATATATAGAAGTTGTCGAAACGTGCGAATCATTATTGAGGTCCTAGTGAGAGTCATCCGACCCGTATCTACAAGGCTACCCGCAAGCAATTACTCGCAATTGTTAATGCTGTGTGTAGTTGTTAAAGGGACAAGCAGACTCGATCTCAGAGGACAGTCCTACGTGTTTGGGGTACCTCGAAACATGTGGATTGTCGATCTGGAGACGAAGTTGGAGTTGGCGCCTCCCCGCACGTCTGCACGAGCCCTGTCAAATCGGGCCTTTGCCGGAGGTAAAGCCGGAGGTGGACGGCGACGACATAAAGAGGTATACCTGGGTGATCTGAAGTTATCGGCAGGGACGGGCTTGACTTATCGCTGGGCTGTTATGCACATCGAGGATTCGAATGATGATTGTTATACCTGAATTGAATCGAAATATCATCTAAGCTCATTCCAAGGTCATGAATTTGGACCAAGCTCTCGAGGAACAAATAAGCTCGTGTGCCATGCGTCAACGGCGAGCGCTCCCATAAGGGAATGGGGCATGACGCAGGCGGCATCCGAGCCTATCGAAGTACTGCGCGTCTCATACCCAATTTTGTTAGTGAGCTATGGCATAAGACTATAGTGCTCAAGCGGTGGTATCGACATGTATCTCCCTCAGCCCTGGATACAATTGAACTTGTTGAACTTGTTGAACTTCAAATGCTCATCCTCTTTGGATCGAACAAGGCTTTGACCGTGCAATTGTGATTTACCCCGAGATCGAATCGAATTTGAAAATCTGCCTCCCGAGAAAGGTTCAACATCTTCTGCTCGTTCAGGAAACGAAACATCCGACTTATATTACTTTAGATGTAAGCAATGTACGTACCTAACTAGCGGTCAACGAGTAATTCTGATGGTGCAGCCTGGATAAAGGCGAGCGCTCACGTTTCTGTTGAACAAGTTATCTTCCAACCGAGACAAAGAAATGACATGACTGTATGACCATGTTTGCTACACAAGCTGTGGCAGGCACAACAAGCAGTTGGTCAGCCGTTTGAATCAGCCCATCTCGGCATAGGTGACTGACTTGTTTGACAAACCCCGTTGCAAAAGCTCTTCCAAAGAAAACTTCAACAAGAAAGCAAGCTGGCTTGTACACTGACTGGTCTTCGTGCGATTGGCAAGACAAGACGCGCACCTCGAACAGTCGTCGCCAGGAGGCCTTCTCGAACTTGGGTATTCTTCACCTATCGTCCACAGCCAGGCCGAGCTCTTCAGCAGAGCACTTACGACCAATCTCAATCGCAATGGAACACAGTCGACAGGGACAAACATGCAATAGCTTTGGGCGGACAGGCGGCATGATTGTAAGCGAGCAAGCCTGCTAGGTTGGCATCAGGAAGTCATCAGGACGATGCCTTCCAACCTCGAAGCGTTCTCATTGTGGACAGCCCCTGCCAAGCTTGTTGCTCATTCCATGATTATTCATGTTGCCAACAGCCACCATCTCTGTGAATCATCCGAAGAAGAGTCATGAGACGCCATCAGCACATGATTCATAGACGCGCGGATCGGTTAGCGCTAGACTCGCAGACTTCGTATATACCACTGGTCATTCTGGCATCATTTCCCATCAGTAAGACCACACGTCAATCGTTATGCCAGCAGGTTCTGAAGAGACAACATCTTTCGAGTGCGGTAGCGAACTGCTGAAACGCCAATTCCTGTTCGATCCTGGCTACAGAAACTTGAATCATGGTGAGCCCTCGTTCAAGCATCAATGCTTCTGCCTCTGCTTCTCGAAGCTCCAATCGCTTCCGTCCGCCATGCTCGGTGGTTGCTCCACTCACACACCCGTTGTGAACCAACTTGCGAACTGTAATTTCCATGTGGCCGAGCCATGCTAACCAACTACACTCATAGGTAGCTTCGGCACTTTCCCTCGCGTGGTGAGAGACGCTTTGAGGCAGTCTCAAGACGAATGCGAGGCAAGACCTGACAGTTATATTCGATATACCTATCCGAAAGCGTTAGACGTATCGAGAGAGGCTGTCGCGAAGCTGGTCAATGCCNCTGTGGACACCTGCGTTTTCGTGCCTAACGCAACGACTGGCGTCAATACGGTCCTTCGCAATCTGGTGTATGCGGAAGGAGATGTGATTCTGTACTTTGCCACGATCTACGGAGCATGTGAAAAGACAGTCGCTTATATCACAGAGACCACTCCCGCTGAGTCAGTCAAGATCGATCATCATGTCCACCCTGTATCAGATGATGCACTCTGCGACGCTTTTGAGAAAGCTGTTGCTCGGGTCAAATCCTCCGGCAAGCAGCCTAAAATAGCCATGTTCGACACGATCTCGTCGCTTCCAGGCGTGCGAGTTCCTTTCGAGCGCTTGGTCTCCGCATGCCGCTCCCACGGCATCCTCTCCCTTGTGGATGCGGCCCACAGCATTGGACAGATTCCCATTGATCTTGTACGACTTGATCCAGACTTTTTCATCTCAAACTGTCATAAATGGCTGTTCACACCAAGAGGTTGTGCACTGCTCTTCGTAGCAAAGCGAAACCAGGGTCTTATACGATCATCACTGCCTGTTAGCCACGGCTTCGTCCCCTTGCCCAACAGTGAGGCGAAGATCAACAACCCCCTGCCGCCCAGCGCGAAGAGCGCCTTCGTGGTCAACTTCGAGTTCGTCGGGACTGTGGACAATGCACCATACATGTGTGTGCCTGCTGCTCTGAAGTTCAGAGAGTCCATAACATGGCTCGGTAAGAGCGGTGAAGATGCGATAATCGGTTTCATGCAGCAGCAAGCGCGCGAGGCAGGAAAGCTGGTGGCTGAGATCCTGTCCACGGAAGTTATGGAGAACGAGGAAGGCACTCTGGGCAGATGCAGCTTTTCGAACGTCAGGCTACCCNTTGACCCCACCACCCTAGCAGGTGGTGACACGGGGAAAGCAGTGAGAATCGCCCAGTGGATCTCGGCCACGCTGGTTGACGAATACAACACCTTCATCGCCATCATTTTCTACGGCGGTGCTTGGTGGTCCCGGCTCAGTGCGCAGATCTACCTCAATATGGATGACTGGCGATGGGCTGGCGACGTTCTCAAACAGGTTTGCGAGAGGGTCAGCAAGAGGGAGGCCTTGAGAGAATAGCATTGTGTAGCAACGCTAATGTCTTACGATGCATCCCTGTGCATCGTAGCTGTCGGAGGAAGTCACCGTTCCGTGTACGGTGCGCCGAGCAGTCGTTGAGTCTGGTCGCCGAGCAGTTGTTGAGCCGAACGCACCAGTGGTGAAGAGAGGTGGATCTTCAGAAGCAAAGTTCTTCTCCACAAAAATGGGTATCACACTGGTCCTTGTGATGCTTAAGCGGGTTTACGAATCTAAATGGCGGGCTCTTCCGTAGTCAGGCACGCAATCCACAACTGACCTTTTCTTGAGAAAAGCCAGGCCTCTTACATGTTGTCCATCAGACACCGCAACACAACTCTTGTGCAATCATACTTTGTAGCACGATTCGAGAGAGGTGACATGATTTGTCGTTCACTTTTTCTCTGAAAATTCTCATCGAGGACGCCAGAGCAAGGCATGTGAAAAACGTCGGCACGTGGCGAAGGCTGGATTACCTTCTTTTCTGTTGAATCAAGAGAGTCCCTTGCAGCCGTCATGAAGACCAGGAATAAGCTAGTCGGGAGCTCGCTGGTTGGCTGGCTGGCTGGCTGATGCGAGACAGGAGTCATTACACCTCGGGATTGACGTTGACAAAAGTCAGTTTTTGCAAGAGTTAGTTATAGGGTTTAGCCGGTACAGTGTCTCGGGACTTGGGTTGACACACCGGGAGTCGCTTTGTGAAACGGCTCTACACAAGGTTAGTCTTCGTAGCAGATCAGGGACGCCTCTAGACTAAGATGTACCATGAGCTTTCTACGACTCGAGTGTGCTCACAGACACTACTCGCTCGAGTCACAAACATAAGACATTCCATTCTACTTGTGACTATGCACACGACTGATCATGAATTTCGTGTATTTCGTGCGGCATGAACCTTCTGAGATTGCCTTTCAGGGGAGACCATCCACTCACGGCCGGAGACTTGTCCAAGCCTTGCTAATGACCAACAGTAGCTTGTCCTTAGCGTCAAGTAACATGGCCAATGATGATACGGAAGAACCATTTCCGCCTCTTCCTAGCCATAGCGACAGAACTCCGATGACAATCGCGACCGTGAATGCTCCAGCAGGCTTACGGTATCTGTAGGCCAACAACCGCGAGTGAGCAGTCATCTTCTGGAGTGTTTCCTGACGCTTGATCTGTGCTGCATGCTTCGCATGAAGATGCTCGCCTTCCTCAAGTGTCTGCTTGGAAAGTGAGTCTGAGTCACGTGTGGTCTTTAACACACTATAATTTGATACTTTACGCCATGCACCAAATGGAAGGGTCTCTGGTGGGTGTTGCGCAAAGAGCAAAGTCGTTCTGGAGATAAGGGCCTCGATGTCCAACGGCTTGGGCAGCTTGGACAAGATTGCGTACATCATGTCTTCTTCGTCAGGTTCGAATTCCAATAGCTCGTTTTTCCGGGTCAAAATGATCNNTAGAACGTAGTTAGCCAGGATGATCGTCCGGGAGGGTCGATCCGGTCGCGGCTGGATAAAGGGGCGCAGACTTACTGTCGCATACATGTACACTGATATCACAGCTTCATGTGCCAGCAGGAAATCGAACAGCCGAGAGATACCGCCATACTCTTCGATATCGTGTGCATAAAGGGTCAGAGTTGCAGCAATGGCAAAATATGGTCGAAGTCTAGCCAGATGCTGACAAAGTTTGGGATCGGTAGCGTAGACTATTGCCGGCAGAAGCTGCACATGTGATTCACTGGCAGAAAAGGTAGGAAGCATGTAGTCTCGAATGCGCAGCAGAGACAAGCGGGCCAGGAGAGGTGCAGCCTGATTAGCGCCGAGTACAAGCAAAAGCACTTGCGCAATGTCGTGGAAGCCCTGGAAGTAGTGTAGGCAGGGATGACGGCGCAGTAGGCCAGTGATAAGGTTCGAGAGTTCATCTTTACGGCCTTCAATCTGCTTCTCTGATTCGCCTGTNCTTGTGTTAGCAACGGTATCGGCTATCGGATCCGTTTGTGAGGCATTACCAGTGGGATAGTACACAAAAGCGCGGTGCACATCAAGCTTGACTTGCTCCTCATCTCGGTGTACAGGCATGTCTTGCCAATCATGCGTATGATCGGCATCGGTGTGAGAGTTGCCTAACAATATGGGCCCNTGGCAACAGCGTTGGTGACGAAAAGTCGCATGAGTATAGAGTCATTACGTACAGGCGATACGTCTGATACGGTCCTCTATGAGACCGCCCGAGGACGTGGCAAGTGTTGTTAACTGCTCTCTATCGCCGTTCTTGCATGCTCGGAGAATTTCTGTAACTTTTGATGATTCGGGAGGTGTCAGAGGCTCGTCTCGCCATGAATTAAAGAACGGTTGGCCAGAGCTCGGAACGTCGTGGTCGGCCGCAGCATCACCACATCTTTCATTGAGATCCTGAGATTCGTCGTCCATCATGTTTTTGGGTTGTCTTCAGGAGGAGCGGTCGTTGATGGAGTTCACAAACCCAGCTTTGCGGGTGCAGTCTGCATGCAATAACTAGCGTGGTCTTTGCGCGTTTGTCTCTGGTGTAAGCAATAGACAATTTGTCCCGCAATGCAATGGTTTCAAGACAGTAGGACCGTTCTAGCGATCATAAGTCTGTGTCGGTTGGAGGCTGGCCATCAAAGGGGATTTTTTTCGTGGTACAACAGGAATGTTGGTGAGTTGGTTGGTAGTCGTCAAGCCAATCGCCAACGGCGGCTCCGAGCGCAAGGAAGCGAGCGCAAGGAACACCGAGCCCGGCGAGCCGAGCCCAACTTCAAGCCGGACGCGGGTGCCATGACTGACCAACATCAACCTTGACCTCTACCTTGTCAGTCCTCTCCCCAGCTACGACTAGTCCACCAGCTAGTTCGTGGCCTATGGCCTATCAGTCTACTTGCTCACTTGATTCATCATGTAGGCCACACGCCTGGATCCGTGCCAATTGCATGCAGTGAGCACCCGGTGCAGTTTCTCGTTTTGCAGCTTCAATAACCTCTCTTGGACTTGATGTCTTTGGTGACGAGTCACCCCGTTGTGTCCTTGCATTGCAGGCAGTAAGTGCGTGTCTTGTGATTTTGCAGCCTGTGTGTATTGGCTCCCGACATAAATTCTGTCTCGGCGCCGCTTTCAAGGACTGCAGAGCTTTACGCACCCTCCTTGTCCTCCATTTGTGTCGCTGTACACAAGACTCTTCGCCCTCCATGAGTCCACAACAACCCGTACAGGATTCCGTCAGGCAAAATGTCCATCAGCAGATCGGTTTGCTTTCGAGGACATTGGTGCCAACTCCGACCATCCGTTTCATACTTCCGGCACGAATCCGATCGCCAAGAAAAGATGATTATATCTGTATAGGCCGGGACTTTATTCAACTCTATGAGATCGATTCCGAAGCCCATGTTACTCACATCGCGACAAAGAGTGACTTTGATGGAGAGATTGGCTCAGCCAATGTTTTTGGGTACTTCGATCCGTACGAGAGCGAATCTAGAGAGTATCCCAACAACACAAATGGTTGTAGCAATTCTTCTGAAAGTCCCATCGGCCCACAGTTACTGGCTTTCACCCTTATCGACACCGAACAGCTGTTCTTCCTTGCAGCTTCGGAAACCGAAGACGGCGATGTTGCATTCAGGGTGTTGTGCGTACCTATGCCTATATTCGTCAACCCGCCGCGAGTTCACGGAAATGCTATAGCTGTGGATCCGTTTTCTCGAGCTCTGGCAGTGGCAATTGGCGACCAAAAGGTTTTCGTATGTTATGCAGATCAAGCAGAACTACTAAGCGCAGGGCAACAGAAATGGGACGATGGATACATCCCTGTCTCTAGCTCTCAGACGATCAAAGAAGTTCCTGGCACCATCCTGCTGATGGATTTCCTTTACCCTCCAAGAAACGATCCAGATCGGCTTATACTACTCATGATATGCTTGGTTGATGGCGTCGTACGACCGGTATGGGTCGACTGGTCAAAGTCTGAGGAACCCAAACATGCGGTAATCAACAAAAGTACCAAGATCATCTTGCGTAAGTCACAATGTTAATGAATCAAGGCTGCTTTGCTGACTCAGGTTAGCTNNGGTGAAATCCCGAATCTCTTGATACCTCTTAAAGGTAATGCAGCTTTTGTACTCGCTACCGCAGCCGGCATCAGGATCTGCGAGAATATCTTGACCAAATCAATTCACATAACTGCTCTCATTATTGATCGAGAGGATCCACCAGAACACTATCCGCCCTCTTCATATAACCCGCTTTGGTGCAAATGGGTACGACCCAGGAGATTGAGCGAATACGATGAAGAGGACTACATCTACTTGATCTCCGAGGACGGCAATATCTATTATCTGGTGTTTGAACAGGACTCGCCGAGCGAAGGCGTCGTCATAAATTATGTCGGAAGGTTGGAATGTCATGTAGACTCGGCATGCGCGCCATTCGGAAAGTCAAACCAGGGTGATATCTTGGTTTTCCACGGTGCGTCAAGCACCGGTTGTGTTTGGATGGTAAGTATCACGCGCAGTCAAGGTGTAGGTTGAGAATAGGCTGACAGCATTCTAGNNACCGAGTGCCGTCAAGCTCCAACCTCTGATTCAGAGCCACGAGGAGGCATGCACGGCTTCTCCGTTTCTCCTTTACCGAATTGGTCGGAGAATCTGGATTTGATAGCTAAACCTACGTCACGCAAGAGAGTACCGCTGTATTCGAGAGACGCTCTATTTGCGCCTAGCGGCCGACAACCTTACGGCCACATCACAGAGCTACGGATGGGTCTCGAAGCACGCATTGGCGCTCGTGTTGAGGGACACGCTCCATTCAGTATTGTGTCGCATGTGTGGATTCTCCCTGTTCCAGATGAGGGAGTTTTCTTCGTCGTTCTTTCCAGCCCAGGACAGACCTACGTTTTATCAATACCGCAATCCTCCGACGGCGACGACTTGCATGATTTACAGGCTGTGGGGACTGTTGGTCTCGACATGCAACATTCAACTCTCGCCTTGGCAATGCTAGCAGAGAATTGTGTTTTCCAAATCACAGAATCTGCAGCCTCGTTCAGTCGCAATGCCCAACACAGTCTGCACGTTGAGCATTGGCCAGCAGGATACAAAGCTGTCGCGGCCGCGATCGAGGATAACATCCCGTGTGCGGTCATTGCACTGCGACGCGAAGGCAAGTCAGAAATTCGATTACTCAAAGTTGACGATCTCGACGACGTCAATGACGAGACAGTATCTGTTTCAGAGCTTGGCAGACCGGTACAGACAGAGTGTGAAATCATATCCTTGGCTATCCACTCTACCCAAATGTTGACGTTCGTCATCGCTGGCAACTCCAACGGAACACTGCATATCTTCAGAGTATCTCCCAGGAACGGTCTTGAACCTTATCTGGAGCATGAGATTCTTCAGAACCCCGATCATTTGGATGACCTCGAGGCCTTGAATGCCTGCGAAGATATTCTTGTCCTCGGCGGGCAAGTGTCATCGGAGAAGCCTGCCGATCTTATGGTTCTTTGTGGCTTGCGAGGTGGTTCGATCTATGCGCTTGAGCTTCAAATCGGTCTTGATGGTAAGCTTCACATCTAACGCTTTGAATGGGCATCTAACTTATATTCAAACANNGCGTCACTACATACGAAATCTCAACAACACTTCAATCTCGGCTTGACGACGGTCAAGCTCAGTTCCGGAAAGAGTCACTTGTCAGCACTCGCAACGTGTGGCGATGGTTTCTTTAGCATCGCTATGAAAGACGCTAAACTGGACGCCATAGACATTTTTGATGTTTACCTGACAGATAACCCGCGTAGCTTCCAACAAGATTCTATTGCGGCTATGACAATGATTCCATATTCTGAGATCTCACCCCTCTCTGAAGCCCTTATCGTCATCTCAGGAGACTCCTGCTTCGTCACAGCGGTATCCGAGAAGCGACAAATCGTTCCGAACGAGACCGATGTACATGGATCTCCTCATACATTGATCGAATCCAGGCCATTCAACTGCATGGTCAGCGCATCTTCGTATGTATGGAAGCGTTCGCCAACAACCAGGGCTGTACGAGATGTGGTCCAGTTCAGCTCGAGCACCTTGAAATGTATGTGGGAAACAGACATCGGATGGAAAGTCCATTCCATGTCCGAATGGTCTTTCAGACGAACACCCGACGCTGCACCACACGTCTGGATCGCAGTTGCTATGGGTCGAGCCACTCGTTTCGCCGAGATCGCTGCTTCCCGATCGACCAACGGAAGAATTTTCTTGCTTCGGCCTTTGTCCATGACTGGGCAATGCGGTGTTCAAGCGTCACAGATTAAGCAGTTTGATTCTCCGGTGACAGCAATTGCCGCCTATGGCGATAAAGATATTGTGGCTTGCTCCGGCACGAAAGTGTACTTCTTCCAGTACAACACCCAAGNNAATCAAGGTGAGTTTCTGCATGGCCGTTTCTCATATCGTCTGACTGACTGTATCTCGAGGTTCGATGAAGTATGCAATTTCGTCATGCATAGTCCGGGTATCCGCGTTACGACGGCGCCACCACATATACACATCACCACCGAGCGTGACTCGACGCTCACGCTCCAGCTGATAGACAATCCAAGTGTATTCAACTCTAAACTACTGCGAAACGTTGCCAGGGGTGATGGAGCTAGGCAATCGACAAGTCACACTACTGTTGACATCTCTCACGCTGACCAAACAACGTCGAGCTTCAACCTGACCAGTACACTCAACGGAGAGCTTGTGGGCTTGAGAATCCCGGATCCCAGCCAAGCACCCAGGATCGCTACACACGACACGCTCTTTACAGCAAAGCTCTGCCGCTCGGTTATGCGTGTTGTTGAAGCCAAAATCCGCCCGCCTTGGAAGCCAGTACACAGAGATTCTGGCGTGCTCAAGGATGATCTCGTAGGCATCACCACGGACGGCACAGTGTACGGCTTTGCCATCCTTGATGAAAAGACCACGAACCGGCTGCGATGGCTGCAGAGGCTGTGTCAGCGCAATCCTGATATCTGTCCCTTCACGTACAACACACCGCCCACGGTTACACGAAATGGATATGTCAAAGCTATACCGGTAGTACTACCGCCTCCTGGCTTTGAAAATCGCGCTGTTGATGACCATGATGGCAATGGGGATGTCTCGAGGAGGCAGAGGAGACACAGACCCAGCGACATGCATGTCGATGGCGATTTCTTGGTCCGCTTGTTGGAGCAAGACAGTGTGGAACTACTAACCTCAATCCTCGATGTTGAGGCCAAGAAGGAAGTTCACGATCCCATCTCAAGCTGGGTTCGTGACAATCTGGAGGCGCAAAAGGCGGAGGTCAAGTCACTGGTTGCAGAGGCGAGGGCTGCTGTTGATCGATGGTGGTAAAAAAGCTGATTGTTCATATGTATTGAATCTCTACTCGTTGTGCTCATGGTATCAGTTTGGGGTCCTGGAAGAGTGAAAAGTAGCTGAGCAGAGCTAGGTATCTCTACTGACATCATTACTTTCTTACCACCTGAAGGAAGGGATGTGCATTCGGTTGATCAGAAAGTGTCGTCTACAACAATCATGTACTGGATCAAAACAATAGATCTCGGATATTTGTGTACATCTGGTCCTCTTGATATGCTTCAAGTCAGGGTCGCAGCTGCAGCAACATAAACGGGAAGCAAAATCGTGATATGACAATATACGCTGGCTAGTGTTACTATCCTCTTTGTTGAGTGATCCTTGAAATTGATGTCTATACACTACCGATGTACTGACTCTTTCATGTCGGCGTTGGGGGTCGAAAATGCCTTCTTAGTTAATTTGTGCGTTGACTCTGGGAAACCATCATGCTTCACAACCGATTCAGACGGCATGATCTTATTAACGAGTTCGTGTACACGCAACATTAACCAGATTGTATATTAATAGCACCAATCTTTGTGTGTATCAGTGTGTACGAGTTTCATCATAGTGTTCCTACTTGAGACACAAGTCTTGAGACAGGGTGACCTTGAGTTGTTGGCTTGAAGAGCACAAGAATACACAAGGTGAGAACGAAAGATTGTAAAGTGATGCCAGTTCAATATTCGTCTAGAGGACCGAGTGTACACACCATGCATAAAAGAACAAGAAGATCCAAGAGTCGCAAAATTTGAAAAGAAAAAGACTTATTTGAACGCCGCCCATTCAAAACCCACCCCTTAAAGACTCCGTCGCAACTTGGATGCATGTACACTCATCTCCTTATGCGCATGGCAACCACTCAGATGATTCGAAAAGATCGAGAGCTCGGACACGGTTCCATTCTGCAGCGGTCGTGGCTGTTGCTGACATTCGTTCTCGAGAAAGGTGTATCTACAAGACATTCGGCACTCGAGTGGCCACTTATCTTCTTCGTCCGGCGGCGCGTTGCTGTGTCCTTGAGAGCTTGACGACGGGTGCTGGGGCCTCATCATCGTCGGATGACTCGTCATCTTCTTCCTCCTCGACTTCATCACTCTCCTCGTCCTCGTCGGACAGCTCTTCACCCTCGTCATCGGAGGTCTCTTCAGCTTCCTCGTCGAACATGCCTTCTCCAGCCTCTTCCTCCTCAACGTCGGATGACGCTTGATCGGCACCATTGACCATAGACAGGTCACCAAGGTCGCTACCCACAGCATTGCTGATGAGGTCGTTGTCGTCGTCAGATGATTCATCGTCTTGTCCCTCGACATAGATGACATCGTCGTCCACGTTGTCGCCATCGTCGAATCTTCCATCTCTTGTCTCTTGAACGCTCTTGCGAAGCTCAATTTGGGCGTTGAGCATGTCGAGCTTGCCCTTGAGCGTGACGAGAGACTGGAGACCGTTGGCACGCTCCTTAATGACGCGCGACAGAGTCTTGAGCTTCTTGAGAACATCAGGCTGACTAGCGAGGTAGCCACCGTGGGAGACTAGCGACCATTGAACCCAGACCATGAGGTTTCCAGCACGACCAGGGCGCTTGTGTAGTCTTTCAGCCAGACGTTGGAGGAGAGAAGCGACGAGCGGCGATTGAAGTCTCTGAATGGTCGAACGAATACTGGGGAGGTCGGTCATCTGGAAACAAGTCTCGAGGAGGTCGCGATCGTTGGTGCGCAGAGCTTGGGTAAGAACGGTTCCGAGAGAGGTAGCTGTGGGAAGGGCGAGAGAGCGGTCCTGGTTCATAGGGACCAGAGCTTGAGTGCCTTCCTCACGGTCGGCGAAGGCGGACTGGACATCGATCGTCTCGGGATGCGCTGCCTGCAGCATGTCGCCGAACGACTGCCCTTCTGCGCCATCCTCCATATCTTCGTCGGCATCGGCCATGGCAGCATCATCATCGTGGTGGCCGTTCGTGGCGGGCTTGGTGTCGTCGGCCTCGTCATCGGAGCCGCTGTATACGCTTGATTCGTCTCCACTCGAAATCTCGACTACCTCAGGTGCATCTGTCTCGTGTTGCTCGATTTGGGCTTTGGACTCGTCAAGGCGGTCTGCTCGTGAGTCTTTGATGCCATTGGTGTAATTCGCGCGCAGCTTCTTCCCGGCTCGTTGATTCTCGTCGGTCAGGAAGCCCAGTCCAGAGCTAGCCTGCTGTGAAGTCTTTGCCTTTTTCGACGGCGGCAGCGAAGGTGCGGCTCCGGCCTCTGCTTGTCTTGCCCGTGTTCGTTTTGCCGTGCTCATGGTGAAATATTATATAGACTAGTCCGTCGTGTGCTACTTGGACTTTGGACCTTTGCAGCTGAGATAAAAATTACGAAGGCTACGCCAAAAGTTTGAGGTCTGTGCGTGTCTCCGACTATCCGCCGCTTGCTGGAGAGCGCCTGTGCCTCTTTTTCTTCACTCTTCTCCACCAAAGAATGTACCTGACATGTATGTGTCGCCTTGCAGCTCGACAACTGCGACAGAGAAACTCCTGCCTTCTGCAAAACCAGTCTTCTTGCTCCCAACGCTGCTGCCTTGCGCGTCCTCCGTAGGCATCCGTATCCGTTTGAAGGTTCGCCAGTGACTGCTCTCAACCAAGACTTCTGGCAAGTACGAGGACATCTGGCAAGAACGATCCGCTGCTTCCCTAACCCAGCTTTTGCGCCCTTCAAGGTAATTGTAAGCTCGTGAGCCACTTCCGTCTTTATTTCTTGCTGTTTTACCTTCAACTCTCGCTCGTCTGGACAAGGTAGTGTCGTGCCACCCCAGAAAAATCTTGCTCATCCCAAAACCCCCTGCGTTGCTCCTGCTCGACTCGGGAGCCTTGTGGCGACACACAGCCGCACGGCGTTTTCTAGTCACGTGAGGCGGGCGCTAGGGGCAGCATCATAAATCTCCCAGACTTTCCAAACTTGCATCCTTTTGCGAGTTCCAATCGCGTCGAAACACGCTCCACGTCCACGTCCGGCTTTCCGATTCGCGCGACACGTTCTCCAAAAACTTCGCCGACCACCACTACTGCATCCCACGACCACTTTCCATCTCGGATTCAGGATTTTTTATCATTTGTGCCGCGCGCATAATTACTTCCACTTGTCCCGTTCAAACAACAGTAGTCCCGTCGCGCTCTTTCTCTAGATTGTCGCTTGATTGTCGTTTCTCGTTCTCTGTTCGGCCGTTCACGTGCCATCTTTATCTACCACCACGCTGCACAACTCATTTCCATCTCAGATGTCAGCAGAAACAGGACTACAACCGGAGATGGCAAACGTCGACCGGTGAGTCTCATTCTTTATTACCTCCGCTGTTCCCTATATCATCACCGTCGTTCCACCTTGTTGTACCCTCATCACCACCTTACATACTTCCTTCTCTCCGTTCCATCGTCAATCAATGAATGTAAATATTGAGAATTTGTTACNNAGACCTAATGAAGACCTGCCTGTCGCCGCTGAACAAAGTGATGATCTTTTCGGCGAGGACCCTAACGGAGAGTCTGTTGATAATGTCGCCAAGGCGCCTCTCGACAATGTTGTCGATGATGCCGACGCACTCAAGCCGGCGCCGGCTGCGACTGACCTCTCGGCCAATGGTCCGCCGACTCCCGCCGACTCGCAAACTGTCGATGCACCTACATCCGACGCTGCTCCAGTGACAGAACAATCATCTGGCATTGAAGGCGTTGCAAAATTCATCCCGTCTGACGCGAACCTCGAGCAGCCTGTCGTCTCGCCATCAGAGCCCCTTGGCGACGGAGAAGCGCACATCACTGAGGACACTGAAATCACTGATGCACCTTCACTTACGACCGCAACCGACACTCACTCTGCCACCGTGCCGGAACCTCAAGTGACTGAAGATCCAAAGCCTGCCGTCACCGATGGTGTTGTTGCCGCCAACCCTGACTCAGATCAACTCGCAGCCACAGATCTCTCCAACGGTGTTGCTGACCAATCAAAAATCGACGACATAAAACCCGCATCAGATCTTCCTCTCACCAACGGCTCTACCTCCGATTCGACTGCAGCAGCTGGAACATCCTCCACTATGGAAGCTCCCACTGCGCTAGCGCCTGCCGCGCTTCCGGCAGACACATCGATCGACCAAGAAATGTCAGATGCGCCCTCAGCAGGAACTGTGCGCGCACGCGAAGAAGATGATGCGACTGGCGAGCCTTCAGCAAAGCGCACAAAGACAGGAGATGATGTCAACGGCAAAGAGCAAGCCGAATTTGAAAGCTCTGCTCAGGCTGCACCTGTCACTTCGAATGGCGGAACTAACGGCATCGCTGTTCCTGTCGTTCGCCCTCAAAACACACCCCGCATCAGCTCTGGTCCTATCACTAAGAATCAAAAGGCCTTCTTGATTGAANAAATGAAGAACACCAAGAAAGTGAAGTCTGCCTTCTGGTTTACTAAGCCTGTTGACTACGTGGCTTTGAACATTCCCCACTACCCAACCATCATCAAACAGCCCATGGACCTTACAACAATTGAGCAGAAACTCAAGAATGACCAATACTCGTCGGTCGACGATCTTGTATCTGACTTTGAGCTCATGGTCACAAACTGCTTTACCTTTAACGGCATTAACCATGCTGCTTCTGTGTCAGCACAAAACCTCAGAGCCTATTTCATGAAGCAGATGCAAATGTGCCCCACTGGAGAAGCTGCATTGCCTAAGGCAAAGTCCCATGTCGCTAAGAAGGCATCGCCCAAGCCTGCTGCTCTACCACGCGCCGAGCCAGCCAAGCCCGCCGCACCAGTCAAGTCGCCTTCTGGCGAGACGTTTGCTCTTCTGCCCGATGGAACACCGATGATTCGTAGAGATTCGACTGCTGGCAGACCCAAGCGGGCTGTCGTTCCTCCAGCTCCCCGCGATCTGCCTTATTCAACATCCAAACCCAAGAGAAAGGNNGAAGCACAAACTGGTCTCAAGTTCTGCGAGCACATTCTAGAAGAGTTCCGCAAGCCCAAGCACGACCGCTACGCCGCTCCGTTCCGCATTCCCGTGGATCCCGTTGCTCTCAACATTCCTCAGTACTTCAGCATTATCAAGCACCCCATGGACATTTCTACGATCACCCAGAGGCTCAAGGGAGGACAGTATGCGTCTGCTGAAGAGTTCAGAAATGATTTCGAGTTGATGTTTTCCAACTGCTTCAAGTTCAACCCTGCTGGAAACATCGTGCACGACATGGGCAAAGACTTCCAGACCGAGTTTCACAGAGAGTGGTCCAAGAAGGATAGCTGGATAAAGAGACACACACCTCAATCTCAACGCGCTAGTCCCGTGTCAGATGTTTCTGATGGTGATGATTCTGATGATGGCCACGAGGAAGACGACGAGCATGACAGCAACGAGGCTACAATCTCTCTGCTCAGAGAGCAACTGGCCGCAATGCAGAACATGGTTGCATCGATCTCTGGCGGTAAACGCGCATCTCCCAAGGCTTCTGGCAGCAAGAAGAAGAGCAAGAGTGGCAACACCGGCACCAGCAAGCCCAAGAAGTCGGGCGGCAGCTCTAGCCTTTCACGTCCTACTATCAAGACCAGTTCCAAGCCTAAGAAACAACGCCTGGTCACATATGATGAGAAACAGGAAATCAGCAGCGCCACAGAACACATGAGTGCCGAGCAGGTAGAGAGGCTGACCAACATCATCACGGAGAATGTTGCTAAGTACAAGGACATGGCTGGTGATGATGTTGAGCTTGAGATCGATGATCTGCCCAATGAAGTACAGCACAAGCTGCTTCGTTACGTCCGCACTATCTTCCCGAAAGCTGAGCCGGTCGAAATGGATGCCAACGCGATCGATGACGACTACGAACCCGAAAAGCCGTCAGCACGTTCTGGCGGAGCTGCAAAGAAGAAGCACAAGCCCATGAAGAAGCACGAACAAGAGGACCGCATCAGACAGCTCAAGGAGCAGATGGCTGCCATGTCTGGTGATGTCAACTCCGTCGCTGGTGGTGCGGCACCCTCAGCTGCTCACCGCGCCGATTCTAGTGATGACGAAGACAGCGAGAGCAGTGAAGAAGAATAGATACACACCTATCATTTCGGTTGCTCACTTTGGGCTCAGATGCTCAGCTGCGGATAAACCCCACTCATTGTTTGCGATGGACGATTACGAGACCAAAGGCCAGAAAGCATGGAACGCGAGCAAAGCAGCTGGCGAACATGATGATGAATGACAGAACACACGACTTACCCCGTTAATATCACCTCAACCCATCCGTTCACCAAGAACACATGCTTGCTCAAGGAATGCATTTCTTCTCTCGCCATCCACCCTCCACTCCCCTACAAAAATGAGATACCCAAAGGAAGGGATTGCAGGAGGCCAGGCGGTTTCTTGCTGGAGTTTGACGAATGATGAGGAGGTGTGAAAAGATAATTGGCAAGGCAGAGGCCTCCACCCCTTTTAAAATTCTTGTACCATAGCCTTTTCTCCTTGTCTCTATAACTCAGTAGTCTTCTGCATTGATGGCAACAGGTTCTGAGACAAGAACTGTTTATCGCATCCACTTTTTCTTAGAGGTTATGTCTTTGCTTTTGTCCCTCCTTGGTCTTCACGGTGTCGTGTCTTCTTGATATAGACATTGTGCTGAATGTAGGTATCGACATACATAAGATTGCAGATAGTTTCTTGAAGTCCCTTTCAAGTCGCGGTGTCGTGTTGCCAACACTGTGGATTGAGATGGTCACTGCGGAGAGCCCAAACTCCCGACCTTTCCTTTAGCACATACACTCCTCAGCCAACCAACATACCAAACAAAAGTCAGACACAAGAACAACACAACAAATCTCCTACAACACCCGACCTCCGCAATTCACTAAAAGCAAGATCTACATACCAACAGAACCATGTTCCCACAACCAGACGCAGAAACGCTAGCACGGAACCCGCAATTCGCATTGTTATGGAAAGACCTGACAACAAACAAAATAACCAGAGATGGAGTTTCTAAGACTGTTGCTCTGGACAAAGAGACAGTAAAAACAAGAGAAATACTCAAGACCAAACAGATCGAATTGGCGAAAAGGAGGTACTCAAGGGATGCGGTGAGGGCTGTTGCTTTTGGAGAGGCAGAGGGTGGGTTAGTTGGTGAGGTGAGTATTTGGTTCTTGTGGCCTTTTGTTTTTGTCGGAAGTAGATGCTGATGTTGTTTGTTGCAGTTGAGAGAAACGGCACAGATTGTTTCTGCACAATTGGACGGTAAATTGGATCCCCAAGACAAGGATATTGTCCAAGTCGAGGTCGAGGAGTTCATGGCCAATATCGAAACCGTGAGAGCGGCAGTGGAGACACACATGGAGCAGAACGTTATGCTACTTTGTCAAATACTAGGTATGTTTTGATGACAGGGCAGAAAAGAGAGGGTATCATTGAGAGTATTGAACTATGCTAATTTCATATTTGTACAAAAACAGNATCCAGAACAACAGCACGCAGACCCTTCAAAATTGCCAGCACAAGTCCAGGCTCTCCAGACAGATGTGGAAGAAGCGAAATGGCAGCTTGGCGTCAAACGCATTGAGCTGGCTAGCACATTGACCCAACTTCTCAAGACAAATGCTCAACTATTGCAGACAGCAATCCGGATATTGGAGCAGGTAATGCATGGCAGTGTAGGACGACACACTCGAGCGCGAGCCGAACACCTTGCAACAGTCGCACAAGGACTTGAGAAGCGATTGCTGGTAGCAAGGAAGACGGTGGCCGGTCAAGTCTACGATGGAAGAGCCGAAGAGCAACTCGTACGCAAAAAGGAAGAGTTGGATGCTCGGAGCGCGGGACTGCGCAGGAGACTTAGGGATCGCGAGCAGTGGCTGGAGCGACTTGAAGGAGTTTCGGGACTGAGAGAGGCAGTCGAGGAGATATCAAGGGTGCGGAGCGAAATCTCTAGGGTGAGAGAGGAGGTCGGACGATTGGAACGAGGTGGATAGATGGGACTCAGAAGTCGGTAACACGGCCGTTGTAACTCCAATCGCTTGAGTGACCCCATCGCAGAGGGTTGTTCTTGGGACCGCCAACCTCGCCTGTCTGAGGGTTGATATCACCTTCAAACTCTGGAGGAGCACCACGGCGGACATTGGGGTGTAGTTCTTCACCCTTGCCATCGGCCTTGAGAGCGGGAGACTGGTTGATTTGAGGCGATTGGTTGACTTGGGGCTTGGAAGCGGCGGCTTCGGCGACGGTCTCTTCAGGAGCTTGTTGAGGGGTGCTGAAGGCGCCAGTAGATTGCTTCATGAGCTTGTCAAAGATTTCCTGCTCTTCCTTGGGAAGGCGTGGCGGCGAAGGGCCGGGCGACCATGATGATCGGAAGGCGGGCGACGTGCTGATGGCGCGGCGAGCAGCAGGAGAGTAGCAAGAGCGGATAGCGAGACGTGCGAGATTGAGCGACGACATGTTGGACGTATTGCAGTATCGAGTGGACGACCTAGGTGGACTTGAGTTGAACGAAGCAATTAAGGGCAAGGAAATGGTGGCGCATGACCGAGTCATGATGGCGGCGGAGCTGCTCGGGCCGACCTTTTGGCCGCTTCATCATGTCAAATCATCATTCTATGCTATTCCGAGTATGGCCAGAAACTTTTCAAGAGCTGCCATAACATCCAAATGCTTAATAGAGTGGCAATTCGCTCGCGCAATGCTCTGCTAAGGAAGCCGTTGCTTCGGTCTTCTGTACGGCCGTCTCTGCTCACATCACAACCATCGCTACGCTTGCCAAATCTTGTTGCGAAACGCTTCTCGTCAACCGAGCCAGTTTCGTCTGCACAAGACCAACATGACTTGATCGAGCGCAAACAGTTTGAGACCAAGCAGAAGATACGCAAGCTGCCTCTGTCATGTCCAGGCTGCGGTGCCCCTAGTCAGACCGTCGCTCCTGAAGAAGCCGGCTTCTACAACCTGAGTAGGTCTGCTGTCAAGAAGTTTGTTCAGGATGATGCCAACAAGGAGGACCTTGTCTTCCAGGCAACTCTGGACAAAGTCGACAACAAGGTCCTGCAAGAGCTGGGTTTAGACGGTGGAGCTAGTGCTGCCAAAGAACAACCACAGAAGCAAACTCCCATTTGCGACCGATGCCACAACCTCTTGCACCACCATACTGGCGTCCCTATCTTCCACCCCTCGATCGACAGCATCCGTAGCATAATCGAAGACTCTCCTCACAAGAACAACCACATCTACCACATCATTGATGCTGCAGACTTTCCTATGTCGCTGATCCCCAATCTTATGAATCGCCTCGATCTTCCTTCTTTACGCACCCAGAACCGCCGCTCCAAGCACAAGAAATACGTTCGCAATCGCGTTGCCGACGTCTCTTTCATTATTACTCGTTCCGATCTCCTCGCTCCTAACAAGGAACAGGTTGACAGTCTGATGCCATATCTCCGTGAGACGCTTCGTGACGCTCTTGGTCGCACGGGAAAGAACGTCAGACTGGGCAACATGAGATGCGTGAGCGCGAAGCGCGGTTGGTGGACAAAGCAAGTCAAGGNNGAAGACATTTGGGACAGAGGTGGTGCTGCTTGGATGGTTGGCAAAGTCAATGTGGGCAAGAGCAATCTGTTCGAAGTTGCTTTTCCCAAGGGGAGAGCACAACAGAAGCTTCCCACGCCCCAACCTATGCATTTGCATCTAGAGCCAGATGATCTGTCAGCTCCTGGGGCTTTGACCGAGCCTTTGTCCGACTTACCTGAAGTCCATGACACGGCCGTCGATACTGCTGACTCGACAAGTAGTGCTCCTGATCATGCTTCGACCGACTCTCAACTAGAGACTGTTGATCAGGACGAGCCAGACGTATTCGACGTGGAAGAGGGTTCGCTACTTCCCCCTGCTCAAGTGGAGACCCCTTATCCTGTCATGCCTGTCATCTCTTCTCTGCCTGGAACCACAGCTTCGCCCATCCGTGTGCCGTTTGGAAACGGCAAAGGCGAGCTTATCGATCTTCCTGGCGTTGCGCGATCCAATCTTGACGAGTTTGTACTACCGGAACATCACCAAGACCTCGTTATGCGATCACGCGTAGTACCTGACCAGATGTCAATTAAGCCTGGCCAGTCGTTGGTGCTAGGAGGTGGGCTCATTCGCATCACTCCTACAACACCAGATCTGGTCTTCTTGTCCTATACTTTCCTGCCTTTACACCCTCACATCACCTCCACGGAGAAGGCCGTGGCTATCGCCAGTGGCGAACGAGCCACTGGACTGCACACGACCATGACCAATGAAGCTCGGGAAGAGATGGCATCAGCGGGCACTTTTAAGCTCGAATGGGATGTCACAAGGCAGCGCGCAGGCCCGTTGACTTCAAAGTCCGCTGCCAAGTTGAAGCCTGAGCAGCTGCCTTTCAAGGTCTACTCAGCAGATATCTTGGTTGAAGGTGTTGGCTGGGTTGAACTTGTTGCCCAAGTACGAAAGTCGGCTCAGAACAAGTCTGCCTCTATTTCACCTTCGAGCGAACCTACAAGTACCAGCCCACCGCCTACCCCAACAGACTCCGGAACTGCAACATGGAAGCCATTGTTTACACCAGAGGAGAAGATTGCACAAAGCACTTTCCCACAAGTCGAAGTGTTTTCACCCAAGGGTAAATTCATAGCCGTCAGACCTCCTATGATTGCTTCGTTGCTTGGTGGTAAGAAGGCTCCAACAGCAAACACACGGAAGGGCAGACCCAGGTTAAGCATGAAGAGCTTGAAGCACAGCCAACGTGGTAGAGAAGCCCAGAACGAGGGCTGATATACATTTGAAACTCATGTCTTCGTTTGCAGCGGCAAATCCGAACCTTGATGATTCCACGAGCAGATGTCCGAACATCTAGGTGGTTTCTGTGTCGGCATCGTTGACTCTCTGGCCGTTGCCAGCTTCCTGTTCTTCAACCATTCTCAAAGTTTCCTCAAGCACAGAGATGTCACGAAACACAACTTCGGCCCAGTTTTGGAGATCGCCCATCTCCTTCAGCTGGTCAACGCTCTGACCTATAGTCTTCTCGAGCTCTTCTGCTTGTCGCGAAAGTTTTTGCGTATCTTGAACCAGAGTTCGTTTCTGCGCGTCTATCGACTGTGAAGCTGAGACGATGGCTTCAGTTCGTTGGGTCAGCGGCGCGGTATGTTCTCGTAGAGTCGCAGAGACTAATGCCGAGGTGGATTTTGTGGTGGATTTGTTGTCAGGCATCTTATATGCTGAAAACAGCCAAGAGGTCTGTTTGGAGTATGTACTGATGGTGAAATTACCTGTCGTCGAGGAATACATGCGATGGAATAAGAGACCACGCCGTGTCGACGAGGCACACTGGCGCGTGACAGGCTTTCACATGCAAAGTACCATTGTGTGAAGCGCGCACAATTTATCAACCGAGATACTACACACCATCTTTGTCAGTCAGCAAATCATCGAGTTTCCATTCTGCGTGAATTATCATGAGAGGCTGAGAGCATGAGATGTGGTTAGTTGGAAAATGCCTCTGGTCGTAATTGACAAGTGACCTTCCTCCCGAGCGATCAACAAATGCGGAGAAGATGACGATTTCATGCATCAACAACAGCTCGTCTGTCTGTTTGGCACTCACGCCATGAGCATCCTCATCCATGGCCGCTTCCTTGTTTCATGTTGGCAAGGACAAACGGAGGAAGGGGTTTCTAAGCTCTTTCCACCTTGACTCACTTTCTGTTTCTATCACATATCCGACTTTGACATTGCAATATTGATTGCGACTACCTCACTTGAATCCTAACACAGGCAGAACCGCCTATTCTCGTCGTTGCTCCAAGAACCTCGAGCATAAAACCACTCAAACAAGATATCCAAGATGGCGTCGCTTACCAGACGCCAGGTATCGGTCATCTTGAGCGTCCTTGTAAGCTGTGTATAACACCTCGAGCTGGCCTTTACTGATGCGATATAGTATCTTGGAGCGTTGACTGCAATGGCAGCGTAAGTCGTATCTTTTGTATGATCGCTATGTTCGTCGACTAATCAGTAAATATACAGATATGCCGTACACCAAACCTCAACACTCTCATTGCCTATTCCCTCGTCTCTCACAACTCTCGCACTCGCACTCCCACCATTCGCAGGCCTGTGTATGGAAACCAGTACTGCGCTTGCATCTTCACTGGCTCAACACCCGAAACTTCGACACCGTCATGCACGCAACTTTCCCGCCGTCCTTCTACCCTCGACCTTGACTATCCTCGGCTTGCTGGTCTATATCACAGTAGTCGCAACACTGAGCGGCACCCATATCTCGCCTGTTGGTGGTTTAGGCTGCGCATTGAGGGAGAAATGGCAGAGCATGTTTCATGAGAAGAATGCTGGCAAGATCAAGAGAATCCAAGAGGCTTTCGATTGCTGCGGCTTCAGAAGCGTGCGAGACATGCCTTTCCCATTCCNNCCTGGTCACGGAGTCACTGTCGATACCTGTTCGCAGCGTTTCGATCGTCACGTTGGCTGCGAGGGTGCCTGGAGAGACAAGGAGAGAACAGTGGCTGGTCTTATGATTGGCGTCGCAGTGGGCGTTTTCGTTTGGGTGGTGCGTAGGCTCTATTCCTGCCATTGCTCGCTCACACTAACCTTGAATAGGNCTGTTATCATCGTGACGCCAGCATTGCATCCGACATGGGCTCACGAGAGCATGCGCCTACCTCACCGCGTCATTGAAGAGGAGTCCGATGCAGCAAACAGAGTCATCGAATACCCTGCTCAGCGCTACACAGATGATCCCGAAGGAGGCAACACCGATGCCCGTCGCGAGATTGACGGCCTGAACAACGACTCTAGGCTCGCATTGCAGGTGGAGAGCTCGAGAGATCATCCCAGCAAGATGCTGGCAGATCAGGGTGTGTGGAGAGCTGAGGATGGCAGAACTTGAGAATGCCAGATCCTTGGGAGACACTGAGGAGGGTAAACTTCATAGTACTGTAGTAGTCTGCTTTTGGATGAGACCGGGCTGAAATCAAGCTTGCTTTCTGAACATGACTTACAATACTCACAATCTTTGTGTACGGCTTAGAAACGCGAAGTGGATTCCTTTGAAGTTTGATACGCAAGAGGAAAGGTCTCAGAAAATTCGATCATCCAAGATACATGTTAAGATAGGCAAGCAAAGCTTAAAGAGGAGAAGGAGAGAGGAGGGACGAAGACAGGGTTACCAATAGTCCTTGGTCGTGCTGGATGTCCCGGAGGTCTCGAACTTGGCCGATGCTCGGGCCGCGCTCCCTCCCCACGCCACTCTTTGGAGATGACCACCAACAATTTTTTTTGACTCTTTATTCTGCATAAACAAACAACTCACGTTCAGTAACACGCCTGCAGTCGCTACACGCGGCCCCCGACCCATCACCCTTCACAAGCGCAAACAACTCCCTTCCTCGACCAACGCCAACCCATCACAAACACACCCGCAAAAATGGTCGACACTTCTCAAGAAAGAATTTACGATGAAATCGAGATCGAAGACATGACCTATGATCCCGTTACCCAACTCTACACCTACCCATGCCCCTGTGGCGATCGCTTCGAGATCAACATTGAGGATCTCAGAGATGGCGAGGAGATTGCTGTGTGTCCGAGTTGTTCGTTGATGATAAGGGTTATTTATGAGGTTGAGGATTTGCCTGCTGCTGCTTGAAGAGAGGGACGAGGAACAAAAAATTTGGAGGAGGGATGGAAGCATGGGAAAGAGGCTGGGAGCACGCGACAGCATCATGTTCAGCTGAAAACACGGATGCGACGAGGAGAAGAGACAGGCGATACACCCCGCTCGGGAAGACTCCGATGGAGTCAACAAGAGCACGAATGGACGACCCAAATAAGCAAACATGGCGCAAGACAGGCAAACAACCTGCCAGCCTGGCTCTTAAGACACACCTTTCTGTGAGAGAGCGATCGTAACCATCAAGTCATCCCAAGAGAACACTTCATGCATACATCCATACCGGGCATCCGCTGTTGGTCAAGGACCGCACTACTCCGTCTTACGGGTCCTTACTTCTCACTACTCCTCCGATGCGGAAACTGCGCCTAGAAATCAACATCAATCATGGAAGACAGGAAGGCAGAGTCACAGGCCCCTTCTCGCTTCGGATCAAGACCAGAGACTGGTATTGTCGCTTTGCGATCAAAGCGAACTCATGGGCATGGAGCTCGAGGCGCAGGAGACTGTTGGTGGGTGGGAGCAATTCGGCTATTAGCATCACAGAGCACATCAGTTCTATTGAGCAGTTCAGAACAATGGTCACAAAGACATACTTGCAAAGATCATATCGACCAATCAAAGTCATAGTAGGAGAAGGAAAGCAAGCTTTTTATTCCATTTCATGATCCTTAGAAAGCGCCTGTAAATATCGACAAACCAACCACATCATATGTAATATGCAAAACAACGAAGACATCTCTCAAGCAATCATGTCACCCTTCTCGTTCTCAAGAGTAGCGGTCTCCATACCAGGTCTCCACTCTCTTGACCATCTAGGCCACATGCGCTTGTACAAGCTCATACCCACAGCATCCATGGGGTTGATCTTGCCATCAAAGGTGGCCTTGAAGTAACCATGCGTACCCAATGACTCCTTGATGTAACCGCTGCGGCCGCGCTTGGTCCAGAGCTGGATGGCCTTGAACCAAGCCACGTCTTCCTCGTTGAAGAACATGTAGCGGATGGTGACGAGCTTCTTGTGGATCTTGTAGGGGTGGCCGGTGACGATGGCGCGTTTGGCGATGATGCGGTTGGTGCTGGGAGCGACTGAAGTACCGGTGGCGATAAGTGTGTAGAGGGGTTTGCTGACGGAGTCGTCGTCCATGGCGTCGTCGTCTTCGTTGTCTGAATCGGCTGGGGGAGGAGGGATGGTGGATGTGCGCTTCATGTACAGGCAAGGCACGTTGCCCCATGTTAGGGGACCAATGAAGGAGGCCATGCCTGTTTGACCGGGGTGCAGGTAACGGTCGAACTTGTGCACGTTGTTGGGGGTGTTGCCTGCTTGAGAGAACAGGGGNTTGATGATCAAGCGGCGAGGACCGCATTGCATGATCAGCTCGTCCTTGGACTTGAGCGGTGCAGGATAATCACTGCTGAGTGTGATACTGTGGTTGACAGATGTACGCTTGTGCTCGTGACGCAGCAGCGAGAAAACACCTGTCGGTGTGGGAAGAGTCTTGAGATTCTCAGGGGAGGCATCACCGAGACGAACGTAGACGTGGACACGGGTTCCAGGGGCAACGCCGCCAACCAGAGCTTCGCTGACCATACGGTGCTGTGCTGCCTTGTAGTTGGCGATCTCGAGCAGGCGCGACCACTCTGCAGGCTCGTGCGGCTTGTCCTCGTCTTGCTCCCACACGCTGGTGCGCAGACTCTTGAGACCTCTGTAGCGAGCCAGTCTCTCGCGAGCTGACACATTGGGGTGCAATTCGATCTCGTCTGGGAACTCGAGATCTTCCTCAGCCTCGGCCTTTCGTGACTCGCGATAAGCAGCCAATTGCTCGGCCTCATCCTCTGGTGATCGGTCCTGGAACATCTCTGATTGTGGGTATTCCGAAGGTGCGTACTCTGTGGGTTCACGAGGAGCAAGGCCCTCAGTACCATCAGCAGGGATAGCATCCTCCATTGCATCGTCCATCTCCTCGTCGACGCTTTCCAAGTCTGAGCCTGAATCTGAAAGGTCGTCGACGTACCAAGCAGACTGGTATTTTGAGGTACCTTTGGGCATCTTCTTTGGTCTTGAAGCCTCGGGATCCTCGTCCTCGTCAAAGTAGTGGTGGTCGTCCAGCAAAACACCCTTACGTTCCGTGGCAGCTACCGAAGGTGCGAAGTCCGTCATGGCTGTCTCCTCGGGTGCGAGGTCAGCCATATCATCCTGGTCCTCAGAAGGAAGTTCGAGGATGTTGTTTTGTTGGGGAGCGTCGTCCATAGCCATGTCGTCAGCTGAGTGCTTCTTCTTGTTTTCCAAAGATGCAGCAGCCACAATCTTCTCAATCTGGAAGTCACCCCAGTCTCCAACCTGAAGCAATCGGTCGGCTTTGAGACCCCTTCCACGCACAGTTCCAGTGAAAACAACCGTGTTTGAGGCATCCTCTGGCCAAGCCATGTCGTCGACCAACATCCAGCTTCGTGCTTCTCTCCAGTGAATTCCCTTGGGTGTGGTGGTGCACAGCGAGCGCACAACGTTGGCGCAATCCTGACGAGCATCTAGAGAGTGTACGCGTTCCTGAGTAGCGAAGAAGTGGGTGATGAAAGACTTGAGCGAACCCAAGACTTGCGGGCGTCTCTTTGCGGGTTCAATCTGATCGAGTCCTTGAACCAGAGTAATGACATTTGACACACCCTGACTCTCAATAGTACGCAGCATCTGCTCGCCCAAAGGATCCACCTCTTGATCGGCACTCAGAACGAAGATGACAAAGTCGGCAACACGGCAGGCATCGAGGGCGTCGAGAACATCGCGGCGTCCAAGGGTGACGAACTGGAGCTTCTGCTTGAAGCGGGCGACGTCGACTCTCCAGATGTTGGAGTTGGGGGCTTCTTCTTCAATGTCGACGCTACGGACGAGGTTTTGGACGGTGTTGGCGCTCGAGATATCTTCGCAGAGAGGAATGACGGCGCAAATTCGAGGAGCAGCATTCTTTCCGTGGAAGACGTTGGTTTGACGATCGTGTTCGGCATCCTTGACCAGGCGCTTTTGCTTGGCCTGATTGCGGCGGTCCAGCTTGGACATCATCTGCTGGTGGGGGGTCTTTCTGGTTCCACGTTCGAAGCCTACTGATTCAACCTTGCCTGTGCGGTGTTAGCGACTGGAAATTTACGAGATGTCTCTTTACATACCCTTGTTCTTGTCCTTGATTGCGCCCTTGCTCATGTGCTTTGACTTGTAGGGCTTGTGCGACTGCTTAGTCGTACTACGATGGTGGTGGTCTCCGGCCGCCATGATGGTGAATGTCCTCGAGCGAAAGGTCCAAGACGGCGTGGATGGTCGCAAAGCAGTTGGGCGGCAATAAATTTTATGCGACTTGCAGAAAGGCGGTCTCCGATAAGGCTTTATCGCGCTCGTCTTGGCGGAGATTTGGCAGTAGCAGCTCGGTAGCGGTTGCCCGCTTTGACCGTCGGCTCGAGCCAAAGTCAAAGGGTCCATCTCACCATGACGTGGACGGTCAACCAAGCATGTGAAAGTCCAAGTCAACAACTTCCTGGCCGACCAACTGCCATCATGACCTTCGCGTTTTCCATCAACCTCTCAACATGGACGACCCTGTGGCCGAGATCCCCTACGTGATCGCTCTCTTGACCGAGACTCCTCCATCCTTACAGTTTGCCGCCGTCAACAAGTACTTTACGCCCAATGCGAGCTTCACCCATCCCTTCTGCCGCACCGGCTCCTCAGCATATTCTCGCTACCTGGTCGAGCGGATATACCGATGGTACAAGATCATGTCTCCGCGTATAACCGCAAAGGTCCACAGCGTTTCTTTCGATGAGAAGAACCTCGTCCTCTACGTCGGCCTCACTCAAGTCTTCGCCATCTGGGCCGTCCCTACCCACCGATCGGAAGTCTCGCTCGTCACCGTCCTACACCTGTCCCCTCAGAAAGACCCAGAGGACGAAGAAAAAATAAAGTACTACATCTCCAGCCAGAACGACCTCTACCAGACGGATCAATTCATCAAGTTCATTCTGCCTTGGATCTCTATCATCGTGCCTATCTGGCAGTTCTTGGCTACAATCTTCTGTGTCATTGGCAGCTATCTGTTCACTCCTGTTACTTGGTGGGAGGAGCACTTCCAAGATCAGTTTACGAGAGCTGAGAGACCTCCCAAGTGGAGCGACGCAAGATGATGATACAATTACGATACACTTACCTTTATTTCATTCGACTATCAAGCTAATACACCTTATTAACATCTCCCATAAATACGATAATCATTTGTTCCTCACACATATCACACTGACAAAGGCACATCGGATTTTTTGGTTAAACACTTTTATTTTGTTGTTGAGTTGACTAACTCCTTATCTCCCTGATACCGAACTCCAGTAGGTGATAGATTCCAAAGCTAAGAGTAAACAGGAGCGAAAAGAGAGGGAGAAAGAACAGAAGACTCACCTGGATCAATTACTTGGGAACGAATGAATCTCTGATCAGAGACCTACCTTCCAAAGACTCGACCAGAACCTTTTTGAGAATTCTAGCGTGGGTACCTAGCGAACCATTGTCAGTCGAGGTGTCTGAAGCACCATCAGTTGAAGCACTACTCGGCGAGTTCTCTTGCGAACCAGCGACACAGCCCATGGGATTAATACTAGGACTACGAAGAATCTCGGGGCGATTGACAGAAACCGATCTAAGTTGTAAAGTCAGCTTGGGACGTTCAATGCGTGGGCGAAAGGGGGTGGCAGATCTCACAGGAGCCCAGACCTCGACAGGTTTAGCCTTTCGAAAGGAGATAGGAGTCGCACTTCTGATGGCAAAGGTCTCGGCGTATGGGGTGGTCGCAAAAGCAGACAGGTCAGTATTACCATCAAGGTACGAATAAGTGCTCATGCGATTAATTCTGGTCTGATCAAAGTCGGGCTCTGAAGCAGTCATGGAGATTGCCGGAGAAACAGGGCTTATCGGTACGCTATCAAAGCAAGCGTTCTGAGCTGAAGGTGAGATGGGTGAGACAGGATCAGAGGGTTCAAAAGGCTGTTTAGGTGGCTGATTGGGAATGAATACAGAAGCACCAGGAGGCAGAGGCTTTCTGCGAATCGGACCACGCACAGGCTGAGGTGGGATATAACCGGAAGCGCCGGGAGGCTGAGGGGTCAGAGAGGGTATGTAAGGAAGAGGCTTGTTGTTGACTCCAGTCTGAATACGTTTGGCAACAGGTCTCTCGAGTGGCGGGCTAGTTCTCGAAATCTGCGGACTTGAATTTCTACGTCTCGGAGGAGTTGGAGCACGACGAGGTGTAGCTGGACTAAAAGAAGGTCGAGGCTCTTGAATGACTTGGATAGTAAGTTGACCACGAACCTGCAGACATCTGATACACCTACAAGAACGACCATGATCATTAGTGTTGGCGTCAAGACGCAAGAAGTTACGGAGTCGAGCGAATCTACTCTTCTTGGGTGGGCGTGTCTGCTGTTGAGGCGATGGAGGAACGTTTTGCGGTCCAGCCGGAATAGTGTTGGCTTCAGTCCAGTAGGCCATGCCTGAGTTGAGAGCGCGAGTGTTGGCTGCAACGGTGGTGTACATGACGGCAAGGCACTGGACTTTGAAAACGTAAGTGTGCTGAAGAGCTACAGGAAGACGAAGCATCGCGCTTTATAGTCCTTCGCAGAAGAATTGTTGTCTTGCTTGATTAAGAAGAAGCGCTTTGTCTTGCTTTTCTGCTACAACACAGTCAACAAAGCATTGTATGTCTCCAACGCATGAGACAATGGATGTAAGATACAGGAGACAAAGAGAACGTTTTGATGCGAAGCTAACAACAATGAGGGCTCTCGTGTCTCTTTGGTGTCCATTGAATGTGCTCTCTTTGGACACGAGTTTTGGTCAGGCAGGATCGTGCATCACCAAGCTCGTACTTCGGTTGTCGATATCATTGTAAGAGGTGTGAAAGTGACCATGGCCACGAAGCACACTAGATGGAAGCTTGCATATGTTCGCTAAATGTTGGCAGGAGCGATAGAGGTAGGTGTCGAATTGAAGAGCCGACGATGTTGCCAAATTCGTCCGAGCAATTACCACCTTCTTGACAACAATGCGACACACACATATTTACCTACGATTCTTGACACGCGTCCTACCTATTATCAATACCAATAAAATTCATCGAAATATCAGCGAACAGACTCCCATCAGCATCTCAGTCAACTCCACCAAACGGTATGCCTCGTCGAAAGTCTCTGTTGATCGGCATCAACTACACTGGGAGTGATAACGAGTTGAACGGATGCCACCAAGATGTCGACAACGTTGCAGAGTTCATCAAATATCGAGGCTATCAGGACACTCCACAGGACCAGGTTGTCCTGCGTGATGACTTGGACCCAGAGTATGCACCGACAGGACACAACATCCTGGCAGCCATGGACTGGCTCGTCAGTGAAGAACATACAACATGCTTCTTCCACTATTCAGGTCACGGCGGCCAGATCGACGACCCTAATGGAAAGCGTCCGTCAGGCCTGCTTGATACCATCGTACCCGTTAATTACAAGGACAATGGCATGATTGATTCGGATGTGCTCCATAAACATCTCGTGTCCAAGTTGCCACCGACAAGTACTCTGTTCCTCATCCTCGACTGCTGCCACTCTGGCTCAACTCTGGAGTTACCATATGTCTATCGAAGCGATGACGACGGCAACGTCCACAAGCTCGACGGCTACCACGCCGGACTTGCCCTCCTCCAAGAAGCAAAAGAATTGTTCACTGGTAGCTCCAGTGCCGACAAAGAAGCTCAGGCTCGAGATCTTTACGCCGGAGCCACTTCGTTCATGCGCAGTCTGAGGCACAATCGGCAGTTGACAGGCCTAAAACCAGACGATTTCACTCAAGAATAGGGAAATGAGAGAAAGACCATCACAATGTTCTCTGGTTGCAGGGATGAGGNNGAGACCAGTGGCGATGCCCAGATCAATGGTGTCAGTGAAGGTGAGTTGAACATGCCTGTCCACGCGTGATGGACGCCTTGTCTTACTTGTCCCTACGATTAGNGTGCCATGAGCTGGGCCTTCCTAGAGTCTACCAAAGCCAATCCGGATCCGACTTACAAAGAGGTGTGTCGGAGCGAATATCGCTGTTTTGCCTCGATTGACATTGTGTAGGCTTTGCACATGACCCGTGGCTTGCTCAAAGCGTCTGAGTACACTCAGGTAAGAGTCCTATTTTTCCCATCAAGGCTACACGCTGACAACTCACAAGNNGTTCCTCAGCTTTGTGTTGGACGTGAGCTGGATTTGGACCAGCCATTGATCCTTTGATACTCCCGACCATAGCAACACCACATGAGAGCAATTCCATACCATCAAAACTAGTTGCTTACTATGCAACCACGGCTCCTTAGCGACTTGCGAGTAAGGCTGGATCTGTATTACGGGTAAGCTCGTTTTGACGTAACGATAGGGTTGGCGCTCGGGAACTAAGCTTCACAGTCTGCTCCCGGTCCCGTTGCTTACTCTCGAGACATTCTACTCCTTAGTTTGAGAGATGCTCGAAGCTCTGGATCCCGACGAGACATACCTCTTACGTGCACCGTGGTCATGACTGAGTCATCAGAATGTGACGATTGCAGGGTGATTTCATGTCATCGATGATGGGATGTCTGCTACTGTATGCTGTGAGGATACTGGCTGGTCGAGTTATTCACTTTTACCTACCTGATATGCCTTACCTACGTTATCGTGGATTGTGCAAGACAGCCACCGTCATTCATATCCCTGTTTCTGTGCCGAAGTAAAACTCGTTTGAGTGCTGTGTCATGCCAGGATTCTTTTTACCAAATGCATTCAAAGGTGAGGTATACCACTAATTGAGTCAAGAAAATAGGTGGCCATACTGATTTTACTGTTACAGCGAGAAACACGGAAGACAGAGAAACCGATGTACTTCGAGATGTTGCTTACTGAACCAGCATCGTCTGTTCGCTAGAATCAGTTTCAGTGTGATCCCTCAAAATTGACGTACTGAATCAGATCTTCATTGAGACCGTGACGGAAACTCATCAGTCTTTGTTCCTTTGTACATTTTCTTTGACAAAGCTGCATTGTTCCTATCATAGGACTACAACGCTTTCATGATGGTTTCTTTGTCTCTTTGTTCGACCCGATGAAGTGATAACCACTGCTAACTTCGCCCAACTCGCCTATAGACCGATCAGAAGTTCTAATACTGGGTGCCAAAGTATAAAAACGACTTACTGAACGAATATTTAGGCAATCATTGAACTCCTCAGCCTTCTTCCACCCATATCATCGACCAGTAAGCATTATCAACAGTCAACAAGATGAAGGGCGACACTCTCTCTGTCTTCATTGAGGCTAACCGCTTCCCTCCAGCTATCAATCAGACTCGCTACTCTATCCTCAGAGCTGAGGCTGATGCTGTTGCTGAGCGAATGTTGATCATCGCCAGCAGCAATATCGACAAGGCTTCTAGAGCTTCACACTCGTACGGAACCCCTCATATGAACAGATTGTCTGGTCACTCTGTCTATGAGCTCGAAGCTAATGAGATCTCTGCTGCCGACCAGTCTCCTTCGTCCTCGATCGAGCCGCCTGTTTTGCCCAGAATAAGCGTCATGAGTGCTTTCAACCCATTCGATGAGCCTGTATCATCACCACCAAGTCCCATTCCGGATATGCTTAAGCCTACGTTCGAGACTGACTCATTAACTACGGCTTCTTCGTCCCCTTCTCAGCCACCGACTAACTATCTGCCTTTCATTGCTCCCACAGCACCGTTCGATCCTTACAAGGGAAGGTATCAAGATCATCCTGCTGGACCTTATGGTGCTCAGAAGTTCAAGAACAGACAGACGATGAGCTCTGCACCTTTTGGTTTTGAAAGACCGGTCACACCTAGCTTTTCTGATGAGAGTTCTTCAAACTTTGCACAATGGTCTGATGCAAGTTCGTCTGATTCATCTGAAATCCCTGTTGCTGATGATGAATGTTCTTCTTCAAGTCAGACTTCTTACTCACCCNCCAGAACACCTCTCTTTAGACCCTTTAAGATCCCTCGCAAACCGCTGCCCCCTGGTGCAAAGCCCTTTCCTCCCATCTCCTATACACCTCCTGGTTCACCAATTCGTCATGACTCACTTCGAAACAGCAATACTGCCCCTGAGTTTGTAAGCCCTGTTCCTGAATACTCAGACCGCACGCTGTTGAGCACGACCNTAACTGGCCCTCCTCCCAGCAATCGCAGTGTTGAAAGAAAGCCAGGGCCAAACCTCCACAAGCCTTTACCTCCTTCCCCTGCTCCTCTCGTCAACATGTCTCAACGCCAGCGCCCTGCACCTTTGACTCAGCGCGGTGGCTGGGAGCAGGAGGAGCGTAGGCTTTCAAGGCCTTCCGGTTATGGTATGCAATCAAGCCCTTCGCGCAGTCCCGAGATCATACCCAGACCTGTTACTGCTGCTGACCGTGTGCGTAGCGATTTGAGAGATGTCAAGGATAGATTCTTGGACAAGTGGTTCAAGCTCAGACGTTTTTGAAGTTCTTGAGTTAATGATCTAGGCAGGAGCTTGGGAGTTCGATGACGAGTTTTCGCTAGAGTTGTAATGTTCGAATGTTTCGTAGGTTTGGCGTTGACTTGTTTGGTCTATCTACTCCTCACTTTGTTGGCGTTATGGAAATAAAAACAGATGTTGTCCCATCTCACCTCAGTCTCACGATTCTCATGATCGTATTGACCTCGTATATTTATCTGTTTCACTGCTGCTGTGATTGCTTCTTGTGACTGCATGTACCCTCTCCATGACCCAGAGACCGTCAAAACATGACTGTAGAAATGTATAATGATTTCCTATAGCGTGTGGCCTCCACAGAGAAAACTCATCTGAAGCCATCTTCATGGCCAGACTCAATCCTGAATCACGACTGTGCATCTCAAGAGCGTACCAAAACCCTTGTACTCCTGAGAGGGAAAGGGATAATCGCAAGATCGTAACAGTCCTTAGCACACAAGGAGGGCATACTTTGTGTATACAGAAATTTTATGGTAGCACCAGTATACATCACAGCCTGACCCGCCTTTTTCTCAATTGTAACAAAAGTACAGCGCAGAGCAACACACTGGCGGTAACAAGCATCCCACCCACCAACGTGACAGCATATGTCTTGTTCGGAGTGTAGCCGACCTCAAGGCCAGAGGCAAGGTACGTTCGAGTAGGCTGAAGATTTCTGGCCACTACCTTCTTCGACGTCGAACTTGGTTGATTTAAAGGTTCGGCACTTTGAAGCGTGCTGCCAATGAAGACGACAAGTACAGCCTCGTATGCAGCCGTTGCTGCAAAAATATCGTATCTTCGTGCGTTCGTCAACCAGAGAACGGAGAATGCAAAGCCCATTGTTAGAAAGCCGAGTAAGCACAAGCGGCCAGTATTCGACTTCCAGCAATAAAGGCCGACTATACCACCAACGAGCCAGACTACCACAAGACAGACACTGAAGCTAGTGAGGATCTTGTTCAGCCGCTTCCACTTAGACAGGCTGATTATGCCAGTCTTTTCATCCTTTACCCAAGCTCGCAATAGATGTGTCCTTTCGACCAGACGGGAAATGACATCTGTTTCCACTCGCGGCCCCATGGTGCAGAGGTCCATTCGATTCTCGTCGCAAAGATGCCGTGACATGGCTCCTTGTATAATAGCATCTGATTCAGCCTTGTCTTGCCAATCATCCCAAGCGGATTCCTTGACGGGCTGCACGAAGATACGTCCATTCGTTTCAATGTCACCATCCTCAGGCCTTTCAATAGCAAGTATCTCGGTCGTCAACTTCAAAGTCTCNGTCTACAAATGTAATCAGCAAGGGAAGGTGTCGAATCATGATGCCATCCGCTTACGATACTCTTTCACCTTTACTCTGACTTTNTTGATCAGCCGCATCCGTGCTATCATCAATTCTTGTGTCCTAGCTTCCTCTTTGGAAACGTTCTCACTAGTATATTCTTCTGCGTACTCAGCCTCAGCCTTGAGTATAGTCCAGTCTTCTAGATGGTTGATCATCGTTTCTGGAATCATCTCCTGATCCAGTGTTTCAACCTCGCTTTCCAATGCTGCTAATTCGCTTTCCAGGTAAAGCAAATTCCGTATAGCGAGACGGTCGAACCTTCGGAAGATGGTTGTAGTTCGTAGCGGGTCCGAGGAAATGAAATCCGAGAACAATCTATAGCCATCGGCTTTTCTCGCCGCCACCAGTCGTTGACCGATAGGCGTTTGTGTCCCAGATGCAATGCCTGGCGTTGGCGGAGAGCTTACGCCAGGCATGGGGGACATCGGTCGGAGTTCTGTGGTGGATGTCATGTTGTTCAGACTCAGTGGAGGCAGAGGGTATGTTTGTGCAATGCAGAGAAGAGACTATGCGATCCGACATCGAGCGTGAAGGACGAACTCCTCGAGTACAAAAGGCAGAGATTAGGCGCAGAATTGAGGCATCATCATATGCCTCCCCCTGCATGATATCGAAGAATAATATGGGTATATCGTAAACGCATGAAACACCATCATTTTCGTGCATGCACGCTCGCAGGCGGGTATACAGAGGGGGAGTTGAGGCACTAGTCAATTCGAGAGGCTCGGCGGCTAATTTCATGCAGTTCAATGCAGCTCGTCGTCGCTGTCACATCTCGTCATACTCATCACGCGCCAACCTCGTCGTCGCTGTCCTCGCTGCATTCGCACGTCCCGCTTAGCGATACAACTCGCTCTTCGCGATGGGTTACCGACGGCTGTGTTCAGTGCTCCTCAAGCATGCACAGTCAAAGGCTTCGAGGCGCGATCACGGCATGACACGAAGGCTGTCTGCAGGACATTAGTAAGCCGTATCACACATGCGGCCTCGAGAGAAAAACATGGTCCTCGAGCATGTCGGTGTTCAAGCAAGTGGCCAAGCATCAAACACATGCTTGACGAGCACGTGACTGCGACAGAACCAATTGCAATGCTCTTAACAGGTCGTAACGGTGTGAGCTTGTAAACGCCTAAGGCAAGTATGAAGAATTCCGAAACGAAAAATAGTCGATGGCTGCGTCTTCGGTATTGACCCCTACGAGGTCTACCGATCCTTCCCGTGAACGAAAACATTGCTTCGCATGTTGACGCAGCATGTACTTTCTAATTCGGGCTGCGTAGTCGATGCAGTCAAAAATAGCCGCTGCGATCAAAACCACGTTAGGCAAGGCTGTGACTCCCTAGATTGATTGGTCGGCTGCGTGCATGCACAGAATGCAGCCCCATCGGCCTATCGATACTACTGGTCGACGTCAGTGATAATGTCGCAGCAAAGAACGCCTAACAACTACTTAGGACTTGATGCAGAATCTCGAGAAAATGAAATCTTGTCAGCATCTCGAGAGAGAAATGTTCGAATTCGCGAAGAAACGACGTCAAGCGGACTCAGAACAAGCAAGACTGAAGTTGGCCAAGAAGGAAGCGCGATCGCGAATTCGACAGTTCGAGGAACAACGACAAAATCAAGACATCGACATCCGTACTCCAAAGAGATCTGCAGAAGTCGCCGAGAGAGACTCAGCTGTATTCTTCTCTGATGACTTGAGAAGTGTTGCCAGTAACACAGAAACAATCGCCAAAATCGTGTCCAAATGGAGAGCAAGAGCTCGTTGGTCGAAAGCGCTCCAGAAAGTCAGGAGTATGAGCTCAGGAAGCTCGAATATATCTCCTTCAGGACAACCTACTCGAATGCAACCCGATTTGTTGTGTCCAAACACTCCAACAAGGACTCGCGCGTCGTCGACCAGTTCGTTGATGAGCCCGCGAAATTCGGATACTTCTCTTCTAAAGCATCATTCGAATGATCTGCTGTCACCATTTGCTCCAAGCAGAGCACGCGCTTCGTCGACTGATTCTGTCAGGCTGATAGTGACGTGATGGGAGGGAGATGTGGCCTGATACTGTAAATAAGTTGATACGATAATCCTTGTGGCAGACCAAGTCATGCTCTTCAGACCCACAAGCTAACGTATGTCATCTTGCTCAACAATTTTGCAGCGGGACAATATCCTGCTGATTTTCGGGTCGCGATCTTGAAGTTCAGAAGTCAGACGCGGGACTTCGCAACAAGGCTATGAATATACAGCTTAGTCAGCAAATCTCTGACTCCCATTGTACTTGACCACGACATGACATGTGCTAAAGACCGTCACAGTGTAAATACAGACATGGAGGAATACTTTCGCAAAGAACGTAGTCCCCAGAGAGGACCCTGTCCATGACTATCACTCTGGCCAGACTCATGTTCAGAAGTACCTCCTCTTCAGCAAGTCTCCCATTGCACGTGTGACTTGGTTCGCACCTTCCCATTGTCAACAAATGAAGAGTCATAGTATGTACAGCACAATGAACGAAACCTTGCACTCAAAAGACGGTTGTCATTGCAATCATGACACCCTAGTACTAAGGGTGGATGGAATAAGGCTAACTTACAGCAACGGCGTAGACCATTGTATAAACACACCCAAGCTTCCTCACCGACCAAACTCCAAGCTGGGGATGATGACAGGACCGTACTTAACAGGTGCCGCATAAGCACCCTCGTTCTGCACCATGAAATCAGCAGCAAGACTGAGACGGCTCGAGCCTTTGCTGCCAGGTACGACAGATCCGTGAGATCCACGTACGACCTCAGGATCATAAGCGACCATAGCAACATAGTTTCTGCGTCCCATGAGACGTTTCATTTCACGAGGAGCGCCATTGACATCTGCCACAAAGATCTCCATCATATCTTCTTTTGTATCGGTCGATTGTACGGGTTGGTGTGGTCCTGCACTGCGCTGTCCATTCTGAGGTATGTATATTGGTTGCTTAGGGTTACTGTTGAGCAAGCGGAGAACGTAAGATGGCGGAGGTGCATTAACGATTGACGATGTAATCAGTTGGTACATCGTTTTATGGTCTCCAGGATGTGAGGGATCATGGACAAGACCAGCACCACAGGCATTGACGCTACCTGATAAGAAGGTCATGCGCAGCGACTTGTTGTGCGCGATACCTTGCAGAGTACGAATCAAGTACGTGCGTTCAAGGTCCNNTGTTGCATGTTGTTAGCGTCGTGCAAAAGCCGTCAGAATGAGATCAACTACCTTTGATTCATGCGTCCACATATCTCGCAGCTCATCAAGCATATCGATATCTCCGAAGGGACTGAGCACACTACTCATCAGACCCGACTTGCCAACAGCCTTTTTGATTGAGCTGAAGCCGTCACCAACGACGCCCTTAGCGCCGACCACGCCAGCAACGGAGCTCGTCATCCGACCTAGCATGTTAAACGTGCCGGTGACGGCTTTNTTGCCCGTTGCCATAGTATGCGCTATGTGCTCCGCGGTCTCAAGTCTCGGATAAAGTAGAGGCACTGGAATCATCCAAATACAGTGCTGCACACTAGGCGGCAAAAGAGCAACCTTTGGGAACAGTCCTTGGTAGGTAGGGCCAGCCATGACTTTACCTGATTCTCTTTCGGAGCGAGTGTCTGGACCCACGACAACTACTGCTGGACCGAGATACTTGACAAAGTGCCAGCCATTACCTGTGATACTGAAGAGATCCAGATCGCCTGAAACGTTGCGAAGGATCTCGTGCGTCGTATGATGTTGAAAGAGAAGATACATGTCGATACCGATGCGACCGATGTTTTTGAACATGTTGGAGTGTTGCATGTAATCAGGGTAAGAGCCATAGCCATCGAANACTAGTAAAGGTCAGTCACTGTGTCCTGGACGAGACCAAGCCACTTACATATCGTTATCGTCAAGCGTCAGAACGTGAGGTATTTGTGCGAAAGCTTCTCGCACATGAGGCTGGTCAAAATGGCTTGAGTAATAATGGAAGTAGGCATGCGACACATCGTCCTCTAACTTCGCAGTCCAGGCTTCGTTCTTACGGTTCTCTTTACCGCTCATGGCAGTCCATTGCCTGAGAGCAGGAACCTCNTTCCAAAGACGATCGCCAAAGATCTGACCACCAAGGCCGAGCTGAGCATGGAAACCACCACACTCGACATGCTTTTGCAAAACGTCTTTCCACATAAGGCCAATGCCCCCAAGCTTAGCCCTTTCGTTAGCACTGACGTTTAGTGCAAAGTCATTACCGGAATGAGAAATGAAGCGCCAGCTCGTCTCATAGCGTCCAGCGACAAGGAACTCGTATCTGGTACATCCAAGGTGTGATGTGATTGCGTACGTCCATTTAGTGTCTTGCTCGTCCATAATCAGGTCGATATCGTAGCGATAGAACGTCCAACGTTGGTGTTGATAGATTGGGTTCGCCTTCAATTGACGAGCTNNGTTTCAAATCAGCAAATATCGGCATAAATATTAGTACAACTCACGATTAGGAGACAAGTCTGTGCTCTGGTGGATATGGATGGTTGGGGGTTGAGGCACATCTGTGATCAAGAGGATGGAGCCGAGCCAGAGACCTCGCTCCAGATCTATATTCGTATAACGCAAGTACGGGCCGAAGTAGACGCCATTCGTAGGTGCGACCTTGTACATGTCTACACCCGCGGATGGTGGCGGTCCAGTAAAGCCCGCCACTGTAGGACTTGCGAGATTGTTCATGCTCAGCATGCTATCGCGGTGGTAAGAAGCGTTTTGTGGAGCGGAACCTGGAGATGCCAGAGGCTGCGAAAATCCTCCCAGAGCTGGAGAAGCCATCGAGTTTGCGAATGTACCAGTCGGCGAAAGTGGTTCCTGGAGACTCAAGGGAGTTGGACCTTTAGGAAACTCCCACTGTGTCGATTGGGTTGGTAAATGAATGTAGTAATATTGACCCGAGTTCTGGTCTAAATGAGCTATCCATCCTTCAGGTAGAGGTGGAGGAGATGCCGGTGTTATGCTTGGTCCCGGACTTGGAGACATGACCTGAATGGGTGCTAGAGTGCCAGGTTGAGTGGAGGTGACAGGCTGCTGCACGGCTTGTTGTACGATAGGTTGGCCTGCATCGTTGGCAAAGGCAGGGTGTCTACGAAGATTCGGGTCTTGCGAAGAAGTGGAGCTAGGCACGGAAGCATTACTCAAACGCTTCTCATTCGGATAACCCTGAGGAGTCGCTCCAGAGAACAATCTCTGCTGAGACACGCTCGAATATGCTGGTGGCGGCTCATCTGCCATCTGCAACCGCTGCATATCCTGCTCCAGAGGATGCGTCTGAGGAGAGAAGGACAGGCGTGAGCCAGGCTGGTTGTTTTGGGGCGATTGTAGATACTGAGTAGGTTGAGCGATCTGGGCAGGAGAAGAGGATTGAGTGATAGGAACCCCAAATTGTGGAACAGGTGGTGTCACGAATTGCTGGGCAGGCTGAGCAGGGGAGATCTGGTATCCGCGGTTCTGAGTAGGCTGAGGGGGACTTTGATAAGCGGCAATGGTAGGGCTCTGGTAGTTCGTCGCAGAAGGGACCTCAGTATCGCCCTGAAAGGCAACTGGAGGCCCATGTGGATAGCTGCCGGGTTGTTCAGTTGGTGTCCAAGGCCGAGGGACTTCTATTGGTTGTTGCGATGGCGACATGGTCGAAGGGCGAGCAATAGGATTGGCATATTGATTGGCACGAGAGGCCGCAGCGTTCTGAGCGTAGGGATATCCGGTCTCAAAGCCTCCTGCTGGCTTTCCAAGTACAGGTGTCTCTGGTGGTGGAGGGGAACCTCTCTGTGCGCGAGTCGTAGACGTGGAGGCAGTCGAACTCAGTCGATTTACCCCGGCGTTAGGAGGTTGAAGCGTAGCAGCTGCTGGAGGTGGATAGTACTGCTGNGTATGTTGACTGAGCTATCCCTTCATCACCTGCAGGCACTGCCGGGGCGGTAGATTTGGGTGGAGGCTTCTGGAACAAGCCATCATCGTCGTCGTTCACCTCTTCTTTCCTGGCACTTCTGGAGCAAGCTTGTTTCTGTCTCCCGCAACTCCTGGAGTAAGAGAGGGTGGAGGAGTGCCAGCGTAGCCAGATATGGTAGGACGATTCGGATCACTCGCACCAAATTTGGCACGAGTCGAAGATTGACGGCGCATGCCTGATGAGTTTACTTCGGGGGTTCCTAGACGTTGTGCGCCGGCAGCAGCATGCAAAGAACGAAAGTGATCATCAGGGTATGGAGGACTGGTGCGTCTGGCCTGCGATGTGCCGTCGACCTCGGCTTCTTCTGATGATGTCCTCGAGGGAGTCGAGGTGGTTGAGGCTGTAGAAGTCGAATGGTTTACTTTGTGAATGCGCAAAGGACCTACAGTTGGGGTTTCTGGTTCGGGAGTCCTAGAGTTGTGGGAATAGAAGTCGGCAGGTCTTNNTTGGGAACTATGGGCGCCGTCCATGATGTCGGTTTTCTTCGCGCGACGAGGAGGGGGTTGGTATGAGCGGTGAGGCTGGTTCGCGCAGTGGGGCACAATTAAAAGAGTTGGACGATCATGGTGACTGGGCAAGGAAAGAGTAGACAGTTGATGGGCGTGTTCGTAGCCTACCTGAGTGCGTAGTCCTGTGGAGCGCGATGCTTACGGAAGGTGGACAGGCGCAACCAAGCTGCAAGATCAGGCTAGAGAGGAGCGTAAGCGCTGCCAACTTGCTAGTGACGTGGGAATGCATTCGCGGCGGCGGCAATCATTGGTCGCCGGCCCCGTGATTGGTCTCCAATGCGCCCATGGTGCTACAGGGGCAGCAGTGCCAACCTCAATAGATTGATTGGAGTCCATGTCTGCGTCTAGGACCTCGAGCTCTGCCTGTGAAGCCTCCACAGTGAAGTGAGCTTGCTGCGGGGCTGCCAGTGTTTCAAAAAGAAGGCAGCGGCCTCGGGATCAAACGTCTTCCTTGGCACACGCATGTGTCAACTCTCCTATGTAGGTAACTTTGCTGTTCTGTCCTCACAAGACACATTCCATCTCGGAAATACTCTTTGCGACCATGGATTTCCTGAGCCGTCTGGCCGGATGGCTTGATCGCCCCGGCTTCCCCTGGAAGTCGCTCATCATCTCTTTCAGCTTGGGCGAATATCTTCTGGAAAACTGGCTGGCATTCCGTCAGTATCGCGTGCTGCAAGGAACAAAGGTGCCCAAGCAGCTGCAAAACGAAGTCGACCAAGCCACTTTCGACAAGAGTCAGGTATGCTCCATATACTTGCTCGTGTGTCTTTTGTCTTCTCTAACTCGTATCTTCTAGGCCTACGGTCGTGCAAAAGCCAAGTATGGCTTCGTCTCTGGTGTCATCTCTCAGCTCAAGTCTCTCGCCGTCATCCGCTATGATTTCTATCCCAGATTCTGGGCTCTTACTGGTCTCGCTCTCACTCGCTATCTTCCTGCTAGCTGCCAAGGAGAAATCGCTCATTCGCTGCTCTTCGTCTTTGCCTCATCCTTCATCGAGACAATCCTTAGTCTGCCGCTCTCATACTACCACCACTTCGTTCTCGAAGAGAAGTTCGGCTTTAACAAGCAGACCATCGGTCTGTGGGTGTCTGACTTGCTCAAGGGACAAGCACTCTCTGTGGCCTTTGGTGTACCTCTCGGCTGGGCTTTCTTGAAGATCATTCAAAAGACTGGTGACAAGTTCTTCTACTACCTATGGTTGTTCGCTCTCGGTGTCCAGCTCTTCGCCATCACCATCTACCCCATCGTCATCGTTCCTCTGTTCAACAAGCTTACCCCTCTCGAACCTGGCCCGCTTAAAGATGCCGTCGAAGCTCTTGCCCAACGCCTCAACTTCCCTCTTTCCGAACTACAAGTCATCGATGGCAGCAAGCGCAGTGCTCACAGCAATGCCTACTTCACTGGTCTGCCCTGGAAGAAGAAGATTGTCATCTACGACACGCTGATCGAGAAGTCTGACACCAAGGAGATTGAGGCCGTGCTTGCCCACGAGTTGGGTCACTGGAAGATGGGACACACGACCAAGTTGCTCCTCATTTCGCAGGTTCACTTGTTCTACATGTTCGCTCTGTTCTCCGTCTTCATCAACAACCAGTCGCTGTACAACGCATTCGGCTTCACTCGCGAGAGACCGATCATGATTGGCTTCATCCTTTTCAACGAGGTTCTGGCACCTACGGATTCTGTCATCAAGCTTCTCATGAATATCATGACTAGAAGAATGGAGTTCGAAGCTGGTATGTTACATGAGTGCATGGTTATGTAGATCTATGCTGACGCGCTTTCTTTAGACAACTTCTCGCTCAAGCTCGGTTACTCGGCGGAGCTGGCCAGCTCCNTGATCAAACTCCAGATCCAAAACCTGTCGAGCATGGATGCCGACTGGATGTACTCCAGCTTCCACTACTCACACCCAATCCTTACGGAGCGCCTAAAGGCCGTTGGCTGGACCAGCGAANAGAAAGTATCCCAGGAAAAGGAGGAGGTGAAGGATGAGAAGACGGGCGAAGCCACGGGTCGTGAGCTGTAGTACAGCTGTGTCGTAAATAAAATCGTGTCTAGGGCGTAAGCGCCCCTTTGAAGATGACCTCCCTTCTCAGCAGTGCGTGGTTAAGCGGCAGTACTCGTGCTTGCTGACAAAGTGAAGAGCCTATGGTTGGTTGTTGTAGGTGATTGAGTGCTTGAATCAACCCTCTGCTCTGTTCTTGGCAGCCTTCTCTCTTGCGGCGGCCTTCTTCTTGTTCTTCTTTGCTTCCTTTCTGGCTTCTTTCTCAGCCTTTGACAGACCAACACCGGCGTATGCTTCGTCGTCAAGATCCATGGCGTCCGCGTCGAGGCTGGCGTGAGCATGACTAGTGTCTCTGTCGCCGACCTCGCCCTCGACGATTTCTTGGTTGCGGGCATAAGTCTCGGGGTCCTCTCCTTCGTCCTCGAATTTCTTCAGAGCGCCCTTCTTCAAACCACCATCCAGAGTAGACTGGTATCCAGCAGAGAGGGTGTCGAGGTTGGTATCATCACCTTCGGGCAGGTCGAAGATGTCATCGGGTTCAGGAGCAAGAGTCTCGCCATTCAAGCCCTTCTCGATACGACGCAGGTGGTGCATAATGATTCCTCCTTGCGGACCGCCGTTGGTCGAGTATTTGATCTCATCGGGAGTGATGCGGGCATCGGGGTGGAGCCAAGGAGTGGATTCGGAAGCAGCAATGAACTTGCTTAGCGATACGAGAGCATCTTCGGGAGAGATGCGAGTCGAAGGGTGTGAGCGATGCGGCGGGTAAGGAGTAGTGGACGCCATGTTGTGTGAATGCAATTGCAAGATGCAAGCAGTTGCGGAGCGGAATTGGATTTGCGAAAGTCGAGAAAAATGTCCGTGGTCCGAGCGTCGTTTGTACAGCAGCAGCCGGCGACGATGGTGCTCGCAGGACACTGACGAGATCCGCTACACATTTGCATTCACATCTCGCAGTCTGTCGCCCGTCATGCTGCTCCTACGCTGCACACGGCATATTGCCCAAGCGCGCTCGTCGCTCAGTCTCGCCTCGACCACATCGCTGCTACAGTCTACTCTTCGCCCTCTGGCCGCATCCCAACCCGCACAATCGCAAGTCTCCCATTCTATGCCTCACGCTGCAATANTACTAACTGTCCATCACAGTCGCACATTCTCGCTGCTATCAGCCAGACGTCCGACACTTCCCACCACACCGACCTCGACATTGTCGCTGAACACGACCCTCGAGCTCCCAACTCTGCCAGCTGCTTCCACCACACTCACCCTTCTGCAGGCCAGAGGCCCCAAGAGAGACACATACGACCCCTCGCACCGCGTGAGAAAGCGAAGAAGTGGTTTCCTTGCTCGTATCCGCACGAGAAACGGTCGCAACCTGATCAAGAGAAGACTTTTGAAGAAGAGAAGCACTCTCAGCCATTGATCTGCGCCTTTGTATTCTCTCAGACACATGTACAAAATCACAAAAGGAGGTTTCATTGTAAACAAGAGCTCTGGCATCAGCACCATCACATCTGGTTGATGTGTGATCAGCAGAGGAAGCATGGTTAATGGCGTTCAATATCTACATGTATCAATACGATTTATTCCCATTGTCCAGCAGACCGCATGCATATTGAACTTCTCTGTGTTGCTCTGGCACCATGTCTCGCAGATTATGATCTAAAACAGAAATAGAATGAGTGGTTCGAACGTGCAAGGCTCAAGTCTTACAATTAGTCACCTTAGAGTCTCATCACTCAAATGTTGTGAACGTCTGGTTCTTCATCCAGGCTAGATACGCATAGCAGACATCCAAGTTTCCATGTCTCAAAAGATTCATTCAACCACGCATGTACTCTATTCTTGGGCATCCACGATTAGTACAAGTCACGTTCTGTAGAATGACCCCGGCGTCAGCCGACGTTCGAAAGCCATTGTTGGTTTATTTCCTGGTTATGATACTTGTATGCCTATCTACCTTAACTTCTTACAATAATATCGACATCGACTTGCATTAGGAGTTTCTTGGGTGCAAAGCATGCGGCATGACAATCCGTGTGTTGTTGAGGGACCATCCTCATCGCGCTGTTGCACTAGCCACTGATGACCACATCTTAACCTTCCGCCATAGTCCCTCCACTGCTGGCGCCTCTTCGCTTTCCGTCAACTCCACCCAAAGTGCAACCTTGCAGCCAAGATGTATGGTCGAGTTTGCTCGTACTGCAGATACTGACACAACCGACTTTCGATCGTTGACTTCGCTCTCGGTATTCGGAACTCTCGGCTTGATCACCATCAATGGCGATATTTTTCTGTGTGTCGTCAATGGAGCCCAGAGAGCGGCTACAGTAAGAAATGGCGAGAATGTCCTGAAGATCACATCTGTTGAATTCCGTAAGTTTCGTGGTCTTGGCTCTTGCTGAGATCAGTACTCACAAAGTCCAGACTGCATAAACAAGTCCGATTATGACTATCTAATTCTGGATCGCATAAACAACTTCTCGACAGACGAGATCGATGAAGATGGCTTCGATCATCACCATGCCAGGGATCCTGCTATGGAACATCCTTGTATGGCTATGAAGAAACTCCTCAGTGGAGGCAGTTTCTACTACAGCGCCGACTTTGATCTCACGAGACGTCTTCAAGACAGGTATTTCAACTGATATCTCGGTGAACAACACCAGGCTGACTTGCGGTNNAGATCGTCATTATCAGCAACGGTTGCAATCGACAGTCTTGATGCAGGTTTCCTCTGGAATTCATACATGATCCAACCACTGGTCAGCTTCCGCTCAAGACTATCAGAGCGTGAGAAGAAAGAGTTAGATGCTTCTCGCATGTTGACGTCTGCCATACGCGGATTTGCTATGACACTGACAGTCCCACCTGCTTCGTCACCAATTAGCCATGCTTCTTCAGGGTTTCCATCTACACTGACCTTACTGTCTCGTCTGTCTTGTCGTAGAGCCGGTACTCGTTTCAATGCTCGAGGTATTGACGATGATGGCAATGTTGCCAACTTTGTCGAGACCGAGGTCATATTCTCTACACCTTCAGGCATGAGCTTTTCCTATGTTCAAGTACGAGGCAGCATTCCGCTGTTCTGGGAACAAGCAGCAGGTTTCACTCCCGGACAACAGAAAATCCAGCTCACGCGATCTGCTGAAGCCTCTCAGCCTGCATTCGATAAACACATGTCTGATCTGGAAATCAACTATGGCAACATCCACGTAGTCAATCTGCTCAGTAATGAGAAACCTGGCGAACTGGAGCTGAGTCGCAGATATCAATACCATGTCCGCAACAGCCCTCTAAACCTGCCATCAGGTGAGCCTGGAGAGAAAGAGGTTGAGGACCACGAACTTATCAAGGAGACCGACTACGATTTCCATGCCGAGACTCGTGCACTTGGATACGAAGCGGCCAAAGGGATCAGACGTTACATCCAGGACTCGATCGAGAACTTCGCTTACTTTCTCTCGGAAGAAGTGGATGATGAGCCAAAGAACACCAACGGCAGACCACAATCACTCATGCGAAGGAACATGAACATCCTACAGCAGGAAGGCATATTCCGCACTAATTGTCTGGACTGTTTGGACAGAACAAATCTCATCCAGACTCTTATCAGTCAAATGGCTATTCAAGAATTCTTGAACCAACGAGGTGAAAGAACAGCGACCAATGACTTTTGGGTCAGACACGGCACGCTCTGGGCTGACAACGGTGATGCTTTATCACGAATCTATGCAGGCACTGGAGCACTAAAATCCTCATTCACGAGACACGGAAAGTCGTCTCTCGCAGGTGCGTTTGCGGACTTCCGAAAGAGTGCAACTCGACTGTATATCAACAACTTCGAGGACAAAGGCAGACAGAATACCATCGACATGCTTTTGGGTCGTTTGGTTGAGCAAGTCCCTGTTCATCTCTTCGATCCAATCAATGATTGGGTTTCTGCAGAACTCACCAAGAGGACAAATGAGTACTCGGCGTGCGATAACATCAACATTTATGTTGGCACGTTCAATCTTAATGGCAAGACTAGAGGTTTGTCTGAGGATCTTTCTCCTTGGCTCTGCCCGCCTGTTGATCTCTCTCAACAACAGCCCGAGATTGTGGCTGTAGGCTTCCAAGAGATTGTCGACCTTAGTCCTCAACAGATCATGTCCACTGATCCGCATAGAAGACAAGCATGGGAAGAAGCAGTCAAGTCGACCTTGAACGAGCATGCTCAAACTTTAGGATCGGAAGAATATGTCATGCTCAGAGGTGGGCAGCTTGTCGGATGCTCTCTGTCCGTGTTTGTCAAAGCGAGCATTCTACCATATATCAAGAACGTCGAAGGTGCTCTGAAGAAGACAGGTATGTCAGGTATGGCAGGCAACAAGGGTGCTGTGGCTATTCGCATGGAGTACGCCAATACATCAATTTGCTTGGTCACTGCACATTTAGCAGCAGGATTCGCCAACTACGAGGAGCGTAACCAAGACTATCGAACCATCAGTCATGGACTCCGGTTTGCCAGGAACCGATCAATTGAAGACCATGACACCATCATCTGGCTGGGTGATTTCAATTACCGCATCGGTATGGCCAATGAGAAGACGAGACAGCTCGTTAAGATGGGCGACCTCGAGAAACTCTATGAAAACGATCAGGTAAAGTACGATGTCGCGAACTGAATGTTCATTACACTAATCGAATACNAGCTCAACCTTCAAATGGTTCATGGCAAAACCTTCCCATACTATAACGAGGCCAGAATCACCTTCCTGCCGACATACAAGTACGATGTCGGCACAGATGAGTATGACAGCAGCGACAAAGCGCGTATCCCTGCATGGTGCGATCGTGTCTTGACCAAAGGACACAATCTGCGTCAAATCCATTACAACACTGCGCCTTTGAAATTCTCAGATCATCGACCTGTCTATGCTACCTTCCAATGTACCATCACAGTCATTGACGAGAAGAAGAAACAAGAAATCAGCGAAGGGTTGTACAAACAAAGACGCGCTGTAGTCGGTGGCCATACCGCCAATGCTAGACCTGACGATACTGACGACGAAGATCTATTGGGCTACGAGTCAATCGAACCTGGCTTGCCACCAGCAAGCTCAGACAAGCGTAAATGGTGGCTAGACAATGGCATGCCAGCTCGTTCGCAGGTCAAACCACCAGGCGATGGCTACGTTCGCAACCCGCAGAGAGCACCTAATCCATTCAGCGCCACCACCGAGCCAGACTGGGTCAAAGTTCCTCGACCAAACCCACCTCCCCCTCGCACGCTTTCAATCCGCGACCGCACTCCCTCAACAATGAGTCAAAACTCTAATGGCAGGGCAACATCAGTCAGCCGCAAACTCCCACCAGTCTGGCCACCGCACCAGCAATCTTCCTCTGCAGCTCCCAGCTCTAGAGCTTCTTCTACCCAACACAGTCTCCTCGACGATCCAATCGAAGAACCACCACTTCCACCTCGCCCATCCGACAACAGAATCAGTCGCAAAGCCGCACCTCCAGTGCCTAAGAAGCCATCAACGCTGCGCTCTGAGTCTCCAGTCAGCACAAGAGACGATGGTTTTGCTCCCAAGCTACCGCAAAGGATTAATACATTGCCTTCGCAGTCGCCGGTCGCGAAGAGTGTTTCTATGCCTATGCTTCCGCCGCCGAGAAGAAGCACGGTAGAGGTTAATGCAAAGGGGATTGAGAGTTGGTCCAGACAGACTAGTCAGAGTGAGAGTGGGCCGCCTTTGCCTCCTAGACGAGGTACCGCGCAGAAAAATTTGTTGGATGATGAAGATGAAGGAGGCATGACTGGTTGGAAGCCGTTGAGACCTAATTAGACGGGCTCGAAGAATTTTGCTCGATTGCTCCTTCTGGAAAGAGCAGTGTGGCTAAGTAGTGCTCGCCTTGGTGACTGGTATCTAGCACCGATCCAACCTTTGGTGAAAAAGGTATGAAAGATAATATTTTGTTGTTCTTAAACTGAAGACTTCTGTGAAGTATGCTTCCTCTACATCTGCCTAGACAGATTTCTCTATTGTAGCCATCATCATATCTCAATCCTCAGCCACATGTTTGCCATACTTTTCCGTTCACAAGCCACGTTCAAGCATTCATAACATCAACGTTGCCGTTCTTGGACTGATCACCACCCCTGGCAAAAGCCTCTCTGCTCTTCTGCTCAACCTTGACATTCCAGCCAAACTTGTCCTCGTAGCGACCAGTCTGGATACCCTTGAGGTTGTCCAAGAGCTTGAGACAGACTGGGCCCGGTTCGTCAGAGTCTAGGTAGTTGAAGGTGTCGTTGCGGCTCTTCATGGTGATGCTCTTGATGGGGACGAGAGCTGCTGCTGTGCCTGCAGCGAAGACCTCGTCGAAGGATTTTAGTTCGTCGTAGTTGATCTGTGAGATGTGTTAGTGGATGGATGTTTTGGTGAGAGGGAAGTGAAGGATGAAACTTACAGATCTCTTCTCGACTGTCCAGCCAAAGCTGCGTGCAATATGGCACACACTGTCTGCCGTCACACTCTCAATGACATTCTTGCTATCCGGCACCACCAGAGTAGTCTTCTCTCCATCCTTCTTGACGCCCAAGAAAGCAGAAGTGCTGAACTCATCGATCTCTGATCTCGTCCTGCTGTCCAAGTGCAAAGTAATGCCATAACCATCATTCCTAGCTCTTTCACTGAACCTGAGTACAGGAGCATAGTTTCCACCCACCTTGGCAGAACCAGTACCATGAGGAGCAGCACGGTCAAAGTCCTCGAGGATGAGTGCAGGAACAGAGTGCACACCGTGGTAAACACCCACAGGCAAGACCCAAACGACAAAAGTGTATTCTTCAGGCGGGCTCAAGCCCAATTGTGCCGAGCTTCCAAACAACAAGGGACGGATGTACATAGCAGCGCCAGTTCTAGCCGGAGGCACAAACTCTGCGTTCATAGCCACGGCAGCCTTGACGCACTCTTCAAAGTGCTCGACGGGGACTTCGGGCATGGAGACAAAGGAAGCAGAGTGTTGCATGCGTTTGGCGTTCATGTCTGGACGGAAGATGGTGATGGCAGAGTCGTCGGGGGTACGGAAGGCCTTGAGACCTTCATAACATTGCTGGCCGTAGTTGAGACCGGGAGCCATACCATGGATGCGGAGGTAGGGCGAGGTGACGAACTCGGGAGCGGTCCATTTGCCAGTCTTCTTGGAGTAGGTGGATTCGATGTGGCCGTTGACTGGCAGGCATGTTAGAGACGCGAATCGAGGAATTCAAGCAGTAGAGAGTATCTCACCCTCACGAACTTGGAAGCCAATGTTGTCCCAATCTAACGATGCACTGAATTAGCTATGGCGGGGTACGGGGATGGAGACGATCGGGGGTATACCAATAGTGTTGACGGGAGGAGGAGGGAAAGAGGTAGCCATGATTGAGAGCGATATCAATGTCAAACAGGGAAAAATCAGGCAGGTCAATTGACTTGAGAAGAGGAAGGTACGAGTTGTTGGCGCAAAAGTGTAGATTGACGATTGATCAGCTTCGTAGGGCGTACGGAATGACATGCGCGTTTCCGATCACCAGGGTCCATGTATGATTCACAAAGCTTATTGTATTCTTGCAGCAGCTTTTTATCAATCGTGATAATATTTGATATTTGTTTGGGGTATACGAAATGAGCCCTCCATTGGAGGCTAGCGATGCAAAGGGATATACGACCCCTCTATATGACAAAATAAAAGAAAGAAAGATGACATCGACCAGCCATAAAGGGTATCATAAAGCCAGAGATATGCGTCGCTCCAGAATCCGCCAAAGTGCCCAAAATGCTTCCCTTCATGCTGCTGTAAAAAAAGATCAAAAGAGTTTGTTGTTGCCTGCTTTGCCATCGTAGAAGCGTTTGCGTGCTCTGTTCAACAATTCCTCTCTTCCACTAACACTTCTACCCATTCCTGGTCTTGTTGTCTTTTGCACTCTTGACCGCCTGTCGTCGTAGCTTTTGGACGTAATGCGCTGATTGGGGCGTCGTTGGTTCTTGCGACCTTTGCTTGTGGTAATTGCGGCCATTCGACGCTTCTCAGAATCGCTGGACTCGATCGAAGTCGTGGACGTATCATTCTCCTCTGCTTCGGACATATCCACCTCGGCGCCTGCATGAGGAGACGACGCTGCTGAAGCCTCTGAATCTTCCCTCATCTGCCTCGACTTGTTCAACAGCGACNNTATTGAAGACGGGTGCGACTCTTGCTCAGTGTTCTCGAAGACAATTTCCGACTCTTCTTGAATTGGCGATCGGTTCTGGTGTTGGCGCTTCGAAGGCATGACCGAAGGAGTCTGAATGGCATCTGCGGCACCAGACAGTTCTGTGAGTGGTTCCGTTGGCGTGGTGTGTGATACGGCTGGTGTCTTGTATTGTGCCATAGGAGTGGCTCGTAGTTTCGGTTGCACGGTGGCAGGTGTCTCGGGTACGTTGCCTAGCATCTCCCGCCTGAGCTGTTCTTCGGCGGCCTGATTTCTGACAGGCGACAAGTTGCGAGTTGCGGGAGTTTGCGGTGGAGCAAAGACGCCAAAGAAGGGGGTCGCCTTGAGTGCAGGGGTCGGAGCAGAAGCGCCGGCCTCGCGCATGAGTTGATCGGCTGCTGCTTGATTGACTACGGGCGAAGCCTGGCCTGCGAAGGGGGTCGCTGGCGGCGCGAACGAAGGTGTGGGCGGGATTCGCAATCGCGAAGAGACAGGAGCCTTCTCGGGGGTGTTGACATCTCCCTGGTCGTCTTCGGGGGAGAGAGTGCGGCTTGATGCATCGTTTGAGTTGGCCGAATCTGACTGAGTCACCTTCTCGCCAGCAACGAGGTCATCCTCAGTTTCAGCCGGTCGGCTGAAGGTACCCGACAGGCGACTGTAGAAACCCGACAAGAACGACATGGTGTGTATGTGATGAACAAGGGCATGTGTTTCAAGTCTAGGTCTGTTTATTTTGAGGCCCCACTTATATTTGATCAGATAAGATGTGTGGGCTCGATCTAATTGCCGTGGCTTACCACCGCTTCGCTGCAAACTTCTTGTGCTTGCAGAAGAAAGACTTGACATTTTTGAATTTCATCCCAACACCACAACAACAATCTTTCAATTGCCAAAATGAGCATCGACGAAATGCAGATCGACACCGAAGTCGCCGCTGGCTCCAAGCCTCGCCTTCCCGTCACTGTCAACAAGCCCATTCCCTACACTTTCGACTTGGGCAATCTTCTCTGCAACGATACCAACCCTCTGCCCACCGTCAGCGCTATCTCCGAGAACGACATCAAGAACGCTGCCCGCGACTGCGCCCAAGCTCTTATCAACCAGCTCCTTTCCACATGCCCCATCACAAAATCAGACGACAGCACCAGCGTCACCCTCGGTCTGCCCACTCCCACCACCCACTTGCCTCGCGAGAAGCCCGTCCCCGAGGAGAAGCCTATGACCAAGTGGCAAGAGTTTGCCAAGAAGAAGGGTATCAAGGACAAGAAGCGCGACGGCAAGCTCGTCTACGACGAGGCCACTGGCGAATGGCTTCCCAAGTACGGTTACAAGGGCAAGAACAAGGACGGCGAGAACGACTGGCTGGTCGAGGTCGACGACAAGAAGACAAGAAAGGACGGCAGCGAACACGATGCCAGAAAGGAGAGAAGAGAAGAGAGAGTCGAGCGCGTCAAGCGCAACGAGAGAAGGATGCGCGCAAACGAGCGCAGAAACCAGCCCAACAAGTCATGATTTTCTCCTCCTTCCTTGCGACCCTCCTCTACCTCTTCCCTTCCCCTCGGATTTGCACAGCGATGGCGTTTTATGGTTCCGGATATTGGCATGGATTGTCTTTGCGCCAAAGGTTGTCTGCACAAAAAAGTCTTGTCGTCTCCTCTATTCTTCATATTCCCATGTCAAAAACAACGCTCAGAAATTGGCATATGTCTCGAAAAGATCCTCAGAACGATACAGTAAAGGTGATTGGCTGCTATCACCAATCAACAATTGCAAACATTTTTCTTAACCCAAAAACTCGCCAGCGACCAGAACTTCCCAAGGCTTGCCAGTGTCCCATGATTTTTCCATCAAGTGTCGTGCATTTCGTACCNNTGCAACCACAGAGATTAGTCTTTCCGTCTGATATCAGCGAGAAGGTCATGTTATACTCACATAAGTCATACCCAACCCTTCAACCAGCTTGAGCCTCTCCAATATCATCTGCCGGTCTTCAGGGTCGTGCGCGTCGCATCCGGCCGTGAACATCGGAAACAGCAGACTCGACTCTGCAGTGCCGCCTCTCCTCACATCCTTTAGTGCTTGCAGAACAAGTTTGACGGATTGCTGTATCTCAGGATCAGTCGATGTTTTCCCCAGCACTCTCCGACTCAAGTGAATCAAGCCAGCCAGATGGAAAGATTCGTTTACTGAGACCATCTCTTGCAGTTCCAGTCGTGTTCTCTCGCTAGACCTTTCGTCTTCGTCTAGGCTGTGGCGACAGCCTCTTTGTACGTGATGTCTACTGTGTGACAGCTCCTGTTTTAAAGCTTCTGCTTCTTTGAGCATCTCTTCTGAGGGTCGCCAGTCAGGATCCGTGTCGCCTTGCTCGTCGATACGCTGGGCATCGCATTGACGAGCAAGTCTCGCAACTCGGGCTAGCAGACTGATGCAACAGTTGGTAAAGCCGAAGAAACAGTCAATCGTAAATCCGTAAGCGTCTGACTGGTTATTCGAGTCGAACATCATATACTTGTCATCCAACGGTGCTTGATTTCGATGACCAGACAAAGAGCCAATGACGTCCAGATAGGCGAACCATCTTGCAAGAAAATTGACAAANGAATCTCCGTCGTTACCTCTATCTTTGAGCCCACCACGAGAGATGATGATTTGTCGAGCAATCTCAAGGTGGCTTTGCCAAGGTATCGGTACATCAAGGCTGTCTGGATTAATACACTCTCGGGACGCCAACATGATCGCAGTCGTCAGTGTTGCGTTTGACACCGGCTCATTCGAGGAAAGCGACCGCCGTAAATCTGGAAACACATCTCGAAGCCATATTGCGAGGCGATTAGCAGGCTCTGGGTGACAGAGCAGACGTGCTCGATGGGAGGCCGAGTAAGCGAGTAGTAGGTTCAGTAAGTTCGCATTTTGCACAGCGACNTTGGCCTTATATTAGCAATTAGTTCTGCAGAGTTTTGTGATGTACATACTGCGTGGTAAAGTAGTTTTCATAGGATTGTCAGGGCAGTCGTGCGGTACCAATATCCGAGCTGTATGATTCAAGAAGTGGTGGAAGTATATGAGATTCATTGGATTCTCTAAAAGTTGTGCAGGCAGTGGTTCGAGATCCAAGGGTATTCTTATTAGGACAGGACGAGCATAATAACCACCCCGTTCGAAAGCAGGCTTCTCAACGGGAGACTCGAATAGTTGCGAGGGTGACCATGCAGTGTCAGACAATGTACTGGGCGAATTCATAGATACTGCAGGTGTTTGCGAGTTAATTGCGGTATTGTCATCATTCTTTGGTATGTCCAGATCAGGCAAGCCACAATCATAGCCGTAAACTGTAAATCCGTCTTCACGTCTGGGATGCAAGCCGCTAAAGTGTTCGTAGGATGCTCTGGGGCTAGCAATGTCTCCTGCTGGGCCAGAGAGCAGGTAATTCACAGACAGCCTCCTTAGGCTAGGAGACGCACGAGCACTCGATGGACCAGGAGTAAGAGGTGAAGGCGCAGAACAATACTGAGGTGCTCCTGGTGAAGCTTGATCATATGGTGAAAANGATGAGAGACTGGGTTCCGGAAGTCCAGGTCGAGCAAATAGTGGCGGGAGGCTGCATGCTGTGCCATCGCCAGACTCCAGTCGGATCCTCTTGGTTCTGTCTTCATTAGACCACCCGAACTCGTATGGTGAAGGTGGTCGCGTGAGACTAGGGCTTCGATAGTACGGCCCTGTTGGAGGATTCATGGACGAATATGGGTTTGGCAGCGCAAACTGTGGCAAAGCGGAATACGAACCAGTTGATTCATGTTGAGCTGGTGATCGACTCGTGTATGAGCTGGCCTGAGAGTCAAGTCCAGCATTGAAATCAAGAGGTGTCGGCTGAGTGGTAGCATCGCTACCACTTTCNTCAGAAGCATTTTCTATTCCGAGATCCCGGTTCTCGGAAATAGATGGTGCCTGAACCGATGGTGAGGCAATCGCGTTGGGCGGCTGGCTAGGAGTTGCAAAAGTAATGGTAGAGAATCCAGAGGTCGCACTTGCCATGGCTGAGAAGGCATTCTGCTCTTTNTTGCTCCTGCCTCCCCATTGCAACTTCAGAGAGTAGTCGCACTCCTCATTCTGTTTTACACAACTCGAGCATCGCGGTTTTGCTTCGTCACATTTGACCTTTCTGTTCTTGCAGCCATGGCATCCTGTACGAGAGCGCTTCTTTGGCTCGGTTCCAGAAGCGGGTTGTTTGCTCTGCGGCATGATGAGCTGTCGGGTGACCTCGGTGTGCTTTCTTCAATGGACTCCTGTATACATCCTAGGACCAGTTGACTCCGGGGCAATCCACAATGAAACGTCCTGGAGCAGTTGTACGACACCACAGTCTAAGGGTCACCTTTGAAAGAATTATTGGACAGTATCTTAAGGATCGACCAACTGTGGCCGTGACAAGAAAATACACCTCGGCCAGCCCTTCTTATCAATCCTCCGATGTACCGGAGATAAGAAAAAACGGCTAGGGTTGTCCATATATGAACATGATTTCCCTTGATTCATATTCGAAGCTCCTACAAGTAGCATACAAGATCAGGTTCGACCAGGGTATGGGATTCGAAGAAAGCCTGGAAGTGTTCAAATCCCCTCATTGTTAAAAGGCAAGTGGCAGGTTGCATAACAACTTTCAAGCTTCAAGAATCCTGCATGCCGACCAATTGGCGTCGCAGGAGACCACATGCACACACCCGAATCGCTCAAACACAGTGACCGGGACCAGCCACATACACAGCGTTTTGCATAGCTGAAGAGAATGTCCTGCTAGATATCCATAATCGATCGGGTGGTCATTGTTCCGGGCAACAGATGACAGAACCTTCATGCTTCGGATTTTGTAGCATCCGATGCCGGATTTTAGCGGACTGAGGTAGAAATGCTCACTAATAAACGTCACCAATGCCCCATACCGGCAGATCTGTCTCTTTCTCTTGGTGATGCTTGTCAGAGACTTCACTTGTTGGACATACATGCATCCATAACCATGTCGACAAAAACTGCTCAGGAACTGTTGCTACGCCACCCTCAGCAGAGGCTTAACTCTCCTTCGCGAGGCACCAGTGCTGCTCTCCACGTATGACTGTTTCATGTCTGGAAGTAGGAGTGAGGATAATTGACACGCAACGCAGNNCTCCTTGGTCTTTCTAGCTTTGCATACTCCTTCTGGTGGCTGGAGGCACATCCGAATCCCGTCAATGATTCCTATGGCCGACACTTCCAACACTTGACCATTCTTGGCCTCAGTCTGGCTACCTTGACCTTCGTGATCGGTCTGCTTGCGGATATCACTTTGTCTACACGCCTGTTCAAGTTCAAGAACATACTCTCTGTTACCAGTGCACCCATGGAAGTCTTGATTAGTATCTTGTACTGGGGTCTCAAAGGCGTATGACTTGACATTATGCATCACAATTGTGTCCCAACTGACGAGAGCAGGNTCGACGAGAGTCTCGTTCTTCCAGACTGGGCACCCAGAATCCCATTTGGAGCAGATTTTTCTTTCCATGCTGCACCTTCGATAGCACTCATCCTGGATCTGCTCTTCTTCTCTCCTCCTTACACCGTTTCCGTTCTACCGGCTTTGGGCATTAGCAGTGGCATTGCCGTTTCGTACTGGTTCTGGATCGAGGAGTGCTACAAGCACAATGGATGGTATCCTTACCCTATCTTCGATGTGTTGGGAACTACTGGCAGAATCGGTCTCTTTGCGGGCAGTGCTGTCGTCATGACTTGCAGCACTCTCTCTTTGAAGTGGATGTACAACCGAGTTAACGTTCATGCTCAGGACGTCAAGGACAAACCCATGTAAGTATAAGTACATTACCATAGACGAGAAAACATAGAGACATCTAGGTACGACGCCATGATATACACATTCAGCAATCGAAGACACCAATCGAAGAATGAAAGACGATGTGCAGAAAATCCGCGATCAAGCGGATACAAGATCATATTCTTGGTGTTATGCAAGCACCTGCCCTGGCTGCAGGCTTCATGGATACTCAATAAGGCTCCTCCCTGTACATGACCCATACTCCGATACCATAGCCCCTCTAGGACCCACCCACCAACGCCACATCAATGCATCACTGCCACAGGTGCAACATAATGTAATCAACAGAGAAAGGAAGAGCATGAACAAAAAAAAAAAGAATAGCCATGCGGCTCAGCAACAGAAGGAAAAGAAGACGCTTGAAAACAAGACCCAGCCACCAAGAACTCCGAGAAGAAAGAAGAGCAAGCAAGGGTGATGTTTCTATGCGTTGGCGATAGGCTTGGTTTGACCCTTGCCAGCAAAGACGCCAGCACCAGTGGCCTTGCTGATACCAATGCCGAGACCGCAAGCTAGAGCGACAACGAAGGCAGCGATGAGGATCTTGAACCACAGTCTCTGCTTCTTCTTCATGCTGGACCACCAAGCGTTGATGCTGCTACAACCACAGGCTCTTGATGCTCTGCGCTTGGCCCTCTCTGCCTTGTCCTGGTTACGAAGAGTCTGCTTGGTCGGCCACATGGTGCATTCTTTGGTACGGGCATCGAAGCTCAATCGTGAGCCAGTAGGGACGGCCGACACGGGAGCCATGCCAGACGGAAGGTTGAGGTCTGAGCCAACAGGGTTCGAAGTGATAAAGTAGCCCTCCTTGCGAGCAGCCTCGAGATCGTCGTCGTGAGCGGCAGGCAGTGTTTGGCGAGAAATGTCGGCAGAGGGAGCGGCGTAAAATGGAGTCAAGCGCTCTTCGTCGGGCGTCGATGGCGAGTCGACGGTGACGACGGGACTGAGCGACTTGGGAGTGTCGAAAACATTGGGCGCAAGGTGGTTTTGAGTCTTGGTGGGTGTGTCGACGGTAGCACCGAAGGTCACCTCGTCTTCGAGGTGGTTGTACTTGGAGGCACCCATTGTGGACGACTGTGTTTCGTCGATGGTGTCGAGGATATTGATATCGATGGGCGGTGGAAGATTTAGTGGATGTCGTTGGAAGAAGAGGACCAGGGGATGGACGAGGTAGGAGAAGGTGCAGCGTCTCTTGCGTCGTTGGTAGCAGATGCGGTTGACGGACGGTGCACACGATTAGGCAGTTTACGCAATGCGTCCGGGAAAGCAACCAGTCAAAAAGCTGGGAGAGGGGCCGAGAGGGTATAAGAGGTGGACAAGGGAAGCCGCTACGGTAAAGGCGTCACAATGCAATGTCGTTCGAGAAGAGAGTTGGAAGTTGGAACGGGGGAGGACAAACAGCGAGGGCTGCACGGTCGTTTAGATACCATCAAGGCTTGTGCCCGCACTTGCACAGTACGCCCACACGCTAGGTTCTTTTCTAAGCTAACATCAATCGTCCCTAGCGCTATATTTTGATTTTGCCATTGATTCACTCGACATGGGGCAAGCCTTCCAGCCCGTCTTCAGCTGTTTTGGCTGCTGTTCCACAGAGCAGCCTCTTTTGACTCGTCTGCTTGCAGCGCCGCCTGTGTTGCAATTCTGAGCCCAGACCCCAATTACCCCTGATCCGCGCACTTGTTCGCGCCAACAACGGCTCATGCTCCGCCGCCAAACGAACAGGCTGGACACCTCGTCGCCAGCGTTCTTGTGCTCTTCAGAAACATAACTAAACCAGACAGATAAACGACGCACATCTCCAATGACATCTCTCACGAACACCTCAGCATACTTTCCGATACGATAAGGCCTCTCAACAGTTCTGAGGATGCTTGCGTACGTGCCGCGTTTGACTGACATCGAACGATTCGGTTTCAAGCACATTTCAATAAGCCTGCAATCAATTTATCCTTCAATCGGCCCGCCGAATCGAGTCTGGGGAAGAACACCAAGGCCTCGCTCGAAGTTACGCGGAGACTAGCGTGCAAAGAAGACTGGGCGCTTCTCAACCTTTGGCCCAGAATTGCTTCAGCACGTTGTGGAGGCGTCACCGTTCGAACACTCTCTGCTTTATCGCAATCACCAGCGCAATCAAGCGACGTTCACATGCTTGCTGATAGGCTGCTCTGCGCCGCTCTGGGCCGTCGCAGACATGCCACACGTCCTTATGGTTCCTCGGTACCTATAGCAGGTACCCCAAGAATTTCAGAAGCCTGCTTATTGAAGGCTGTCTCACTTGCGCTTGCTTCTACGTTGATCCGGTCTCTAAACTTCTTTTATATCCGGACGTGGTGATATTCGCCATTTTGGTGCTGTCCGTAGACTTCACTGAGCTCTTCTATGAACGACTATGGAAGTGCTGCTAAAACTGACCACCTGTGCAGTCTCTCCTAACGGGGGTATCCATGCAGAGTCCTGACTCAAAACGCTAGAGAAATCGATAAAATATGCTGGGGTTTGTGCTTCATGGCATCATGGCGGGAACGTTAACAAGTGCGACGCACTCTTCTGTCGCTGGCTGGGATTAAGCCCGGCCGTGTTCAATTGTCAACGCCGATATGCACGTTCTTTTCACCCGGAGGAAGTACCTTCTCCTCTTTNTGACCCTTCAAGTTGGGCAGTTCGTCCACTGCCTCTCCAATGATCTTGAGCGAAGTCTCGATTTGTTCTTTGGAGATGACAAGAGGAGGTGCCAGACGGATGATGTTCTGGTGAGTAGGTTTGGCCNNTGCAAAGACGTTAGCCTTGAGTTTCATCAACGTTAGCGAAGCTTTTCTTACCAAGAGACCCTTCTCCTTCATCAACATGCAGAGATCCCATGCGCTATGGCCGTTGGTCTTGCTCTCGTCAATGACGATGGCATTGAGCAAACCCTTACCACGAATCAAGGAAATCATTGAGTTCTTGGCTTGAATGTCACGGAGACCTTGTCTGAACATCTCACCAAGGACCTGAGCTTGCTGAACCATGTTCTCCTCCTCAATGATCTCGAGCGCTCTGATAGCAATGGCGGAACCAAGAGGATTACCACCGTAAGTGCTACCGTGAGTGCCAGGCTCGACGGTGAGCATGACTTCCTTCTTGCCGAGAACAGCAGAGACAGGGTACATACCACCACTGATAGCCTTGCCGAGAAGGACAAGGTCGGGCTTGATGCCACTCCATTCATGGCACAGCATCTTGCCAGTACGAGCAATGCCGGTCTGGATCTCGTCACAGATCATCAGGACGTTGTGCTTGTCGCACAGCTCACGCACTTTTCTGAGATAGTCCTCATCTGGCACGACAATACCAGCTTCACCCTGAATGGGCTCGACCAAGAAAGCGGCGGTGTTCTTGCCGTGCTCCTCAAGCACCTTCTCGAGATCTGCAACGTTGTTGTAGCGGATGGGCTCGTCGTTGGTAGGGTTGCAAGAGCCGATGTTGGGTAGGTAAGGTCCGTAATTGTCTCTCGACTCGGGGTCAGTGGACATGGTGATGGCCGCGAACNNTGAGTGTGAATTAGCCTTTGCACGAAATCACACACGGTCATATGATGTGCTTACTGTTCTGCCGTGGAAGTTCTCTTGAGCGGAGAAGACCCAGGCCTTGTTTTCAGGAATGCCCTTGACCTTGTATCCCCATTTACGTGCAATCTTGACGGCAGTCTCCACAGCCTCAGCACCAGTGTTCATGGGCAGGACCATCTCGAAACCCAACATCGAGGTGACCTTTTCGGCGAAGCGAGGGAAGACATCGTTGTAGAATGCGCGAGAGCTCAACGTGAGTCTTGAGGCCTGGGCAACGAGAGCCTTGACGAGTTCGGGGTGGCAGTGACCTTGGTTTACGGCACTGTAGGCGGAGAGAAAATCGAGGTAGTGCTTGCCTATGCGCTGTTAGAACTTCCCGCATACAGGGTGTCCGACTGACGGTATCTGTCCTAATGCGCCAATCTTGTCTGTTGTGGCTCGAGTCCATGTAGAGCGCGGTACAGGCACATGTACATAGACTCAACCCTCGCCAGACCGGATTCGTGCATCATGACAGTATCCGACTCTTGAAGAAAACGCACCTTCTGGATCCCAAACATCTACACCCTGCGCCCTCGAGAAGACAACCGGCAGAGGGTGGTAGTTGTGTGCAGCGTATGCGGACTCCGCAGCGATAGCAGTGGCAGAAGTCGCCGAGTGGTAAGGGTCGACTTGCTTATTGCCGACTGGCTTGAAAGACTCTGCCTCAGCATTCAGCGAGTCCTTTGCTGAACTGTGGATAGCGATGGGTGCCATGTTTGGCTAAATCAAATGTTGATAGTGGGGTTATCGCGGGGCAGATAGGGTCTCAGGAATGTAGACAGAGGACAGATACAGCAAACGATGCCAGGAAAGTTGATTTTTAGGAAAGATGAGGAAGAGGGAAGAGAGTAAAGGCTGGGAAACGAAGGAATTTGTAGTGAAAACGTGTCCGCCAGCTAAGAAAAATGGTTGCGGCTATACCTGTGTATAGGGTCAGTTGAAGATGGAAGTGACCGCTAAGCGCAGGAGCAGACGAGATCCGAGAACCAAAATCCGGGGCTTTACTAATGATAATGCCTCCGAGGTGATAACCCATCTGATTACCTGGCCAGACGGCCGATCGCGGACTTTGGTAGCAATGCGACTGCGGACGAGATTTTTGACTTCTTAGACCTTTGAAAGGCTGCCTGCTTCATTCACAAACTTCAGCTGCATACCACAACGAACACGAGTGTAGAATAGAACATTCGTTCAATTTATCGCTATGATCTTTCGTGGGGAAGACCAGGCTTCGGCCTACCCTTACCCTTTCTGGCCATTTCCTTGACTAATGAGACGCTCCCGAGGCCATCTCGTGCTGTTTCGACCAAGATTCTCAGCGCCCAGGACCAGACAACAGCAACGACCAGCCAAGTACCTTTCTATCGATCCAGCGAGTGAGATGCATCACCTGCAGTGCAAGACCACTGTCGTTCTGAAAAGGTTGCTCATCCATCGCTTGGCATCTGAAGATATTCTAAGCATTTGTCTGGCACAAGTCTGACGGATGATTTCTGCTGATGCTATGATTATAAAGGGTTCCTGCTGGCCTCACAACAGCACAAATCTTCTCTGCTTTTCGTGATTCCATGGTGCTCTATCAGCCGAGTCTGGAGTGCTAATACCTCAATTTTTGACACTTTGGTGAAAAAATCCACGACGGAGGAATCCTCCAACGAGTACCAGACGACAGCTGCGATATGAGGTTTGTGAACCTAGGCCAGATTCTGCGGGTCTTGACAAAGTCGGCAACGTCAACACATACAAAGGATGACTTGCCAAAACAAACCTTGATACTGGTTCAAGCTACACACTAGGAATCCTCACAATCCCTGGCACTGAGTCTTAATGTAGACGACTGGGAACTGCAACTTGTCGTACAGAACGACGATCTGTTATTTGCCGAAAACGTTGTAACATTGAACACTGAATAGCGCAAAGGTCCTGGATGACAACATTAAATAATTGTAAACATCAAAGAGAGAACCAAACGACACAAATACCGAAGAAGCAACCTCAGGTATGTCTAGTATGTCTGACTCTCTTTGGCAGAAACGTAGTCGATGTGCCATGCCACTGAGCTATAGCGATCTAGATGTTGGTGTCTCAGTTCATTGGTATACTGCCGTCGACCTTTGAAGACCGTGGTTGAAGGTATGACCCTGTCTCTATATAAATCTTGCAACAAATAATGCCAAAACTGCAAGTGCCATGATGGACGTTTCTCGCAGTCCGTTAGCATTGAAAGTTCAAGATGAGTTGCATGGAGTATTCTGGTGCAGAACAACTTGACGTCTGTCGTTAAGTCCGATTTAAGGATAGTCTTTTCGTCCTCTACTGCTCTGACAACGAGTAAGTCATCCCAAACGACTGGTGTGTGTACACAAGAGAAGATATGATTAAGCATTAGTATCGAAGTATATGCTTTGCGAAGAGAACACGAACAAGATTCCTTCTCACCGACCAGGTTTCTCGCACTTCTGGTCTCTACCCAATGTAAATAACTTTCTCTGGATGCACGTGACTCTCAAACGACCACGGCAGCAGCGCCAGCTAGCATGGCTCCCATACCCCAAACCCAACCCGTCACTTCGGCTGCAACACGAGGAGCCTGTCCAGTACTGCTAGCTGTGACTGTGGCTGTGACAGTGACACGCTGTGTACTGATGTATCCAGTGACGTTGGTGCCATTTGAGGCATTAGCAACAGCTGCTGAAGCTGCCGAACTCAAGGCGGGCAGCAATGAAGTTGGAGAAGAGGGGTCCAGTGTTGGAGCGGGCGTGGTGTTCTTATCAGTGGTTTTGGCTGCATCGGTCGACTTGCACGTCGCAGCGGTGGGCAGATCGCTGACTTTGTACGCAGAGCAGAAGTTGTTTGCAAACCCAATGGCAGCNTATAATGACATTAGTCTGGAAAGCAATGAGGCTTGAGTGGGAAGTTGCCAACCGTCTTGATCTGCTTTGTCGCAAGCTTTAGACATGCAGCATCCGAGATTGTCTAGGAATACTCTGTTCTTGCAGATACATTCGACATCGATAGAATTGCAGCCGCCAAAGCTGGAAGTCACACATGTGCTAGCGCAATCAGGTAGACCCCAGATACTTGCTCTTTCCTGCAGACTCAAGGGTTTGGATTGGCCCCAAAGACTGAATGCTTGTCCAAGTGTGCTAAGCACTGTCGCAGTATAGAGAAGAGAGACGGCAGGTCGCATGGTGATCCGTTGTGTGGGTGCTCGAGTTATGTTTTGTGGTAGGAGACTGGAGATGGCGAAGGAGATGTGAACAACTTCGGTTCTCCAACATGCTTGTAAAGAATAACGTCTGTTTGTTGTTGACAGGATGAGGCTCCTGCGATGCTTCCCGGACGACGAGGCATAGAGGAATTTATCACAGAGGAGAAGAGGAATGTAGTTGGGCCATGTATTCGAAATGCACCTACCCGAAGAAACACGATGCACATCATCATGACTGCCAGATCAGCAACAAATTCACCATTGTTAATCGTGACTATCCTGATGAAAACGATTGTTTCTCTTTTGTGATTGTTAGAGGAAGGAGCATTGGTCTCACCAAGCGAAGTCGCAAACGGAGACGCTTCCGGGATTGACGCTTTTCCCGATTCGGCAAGCAAAAATCTCAGCATCAAAATGCAAAAAGATGAGCAATGTCTTTCGACACTTAGAGCTTGCGGTGACTCGATCCATTGCCCTGGGCCTTACTGAGGTTCAAAATATAAATTACACACACCAGCGGTCCTGGTAGAGCAAAATTCGACCCTTGTTGGCCTCAAAGGACAAAAAGATATGATAGCTAAGCTTGGTTTCGATCCAAGGTCCTCCGGGTTATGAGCCCGGCGCGCTGTTATGAGTTAGTTAATGAGTTCAAGAGAATGCACTAGGTAGTTGAATATTACGAACCTTCCGCTGCGCCACTCAGCTGCCGATTTCAGAGAAAATCTGATATCAGCTCGTCAGCTATCAGCATATATATACGCTCATAAAACAGAAGTCGCACCTTCCTATTCTGACCGAAAATCGTGCCTCCCTAATTCGACAAAAGACGTGCCTTCCCGATTTGATTAAAAGAAAAACGTTCCTTCCTGTTTTGACAAAAGACGTGCGTTCCTGTTTCGACGCAAATCGCGCCTTCCTCCTGATTTGACAGCAAACGTTCCTTCCTGTTTTGCAAAATGCAGACAGATTAGTCAGACTGGTTATATCCATTGATCAGAACATCATATGTGGAGACAATGCGCCCATATTCAACCTGTTGTTCTTGGTGAAATTTGGTAGACATGATCATACATAACTACCTAAGCCTTCGACCACCAATTCTTCAACATCGAGCACATCACATCCTTGCAGACATTGGTAAACACCAATCTGAGAATCGAGTCTACAAATATGAATAGAACAACAAGCTGGCTTGGCTTAGTTTCATAATTACATTAGGTATCAACATCAATTTCTCCATTCCTTACATCCCGGCTCATCCTTGGTACCTTCATTGGGACCTACTGATCCAGGGGCTGCTTTTGAATCCTTCGGATCTTTCGTCTTCTTCTTACCCACCGTTTTTGAAGCTTCTGGTCCAGGTGCTGCTTCCGGTCTCTTTGGATCTTTCGCCTTCTTTTTGTCCACAGTGGCATTATACTTGTCGACTGTGCCCTCCACTGGCTTGCAATGTAACCAAATCTCATCATCTGGGGAACCACCTCCCTCTTTGATCCTCTTCCGCGCCAACTTTCTCGCTACTCCGGGAGCAACACGCCACGTGAACTCGTGCGGAATGCGCAACCTGGCCGCCATCCACTTTTCGTCCTTTGGCTTATGCATGTCTATCTTAGGGATGTCTTCGAGATGGTGGGTTTCTGTGAGTAATAACTCTTCGTTCGGGAACGCCTTCTTGATCCGAGCTGGTATCGAAGGCATGACCATATTTAAGAACTCCAGCGATGCGTTGACATTAATATCCAGAGCTCGCTCAGGATTGGCGCTTGCTTTCAGCAAGAGCGAACACACATTAGGATACAACAACGAAAAGTCGGACTGTGAAACATGTATCGTTCCTCGGACAGTCAGAAGCCACGCTGGACACGGGTGGGCCTCTTTAACCAGATTTGACACAAGGTCGAAATTCGACGGCCAGTACGTGAAGGCTTCTGAATTGATGGCCAGAAGCGGGGCCTGGATCTTCTGATCTTCATCAGCTAACGGTCGGGTTCCACTCCTGCAGAAGAAGATGGTCAGTAGAGCTCCTGTTGGGTAATATCGTGCCTGGCTTACCCCNCAGATGTCGTAGATGATGCCCTGCGCGACCCAGTTGAATCGTTTCTCGTGCCTTAGCATATCCACAACAGTTGCCGCACCGAAAGAATGTCCAGCGGCGATGACAAACTGAGTGTTGACTCTACCTTTCCATGCTGTCCAATCAATGCCATCTAGACCATGGGTACTCGAAGCCTTGAAGCCCTCCTGACGCATGTTCTGCGCGGCAATGTCTTCGCCTTTTCCAGAATTAATAATGTTTATGACTCTGTAAGCTTCTTCAATCTCCGCTAGGCGAAGATCCAGTTGACCTCCTCTGAGGTCTCGGTCGACTCCTTTATCGTTGTTCGGACTTGTATCCATAGGGTTATCTTGTTCTATCAGCACTCATGTCAAATTGAAAGAGCCACATGCACAAACCTTTGGGGAAAAGATAGTCCTTTTGGTGTGTCAGTCAGAGGTAATAACCGCTTCTTTGAGATCGATACTTACAATTACATCGTAGTGCGTGTTGCCATGACTTCTGTGGTGCTTCTCTGGATCTCGGCGCTCACCAGCCTTGTCGAATCGAATTTCCCCACTGCCGGGCTGATTGATAAAGCTTCGAGGACCGCTGCCATCTCGATGTTCCAGTGCTAACACCACGAATCCGTAGCTCGCGAACNNTGTGCTAGATTAGGCACATTTTCTCACTTGACAAACGATTAATCTGCCTACCTCACCGCAAACACTCGAGTAAGCGGTCTTGGTGCCGCCTAGACCATGGCTAAAGATCATAAGAGGAAATTTCGGTGGAGCATCCGCCGGTTCATCCTGCTCATCATGTTCCTCTTCCTCTGTGGTCTCACCCGACTTTTGGTCTTCTTCGTCATCGTCAGTATTCGGAGGGTATTGAGACGAAAGCGGAGCATTTCGAAATGCTGGAAGCTTTGTGAACATCGTGGGTAGGAACACTGGCACACCCAGGTATCCAACGCTAGCGAATTGGCCGTATGATTCGGCCATGCTAATTCGAGGTCGACCCAGCCACAACTGTCTAGATGGTCGTTTCTTCTGCGGCGGAGAAGCCGGATAGTAGATTGTCAACAGCACAGTCTTCAATTGCAGTACGTGGTTTCCCTTCCTCGTGATATTGGTAAATGTTCGAGCTTCTTCGACCGGCACCTCAATCTCCATGGTTCCTACAGAGTACGGTCCGGAATATGCAGGCAACGATCTCACCGGCAAGAGCATAGTCTCTCGCAACGACTTAGGAGGACGCGCTTTGGGTTTCTTTGGATTCCGGACTTTCCCTCCATCAGACAGGAAGCCATGAGTAGGAGCCGGCGCTTTGCTTTTGTTTCCGGAAATCCATGGTGGTAGAGGCATCCGAACCGATCTTATGGCGCGTTGTCCGGCACTTCAGAAGTTCAACCAGCCTTGAATAAGCACGTGTGGGGAGCGCGTGAGCGATGGAGTTTGGAGTTCGAGGTATGCCGAGTCAGTTTGCAAAAACGAGTGGAGAAGGAAAGATCCAAGAGATATGCATCCATCTGATCCTCATATCTGTACAGACACTGCCACAATCGTGACAATTGAGTTGTTCGGCGCTGTGACTACCGCGGAACAGTGACGTAGGGTTGAAAATCCGTTTGGGATTTCGTGGAGAAGAGACATTGATTACATTTCTCGGACCGGGCATACAACGGAAACAAAAGTCTGGTGTTGCTGCCAGTTGCATAAGAGGACTATTAGTTATTTGGCTAACGACCAGTATCTGAAAGTATCAGTGTTGATATTCCTCCGAACATGGTCCATCTAGCACAACTCATTGAGCACATGTTCTGAAGCACGTGGTCGAGACCACACCGATTGTTTTAGCAAACTTCTACTCCTGCTGTACAGTACTACCTCACTTACGTTCTGGTATGTTAAGGTACAGCCGGCACAGACTGTCGGTTGTACTCGGACGTTTTATCTCCTCCGTGACTGTCCTATTGGATTTGGTGACATCCGGAAGGGACCGGAGGAAGGGACAAGCAAAGTCAAGCTTCCGCCAGTTGCCTATCCTTCTATTGCCAAGCATACTCGAAAATTCAAGACTACACATAACTTGATACCCACAAAACACGAATCATGTGATTTTTGGTCAATGGATATGTTTGAGATATATAGATGTTTTGATACTAGTTTGTTGGATACCAAGTCCAAACTCCGACCGACACTCGTGTGGTATACCAAAGACAAACGAATGTTTGAAACTTCATTGCTAAGGAAAAGAAGACCAACACAGTCAAGCTGTACAAAACATCACAGCTGCCCACCTGGTCGAGAAAAACTCATCTGTCTCGGTGCGACTGATGGTGAATTCAGAGGGCTACTGTATGACCCTGGAATTGGCACAGACTCGTAGATTTGTTCGCCAGGAGCTGCAGCAAAGTGTTCCTGCTGTTGTTCTGAGGGTTGTGCTTGAACCGGCGAAGGAGACCTTGAATCTGCCGGCGATGTGTAGTTCAGCGGAGTAAATCCGGTTTGTTGAATTTTTGGAGTTGTACCCTTAGTCGGAGGTGGCTGTAGCACGAACGGCTTTGGAGCTGTGGACTGTTGAGATGCATCGACGTATCTGATACCCTCGTTGTCTACTAGTCCAGCTTCGACTGATGGTCCAGCCTTGTAATAGTCGACAGGCGGCCTCCAGCCACCATCTCTCGGACTCAAAGGTCCGTTCAGACCGGGTGTATTTGGTGCAGATTGAGAACGCAATTGCGCAAGGTAAAGATCCGAGCGAGCGCGGTCACGGACAGCCATAGACTTGCGCAGCTTCCTCTTGGACCAGATACGATAGAACACGAAAGAGTAACAGCCGATTGCGCAAAGCTCGACAACGATCTCAATCACCGCACATACCAGAGACCAGTTCTGCAGGCGGCAAACGAGGGCGTAGTTGACAACATCAGAGAATAGTTCCTTTCGCTTGTTCTCCTTGCAGGACCAGCCCCAAATATCTTGTCCGTTGCTGTTGGTCCTGGTAGTATTCAGCACTCCGGCGCCAATACCCCACATGACGATGCTGAAGGCGAAGAAACCAACAGCGAAAACAGTATAGTAAGTCTGAACCTTCTCGGCTCTCTTGTGTCCTCCTCGGCAGTATCCCCAGAATATGGCAATGCAAAATACCAAAGAGATACAGGCGATGACGAGTAGAAGGATCTGGGGCCACGGATTTGTACCCATAGCCCACGGAGGAAGGTTGCTTCGAGCGGAGAGGTGCTTGGTTGCGTTAAAGATTGCAAACGTCGTTCCAAGCATAGACAAGACAATTAGTGAACATGCAAAATTGATGCTTCTCAAGAACATCTTCGCAGCGCGAACTCGTGTTTTGATTTTNCTAGTTGCCATGTCAGTGATATGTAAGACTCGTTTTTCACTATGAAAACTCACAAGATCCTTGGCTTGTTCCTTCTCAGTAGCAAGCTCTCTCTTCTCCAAAACGTGCTCCTCTTGGAAGGTGGGACTCATAAGGTTACCAAAGTTCCGTGGAGCCATACCGGGTGTCTTCATTGCACTTTTCAGAGGCGGGCTCAAAGGTGCGTCGCTTCTACCTCGAGGTAGATGGTTGTTGTCTGTGTCTTCCATTTCGACTGTTACGTGCGAAGTATGCTTGTCATCGATGTACCCAAAACCGATGTCAGATGGCTGTGGCTGTGGGCGAAAGTGATTAGTCGGTACAGCTATGAACGACGATCGAGGTGGATCGATTGGTGAGTTGACTGTCGTCGCTTCAGCGAAACGAGCCACGCGTGGAGATTTGAAAGAGGAGGCGAATGAGTTCGTTGACTGAGCTCGTGGTCTTGAGGGGTTGCTGTCTGTAGTCCCTTGGATGTCGTTGGTACTCATGCTTTCAGTGTGTAATGGGGCTGACGTGAGATGACCCCAAAGGATATTAAAGGGAGATTGACTCGAGAGTCCAGCTCAGTAATAGTTCTTTCTCTCTCTAAATCAAGAGAAGGATACTGGTAGAGAAAGATACAATAAAGGTATACAGCATATGGTGGGGGAAAACATGAAGGAAACGGTGCAGGAGGTGCCAACCTTTTGACACCGTAGACGCCCGAAGACAAAGGTAGTCAGATTTGGAGGCGGGCTCGTAGCGCCAACAAATGTGCGACACCAGTACAAGGAAGATGAGCGGTAACTGACCTCTTACAGATGCGGGTTCGTACTGCTGATAGGTCAGAGTTGACTCGAAGGAGGCTGGTTTCTAAAATGGGCGCTTGTGATCTGATCTACCGCACAGCCCGGACACTCTCACAAATAGAAAGCTGACGCCGGACCAACGATATATAGAGCACGAGATGATTTGACCAAAGATGTGCTAAGTGAAGAACATGTTGCAGGCCAATTTACGGCCCGCTTCAGGCTTCGCAAAGCACTTCTTAAGAGTGGACAGTACGGCAGATTTGCCATGGTAAATTCATAAGCGTAAGCGCCCGTACCATCACAGGTCACACATGGGTGCATGGTCTGGAGTCGAGACGACATGCAGGCCAGCTGTGTGAAGAAGCGGAGGTGATAGCGAATGGCAAGCGAGTGTCGGCAGCCATGGGATTCCAAGCGCTTACAGCTCAAATCGCTGACTCTCTCGACTCCTTCCCATATCCATGCGCCCATGGCGATCAAACCTGAAGGAGCGACTTGCTGACTGGCGGCGCAACACTGCTGATGTTGTCAGAAAATTGGAATGAAATGTCATGCCTCGCCATGTGCTAAAGTATGTAAGGCGTGTAGCTACTGCAATGCACAATGGATAGTGTCCACTAAGAAGCGACGTTTCATCGGCTCTCTGTAAATTCGCCTCTGCTTCCACAAACAATTGTGTTTTTTTTGACAGTGTATACTCGCAGTGGAATTACAAGACTTTGGCACAGGAGCGTGCTGGAAGACGGATCACGTCGCAGGAAGAACCTCGGCTTTCAACGAGATCTACAGAGGCCCCGAGATGCGAGAAGACCTCACTTCTCTTTTTAAGAAACAACCTGACAAGTAGAAGCCAGCATGACTGAGACGTGAAGATGCACAATCCTGTTGCGGTTCGAGTATATTAGGGGAGTCGCGTGTTACGCTGGACAAGCATCGGGCATGTGTTCCTTCCATACCAAGGCGATGACAGCCGTATGACATCGAGAGGCAAGTGTGAGTGTTTGAGAGCGAGCATCGTGCTTTCCATAACACTTTTCGAATTCTATTCCTCTTTCAAGCAATAATCAATTCCTCTGTCCAACATCAACAGCACCATCAATCTTATCAATCCCTCGTGCATACATCATTCTTTCATTCGTACACAACTTGCAATGCTTTCTAACACCCATACCAACAAACCCAAGAGCACCATTCTCAGCATTGTTAGCTATGCTCTAAAAGGCCCACCACTCGACTTTGAGCCTGACGTTCATATCAATGCTCGCCGCCTTCTCAACCCACCATCTGAGCTCCGTAAGGCCTTCGATGGTCGTTGCGAAGGCCTTCGCAAGAACCTACGAGCAGATCCTGTCTTTCACGAACTACTTGCCGAAGCTCAACCTCAGATCTTCAAGACCGAGGAGACAAGAAGAGCACTGATGATAAACACAAAGGACAACAGCTTTCACCTGGTTGAGATCAAGGTTGCAGTGGCCTGTGTCAGAGGGCGTCATCGCAGTACAGCTGTTGCCGAGGAGCTGGCCAAGCTGCCCATATGGCCAGAACATTACGACGTCAGAGTGTACCATCGCGATGTTGATACGCCTCACCGCTACCAGAACTGGCACCAGCAGAATCTGGAGCGTGAGAGGAAGGGCGAGACTGTTGGCATTGGTCATTACGGCATTGAGAACGATCCTGACGGAGACGATAACGACGATAACGACTTCGATCGCGATACTAACACCTAGGAGGATGGATCTCACAACAAGGCCGAACTTCGAAGCACGTCTTGGTGGGAGGATTGCAAGCAAGACTTGAGCAAGTCGAACAGTAGAGATCATCAGAAACCCGAGGGCTCACCTGACCCACACAACCCCTTGCACATTCCATACGAGCACCATCAAGGACCTATCGGTATGCAAACACAGACTGTGGCTCAACACCACTTGCCTGAGAAGTATGGAACATCTGCCACGAGTCAGATACAGAGCCCTCAGATACAGAGCCCTCAGCATGTCCCGTCTGAAAAATCTGGACACGCTGCTGAGACACAGGTGCAAGCTGCTCAACACAATATGACGGCGAAGCTCGAAACACCTGCCAATGTTCAGCAAACCCACCAGCACGACGCACTGGAGAAGTCCTCAGAACCTCTCGATACTCAGACACAGAACCTACAGCATGCATCGCCGGAGAAAGTCAACGTGCCAGCTGTTTTTCAGACACAGACGCCGGAAAGGTTGAAAGACCTGCTGAGACACAGCAGACTCCTCAACACATTGCATCCGACAAGCCTGAAGTACTGGCCGTCACGCAGCCACAGGTCGTTCAGCCCATTCCTACAAGTTCTGCCGCGAACCAGACTCAAGCTCCTCCATCAATCTCACTCGAAAAGCATGAAGAGCCTACAGGGCCTCAGGCAGCACAAGCTGTCCAGCAGAGTGCACCCGAGAAGTCTGCCGAAATTCAACAGGTTTCTCAGCCCAGCGTACCAGAGAAGCCAAACGAGGCCCAGGCACAGCCAGAATCTCAGCACGTCTCGTCGTGAGTATGGCGATGGTTTAAGCATAACATAGCAATGTAGACTAGTGAGATAGCAACCTAATACCTACGCCATTTAACCTTACCTGGTCTCATAAGATATTCTCTATCAATGTGGTCCGAGGCTGTCAAACATAGTGTCTCTTGATAACCATGAACTTGAGAATGTGAATATGAGCACATCTCGAAGTCCCTAGCTTCGATACTGCCAAGCATGGTGTTGATCAAATCAAAGGATTAAAAAATCGAAGAGACAATCATGAAGAAAACGCCTTTCAATATTTTTTGAAGCCTTGCGTAAGTTGTACAGGTGGAATAATACATGCAGAAATACATCTTATATCACGGAAAGATATCATAATCCTTTTTAGATGCGGGTCTTGACAGTCCCCTTCTCGAGCTCACCAATGATACCACCGCCACTCAGTGTCCACTTCTCTGCGACCAAGTTGTCATTGACGGTTTGACGCAACATACCGCTCTTGGCATAGTATTCCATGATGCTGCGGGCCTCTTCTCTGCTCAAACCCTTGATCTGCCAGACATCGACGCCGTTCAAGACGTCAATGCTTCGCTGGTCGACCTTGACCCAGGGGTCCCATTGGGGAGCTTCTTTCTTCTGTGCGAGGGCGGCGTTGCGAGCCACGGCATGGTCGAAGCCAGAAATTGAGGGTCTGTTGCTGCCAGAGTCGGCGGCGAAGATCATGCCGCCATTGGGCAGGGTCTGCTTGCCCGACAGCAGTTTGAAGAAGTGGTTTACAATGGCCAGGTCGTGAGCATGGATGGGCTGGACGTCTGGGTTCATGTATGCTGAGTCGCGCATAATATGGGCGACAGAGTCGATGGTGAAGACGACAGGGGGACGGGAAAAACCTTCACCTTTNTGCGAGGGAGCGGTCAATTCAGCCCACAATGCGTTGTAGATCTCGCAGGCGATTTCTGGGTCTTGGGCGCCCATCATGGCGAAGCGGTCGAGAGAGATGTTTGACTGGACAGGAATGGACAGCTCGTGCTTTCGTGACAGGCGCAGCTTGGACAGGACTGTGTGGTTGGCTTTGGCGATTTGGCCCAGCAGGGCTGCTGTGAAGTGAGGTTGGTTGAAGATGCCGGGTTCGTTCGAAGGTGCGTAGGACGAGTTTCCGAGGATCAATTCTTTGGCNTGTACGAGCAGTTAGTATACTCTGATCCTTTCTTTCGCATGGTATTCTTCTGCAATGCCCTTACCCTCGGGGATGTGTACAACGATCCAGCCCTTGAGCAGAGCCATGGCCTTGGCCTGCAGGGCCAAAACACTCTTNCCTGAGCCACGCTCTCCGTATATGACACGACGCACAGAAGTCTTGTTTGCCTCAACCTCCTGCATCAATCTGGCAAGTTCGGCTGTCTCTTTGCGTACCAGAGTCGCCGGTCTTCGGAAAAGGCTCCATCCTTGGGTAGGCTTGAAGGCTTCAGTTGCGCGCAGAGCATCAATGACTTCGTTGCTAAGGCCCAGGACCTGACCCTCAATAGCAGCATCGTGGATGTTGGCGGCAGAAAAGTTGTCTAGACCCTGAACCTCGACGGCGTTGGTGTTGGACAGGACAACTCTCTTGCGCATAGCCTTGCGCTCGCCCTCTCCCGGTGGTTTGCCCGTTCTTCCTCCAGCTTGTCCCTTTCTGAGTTTCCCTTGCTTGCTGAATGAAGCGTTGGCTCCACGGCCGGGTTTGGCGACGGAGACGCTCTTCTTCTTGACGGCAGAGTTGGCTTCCAGAGCGGCGCTGGTCGAAAATGCTGCTGTCGCTTGTGCTGTGATTCGTAGCGAGCTTTGCTCTAGTGTGCCTACTGCTGGCCTGGCCAGGCACCGCAGGCAGATTGATCCAGACATGTCGCGACAAGAGAACTATCTATACCACACATGCGTGCTCGTGCCCGTCAACTTTCAAAAGTCCGCCGCAAGTGCCAAGCCAAACGCCGACTCCGCGACCTTCATAAATCTTATGCAATATTTATACAGATGATCCCGAGCACCAACAACATCGCATTATCATCATGTATCACATCATTTCAATCAGGCAAGTACAAGTGGATGTGTTTGAACTGTGTTTTATTCTTGTCGTCGTCAAATTTTTAGGAAAGGGGATATAACGTTTGTGCAATAAAGAAAACCTGGCCGTCCGCCGTCCTTTTTACTCCTATGTCATTGAATGCAAATTTACATGTTGACAGAGGTGCGGAACTTGGTGCCGGCGTAGACAGCGTTGTCACCGAGCTCCTCCTCGATACGGAGGATCTGGTTGAGCTTGGCGAGACGCTCGGATCTGGCGGGAGCACCAGTCTTGATCTGGCCGGCACGGAGACCGACAACGATGTCAGCAATGGTGACATCCTCAGTCTCACCAGAGCGGTGAGAAACCATGACACCCCAGTTGGCACTGAAGGCGTCCTTGGCGGCCTGGATGGCCTCGGTGATGGTACCGATCTGGTTGACCTTGAGGAGAAGGGCGTTGCAAGCCTTGGTCTCAATGGCCTTCTTGATGAAAGCGGGGTTGGTGACGGTCAAGTCATCACCAACGATCTGGTGGTCGTAGACCTTGGAGAAGTAGGTCCAGGCCTCCCAGTCATCCTCGGCGAAGGGGTCCTCGATGGAGACGATGGGGTACTTGGAGGCGAGCTCCTTGTACTGGTCGGCAAGCTGCTCGTAGGTAACCCACTTCTCGGGGTCGGACTCGGGGTTCTTGAAGTCAAGGTCGTACTTCTTGGCGTCAGTCTTGTAGAACTCGGATGAGGCAACGTCCATGGCGATGTTCATCTTGCCAGAGTAGCCGGCCTGCTCAATGGCCTCGGTGATAAGCTGGAGAGCCTCCTCGGCGGTCTGGATATCAGGGGCAACACCACCCTCGTCACCAACGTTGCCAGCAGACTGGCCGTACTTCTTCTTGGCGAGGGTCTTCAGCTTCTGGTAGACCTCAGCACCCCAGCGCATGGCCTCGGTGAAGGTAGGGGCGTCCCTGGAAGTAACGGTAAGCCAATGTTCCGACATAGTATGATTCATGGGCAAAACTTACGAAGGAACGATCATGAACTCCTGGAAGGCAAGACGGCCACCGGCGTGGGAGCCACCGTTGAGGACGTTCATGAAGGGAACGGGGAGGACGTAGGGCTTCTTGGTGCCGGCAAGGTCAGAGATGTGGGCGTAGAGAGGGACACGCTTCTCGGCAGCGGCAGCCTTAGCGACGGCCATGGAGACACCGAGGATGGCGTTGGCACCGAGCTTGGTCTTGTTGGTGGTGCCATCAAGCTTGTTCATGAAGTTGTCGACGGCGCTCTGGTCCTTGACGTCGAGGTTCTCCTTGATGAGGGCAGGAGCAATGACATCGTTGACGTTGGCGACGGCCTTGAGGACACCCTTGCCACCCCACTTGGTCTTGTCGCCGTCACGGAGCTCGCAGGCCTCGTGGGAGCCGGTAGAAGCACCGGAGGGGACAATGGCACGGTGAAGACCGCTCTCAGTGACTAAANNATCGCCAGAAAGTTAGCCAAAAGGCCAAAACAGAGCATGAATGAATTTTTCAAGCGCACCGAGGTCAACCTCTACTGTTGGGTTACCGCGCGAGTCGTAGACCTGGCGGGCGTGGATCTTCTGGATAGGCATGGTTCTGGGAGGAGGGGTGTTAGTTGGGGGTCCGGGAAGCTGTCAGGGCGGTAACGCGGGGATTTTATGGAGAGACGACGATACAGTAGCTCCGGAACGATGCTTCATGCTCAATAGTGAGGCATAGAAGGGTCCTCGGCTATAGCAGGGTGAAGAATGGAGGAGTGTTGTCTTCGGGCAGAAACGGAGAGCTGAAGCTCGATGGTTCAAGATCTCCGGACACGCCCCACAATTGACGACCGTGTCAAGCTCCTAGAGTTCCCGGGGAGGTGGAGGAAGGTAGTTCTTACATTTGTGAAGTGGTTTGTTGATGTAGAAAGGGAAGAGAGAGTTGTTGGTGGACGACAGCAGGACTTTTGAGCCCTCAACCCCTCCTCAGACCCAACAAAGCTGCTGCAGTCTGAGCACAGGCCATCGGACTTCGACTCACCTTTCTTCACGTTTCCAGGGTGCTCCCCGCCGTGATCGGGCCGAGAGAGAGCTGTTGCTTCCAGCTTGCTTCACCTGTTTATCACGACACTGACAACATGAATTCAATTCTGTTCTGTTCATTCTACTGCCATAACGTGATATTCATCTGCTGAGCTGTATCGCCAGCCGCAGAACCGCCAGAGTGTTGGGACTGCCAGCCGCTCATGCTCTACTGAGCATTATCTTCTTTTGCTTCTTTCCTTGACATATCAGTGTGTGTATCGGCCTGAGCGGAGATTGCTCACACTCCCGGCAGCCCGTACCCGTGTCGCAGCCATCATGTATCACTGGCGGCCAACCCCGTTGTACGAAGTCCGGTCACCACATTCTATGACTTATGACTGAATTCATCTCTCGCGACGACTCTCTAACACCCTTTCTGAGAGGACAGTCTGATCAATGCTTATCGCCGACATCTCCTGACTCTGCTCAATCTGCTTGATCGCTAAAATTATCACCAGCCAGTCTGTTACAGAAGCGCACCTCTCATAGACTGCGTCTTCTACTCAACCAAAGCGAAATAAACAAGAAACGTCTCGGTTGCTCACAGCGTCAGAGACTATCAGGGATCACGAAACATAAGATGTATCAACAAGATTTTTGGAACTCAGCAAGATCGTATACCGAGTAACGTTTTTGTATTTTCGTTTCTCCAAAAGACATGCCAGAGGCTCAGCATTTTACCTTCCGACAACGCGAATGATGCAAAAGAAAGAGAAGAGAAGAAGTTATCCAGCCAAGCTCTAGCGCCGACTGACTACTCTCGCAGCTTAGATCAAGGCCTAGTAGACCTGACCAGGAGCATCGCCCCAGCCGTTCCAAAGCTTAGGGTGGTACTTCTTTCCCCAGGAAGAGAAAGCTGGGTCAGCCTCGCGGCGGTAGACCTGACCAGGGGCGTCACCCCAGCCGTTCCAAAGCTTAGGGTGGTACTTCTTGCCCCAGGAGGAGAAGGCTGGGTCGGCAGCAGCCTCAGGCTGAGGTGCAGGGTTAGCCTCGGCGGCAGGGGGAGGCCATAGCGACAGTGGCCAGGCCAGCGAATGCGATGGTGGTGAACTTCATGACGATTAACGTGTTTGTTCGAGGAAGAGAATGTGGAATATACTCTGATGGCGAGTGGTTAGCGAATCGATGATGGTTAAGGTCTCTTTTATGTTGTCTCGCTGGATATCTAGCATTGCAACAGTATATCAATAAGACTTGACAAAGGACTACACATTGGCCATGACTGGCAGTATGCCCTCGACTAGCCGGCTACAAGGACTCGACAATAAAGTCTCAAAGGATGTCTCTCACAGGCGTATTCGAACCACGACGAGGAGATTGGCAAGGCAACATTACTCGCAATCAACACAAGGAACAGACTCGGCAGCCAAGAATTGATCCACGACTTTTGTCTTTGGGCAAGCATCTCGCTTTGTACGTCGTAGCAAACGTCTTTGGAAGGTTGTCTTGGTATGCCGAATCCTGGCGTCAATAAGTCGAGTCGGATTTCCGTGTCTGGTGCTCAATAAGAAAATCCTCCAACCTCGAACTCTACCTAACAAAACATTTTCTCTGTTCTCGACTGAGCTTAATGCTCTAGCCAACAGAAACAGAAGTGTAAACCTTGATCTATTGGCCGAGAGCGATAGAAAGAACCACCCGGATCGATTTAGTCAAAGAAAGACCTTCTCAGGGCCTAGCTCCTTCCTTGTGAATGCGTAGTGTCTGCCGTTCATCACTCGGACCTCGACCAACGTTTGCTTCTGGGTCAATGGGCTCTCACTCATTTAGTCTTCACGGTTTACATTTTTCTCAGTAGTGTCCTGGATGGTGTAGTGGTTAGCCGCACACCTGAAACGCCATGAATACAAACGCCTAAGTCTTAAACACCAATCGGTGAGCTGTAAACTAGTTGGCCGGGGGTTCGATTCCCATCAGCACTTCTTCATTAAGGGTATTCGTTCCAGGACAGAGGTCTTCCAAGCACCATCCTGGTTCTTTTGCTCCTTCTCGGAGATGATCTGTTGACTGCTTGCGCTTGACAGCAACATTACGTTGTGTGAGTGTCGAGTGAAGCATGAAAATAACCCTGATCTCACTTCTAAACGCAACTACCAGCAACGCACCTTCTGTTCACAGCACTCTGCTGAACGCAACTACCAGCACCGCACCTCCCATCCGCTGGTACAAAGTTACACAACCATCATCAATTCTTCACCCGACTGAATTTCACAGGCATCGAAAAAACATATGCCGGTGAGTCGATCCGCAACTATAGCTTCCAATTTTTATCGGTGTCGCTCATCAACACTAGATTGCGTCGCTTTCACTCAAGTTTCCATCTCGACACCATACAAGCACCTAGTCAATCATGGAAGACCCACACACTATCGCAGTCTTCGAGAGCATAAGATTGTCGCTTGGAAACTTTCTGCACTGTCTGGCGGTTGCTTCCATGCTCTGTTTTTTCTATGCGATGGCCACCGCGAATACCTACCACATCTATTACCGTGCAATCTCCCTGATGCTGGCCCCCACGATTGGCGTGCTTTACATTCTGTATCAGGCTCTCGCCGTCCAAGAAATCTCTTTTGGGGCATCGTCTGGGATTTCATCAACATTGTCATTGTCAGCAGCATGGTTGTACTGGAAGTCTTATCAGCTGTCACGGCTTGCAGACAAACTTTCGCCGGGGAAGGGCCCGAAATAGAAGAGCTCCTGCGAGAAAAGCAAGCCCGACTGAAAGAATTGGAGGATGTCCTCAGAAAGTGGGGGACATACTCAGCAGACAAGAGGAGATATTCCGCGAGCAGGGAGACACGCTCAGCGAGTGGGAGGAGGCACTAACCAAGCAAGAAGAAGAACTCAAAATGGAAGCGGAGAGAATTAAAAAAGCAGAGAGGCCAGATTTGGAGGATCTGGAAAGTCAGCAGACAGCTGAAGGAATGTCTTAAGGACATGAAGAAAGAGGCGTGATGAGACCAATGACTCTTACTGAGCCAGGCAGTGGTGACTGCATGCTTCGAAACACAGAAAAGACGAAGAGGAGGCTTGCTGTCGCTACAGAGAGAATAACCAGTGTTTAGATTGGTGGGTTTCAGAGGGAGAAAAATGATTGCTGAAGACATACAAAGGGACTCAACGTCGTGTGTATCAAATTGCAGACAAAACATCCACACCAAGCTCTGTTCATATCTAATGCATCTATTACACAACACTGACCAATCGCTGAAATTGCATGTATATTATGCATGCTCTTATACTGGAGAGAGTGGAACGGAATTATAGAGAGTTGCTGTTAGCGTACAGCTAAGGCTAGGTTTGAGCAGCACTCAATACTCTAGTAAGAAACGTCACCAAGTTAATTGGTTTGAAGCATCTGCTAATTGTTTCCTGGCAGCTCTAACGAGCAAGAGACCATCACAACATTTCGAACACTGCCAAAGGCGAAGTCAGGAAGACATTCATGGCTTATGGGGAAGATGAATGGCAAAAGAGCAAGGGCGGTACGGAGTACCTCTATGAATGGACTATAGCTTTCGAGATCGGCTATGGACTACACAAGGCGAGAACGCACTTAATGAAGAATACATTGGCAGCACAAGGATGGCTAGGGTTTCGTCGTGCTTGTTGCTAGTCATGTTCTCCTAAGCGTCTTGTCGTCTTCCATCTCGTTGCCGTATCAGTATACTCTTGATACAATAATCATGACCGTCTTCACATCTACAGATTGGACGCTTGGGTGTTCAATACTGTCGCGAGACCACAAGGTGTCCATCAAAAGATGCGTACAAGCAGATACCAAGACGCAATACAGATATGGTAGTTCCAGTATCGAAGAACCATCAGTGATAGCAATAGGGATGAACAGATTCGAATGCGGTCAACATTGCCCCTTCTCATTATTGACAACATCCCCCGATGCTGGAGATCATACAATGTGTGTTGTCAAGTGACCCGATGCTTTCAGCAAGGAGAGTAGCGTCTACTGATATCACGTACAACGGAGAGCTGTCTCGGTATCAATGTCTTGCCTCGAGAACGACTGTGCAACTAAACTAGATCCTACTAGTAACTTTGCGGTGCGGAAGAACAAGCCAGCGTTAGCAAAGACGTGATATCGCTTTCTCTGCTACCTAATCGCATGATCTAAGCGATCGCATAGGAAATCAAGCTTGTTGCATCCCCAGAATGATACGGTCCGGAATTCCAAGAGCAGTACTTCGTTCGTGATCCAGTGGAAAAGTTCACCAAGATGTTCGGTATTTGTGTAGGTTGGGAGCAGCGAAGTATTTGAGCATTGGGCTATAGGATAGACAGATGATAATGATGGAAAGGAGTCATGCTTAGCATGATACAGAGTCTGATGCCATATTTGTCGTGGCGTCTTGTCAAGACCCTCATTGGGATGGCAAGAACGTAAGAATCTGATTTTCGGATCCCATTCGCAACTTCTGCTTGGATAGATGGTTGACCTCAAGTCGATTGCATGTCGACGCGTCACCAAGTGTATCTGAAGGAAGGTATGATCAAGTCGACGCCTACCATACACATTAGCAGCAGTAACAGCTGGATACCTCTTTCCCTCGATACAGATGCAATCAGGCTTCCCTTTAAAAGGCTCCGTTCAAGCCAAACAAACCTGATCTTCGATACATCCATCCCTTCGAACACTCCCCTTCTGCTGCATCAGTATTCATCTCTGCTTCCATCCTGATTCATCGATATCGTTGTACCTTGCATCCAGATCACCAGGCTCGACCTCGTCGACGCCTCTCCTTCACCGACACCATCGGCCATCGGCCGTCATCCATCGTTCCTTGTCCATCTGGCATCAGCCACTATCATGCGGTATCAGTCTCTGATCATCGAGCATCGTACATACCCATCCATCGGAGCCTGTCGGCAGTCTGAAATACCTTCATCGTCATCGCCTTCCAACAGCCATCACCCAATGAGCCTCTTGTCATGATCAACCATCATCCCCAGTCGTACCGTACAATCGAGACACCTTCGACCTCAGCACAAATACCACACCGCGGTTTCGAACACGGGCCGAACTCAATCAGCCATGTCGAACCAGTCGATGCTTGAATGTCCTCATCATCGGTCTCTCTTATACATTCCTCAGGTGGGTGTCATCGGCGGTGATGATTATCGTGTTTCAATCCTATTCTTATGAAGGAAAAACATTTTTAACTGAGCCTGTGGCATCCATAAGTCAGCTTTCAAACGCTGACGCCCACAAGACAGGTTCCTTTACATACGATGAGTGGTCTGCGATGAGGATGGAACGTACCTTTTGGAAGCAAGAGAAAAGGAGGACCTGGAGGTTATGGAGAGCTTATATATACGAGTAGCGAAGAATCTCTCTTTCATCTGACAATGTTTGAGTCATCAGTGCTTTTGTTCCAGTTGTGTGACCAGTATGAGAAAGTATGAGTTTGTTGATGACCAACGTTAGACCGAGATGTCTTGGCCTCGGCTCCTTTCGTGGCGAGGAAAGAGCCTGCCATCTGGACGCATTCGTCATATCGATAGGAAGCAGCGTTGAGCAAAACATCAGTCGAAGTGTTGGAAGGAAAGAACTTCTCTATCAAACCTGAGCTCGATTAGGCCGTGGCGTAATCTTGCATCGCTCCTTCTCGCTTAACTCAATTCACTTCTGATAACCACATCAGCCTCACCAAGAAAAAGGGAAACTCTGACAAGCAAAAAAGAGAAATGAACAGAGGCATGCAGAAAAATCGAAAAGGAAAAAAATATATAGCTTTCTCTAGCTGTTGTACATGCAAGGTATGCATCTGTGGACAAGAATTTCATCATTTGAATTGTTAAAGGGGCTTTTGATGTTTTGCGTCTTTATACATAGCTAGAGACATGAGAAGTAGTGGAGTAGGATGAGTGAGGTATGTAGTAGAAGGAAGCATTTTGTGCGCATCCTTTTCTACAACATGACAACACCCACACCGCCACGCTGTCTGGCATCGACTTGGTTCTTGGCGTCGACACCAGAAGGCAGGTCAGCGGTACGGTAGTTGAAGAGGTAGTAGTGCAATTGTCCATCTCCAGGGCCGAACTTCTGGTCGGAAAGGAAGAGAGGGTTATCGAGGAGTGTGAGGGCGTTGAAGACATCGAATTTGACCNNTTTAGAAAGACATGTTAGCAATGTTGTTTCACAAAGGTAGGTGGTCAGAAAGGCTTAGCTTACCTGTTTGGCGAGAATCAAGGCGTCCTTGACCAGCAAGTTGAGACGAGCCTTGAGGACATCATCCTCGTCATTTTGTTTTTCAAAGGCACTTTCGGTGGCGTAGTAGAAGAGGTAGGCAGCACGGATTGTGCTCTGGTGACTAGCGTTATGAATCACAGAGCTTTCGAGGCTGTAAAAGCTGAAGAAGTCGGTGATCTTCTTGTTGGCGTCTTCGACGACGTATGTCCACACGACACGCTTGTTGCTCTTTGGGTCGACCTCTTTGTCAACGAACCAGTGCAGGACTTCTTCTTTATTGAACTCTTGTGCCATCTTGACACGCTTCATGTAGCGTTGCAGCAGGTCTGTGACTTGATCGGCGTCTTCTGCGCGCATCAGGCGGAGGCCAGGAGTCACAGTGCGCTCTGGCAGACGGTACTTTGAGATCTGGCGGATCTTGGTGCTGCCATGAGGAAGCGGGCTGAAGCCAACATTGTAGAGCTTTTCCCAGTCAAGAGCACGGTGGAAGTAACGGCAGCTAGCCACGGGCTTAGGCAAGACAACACCAGCGGTGTAGATGGCCTGGTAGATACCCTCAAGGTTGCAGCGACGAGTGATTTCCATGATAAGAACAGGAGCAAGACGCTTGCTGCGGAGCTTNTTGTGAACACACAGGAAGTTAATCTCCGCTGTGTTGACGAGACGATCGCGAACGTTGAGTCGTACGGGAACACCAGAGATGAAAGCAACCAGCTTGCGTGATTTGGTAGCACGCACACCAACATGCCATGACTTGCGCCAGCCAGGAGCCTTGAGAGCCCAGTTGAGAGTCTCGTTGAGGTAGTTGAAGCGGAACATGGCCTCGTCATCTTCGACATAGTGGTTGCAGAGCAGCTCTTGAACCTCCTTCAGCTCGGCCTCATCCAACAGGTCGATTTCAGACCACTCAAAACCGGCGACCAGAGGAGATGGGTTTGTAGAGACCTTGGCAGGATCGACTTCCTTGATGGGCCCTTCGACGACCGACTTCTCGGCGGAAGCAGCCTTCTCGTCAAAGCGAGGGACGGGCTGGGTGGACCAGAACTTGTAGTTGGCCATGTCCTTTGCGTTCTTTCCCGAGCTCATGCCAGTCATCAGATCTGCAGCGCTAACGGACTTGAGAAGTTCGCGCATGCTACGGGCGTCGAGGGATGTGCCACCCTTGAGCATGGCCTGGGCCAGGGCAGGATTGCTTTGTACCAGAGCATTGATTTGCGAGTCGGACAGTTTATCGACGGTCGAGGCGGGTAAAGGGTCTTCGGCGGATGTAGGAGCGGCAGGCGACTTGGAGGATGATGCGAGGTTCGAGACGGCATCCTTGATCTTCTTCTTCTTTGACTTTTTGGCGGGTGCTTGTGTCGAGTCGTCGTTGTTGTCTTCTCCGCTTGACTCGGCGACCTCTTTCACTCCTCCTTTGGACTGTTCCTCGGACAGCTTGAGGTGGTCGACAGCATCGTTCAGAGCTTCCTGGTTGACAGGAGCGTCTATGGGTTTGGATTCTTCCTGAGGCATGTTGATAGCTGATGTAAACAAGTTGCTTGTTCAATGCGCGCGAAGCTCCAGATGCTTCTCGGACCCTTGGTGGGGCTGCTCCGTCACTTCTGACCGACCCGACTCCACAACACCTTTATCCATTATCAACAACTCAATCCTTCATCTCACATAGTTTACTGTATCAGACTGAATCACTGTACCTCCCGCTACATAAAAGACATTAAATCATCAATGCCCGGGGACTACGAAGGTTCAGGAAGTGAAAAGACTTGACTCTTAGCAGAGCAAAACTTATAGCTTTGGGAGAAGAGATTATTTGATTAATCGTCATCGGCCTCTTCCAGCTTCTTAGTCCCAGTACTTGATCAAGCCATCCAAAGCACCTGTAACAACCTTGGACGTCTCCTTGGGCTGCCATTGCGCAGCAACCACAGCAGATTCACTAGCCTTGATCTTATGCCACATCTTGCACGTCTTCCAATCGTAGAAGCACACGTAACCGCCGCTGTCTCCAGACATGACCATGCCACCATCAGGACTGATAGCCACATCAATGGCATATCCGGCATTGTTGTGTCCACGATAACTCTTCTTTCTGTTTTGTCTGAACCTTTCTGTAGATGCATACACGACGATTTGGTTGTCTGAGCTTTGGAAGGCGACGTATTTTCCAGATGGGTGTGGACTTGAGCGTACCATGGGGAACATGTAAGGTTCGGCAACAAACTTGATAGGCACGGGGATACCGTATTCCCATGCGCGTAAACTCTTGTCGTCTGAAGTGGTGATGAAACGACGGTTCTCGTCGCAGAAGGTGATTGTGTTGACTGGACCCAAGTGATGGTCGTACTCTTGGATGGGTGACTCTCCAGGCGTCCTCGTGTCGAATTGGACAATCTTCTTATCGCTCATACCAGCCAAGAACTCTGTAGCCGAGTTCTGGTCAGGCTGGAAGCGAACGACGTGAGGAGTGGCACCAGTGCTGAATCGGCTGATACATTGGCCGGTCTCGGTGTCCCAGAGCTTCATCTGTCTGTCAAAAGAGCCAGTCATGAAGCGAGAACCATCGTAGTTGAAGCAGATATCTGAGACAGACTTTGTGTGGCCAGAGTAGGTACGCAGCAACTCTCGCTGGTGGTAAACATCCCAAATCTTGACCTTGCTGTCGGCAGACGCTGAGAGCAGCAGGTGCCCAGCGTCAGGAAAGAAGCGTAATTGAGTGATAGCTCTGGTGTGTGACTTCCAGGTATGAAGCAACTTCTTGGGCGCATAGTTCTTGTAGTCGTCTGGCAAGTCGCCTCGTAGATCGACATCCAAATCCTGTGGTACATGCATGTACGTCCTGCCCTGGTAGTCGTACTGCTGGCTTCCATGGAACTCGGTCGTCTCTTTGGAACCATCTGACTCTACGTAGGCAGTGCCAGCCTTTGACGGAGCTGCGGGCTGCGGCGCAATTTCATCCTCCTCGTACTCGACCTCGACCTCCTCTTCGCTGCCTGAACTGTCGTCAGGTCTTTCGACCTCATAACGCGCCCATGGTCCCCTGTATGCGTTTGCGCCGTAGACAATACCGCTGTCGCCTTTTCCCTCTCTCTTGCGCTTTTTGGTCGGCGGCTCGTGGTTTGCTTCGACTGCTCGGTGGGCGTTGCGGAAGGCCGTCTCGCTGATGACAATCTCGTCGGCGTAACCAGTAGGCACCTTGCCTTTGGTGCTTGTCCGCTTGGCTAACTCTAGTTGTTGGTCTGCCATCTCTGGTGTGTTGTGAGGAATGTAATGTTTGCGACAAAGTGCTGCGTCACTGCTGCTGGGCAAAGCACAAGCCATGACAGGGTGTCCCACAGTCACTTGCAATCTGACGATCGTCCCTTCCTTCCAACTAGTACAACGTAGACTTCTTATCCTTACATTTGCCTGCGGCGTAACAGTGATTCTATTTTTTTCAACCGTCGGCCTCCCAAGTGTGTCCACAAAAACAAACCCTTGTCATACTGCCTCTGCCCTCAACCAAGTATCATACTCACCACGTGAATTGCTGAAAACCAATAGTTTCCTCGATACGAGGCCATATCTCCTCGGCTTTCAGGCCTGACACCCGGGGGGCGTCGAGGGTATAGTGTATTTACTGGAACGTCGACATGTCTGTAGCCTTTATCTTATCAGCTGCAATATCCAAGCTGCTTCATCGCAAGCACATCTCAGGACACTCTTCGACACCAACATGGTCGATCTGAATCTTGATCTTGCTGCCGCCTCCAAGTTCGCTGCCATCGTAAGTAACAGTCGTCTGTCTGGTTGCTTTCAGCATCTCACGCTGAGTGGAGTCTCAGCGCCCGAGTACGTAGCGTGTTTGGCTTCTCCTCATTCGTAGCCATCGTTTAAGAAGTCAATCTGCACTGGTACAGGCTCCGAAGACATCCAGAAAGTGCTGTCGACGCTTCAAATGCTTCAGAGAAACGCTTGTTCGATCAGGTCTACCTCGCCGTCTCTTTCGTTCCGCTTCGGAGCCTGCCTCTTCATGGCCTTTGATCCTCGCATTCGTCTTTGCGAAAGGTCCTGACAGTCGTACTTTGCAGACCGTGCATCTCGAGTACATCTCTCAAGGAACGTCACGTTTCATCTGATCTTCGATCGTCTGGAGGAGCCCGGCGGACGATCAGAGAATATCTATGAACATAGCTTAGTACTGAACCAAATATACGGTTTCGGCACCTGCGTTGGCCGGAATACGGTATCGAGAGAGGAGTAAAGTTACCATGCCATGAGCTGTAGGTGTGCTACAAGACTGTCCTCAGCTCGTCATTTGGAACGTCAACCAGCGGCAGACTCTGGTTGATATCAAGGACGACCACTCGAGGCGCAGCAAGAAAGATGGTCGTTGTTTGTTTCCCCTATTGCGATCAGTCTTGTTGGCAGAGTCGCAGGACGATAGCGTTCGTTCCTGGCTAGAGGTAGCCGTCCACCGAATCAGTGCTTGTGGGCAAGGCCTGAGAGGCTAGTATGGACGTGACAGAGATGCGTTTGCGTTGCTTGAGACGTATTCGACTAGATGATGGGTATACAAGAACCATGTAGACAACAATTTGGTGTCGAAGTAAAGAAACGCGCTCAAAACATACACGAGGGTGGTGTTGCGACCGACATGAAGAGAAAGTGAAAACATTATAAAGAATAAGAAGAAGAGAAGTGATGTTTGAATGAGGTTTTCTTTTCAGCACTATCAGGTTTTCTTGCCCAACTCCTGCTCCTTGATGTTGAATTACAAAAAATGCTCAAGATGTGATGAGATGTCCCTGCCCATGCCCGATTCCTTGCCTTTTGCTTGTGTCTGTTTTGTTGTTTTGTTTATCCATCCCAAAATCTATGCCTTTCCTTGTTCCAAAGATGAAAAAAGCTTTCCGAGTCTTCCCAGTCGCACACCACCGCCTGGTAGAGACACCAACTCTGCAGCCGCCAGCCACCAATTCAATGTCCCGAGTGTTGATCAAGCGAACCAGCTGAGATAGTCTTCTGTCCCGAACACCCGACTTCAGAGCGAGCCAGTGACCATATGCAGAAAACTCTTCCCAAGCTCAACACCTTGTAGCTCTCTCAACCACCATCAGCGAAATGAGTTCTGCCAGCGGCATACGTCAAATCGGGATGTTTGCTTTTTCGTCCCCCAACCTTGACGTTCCACCACTGTTTCCTGGTTTTGCTCAGGTTTCAGAAGAAATCGCTGACTCTGTTCTTCAAAAGCACGCCGATTTGAACTGACTTTTTGAAAGCTGCTGACCCTCATATGCAGTCCACCTCGAGTGCGTTTTTGGAGCTTTTCCCAAGTTCTCCAAGTCAAACACACCGAGATGAACGCTGAGATGGCCATGTGTGCAGGTTGCAATCGCAAAAGATGCAGAACAGGGATCATAGTTGCAGTGCTGATGAAGAAACAAGAGCCATTGAGACCAACTTACTTTTGTGCTTTGCAGAAAACGAGTGGCTTCTGTACTCGGTTGGTTCGCGTACTTCGCATGGAGAGATGAGCCGGTGCTTCGCAAGTAAAGAGCCTTCGCTGGTAATGTGCTTTGTTGCTGAGAAGTCGAATGGCGGACTGCTGATCTCGCTTTACGGCTGTAATTCGCGAGACTTGTGCTGTTGGAACAATGGCAAGAGTGTTTTTGGCAGAGAGAGGGCTTCCTTCCCGAGCAGCGAATGTTTGAGACGAAAGGCCCAAAACGCCGAACCGCTGATGTGCCAAAAGATACCTGCCCCTGAACCTGAACCTGTTGAGCGTCAGTCGTTGAGTTGAGAGGATATTTCTGCTGGATACTGACCATGATAGTGCCGAAACCTCAATTTTTGTCGAAAAATGAGCTTGGTAGAGTGAGAAGAGGGGAAAAACGTTGAATTGTTGTGAGAGATGTTGTTGGCGAGACAGAAGATGTTGTTGACGAGAGAAAAGATGTTGTTGGCGATGAGAATGTGTTGCAGATGAGTTTGTTGTCGTGAAAGATGTTTTTGGCGAAAGTAAATGGTGTTGCTGATGGATAGGCTGTCGAAAAATGTTGCTGATGAGATTGTTGTCGAAAAAATGGGTTGTTGTTGATGGTAAAAGTGTCTTGTGCAGCTTGTGCGATGGAGTGAAGTGAAGTAAAAGTAAACAAGGGGAAGAGTGGGTAGAATGTGCAAATTGAAGTGAGAGAGTCGAGTGCGGTAGTCCTGGATTGCTGTTTTTGTGAGCGAGAAAGTCAAAAAAGTGAAAAACACTCACTTCTGAAGAAAGCGAAAAGAAAGCGCAGAGAGGCTGTGTTGGCATGCTGAGAAAGATGCGCAGTGCGAGTGAGAAGGCGAAAGCTGATTGACAGCTGAGAAAAAGCGCCTATACGCGGTGTAAGATGAAGTGAGCTTAGTGAATAAGATCAAGACACTTACTTGATGGGATGTCAAAGATCTTTGAGAAGTGGTCGATGAGCCTTGATGACCAAGGTAGTGTGGATGACCAAGTTAGGTGACGAAGTCTGATGGTGGAAGTCGAAGATGGTTGACCGATGAGGAAGACACTCGATGCCCAAGATGTGTAAGAGGTGTTTGTTGTTGATCAGACTTGATGCGCAAAGGCAAGAGACGCGTCAAAAGGTTGTTGTGCGCATGGTGAAAAGGTGCTGCGCGCAGTGGAAGATGGAGTGCGCATGGTGGAAAGCAATGCCAATGATTGATGATGAAGATGGATGATGATCAATGATGATGAAGAAGGAAGACCAATGATGGAAGGAATGTCTGAAGGAGATGTGATGATTCTTGGAAAGTGGAAGGAAGGAAGGAAGAAAACTGGTGGACGGGTGAGATTTGGACTCTTTAAATAGTCTGTCACGAAAAAGTGAAGCGAATCCCTCTTTTCTTCTCGCGGAACTTGACCTCTGACATCCCACTCACTGGCAGAAAATGCCCTGATTATAGTCACCTATAAGCCATCTATGTAGCAACTGCAGTGTCTCCTAAGGCTTATTCCATGTCTACAATGCCCTCTTGACGGCCTAAGTTTGTTTCCTGCTATGTTGTGGTATAGAGCTCGTTCATGCGGCTGGATGGCGGCAGCAATGTGGGCAGTAACAACAAAGCTGCTGCGCGAACGACATGCGAGCAACGGCAAAGGCATGAGAGCACCGCGCTATGTGCGCAAACAGATCGCTACTTGTGCCNTGTCTACTATCTTCGTGTCTAGTCTGGTGCATCTGATTGTGCTGGCAGGCTTGCGCCGTCNNTTCGAGCGGCTCAACGTGGCGGCAACAACCAGTACACCATAACCCGCGTATCACCAACCTCAACCTTGACTGACATGTACCAGAACAGCTCCACTTGTATTCACAATTGAGGACCCAGTCGCCTGTGGCAGACTCATCCATCAACCAGTCTTTGACGGGACCACAACTTTTACCTTCAAATCGGGTAACACTCCCCTGAGAAGGCTCCATTGAATCCAGCGCCCTCTGCTGACAGATGGTTTAGTCCCATAAGTGCCTCGCCGACCGTCAGCCGCCAGCCGCAAGCCGCAAGCCATATCCAGCATACTCGACTCTACCTACCTGCTACACCATTGAGACGTAGACAGCCGATCCACGATTGAGAAACACAGCAGCGCACTTCCAGCGANNGGACCTTCGAAGCAGGTGTCGTACACAACTCGCAACTCACGCCAATATACGCCGACCTGGAGCAAGCAACCTCAACTGCATTCGACACCACAANTCCTAAGCTCTTTCGTGACTCGAAGACCGCAGCAGACAAAAGAAAAGAGAAGGAAACAGGAAAGGAGTTCAGAGATACGATCCAGGATATGGAAGTCCTGGTATACACGTCCTTCGAAGCAGAGCCATGCCCAGCGGACATGATGAGAAAGCCTGACTTCGTTTGACGGCTCCACTCACCTTGGAAGGCATCAGACCTTCGAAGACCGTACGATACCTTACAAGAAGAAGAAGCCCGGGTCAGGAGCAACAACTCGTTTGTAGACCAAGGTGTCTTGTGTGATATCTCAACGGGTTTGCCCCTCATGTCTTGAACAAGGAGCCGAGAGGTACCTCAAGACAACAGCATACAGAGAGCTGTCGCGATTTTGAACCCTTAAGATTATAGAACCACCGTGCCCTCATAAAGAGCCAGGCCTCGAGGCCGGTCATGCATGAATGTCATCAAGTACTGAGGTAAAGAGGTCCTTCACCAGCGTCCAAGGTTCTGTCCTGTAATGTCTTCGTGTCGCAGCAGTTGGATCGGGATATAAAAACCGAGAAACGAATGAATCAACATAAAAGAAGGAAGCAAAACAGTAGGTGAGGTTGAGTTGGAGCATGGGGTTGGAGCTTGGCTTGCATCGGCCCGAGTCTGAGTCTGAGAGCATTCTCGAGGCCTCGGGTGAGCCAGTACATGGCTGCCAGCATCTGAACAGGTTCAAACCACTTGTTACATACGTGTTAATCATGCCGATTCAGGAGAATATTCCAGATACTGAAGAGACGTGTCCGGTTTAGGCATCAAGGTCAATCTACAAGTCACACGACCATTTCCTCCGGAGAGTAGACTGGCCCTACAGATACATGTTTGCCCAGTTGCTCGGAAAGAGAAGCTTTGTAAGGAACGTTTCGAACAAAATGTCTATATGATCGTATCGGAGGTATCTTTGCATCATGACAAGGCAAGTTATTGCGCCACCGAAAATCAATGCGCATGCTGTCTCTCCCTGCATCAGTCATACCCCTTCCAGCGCTTCCTGCGAAAGAAATCAAGAGCACAAAGAGTATCGTCATCCTTGCACCTCGATTCCCGGACTCATGCTTCATCAGCGTGAAGTGTAAAAGAAAAGCGACCCATATGTGCGCCGTTTTGTGACATGAACATCTCTCGTCTTTAACCTATACCAGCCAGCCAGGGAGCTCAAGCATGCGCGCATGCGACCGCAGAAGCGAAATGTAGCATGCTGTAGCGGCAGCAAATTTGAGGTTGGAAGGGTGTTTATTGGCGTGGTTTGGCAGCGATAATTTAGTGGGACTCGTCGCGGATGAGAGCGACAATCATGCTGTAGAGGTAGAAGAAGAACATGACGAGGTGGAAACCGAGCTTAATGAAGGATTCNCTGAAGCTTTTGTCAGCTACCTGCAAGTCTGGTAGGAATGCGGCGCAAGAGCTTACCTTCTTGTGAACGTTGAGCTTTCTGAAAATCTCAGTGGCATCCAGAAGGTGCTGGTTCTCGAAGATCNNCTGTATCTTGTCAGCACGTGTTGTAGGGGAGAAACTGTAGAAGACTGACTTCTTTGCGTTCCATGCAAGCAGAGGCAGGTTGAGGATCAAGGCGATCCAGTAACCGTTGATGAGGAACAAGATGGTGAGGAAAGCGTGGACGGCAGCTTCGGGGACAATGTAGGTGTTGAGGCGGTTGCAGAGGTCAATAGGGTTGATGTAGTCNGCTACAAGGACAACAGGTCAGCATGGAGCTAGGCAAGGCGGTGTAAGGGCAGCTCGGGCATACCATTCCAGATCGCTGTACATAATGGTGAAGAAGACTTGAAGGAAGAGGTTGACGGCATTGATGAGCACCGCTATCAGGTATAGCCAGGCTTCTCCGGACATGATTGCGGGAGAGGATGAGAAAACGCGTCGGTGGTTGTGGTATTGGAGGTCGTCGTCGACAAGGCGCGTGAGCACGAAATTGTACAGATGAAGCTTCGGCGGTGTAGGCGGGAAGTCGGAGATATGTTCTGACGGGTGCAGAGGTGTTGTATGCAAGAGGATGCCGGGTCGAAGAAGGAAGATGGCTGGAATCGATGCAAATTAGTTGGGACTTGCCAGCCTCAAGGCCAAAGCGCAACGCGCCCAGAAGCCAGAAGCTGCCTCGCTCCTTCTTCTGTCTCGAACCCAACTGTCAGTGTGGGGTTCCTTCCACTCTCACGTCACTCAAGCCAACTTTTCATGATCAACTTGGAAATTGCTTCAAGTGTGTGCAATAAATACATTATCGCTTATGCTCTTTGACCATAAGCTCGAGAAGACTCGCAACTACAACTGTACAGACAATCGCAACAGCCTCAATCCGTAAAGTCATTAGTGCGTGCAAATGGCGGTATCCGTCTCCTCCAGCTCTGGGCCTCCGCCTTGTCTCAAAATATTGCATGACCTTCATCCATCTCCTCGAGAGCTCAAACCCAGCCCTTCCCTGCTCTCGACTCTGATGCTGAAATAGCCCTCAGGGCTTGCACTGCCCGAAGTCCTTGCCAACGTCCTCGTGACCAATGGGCTTTGTGTTCCATTGCCTGTCCCAGTCCTTCTGTGTTTCCTCGTTGCTGCTGGCGAAGCAGGCAACTCAAGGTATCGGTTCATGTTCATCCATACGGCCTCTTCATCTGCGCTTTCAGGGAACCTCCAGCCNCCTACGCCCTCAAAGTCTCTGTCTGTCCCGCTGCCAACCAGGCTTGCAAATGAAGGGGTCTTTCGAAGCGCTGCCGAAGGCGTAGGTGGTGTGTTGTGCTTCTTGCGTCGTGCGGGTCTGGCACTTGGAGATGCCAGAGGTGTGGGAGGTGACGATGGGACTATTGCTCCATTCAAAATGGCAAGGAACAGGTCGAAGTACACGAACAGTAGCCGTAGGAAAAGAGTGCCCAGCGCCAATGTGGTGGTGAAGAGAGCAAACAAGGCGAATGGAAGGCCCAGACAGAATAGAAACGACAGGCCTAGGAGCCTGGAAATGCCAGAGATCATGGCGTGCAAGCGACTGGCATGTATGGCGCTCGCATGCTCATCTCTCCATGTGCCAGGATCGCAAGTTGAGATGCAAGTGTAAGCAATTGAGCCGGGAGTTGCTTCCGTTGTGGAGCGCGAGATTGTGTGGGGAAGCTCTTGCTTTCGCTCTTGGTCGCATGCTTTGTCTCTTCTCACCTTGGTTTCTTTCTTATGATGCTTGGACGACCAAAAACTCAATTTCTACAGAGACTTCACGAACGACTTGTTGTCAGTTTCGGCACTGGAAAACATCCTCAATGCCAAAAGATCTTGTTGACAGTACCACCCTGACCTTCTTTGATTACATCAATGGTTTGTTTTGTATGGTATTGTCTCGGAAGAAGGTGTATTCTAGATACAAACAGAGATGCCATCGGACCATCTTCGCATCGTACCGCAACTCTTGCCTCTCGCTGTATGGGCTTATTATAGAGCTTCCAGAGCAATTACATTCGCGAATGAGTACCTTCCACACATGCAACGAATCTACATGGCAGAGGAAAGATACTGCGCATTGCTCGAATAGCGGGCAGTAGCACAATACAGATGGCCTGGTTGAACTTTTGGACGTACATCGAACGCGACGGGGTTATTGTTGCAAATGCAGCAGAGACCGATATCGTTATCACGTCATATTCAGTAGGCCAGACATCTGGCTGAATTGCGTACGCTTTGTAGCATTATGATTGCTTCGCTGCAAACATTCATAGCATTCGTGTCTTCTCGTCTCATCCTTCCTTATGCACCAATATTTCTGTCCATGTCGTTGTCACCACCGTATCCAGACTTTTGTCTCTCGCTCACGGGATCCTCAGTCTCATCCTGTGCCTTTGAGCCTGCACCGCTGCTGTTTGCCTCTCCGAGACCAGTAGTCTGACCTCCCATGCCGTTCTCGCTTAATGATTGTCCGTAGCGGATCTTCTCTGCCGTCTTCTCGCCATCTTCTGCTTTTTGGGCGGCTTCGACTTCGGGGACGGAATCGACAGAGGTCTCGGGGTCTNNGCACGTGTCAGTACAACTTGTTGAATAGAGAACATGGAGAAGGGTAAACTCACTGCCGAATTGACCACCTGACTTCTTATGCGGGATTGTGACGGTATTGATGGCTGTGTACTGCGATGTGCTGGAAGCGAAGGTATCGTTAACATCATCGCGAGAGTATGATGGACTTTTGGGATTGACTCACGAGCCCTCGGTGTCGCCTCCAGGTTGAGTATCCATCAGGTTTTGAGACATGGTTGCTTGTATATTCTTGTGGTAGAAACTGTGGTATTGAAAGTGTTGAGTGTAGAATGGCAGAGCTATTGGTTTGGTGATGCAGAAGGTCGAATTATAGGTATGACGTATTGCGGGGTATGTCGAATCGCGTGTCACGGCGCTTCTGCGGTTGAGCTCAGCGAGCTCTGTTAGCACCTCCCATGTGCTAAAGACAGTCACAATGTAGCTGTAGAAATGCACAATACTCTCGCGCAGAATACTGCCTCATAGAGAGAGCCCTAGTCAAGGCCATTTCAGCGGTGAGACTTGTTTTCGCATAGTGACTGTGCAATCTGATAGGCTCTAATAGCCCTTATAGCTCGAGATGGAGAAAGGATTTGTTGCAAAATGTGACTCTTTAGTACACGGGGAGGCAGTGTCACGCAGAATCGCAGTGAAGGAATCGGTAGGTGTCCTCGAATAAGGAGGTATGCAACTTTCTTTCGTTACCACTACGTACTGTATTTCACTATCATACAATCCATACTCATAAAACGTGAGGGGAACAGAAAAACACAAAAAAAGCAAGAAGTTCCCCTGAGCACCTACGCTTACATCCAACAAAATATCAAAAAGGAAACAAAAGGATGCAGATGAGGTTGACCAGGAGCAAGAGCATGAGCCAATGAGAGTATGCAAAACTAAGCAGATCCAGGCTCCTTGGGCGCACAGAAAGCATATCCAAGCAACTCATCAGCCGAAGGTCTCTTCTCGTGTTCAATCTCAAATGTCCGTTCGAGGAAGAACTTGGCGTTCTCACTAGCCTGCTCAGGCATGTCGGGACGAGCCTGTGCTGCACTGCTACCAATCTTGAAGATGGCTTGCAGTTGAGTGCAATTAGGGTGAGGATGCACACCAGTGAACATTTCGACAATGAGACAGCCGAGTGACCAAATATCTGCTTTGCGGGTGTAGGCAGTTTGCTTGACAACCTCAGGTGCCATCCAGAAGACCGAACCTTGAAGCGAGACACGGGGACCGGTGCGTTTGCCAGTGGGTGGAACGAGAAGACTGGAGGCTTCGACACGCTTACTAATACCGAAATCACTGATCTTGACGCTGCCGTGATTGTCGACGAGAATGTTGGCACCCTTGATATCGCGATGAATAATATCCTTGGAGTGGAGGTATGCCAGACCAGAGAGGATTTGCCTAACAAAGTTGGCAATCAGGGGCTCACCAAGAGAGCCGTAGTTGACGAGCATTGTGGCTACTGAGCCACCAGCGACGTACTCGAGGAAAATGTTGAGATGAGAATCGTCCGAATTCGATCCGAGGTACTGCACGATGTTGGGATGCTTAAGCTCGCGCAAAAGTCCTATCTCTCGCTTGAGAGCCTCTACCATGTTGTTTTTCTTGGCGTCGAGGTGTGTGCCGGAGGAAGAAGGCATTTCAACTTGCTTGCAAGCCATGAGCTCACCAGTGATAGCGTGAAGGGCAAGATAAACAGTGCCAAAAGAGCCTTGTCCGATCATGGCACCCTTCATGTACTTGAGGTTCTCCCAACTATCGTTTTCGAGATGTTCCATCAGCTCATCGTCAGATTCTTCGCCATCTTCAGCAATGACCTGACTAAGACGAGAGTTGAGAGATCCGCCATTCTCAGTGTTTGCTGGACTGGTGCTACCCGTATCATCAAAGTAGCTCTGCATAACGGTGTTACCTTCTGGATCAGTCACAGCAACATTGCGATCTGCCGAATCAGATCCGCTGTCAGCACCGAAAGAGACATAAGATTTGCGGTTGGGTTCCAGAGGCGACTCCTCATCTAGAGGCTCAAGGACAGATGATGTGATCGAGTCACGGTAGTTGGATACTGGACGACCAAGACGGACGACCGAAAGGGGCCGAAGAGGTTTTGGCTGATTGGCGGAGTTCAACCAGCTGTCGGCAATAGTGGGAAGGGGAGGAGCATCTTTAAGGCTCGAGGCAACGCTGAAGCTACTCATAGTACTCAGGCGGTTGGCAGCTCTGCTGAGTCTGCGTGAGCGGCGAATTGACATGCGCACTGTCTTGTCCATCTCTTCCNNCTTTTCAATGTCCGGGAAGTATGAGGTAAGGTCTTGAGTAATGAGCTCGGTAGGTGGGCGAGCGCCATAGAACTCTTTGAGTTTGCGTGCTCTAGCACCGGCGGTATTGATGGCGGGCTGAGCAGCGAAGTATGAGTTTCTCTCACGCTCAAGTAACGAGGCAGGAGACATCGGGTAGCTGACAGCAGCCAAAGGCTCGCCAATGAGCTGCTCGATCTTAAGGTGGGATTTTGACTTGTTGATTGGTTGCTGTACCTCGATTGCAGGTGGCGAGGGGGCTTCCTTCTCAGCGATTTTAGCGGCGATGCGCAGCTGCTCCCCTTCAGGCTCGCCAGCATGGATTTTGCGGAGCATGAGACGACCTCTTTCACCACGCACACGATCGTTGCAAATGCGAAGCAACTCGGTATCACCCAAACGACGACAGTACTTGGGATCGGGGTTATAACCATCAAGGAGATAGAAGCAAAAGTTCTTGACGTGGTTTTCGTTGAGAGCACCCTTCTTAAGGGTCTTGAGAACAATGTCGTCGGCAGTCTCGCAACCTTCGATATTGATCATGGAAGAGCGACCACTGTCAAAGATGACCCGGATCAGAGCCTTATCGGCAGGCAGAGCACTGCTGTAGGTGGCAAGATTGTCGACGCTGGGACTTGATCGTATATGACCGGCGACCGGACCAGCGAAGCGTGGAGGGGTTTCACCGGGCGTAAGCCTCTGAGATGGCTTGGGAAGGTATGGTGTACTATTGCTCTTTTGCATGGGGACACGAGAGCGGTTCTCTTGGTCTATTAACGGCGAAGAAGGGCGGGAGTTTGCTTTTGCAAGATCTTGACCATCGATGCGACGGGAGAGGCGTTTGTCGCGAAGGGAGGTAGGAGGAGGTTGTGTTCGCGTAGTGGAGAGGACGGCTCGCTCGCGCGGTGATGAGGCTGGGGGAGCATTTGCTTGAGCGTTGCCATCGAGTGTAGCCAGGGAGAGCNNTGTTCGGTCTCGTTAGCAACTGGCAAAGTGTGTGGTCGTGTGACAATGGCATACCCTATTCATGTTCCGCTTACTCGTCTTCCTATAGACGGTTGTCCTGAACAGCTTGGCCTGAGAACCAATGCGGACTCGGTCGCCGATTTTGTTGACACCCATCTCTTTTAGCGTAGCAGGATCCATGTCCATAAGGTTCTCGCCAGTGATGTTGTTNACCTGCACGTCCTTTAGTTTTGCATAACAGTATGAGAGGCATGGAAGAAGCTTACTCTTGAAGATGTCGACATATTGACCGCAGTTGATACTGACCAGCCATTCGCCAACACGTTGTTCGTCCCAGTTTCTGCGAGTACATGTCAGCCTTTGTGTGCAAGTTGTGCGCTAATGTGTGCGTACTTTNACTGTATCAGACATTCTGGAAGAGTCTGAAAACTCGGATTCGGTAGGACTGCCATAGACTCCGTTGTTGTTGTTGCGGTAAGCGGGCGAGGTGTTTTGATAAGTGGCCCCTCCCATGGCGGTGGGAAACGAGGGTTTGGAAGCCAGCATGGCCATTGTTGGACGACAAAGGTCAGGGTCAATCGAGAAGTGCGCAAGAGGCGTCCGGGGCTATTGCTTCATTGTCTGCGTAGACAAAGCACTCGTGGGGATGGTGTCGTTCCGTATGCCGAGCGTGGGCGTGTCGTGATAGAGCGAGAGAGCGGCGTGACAGGTGACGGCGAGTTGCGGGTGTGCGGGTTTATGGCCTCTGTTGTCGCTCGTGTTTCAACGTCCAGGTCGTCACCTCTGCTTATGTAGATAGCTGAGACACTACCAGCCGAGCAGTCGCAGCTCTGGATGATTTGCAGAGGATGAAACGTCAGAGCGACAATCACTCGGTTATGTCGGATTGTGATGTTTTCGCCGTGTCACGGTGCAGCGAAGCTCCAAGAAGCTGACCGTCTTTTCCAGCACGACAAGGACGCTCGACGACACCGACTTGCTGTCAGGTCAGAGCAAAGTTAGCACGTCGACGTCGAAAAATAGCTCTCCTTGTCGTCGTCGCGTGCGCCCGTGCCAAAGCCTCTCATGCCTAATCGAATCCCTTGATAAGTCGCACTAACTGAACATGAAACGCGCCGCCACATCTAGAGGGCTGCCCGCGACCAAGAGCATCCTAAACGGGCATCTCTCATCCCCGATGTCCAACGGCCACCTGCTTTTGTACACCTTGCTCAAGGCAGTATCCACCACTGACCGCTCCTCAGCCTTTTCACTCTCATCGTCAACTACTATTCCATCAGGAAAGCGTGCACAATCCTCAAAGCTTCAGGCACGAATGCACAGCTTGACTGAGTCCAGCCTTAGAGAAGCTCAGACACGGCTGGCGGGCTGTCCTTCACATGCATTGTGCTAATGAGGTATCCTACTCGAGTACGTGCCTCTGCTGTTGCGTTATATCCACAGTCTTCTGCAACCTGCCTCGTAGCTAGCTCATCATCACCTTCGTCTTTAGCACACTCGGGCATGGCCAACTCAAGGACTTAAGACAACCTAACACTGCCTACCTCTGTCTTCAAGAGTATGCAGAGGAAGCCGTACAACATGTACATACAGGCTTCTGAATTACCGCGCCAATGTGGGACTCAGCAAGCTCGGCATCTGGGCGCATGTGTCAAAAGAGCACGTCGGCCCGGTCTGCAGTGAATATCAGCTTGGTAAGATGCAGATCTGCTCGCCGACCGATGTTGCGGCTGGCGTGTTTTCTGGTATTTCCGATCATGCTGATGATCTATTTGCCGGCGACCGAATTGACCCACCAAACGTGTTCTGATGAGTGGAGGTGGGAGAAAATTGCGATTCCTAGCGGGGCAGAGGGTGACTGCTGTCTGGTAGGTTTGGCCGGCCCGGCGGCCGTTTGTTGATCTTGAGCATGTGTTCGGTAGACATCAGCTTGCAACATGAAACGATGACGCTAAAATGATCCTGACCCTGGCCCTATCTTCGTTGCTTTGTTGCTGCTGGAACAAAGCAGATCTTCCTTGTTTACTTGATGTCGAAACGGTATGGGTGCGCAGTCGCCGCTCATACAAGCAGTTGGTGTCGCAAGTCAAAGCTAATGGGAAGAACGGATTGACCTGTAGGATCAGCATTTGAAGCGTGCTCGTCTGACTGGCGCGCTTCGGTTGGTCTGCCTTATTATTGTTATCATGATGCTTGATGATTGGCGTGGCGCTCTCGTGTCTACAAACCTGCTAAGTTCTCCCTGTCAATGACGACGAGTGGCTAGTCCAGCACGCCAAAGAAATGGTGTCCGCCTTGTCATGTTTCGCGACCTAAACCACTAAGTCGTACCCAAGGAGACTCGAGCGGCTGGAACACAGAAAACAGGCACCTTTCTTCTCCTACACTGGACTGTGAGAGATAAAGGCGCTGACTAGGGCTTGCTCCTTCCTCGTCGACTTCTCCGTACTTCTGCGGCATCCCCGCAACATCACAGCACTTCTCGCATCGCATCGCGTTACCGTGTCTGCGCCTGAACCAAGCTGACTGTCCGCTTTTGATCTCACCCTCGATACGCAAGTTGGCTGCCAGTTCTCGAGGTTCTGGCTACTGAAGCAGTGTTGAAGTATCGCCAGTGGAGGGCAAGTAACGCTGTTCAGCATGGCGTCCGGAGATGGTTACCGCTCTCCGACTGTACAGGCCGCTGCAGACAGCTTCGATTTGCGTCGGGATGAGTATAGTCAGAAGCCAGACTCTGACAACTATCGCCGCTCCAGACCACGAGGCAACTCAAATGCCGTCAGACCCAATAGCGTGTATCAACAAAGCGCTCCGCTCGATAACGTCGTCAATCACGCTTTCGAGCGCTCAGGCACAGCTGCCCAGCTAGATCCAGCTCTTGTCGCTCAGATCACTGAGCAGGTCATGAACAACCTCAAGGCTTCTGGCATTGGTCAACAACACCAGCCACCACTTTCTACTCATACTAGATCTGCCCATTCAAGGTCTCCTGCAGAATCGGCAGGCTCTCTCAATCGCCCTTACACGCCGCCCTCTCCAACGAGGGACAACGGAAGCTACAGGTCACTGTCTCCCGAGCCTCCCATGTTTGCCGCGGATCCATACAACAGCAGTTGTGACTTTACCCAGCCAAACAGGAGTAGCAGTGACGCATCACCCGTCCATGCTGGGGACAGTAAACCAAGACCCGGACACGCCCGTATGCCCTCCACTTTCGAAGAAACGGTCTTGGAGAAAGCATGGCAACCTCTGTTCCAATCAGGTCAGCCTACTCCAAGATTGAGCCAATTCCTGAGAGGTCTCGCTCTGCACATCATTGATGACTACGAACCAAAACGCAGTCTCGTTATCTCACCAGCCAAGATGGTCCGATTCTTCGAGGATGTCCGACTACCCTCTGAGATGTATCCCTGGCGGGACATCTTTGGTGGCCGCATTACCTGTGAGTCCATCTCGAGGATTTATAGAGATCTGCGGTGCCAACACCACTTTATACAACTGGGCAATCACTCTGTCCCAGATATTCCCGCCTTGACACCTGACGGCTTCCNNAACCAATTCATGACAATTCTCATCCAGGCTCATCCGTCTATGGAATATGAGCGACTCGCGAAGGCCGTCCTGGACATGCCCATCAGCAATGCTGATAACCCCAAGGAACGATTCCCAAAAGAGCTCAGCCGCCGACTCATTCCCAAAGAGGAGGACATAACACAACAGCAACGATTACATGCTGCGATGTCGAGTGATCGCAATATACAGCTACGCTCAAGCAACCCTATGCCGCCTCCGCCTCCTCCAGTGTCAACTCAGCCACAGCAACCATCGACTTCGTACTCTTCGTCGGCATCATTTTCCGAGAGAGAACGTGCGCCCTATTCTAATAACCCATCTGCTCTTGATGAGGATGATTTACGTACTACTCCTGGCCCACTCGAGCGTGAACGACAACCTTACACTGCGAAGGAAGGCTTTGGAAAGGTGTATGAAGACGATCGTCGAAACACTGGTCGCTCAGAGAATATGAATCGTACCTCCCGCGCTAACTCCGCTGCACCTGAACCACAGTTTAGTCAGGGCAGTAGACCGACCGACATACCTACCACTGGACAGAGACGCCATCGTCTCTCTGCGACCGGACAACGACCTAATTTTGGAACTCCGCCTCCTCTTGGTTACCCACCCAATCCATACACCCGTTCGGAAGGCACGAACATTGGCGACGTTCCATCCACACACTACAACTCCAACATGCACACTGATGACCGGGACCGAACAAGATATGCACGACGTGACGATGAGACTCGGGAGTCCAAGCGTGCCTCATGGTACCATTCCCGTGGTTACGACTACGACGGAGTCTACGATGACAAGCGAAGATCTGCAGGTGGCCCTGATGGATATGGAAGCTACAATGGTTATCCTTCGAGCCAGAAGTACTAAACTCGCGACGATAATCTCTGAGGTTGCTGGCCGCTTCGATGAACAGACAACCAGTAGTTTCATATCGAGCTTCGAAGCCCGGCATACTAGGGTCCGCAAGTCTCCATGGTCGTGGATATCGTACGTTCTTGCAGCGACAATGTTTTCTTCTCTTCGCAAGTTTACTTCATGTTTTTTCACGATCGTTTCTTTTGACGTTATACCCCTTGCCAGCAATGCTTCAAGTCTGTTTTGAATATCACTTGGTGGATGGTAGGCGTATAACGCGCGCCTTGATATCTTTCCTGTGCTTGTATCGACACTCGTCTAGTTCACACTCTAGCAATGCACTTAGCCTTTATAAAGTCCTAAAGGCACCAATCTTTCCTAGTACTCTGGTTTTTGGCCATGTCCATAGTTCGTCTCCCAGAGTCTTGTCAGATTATGTTCTATACACGGGTATAGCTAGAGGTTCGAGTCACAGCAACTGCAACCGAGAAATAATCCCTCCCATGCACTTCTCTCCCAGATGTGGGGGAAACCACTGACGTCAAGCTGGCCAGCCTTGCTTTACGAAAACAGGGACCTTGCATGAGGTCTATTGTAGAGAACGATGATCTGCGAACGTAAGCAAGCATGGGTACGTAGTCACACTTTTAATCTCTTGCCGACCCTCAACTTGTGGACTCTTTGATTCTTTCTGTCATACTGCCAAACCTAAGTCACACTACTCCAAAACATTTAACACCACATATAAACACTACAAAATATCAACGATGTCGAGCAACAACCAAGAACCCAGCCACGATGAGAGTCTCAGTAACCTTCCTGCTGGCGCAACAGATGTCAGCCTGGGAGAAGGCCAGAAAGGTGGGTGACATTTTTCCATTTCCATATCTGCCATTTTCCAACTCTCTTCTATATTCCTCCTCACTGAGATCATTACTGATGAGCACTAGNGCCTTCTTGCTCCTCTCGGAGACCCTCTAGGCAATGCCCTGAACAAAGGACTTTCTCCTGTCGGCACAGCTATTGGTGGTCTCACAAATGGAGGATACACCAAGAGCAAAGAGATGGATAAGCCTCAAGAAGAAGAGAAGATTGGCGGAAAGGAGCAGACTGGACAGAATCCCTTAGGGCTGTAAGAGCGGTAATGGTGGAAGATTATGAATATCCAGGGGATCTTCGATGCTAGAGATCTCCATAGGAAGCAGGCACAAGAGCTCGGATGTTGTAGACACGAGGACGATGGGTTTTGATGAAGACTACGGCAATGAATGATTACGGATTTTTTTTTTGGCACAGGAGTTCGCTCTTTCCCACATTATCAGACCATAATAGGATGAAGAACGAGACTGGTGGCTTCTTCCTCTTGATCAGGCCGTGTCTTACAACAAGCTGCAAAGCATGTCCAAGAATACAATCCGGACGGGCTTGGAGAATATGGAGGTGGACACCAGCAATATGCGTACGCCAGTTGATCTTGCTCATTGTGAAGAACTTATACGAGCAACAAGCTCGCCGCGACTGATGATTCATTGTGCGTCAGGTGGCAGACACGACCTCTGCTTTCCTTCTGGCAACCGCGCCCCCATGACACTCCAGAACTGCAACCAGATTCAGATGATACTTCATGCATCAGCAGGCTTAGCCTGAGCCACTCCGATCTCCTGCTTTCCCGTAGTCTCCTAAACTCAACCAGAAAATCAAACCAACAAACAACAAGGGTATATTCCACGTTTCGCGCACGCTCTGCAATCCTCAGACTCTCAATGCTCTTAGATCCTCTTCTGCTCAGGCAGGTTGTTCCGGTACGAGCGGTGTTCGCCTCCTTGTGTGAATGCGCGCTTGAGTGCGATACCGAAGATTATGAAGGGGAATGCGAGGACGTAGACGAGGGCATCGGAGAGGCGTTCCATGAGGGTGCGGCGGTCGTGGTTGGGACTTGTGGTCGGCATTGTGTGAGATGTGTAGTGTTTTGATCGAGCGAATCGATAATGCTGTCGATATGGTATGCGATCGAGAAGTGTCGCGCGAGTGATGGTTCGGCAGTTGAGTGTTCGTAATCGGAGTTGTATGCGCTGTACTGTGCTATGCGAGTGAAGTTCCGGTTGTCGTTATTTCTGACAAGCGATGGACGACGTGTGTTTGTAGATGTGTTTGTCAAGATCTAAAGGAGTAGCAGCACTCTCATTTTTGTTATTTCTTCGATAGCGCAAGGGTTATTGATTTCATGATCACCCTCGTGGCGATGACATCACGGTTTTTTCATTGTCGCGACTCACAGCCTCAATTCGGAAGACTCGGGTTCCGGAAAGCAGACAGACGGAGGGGATGACGGGAGTGCGGGCTATGCACTCTTTGGTCTGCTCTCTGATGTTGCCATCATCAACGGACTTGTTGCAGAGAGAAAGAAGAGATGATGAGGGTTCGTGTTGGCCTGTGGAGCTTTGGACGCTCGGCCTCGGCTTCCTTTGCCCACAGACAGATAAAGTTGCCCTGTTTCTGAAACGTGAAGAGCCTCATTTCTCAGTACAATGGGTGAGTTGGTCGTGAAGCCAGTTGAGTCAGTCTCTGTACTCTTACTCAGAAATATGAAGCCGTTGGTAGGATGTTCAAAAGTTTGATTTTGGGTCTCGGTCTACCAGAAGCCTTGCTTAACCTGTATACAACCTTTCTTCTTCTTCCTCGGACTTTGCAGTGCTAGACCTTCTGCCTTCTCGCCATTGCTGCAACCAAGAAGTAAACTCCACTTTGTGCTGTCCTTTTGCAATNAGCAATCTTAGCTTTTTGTGATAGGACCAACCTGCCACGAAACACATTGTCCAAAGCATTACGGAGACAATTGTGAATTTCCAGTTGCCTGAACTCGAGACAGTGCCTCTATCCGCAGTGACAATCTTAGAGCTCGCAAGCACACCGCCAGTCTTGTCGACTGCAACGATGCGCAAGTATTCATAATCGCCGTCCGGCACCTCGATTTGTGTCTCGAACCCATCCTTCTCTACTTTGACGGCATCAATAAAATTCAGCTCATCGGCAGATGTGGCGTTTACTGTTTGCAAAATCCAATGGCTCACTTCTGTTGCACCCATCCAACTCACGAGCGCGTAACCATTTGCGGGATTAAGATACACATCTGGCTGTGTGTTTGGGCGTCCGATCCAGGTGCTAGCTCTAAACGCACGATAGGAGTGTACGAAGCCGAAGGAGAAAAGCATAGCTGGGTTGATGTGGGTATCGCAAAGTACCTCGCCATCTGGGGAATATTCAGTATATCCTGCGTGGTAGCCCCAGCCCAGCAATACGTTGCCAGAGTCCAGAACTTGCATAGATCCTTGTTGAGGTGTGCCTCGTGAGCCAGGGTTCATAAACTCTTGAACGAGCTCAACAGTCATGTTCTCCTTGTCCAGTCGTACTAACATCCCACGGCTGATCTCACTGCCTTCTAGTAATTTCTCATGCCATTTCTTGTAATTGGCATTGTCGAAGATACTGATTTGGTCGTTCGCTTGCACGGATGCGTGATGTTGCCAGGCGAAATCTGTCGCCCTTCCTCCTGATAGATCTGTGAAGTTGTTGTTGCGACCGCCCAAAGTCCACAAGATTGCTCCCGTATCGGCAGAAATGCATGCAATGCTGTGCATGAAGCGAGATGAAATGATGTAGTTACCATCACTATCTTTATCAACACTGTTGATATGGAAGAAATCGAACGGTGCCTCAGGACTCTGGCCTGCAGAGCCTATGGGATAGAAAGTATCGTTGATGGCGAAATGATCCGACGCACGCCATTCAAAGACAATTTCACCGGTCTCAATGTCCATCTCTCGGAACAGACTATCGTAGATCCAGCCTCGGCCTTGGACTCCAAAAGACGTTAGATCCACGGAGATTGTGTCGTAGCTCGTGAGTAGAGCTGTATTGTCGGTTGTGATGGTAAATTCGTGAAAATCGTTCTCCAGGGTATTCGATGCAGAAAACTGCTTGAACACTTCGTAATTGGAGTTGAGNCTGCAAGATAGATCAGCAGGACGTTAAGAGATGGAGCCGAGCACACGATCACTAACCATATAGTATGTCCCTAGTCCAGAACCAGAATCGATGTTTCCAGACCAGAGAGTGATGTACTGCTCGCCTTGGTACTCCTGAACCTTCAGGTTCATCACGTATGGACCAAAGCTCTCGTCCATCCATATCAGGTCACCGTGTTCATCCAGCATAACTCCAGCAGGATTGGGGACCATAGTCCCACGAAGGCTTAGTAAAGTGTAACCTTGAGCACATTGTTCATCCCACTGAACAGTGTTCATGTATGGCGGTCGCAAACTTGATGATTTGAAAGATTGTTGAGGGTATCGTCCAAGAAGACCCCAATCGTATAGTGTTGCATCCCACGAGCTGCTGGAGACATCATGACTAGATTCAGCGTGTACCAGGAAGAGGGACAGTGCTGCCAAGTCGAGCAACCACCGACAAGTAAAGCCTGAGGATGACTTGAGCAATCGAGGAATCATGGGAAAATGATAATACGAGGTCAGAAGGACGAGGCAGACCTTCGACAACTATACGTGGGAATAGACCCATGACGACCTTGCCTCTTCCACGGAACCAGGCAATACTTTCCTACACGTATATCGTTGCTCTCTGCCCAGTATCCTTGTGGTCATTAGGACCAAGACACCAATATTACCTAGTAATCGTCATTCCTTCTACATACCTGGAAAAACTCGGATGTTCATAATGCTTGGCCCGCGGCGACTGTCTGAGAAATATCGATCTTGATCATCAGGCATGGAGATAACGATTTAATAACATGGGCATCGGCACTTGCTGAGGTTACGGGCCACCACGACCGTCGCTTTTTGGCGTCGACTCGCATAACATGTGAAATCGATCCTAGTACTTATCAGCTCGCAGAGCTACAACCAGAACACGCGCTCTCAAGCGTAGTGGTTGTCTAGGGCTGCAGTGTCGTCTTGGTCGCGTGTGTAATTGCCGAACAAGGATGACGCAGATTGTTCGCCGCCAAGCTCGACCGATGCCAATGATATTGGCTCCCGTGTAAAACTTAGCATAGAGCGGAAGGACATTACTCGTGCGATAGACCATGGTTGAGATGGTTCCTGTTTCGATTGCAAGATAGAAAAAACAAGAGAGTTCGGACTGTTTACGCTGTCCAGCGTGGACTTCCTTGCACAAGAATTCATGCCAAGTCTCGCTTATGCAGGCTTCACTTGCATAACTTCTTCCCACCAAAAATCTCCTCACCGAAACTTGACTCCCTTTCCTCAACCACCCTCGTTCCTGGATGAACGACAAAACGAATGCCCCCTGACGGAGTCGAACCGGCGACCTCGGCATGATCTAGAGGATTAGATACTAGTGCCGCGCTCTACCAACTGAGCTAAAGGGGCTTATGTGGCAAACATGCTACTACAACATATAGATACAGCTCAGAACAGCTTGCTACATGGCCCTGGCATTGAGATAGAGTCGTACATCGTTCGTAATGGTATAGCAACATACTGGGTTACATAATGAGCTGTAGCAACGTCTTTAGGAACAAAGAATGAAGTCGACAACAGATCCCTTAAACCATGATTGTAGTCCTCCCTTATAGTTTCAGCTCCACAGGCTGCTTGATACCTTGAAGCTATGTATATATACTTACTCAGTACAGTCTCTAGTTTGCCAATCTCAGTCTGAATTTCATATGTCTGGTCATGCTAGATTTATATGCCGTGAAAGGGTTCAATGTCCAGCCGTAAAGAACCTCTGTCCAGAAGCGAGTCCAAGAAACTAGAAGGATTATTCTCAGAAGCGAGAGACGATCCTCCTGAGCTAAACACCGACGTCATCAGCATTGGTCTAGGGTAGCTATATATACTACCACACTTCGTGTGGGGTAATTACTCCAAATCTATCCTCTACCACTTTCTATATTAAAGATCTTCCATCTTATGAGTCTACACCTCCAATCAAACATGTCTCAGCAACAACCATCAACACAGAATGCAGCAGACGCCAATGCAGCGTCCAAATGGGGTGTCACACCCGGCTCCTCCAACATCTCGAAACCGCTCGACCCGAGTACAGGCAAACCAATCGATTGGGAAAATTTCTACGATGAAGAGACAAAGAAGGAGCTTAGAGCTAAGGGAGTGAATCCAGCACTAAAGGCAGAGATGGATTGGCACAAGAACCAGAGTGAAGGGAAGGGAATTTGGGGCAAGGTTGCCCAGACAGCTTTGGGCGGAGGGCGGATCAGATGATTGGAGTTGAGAATATAGGCACAGGTCCTAAGCTGATATTGGACTAAAAGACAGCTTTTTCCCACCCCGATGAACAGCTCAAAGTTCACAGAGGAATTTTCAAAGATCTCAGAGGCTGAACGCTTTCGCGCAAGTCTGTGGTAGTGAAATGTACGCATTAACACAACGGCCGATGAGGATTGAACTCAGATAAGAACTTATATAGAGGAAGGAAAGGGTCTTTGGTCACGAACGTCAAAAGAATCCGGACACGGCGCGTCTAACACCATCAACATCTTCAAACACGTGCCAGTGGCCCACATCTTGCAAGATTTCGACCGAACTGCCCTTGGGAAGCGATGCCACGTATTCCTCACACAACTTTGGTGGTGACACCTTATCCTCTGTGCCAGTGATGATCAGAGTTTGTGGCTTGATAGAAGCAAAGTCGAGCTTCGTGGTTGCGTTAGCAAGAGCGGAGCATGCTTTGGCATAGCCCTCGGGGTCTTGACCGAGCAGTGAGAGTTTAGTAGCAGTGACGGCCAGGGGATTGAGAGATTTGGTCTTGGAGGAGAGGCCTGCGGCGACGATGGTTTCGGCAACAGCAGACATGCCCTGGGTGCGAACGAGGTGAGCGCGCNNGTGCGAATTTGTGCTGGCAGCAGCTGGCAGGGGCGAGGGTGGTGGGCCGACGAGGATGAGTTTCTTGACTAGTTCTGGATTGTCCAGGACAAATCTAACTGCCACGAGGCAGCCCATCGAGTGTGCAAATAGAGTAGCTCCCGAAGAAATACCCGCATGAGTGAATACACCCTTGAGATCTTCCGCAAAAGATTCGATGCTAAGCTTGCTGGAGGCGGAGGTAGGAGACAGCCCGTGACCTTCAAGATCAAAGAAATGCAGGTTGTGGGTCTGGGACAGACCAACGGCGTTCACCAATGGTGTCCAATACTCTGACGTACCACCCAATCCATGGATGAATACTGCATCATGTGAAGAAGACTCGCCTTGTTGGCGATAGTACAGCAACTTGTCGTTGATATTGGTCAAGCCAGTCGAATCAACGGCCTTGAGGTTGAAGGAAGGAACTCTGCCCATATTCTGAAGGGCAGTAGAGGCAGGGTATTCCGATATGCTGCTGCCGATGCGGTTCTTGAGAGATCCTAATCCAGTCACTGACACTTCGACCTCGTCACCAGAAGTCAGATACGTTGGAGGCTTTCTGCCAATTCCGACTCCAGCAGGCTAACATGTGTGTCAATAAGGGATCGATCAGAGAACACTTCGTCATGGTTTGCTTACGGTGCCTGTCGCCAATACATCTCCAGGGATAAGTGTCTGACCCTCTGACATGGTTTTGATTAGGAAAGGAATGCTGAAGATCAAATCGTCCGTTGTAGCATCCTGCCTCAATTCACCATTGACTCTGGTCTGCACGCGCAAGACTGTGTTGAGCTTGTCTGCTGGCACAGCGATCGGTCCCNNTTCGATTGAATCAGCAATGTGTTCTCTTTTGACGGGGCAAGTCTGCGTACGTACCATCGGACAGAAGGTGTCCGGTGACTTTCCGATGTAGAATTGCTTGTGATCACGCTGCCTTTCACGAGCGGTCATGTCGTTAATGATAGTGTAACCCCAGACGTGTTGCATGGCGTTCTCCTCGGAGATCTGGTGGCCTGCTTTACCGATGATGACGCCAATTTCACCCTCATAGTCGATGGTCTTTGTGAAATCAGGATGAGGGTAGATGTCTTGACCGGCCCCAATGATCGAGGTGAATCGTTTAGTGAAGATGACAGGATGGGTGGGCTGATCGACCTTGTCGGAGCTGTCGAACCCGGAACCGTTGAACTCTTTGGCATGCTCAGCGTAGTTCTTGCCTACGCATAGTACATCTCGGCCACTGAGTGGTGGCAGAATTCTGACGTGAGAGGCAGGCACACTATCTCCCGAGGGAATGATGCTGGATTCTCCAACCTGAATGACTTGATAGAGGTCCTCGAGCAATGTACCAGAGCCGAAAGCAAGTGGCTGAACAGTGTTGTTCTCGAGATCGTAATGGCCGATGGATTTTCTCGCAGAGCCGTCGACTTGAAACGCGATGTAATTTGTCAGCGACTTGCTCCCAGTTCCGTTAGAACCATTGATGCCATTCTGGCCGTTGGTATAGGATCCGCTCGTCATTGTGTTTGTCGAAGAGATTTGAAGCAGAAACTTACCTCGCCACAAGAAGCTGTACAGAGCGAAACCTAGTCGTATAAGAGAGCCAGGAATGTCACATGCAAGGAATACAAACGAGGCAGGAGAGATGATCCCCGCAACCCCGCCGTGAGAGATCGGAGACAGTTTCCACTTCCGCCGCAGACGGACATGGCGGACAAGGCGGACAAAGCGGAGAAACCTTGTGTACTCGAGTGAGCTATCCTCAGCCCGAGAGCTTCATTCCACCGTCGCTGAGACATTAGATACCTCCAAGACAGACCATGAAGCCTGATTGTAGATTCGACATGAGAGGGGTCGACAAGCGGGGTCAAGGACCATGGAACCAAATCTGAACTCTCTTCAAAACAGTCCCTGGACACAGATTCGACTTATTATAGTTGGAGATGCCACGGAAACCATTCAGATTCCAACATTTGTATTCCATTGACTCGTGAAGATTATGTCTGCCTCATCTACAGCAGAGACGTACGATCAGATTCCAAAGGTGGAGAGCAATGGTGATACTCAGCATCTGGAGAGACTGAGAACTGCCGGCGGCCACGTCGACGATCGAAGTCAGCCTGCTCTGCCCACTGTTCATCGTTCTTTTGCCAATCCTGCTCCCTTGGGTCTGCTCTCCTTTGCCACAGGTATCTTCTTGATTTCGATTCTTGGAGTCCATGCTCGCGGCATACAGACTCCCAATGTGCTCGTCGGAGTGCTTTTGTTCTTTGGTGGCGTGTGTCAGTTCATCTCTGGCATCATGGAATTCGTTGCTGGGAACACTGTAAGTTCTGATTCAAAAAGGACAAGACCATCTTCTTACAATCTTAGTNTTGGAGCCACTGTTTTCCCTGCTTATGCAGCATTCAACTTCTCATACGCCATGATCTATATTCCTGGAACGGGCATTCTTGCGTGTCAGTATACATCCTTATGTCAGAATCTGTGCATATATTGACACAAAGGCACTAGCCNNTATACCGACTCCAACGGGCAACTCAGTGCTGATTTCGATAACGCACTCGGAATGTATTGCTGGGCCTGGTTCATCCTGACCGTTATCTTCACTGTCGCCGCAATGCGCAGTTCGTGGGTCTTATGGTTCACATTGTTCTTCCTTGACATCGAGTTGATCCTGCTGGCCTGTGGATACATGCTGAACAGCTCGGCCACCCTTGTGGCCGCAAATTCTGTTGGCTTCGTGGTCGCCTTCTGCAGCTGTAAGTCTTTGTCTTTGTTCTCAGCTACACCCTATTCTATAGCGTTAAACTGACCGATTTCAGATTGGGCTGGCTGTGCTGGATTGTGGTCGGGAGGGTTGACGCCTATCGAGTTGCCCACCTTTGCCATGACTAAGCAGGTATAAGTTGTCATCCCATGTGTGGCCAATTATCTAGAGTTAGAGCTGGACCAGAGTGTTATATACTAGTAGCTTACTCAAAAATATGCGAACAGGTCTCAAGTTCTGCTCATGGTATCCTATTGCAATCTTTGGAGTGTGCTCTGCTTCGTGTGTTCATGCGAAACAACCCAACACTGTCTCCATCCTCGTGTAGATGTGAATGAGCGCGTGGTTAGGGTGCTCAGCCAGAAGCTTGTAAGATATATTCGTCGAGACCAGATTCCAGTTTGCAGTCTGCATCGTTCCTCAGCTCGCAGGGATATCGCCGCTTTGTGGCATGTGAAACGTTCATTCCTCTCACCGAGATCAGTGCCCAGGCAAACAGCCGACCAAGATGCGCAGAGGTGCGCCTTTGCTATATATTCGTCCTATTCAAAAAGCCAATGAATGCATAGACCTACATCAATCCCACTCCTTGTCTACCTCCCCTAGCCTTCTCAATCCCACATACCTTGCAGGTTCCTTGAACGGATTCTTCACACCTTCTGTCCTGCCGATCCTCAACTTCCTTCCAAATTCCTTCATATGCTCTCTAGTATGGAACCTCCAAAACTGCCAAGAGCAGTCCTTGCCCACGAAACTCTTGATCACCGTGCTGCCGCCCGGATGATCAAAGATGAAGTCGGTGCAGTCGTAGACGATGTTGTCGATGACGATCCAGATTCTGCTGCTTCCTGAGCTAACATTGAGGACTGTATGGGCGGGTATAAAAGGAAGTTGGTCGTCAGGTAGGGTATCTGCTACTGCTGGATACAATCGTGTCTCTGTTTCATCGGCGTGGAGGTGCTCGATATGACTTGAGATGGCGTCTTTATGTAGAGCGGGCTTGTCGTAAGAAGTGGAGTTGTCTTGAGAAGCAGAGAGTGAGATAGCATGCTCACGATTGAGCCGAAGCCACCCCATAGTAGTGTTCGCGGCTCCGATACTGTGCAAATCGAAAGCTTGATATCAAGCGAGAATTGGTCTTGACTGTGCTCCTGAGCGTCAGGTTCAGCGGCGCATCGGATCTTCAAAGACCCCGCTGTATCTTCTAGGGATGTCGCCATGAAAGCGGAATTAGAATTCGGAATAAGGCAGACAACAATGGTGTGGTCACTGGTCAGACGACATTGAACGGAGATGGCGGCCCAGAGCGGAGTTGGCGGTCGAAGCGGAAGTCCATGTTCAAGGTTTGAGACATCCGAGCTACCATCACAGTACATGCACCCCGCACGACATCTCCTCGTTGGGAGTTGGTGTCATGTGCAATGCTGCCAGTCCCTCAGCTTGCATCTGTGTCCATACATATATGGTTGGAAGATTGTGCGATATGGATTAATCAACATCTCTCGAAGCTGCTTACTATCAGACATGGCACCACACTCGAATCGAACAGACTCCTTTACGAACGAAGACTCGAAAGGAAAACCAGACTTGACCAATTCAACAACACCACCACGCAACGTAACATGGATCGAAGACGTCTCATGGGACTCAAGTCTACAACCCAAGGACTACGAGATCCAAGGCACTCACCCTGACTCGAAGATTCTATTTCTTAACGTCAAGATTCTTGACTCAACAGGCCGAGAACCATACCTTGGAGATGTGCTGATCGAAGGTCAAAATTCTGCCTTGAATTGAGCGAAGCACCATGAACAAGACTGACACCATTACAGGTCAAACCNNATTACATACGTAGGCACAGTCCCTAATGTCGATCAGCTCAGCAAAGACTCCAAAGTTCGGGTCTTTCATGGCCGAGAACGCACCCTGATATCAGGCCTAGGTGATGCTCATACACACTTCACCTGGAATGGAGGAGATCTCGATCGCTTGGGAGAGCTTGGCATAGAAGAGCATACTCTTCTCACAATGCGAGGCGCGCAATGCTTCATCGATTCAGGATACACCATGTGAGAAACTGTGGCCCCTTTACAGTGAGACCGGCTACTGACAAATTTCCTTGAAGGTNGTTTTGGAGCAGCTTCTGCAAAAGACCGTCTCGATGTGGTCATCAGGGACGCCATCAACGCAGGCGATATTCCAGGACCGAGATACCTTGCAAACGGTAAGGAGATGGCTCGAAGGGATGGCGAACTGGTCGCAGGCATTACTGCTTTCGCCGATGGGCCTGATGAGATGCGCGAGGTCATTCGCCATCATGTGGATATAGGAGTCGACAATATTAAGCTCAGCATGTCCGGCGAAGAGGTAAGTCTCGAGACAGGACTGATATGTGCTGCGCCGATGCTGACCAGATATTCAAGANTTGCTGAGATTAGATCGGCTCAAGATTGCTACTTCACCGACGAAGAGACAGCGGCGTGCGTCGATGAAGCACACAAGCATGGAAAGCGACTTTGTGCTCACGCTCGAGCTCGAGATTCGGTCAAAATGTGTACGTACCAGGGATTGGCTCGTCCGATTTCAAATTACTGACCGTTAGCGTAGGCANTTCGTCACGGTGTTGAAGCCATCTACCATGCCTCCTATATCGATGACGAAGGTATGCAGATGCTAGAAGCCGCAAAGACCAAGCACATAGTAGCGCCAGCTATCAACTGGCTGATCGCCACACTCAACGAAGCTGAAGCTTTCGGCTACAGCCATGCGCAAGCCGAGAAAGTTGGGTACAAACGCGAGCTAGACGCAGCCATCACAGGCCTCAGAGAGATGCATCGTCGAGGCATAGTAGTGCTTCCAGGTGGAGACTATGGCTTTGCGTGGACACCGCATGGAACGTATGCTCGCGACCTCGAGCATTTTGTGAACCTCCTCGGCTTCACACCGCATGAAGCCATCATCGCTGCTACAGCTGGTGTTGCTAAATTGATGATGCGTAGCGACAATCTTGGCAAGATACAACCAGGATATTTCGGAGACTGCATTTTGGTAGATGGTAATCCTCTTGACGACATTACCATCTTGCAGGATCACTCCAGACTGAACATCATCTGTATTAACGGCAGAGTCCATAAAGCTGGACGGAAGGAGTACGTGCCTCCTCCAATTGGAGGATAAGACAACAACAGCCGCGTCATTGTACCAGATATGGAATATCCTGATTTGAAAATGGCAATGCAGAAGCAATATTAGTAGTATTTGAATGCTCAATTCTTCTTCCATCATCAAGATCTCTGAGTACCAAGCGAAGTCATATCCCAGTGTCCCCAATCCACTGCGGATGGTGTTAACCATTGTTGAGGATCCAGATGATCGAAAATCTGGTCGAGGTTGCCCAGCTCATCATTCGACATTGCATTCCTATTCTGGATGAACGCATCAGTCACAATGTCAATCTGCATCTGCGAAACTTCGTCTGCGTGGTCGATGTTCAATGCAAGTCCTATTCCGGTACTATTGGTGAAACATTAGCAATGTTACAAAAGCACAGATTGGACGACTTACAGCAGTCGACGAAGTATTGGTGCGGCACGCTGACACACCAAACTCAAACTTGCTAAACTCTCAAAGCGTTCGACACATTCTTGAAGTAAACGTATGCTGTCCGGCAAGTCTGAATCTGCCTCACTGGACTCGGATATTATAGCAACCAATACCACTGCGGCGTGAAAAGTGTGAAAGCATCCTAAGCCTCGGTTGTACCACTGAAAGGGTCCAAACTCGGGCTGATCGTGCAAGCATGAGTGGATTTCTAGCAAAGCTCGGGCGCTCTCTATGCTCCTGGATCGTGCAGTGTGCTGCTGGGGATGGTCCGTAGAACCCTGCATGAGGACGCGTCGATGTAGCAATAAAGCAAGCTGGTGGGAAAAACTATGCAAGATTTTGAGATGTATCCTGTGATACAAAGGCAATTCATCTTGGCGAGAGTGATAGGTGTATACAGAGCTCCAGAGATCTCGCTCATGTGTCAGAGCTTTATCAAGGTCGGCGATGACTTTTGCATTGATGGTGATAGCGTTCAGCACTTGCGAGCAGATTTTGCTTCCTATGTCGTCAAGACGGAATTTGAGAAGCAGATAGGACATTTGAGTTGCGCGTCCAGTGTGAATAGGTAGTGTTGTCGATTCTGGCGTCAGATCGAAATCATTGACATCTGCTGGCATTCTTACGGAGTAGTGTGAGCTGTTGTAGTGAGGTGCCAAGTTTCGCATGGATGTATTCTGTAGTGTACAGAGCATCATAACGCAAGCCCAGCACCTACGTCGCTCCTCACATTCAACCAGATTGAGTTTGAAATTCGATGGATCTATGTGACAACCAAGCGAGAGAGCCATGTGGTATGTGGAGCCAAGCAGTGTCCAGGATTGGCCATGGCTATGGTTTATACCGTATATTAGAATGATCAAAGCCTGCAAGGTTGTGATATTGTGGCGCCAGAGATAATTGTCCATTTCAAGGCACCGCATAGCGCTCGCCCTGTACCTTTCAGAAAGATCGCGGATTTTTGCAGACACTGTTGGCCGCCAACTCAAATCGTTCAGAAATGTACTGCTTGCATCGCAGGCACCCAAAGCGGTGCTGATGATGGCAAATAGTAGTGCAAGCCATGCTAGAGATACCGCCTCTGGGTCTTGCTCGAACTTTAGGTATTGCTGATGGAAAGTTGGATCATGCAAGACGTGAAACAAGGGNGAAAAAGACTCAAAATAAATATCCTTCAGACGAGCACACAGAGTGGAAGGTGGTAACATCGCCAGCATGTCAGGTAATCCTAGGCCAGACGTCGTGTACTGCATCCCAAATGGAGACACAAGATTCTGAAAATTGTCAGGACAAATCTCGTCGTCTGGTTCTGAAGTGGGCCACGAGGGAACGAATCGAACGTGACCAGACGCCGACACCTGCAAAGCACCATGGCCACCAGATGGAACTCCAGTCGTGGCAGGGTCGGGCGAGCGTCCATCGCCAGGCAAAGATGGCTCAGCCGTAGAGTTGTGAACTTCTCGCTGCTGGTTTGCCAACAACCTCTCGATCCGTGCGATTCGGGCAACGAGGTCTTCGTCTGGTACCCGTCTTGGAGACCTGCTTGTAGAAATTGGTGAGAGAGGCATGTTCGCCTCTAAATCGGGTCGAGACGGGTCGCGTAATGGTTGTGAAGCAAATACGCAGCTCGCTGCTAAGACTCCGCGTCTTTTGCAAGTTCCGCAAGGAACGCCATCACGAAAANNACATCGAATCTTCCGTATGCGACATGGTTCGCAATTGATTGGCATACGCTTCTGACGACTGTTCCGCATGATTAGTAGTAGTGGTAGCCAGATAGCGTACGTCCTGGAAAAGAAGACAGGCAAGTCCGCTTCTTTTGTGCCATCTCCGCTGCTCCACAACCCGCTCCGCGCCACCAAACTTTAGACGAAGACAGTCCCCAGCTCCGCGCCGTCCGAAGACCCGACTATCCACAAGACGTGGGGATGATCGCCCACACCCAAGCTTGGGAATGACTGCTATACAGGTCAACCCGTGGAAACGATTCGCAACCAACAGCAAGTAACATGATACTCGAGAAACTTTCTCGAGCCCACTAGATCTCCCAGAGACTTGTTTTCAGGGTTCTCGGACACTATGTGATGGTCTCGGGCATTTGAATGCGTCCAAACCAAACCTCTCTACCTCGTCCCAGAAATTTTGGGTAAAGAACTTTGGTATCCACTCCATGGCTACTGGGAAGTACTCTTTACCCTTGGTTGGCTGGGCACCGTGGTGGAACAAAGTTGGATACTTGACCACTCTGAACTGGCCAGGCCAGTCTTGGATATACAGTCCATACGGCGCTGCGACGCGTTCAGATATGGGCCAGATGGCGCCACCGTAAAGCTTGGCTTCGTAAGTCCAGCCCAGCTCTGCAAAACGATGGTCGCGATAGAAAGGTTCCCGAGTGTTGCCAAAGTGGGCGTGCCAGAGAGCATGCATGAGTTCATGAACAATGGTTGTGGCGAGCTGGAATTGAAGACGGAGGATACCAGAGGCATCATCGGTGCCTGGTATCCAATGAGTGGAGTAATCTGAGGGCTTGGTCTTGGAGCAAAGTATGGAGAGCATGTCTTCGTTGATCACGATCCTTGATGCACAACCGCTGGACCCCGAATTAGCCATTGAGTCTCCATCTTGGGAGTGCGAGGAAGAATCATGACAAGAAACTTACGAAGGCTTCAGTCCAGGCATTGATCTGTCCGGCCAAGTCATGCCAGCGATTGCACGGTCCTCGTCAACTTGATTCTCCATTGCGGCAAACTTAACAACCCCCTTTAGACTCCAGATAGTATCCCACAGATCCCACAACTCTTGTTGTGTCGTATTCTTCTTGGCCTCGAACCAGTAGAATTTGCGATTGCCCAAAGGCGGACGAATCTCGTGGTGATTTTTNTGATCCAGCATGCCGCACAAGAATCCAGACATAACTTTCTCCTCCAACATCAGAGTAGCAAGTTGCCAGACTGGTTTCAAGGTATCCCAATGTGGGAGGGAGCGACTAGTCAATTCCTGCGTTTCCCACATTTCAGGGAAGAAGATGGGATGAATGTACAACTCCTCTGCCACTGGTGTTGTGACTTTCCCAGCATTGTTAATTCCAGTCTTCTTATATTCACGATAAGCGACTGCTGGCGTAGTGTGTGTTCGATATCCGAAGTTTGGATCCGGAGCGGGGACGATGAGAAGGTTTATATGACCCTTCTCGTGTAACTCCTGGAGACCAAGACCGTCAATCAGGGGATCTTGTTGGTTCAGATAAGGGATAGGTCTTGTGTTGCGAAGACCAGGACGTTGGGGCGATGATGGCTGGTTGTTGCTACCTGAAGATGTCATGATCGATTTAACTTGTGTGACAAGATACTTTTTGGCCAAAGGATGGGATTAATGAAGAATGACTTTATCGTGTAGTGTCGAACGATGCGAATGGGTCATTCCTTATCCTTTACCAAAGTCGTGCTTTTGTATTTGGTCACAGAACAGCGAACAAAGCTCAATTCCCGGATGTGGTGCTGACATAAGAAAACTTCAACAAAGAGTCGTCGATTCTTGCAGCGTGGTCGAATACGCATGGTTCGGTGAACTCGCTGCTTTGATCAGCTCTACAAAGGCTACATCTTGCCGTCCGGACTGGACAGGACGAGCGCTGCTAATTATCAAGATATGCGAAACACCAAGGATGGGCGTTTACAGTAGCTCGCGATGGATTTTCTAACCGCGTGGAAGCTATGCGACGATGGGAAATAGGATGAGTGCTGATGTGAAGGCAGCAGGGAGCCGGAGGATCATCGGCATGACGCGCAAGCACTTTGGTGGTCGCGCGCGAACGTGTCCGGAGAGCTTGAGCTTCAAGGGGACTTGGTTGCATAGGAGGAAGATAGATATACACAACCACCGCAATGGCAAACCGTGGATACGATGTGGTAGTTGATGTCGATGCTGAGGTCAGTCGCTCTATGCGCTTGTTCGTTGTGAGTTCAACAACTGATTCAGGAGCAACAGNNGGAGATCTCGGCCATACCGACCTGCAAGAGGACCTCGAATTCCACTCGTCCAGTAAGACCTCATCGTCTTGTCGCAGACTCGATCGACTTCTCTGACAAAGGCCGCAGNACTTTGAAACCCAACCCTCGACTCGTGGCAAGCTTCCTTCAGGCAACAACTCGTTCCTTCCTACCAACAATGGCAACTCCTCGAGCACAAACAGCAAACACTATCTCTGGAGCATCTCCTTCTACGCCCAATTTTTCGATGTCGACACTTCCGAAGTTGCTCGCCGCTGCCGTGCTGCTATCTTCCCTCTCTCAAACTTCCTCGACGTCCTTGATGGAAACCCTGATCTCTACGGCCCCTTTTGGATCGCTACCACCGTAGTCGTTATCCTCTTTCTGACCGGCACGATCTCGCAATATCTGGCAAAGGAGGGAAAGAAACACTTCATCTACGATTTCACTCTGCTCTCTGGCGCTGCAGGTCTAATTTACGGATACACTTTCATCATCCCCATTGCGCTGTGGGGTGCCCTGAAGTGGTTTAGAGCAGAGTCTGCCAACTTGCTCGAGTGTGTTTGTCTGTACGGCTATGCCAACCTGATCTGGATCCCAGTCGCTCTGATTTCTTGGTCGCCAATTTCAATTCTGAACTGGGTCTTTGTCGCCATTGGACTTGCCGCCTCGGGTGTCTTCCTGGTTAGGAATCTGTACCCTGTGCTGAGTGCCACCGATGTCAAGACGAGCAAGATTTTGTTGGTCGTCGTTGTGGCTTTGCACTTTGGTCTCGCTCTTGCCATCAAGATTTTGTTCTTTGCGTAAGTCTTTCTTTATACAGGCTTGGTAAGATTATACTAATCGTGTTGATGCAGCCATGGTAGTCCCGCTAAGAAGGACAAGGGAAACAAGGACGATGATGATAAGATGATGCGCTTTGTCTTCGGATTGTAGACCATTTTATACACTTCTGCACTATCTAGCATATGCGAGCCTGATTCCGTAGCTCAGCTTCTACATCGTCACATTGTAACAATGTTTCCTTTGCTCGCCCCAACCCAGTCATTGCGTGCTGATGAACGGTCTGAAAATGCAGAGAAGTCTAGACAATTATGGATTTGATGAACAAGCCTCTAAGAATGCTGTTTGGTTGTTATAAACGCATGCGTCTATCTAGTCTTTCGTATTCATTGACCCCGTATATCCTTCCTCTTCCTAATTGTTCCGTGACCCAAACTCCTGAATTGCAATCAAATAGGTATCTTAAATCATCCTCGCCTTTATTTCATGAACCCCAACCTCTTCTCTCTGACCTCCACATCTCTCATTTCCTCATCCATGACACTGTTGAAGTGATCTGCTCCATCCAAGTAGACGTGATGACCAGCCTTACGGATGATCACGACCTTGGCATCGCCGTTCTCTTTCTTCTTCTCCTCTTCGGTGGCGGTGGAGAGAGCCTTTTGCTTCTCGGCCTGCATCTTTTCTGCTGCAGCGCGACCGCCATCTTTGTCCATCCAATCGTTTTCTCCGTACATGAGAACGACCGGAATGCCCGTCTCACGAACCTTTGACAGACCAGTAGGAGTAGAGGAAGCGTTGTCAGGAGTTGGTGAGGAGTGAGGTTCTGAGATCCACTGACGGCCCACGCCTTGAATGCGGCGGATCAAAGGACTACGAGCAAAGGCGCCAGGAGCGAGAATGTATGCCAGGGCGTATTCGCCTGATCCTCGTTGACGGAACAGGGAGTAACTGTAGTCGTGTAAGGCTTGGGACTCTTCGGCTGGGAGATGGCTGAAGCGACGACTCGTCCAGCCTGATACCAAACGAGGACCCAGAGGACCGGACCAGCGAACAAAGGAGAAGGGCGAGATGTTTGCGTCCCAGAGGGTTGTAAGCCACTTCGGCAATGGCTTCTTAGGCGGCTTACCACTGTTGTTGGCAGCATCTCTCTTCGCCTTTGCGTTCATAAAGTTGTTGTTGTCTCCAGTCTTTGCTGATGCCGGAATATCGGGATTTGTACCATTGGCAGAGTTCGCCTGATCTTGAGTAAACTCATTCACCATGGTTGAGTCTTCAGGTTCGGGCATATCGGCATTGACAGCGTAAGGGTCTTCCGGAATACCCACAGGCGAAGCCAGAATTAGCTTGTTGAGGTGACCAGGATACTTGAGAGCATATGCAACGGCCATGTAGCCACCCATGCTGTGACCGAGCAAAGTGAAACGATCAATGCCTTTCTTAACACGCCATTCCTCTAGGGCGTCAACAAACCAGCTCTCAGCTTCTTCAATCTTTCCCTGACGATCTTTGGCATGAATCTTGAACGGCGGGCGCGATGAACGGCCCATACCGAGCATATCCAGAGCGTATAGTTTCCAGCCTGGCAATCTAGACAAACTCTCAAAGTTTCGATAGAAGAATCCGAGACCGGCACCGTAGCCGTGGATCATGACAAGGTTGTTGTCAACTTGCTCACCAATCCTCTCGACCGAGAATTCATTCAAGAAGCGACTCTTCCCTGCCAATTCTACCAAGTCCGAGTTCCATCTACGAGGGCCATAGGGATCGTTGAGAGTCGATGTAGTTACTGGGTCAGCCTGTCGGGCTGCGATCTTCGTAACGTCCTGTGTTGAGACATTCGTCGAGGCAGGGGCTGAACCAGTCTGGGTGTGGGTCGGAGGCTTTTGGAGATACGGGATGAAAGAGAGGACGCGGTGTTCGGTAACGGCTGGAGAGAGACCAGCCCANCTGATACGAGTTAGTGATGAGAACAAGAAGCGGTGCGTGAGTTTGTGTACCCATTGACTGAAGCCCTCCTTGTATCCTAGGGGAAAGTAGCCAGTCTTGCCGGCGGTCCGGGTGGCTTCAGAGGGAGTGTCTTTGCGCTGAGAAGCCAGCATTGGTCGCTGACCACCTTCGGTATCAGAAGCCATCCTTGGTCTCTTTGTCGTGTTTCGAGATGTTGTTGGGTGGCGGTTTATGCAGAGGGCGTTGTTGAACGATTCGCTGACTTGATTCCAGGCCTGTTTCCCAAGGCTCAGGGTGGCGCGACTGGCGCGCGAATATTGTAATCGGCTAATCTTGGAAGAGAGATACGAACAGAGAGCAAAGGAAAAAGGAAAGAGAGACGGGCAACGACTTTATTGTACTGGTCAATTAGGCAGGTACGGTCTTATGACGATGCAGGCAACAAGGACGGAGTTTAGGTCAGGCCGCATGCCGGACCCGCCGTTGGATCGAATCAATCACGGCGCATGCATGAGCTGACGCCAGTCATTTCTCAATCATCCATAGCGACAAGACAACATTGCTACTGCCCCGCGTCGCAAAGTGCTACACACAATCATGAGCTGAGCAGAGTCATTCAGCCATGTCGACATCCACGCTGGATAGAATCGTCAAGGGTGCTCCGCCGCCCGACGTCTCTCTCGATCAAGTCGCACAGTCCGCCCGCCGCTCGAGCACCACCACCCTGTCGCACTCGCATTCACGCTCACGTGGAGACCCAATCACCGCCCCTCATCCACCCGCTACCTCCCAGTCTGACCCTTTGAACAACCTACCCTCGTCGCCTGAGCAGATCAAGCTCAATCTCCTCATCCTCGAATCTTCTCTCCGCGCCCAGTACCTGTGCCTCCATGCCCGATTACGTCTCTACCTTGTCTTGATGACTGCTCTCGGTCTCTGGATCTCGACCTTTACATATCTCCTCTTTCTACGCCCGCGCGAAGATGGCAAGGGTACTGGTGGCTCGCCTTACTGGGTCGTCGATATTGCCGAACGCTTAGGCTGGGTAGGAGGTCTTGTGACTGCTGGTCTCGTCTGGGGAACTGGAATGTGGGATCGCGGCATCCGCTGGCCGAGAAGGTGGGTCAACATCACAAACAGAGGTCTACGAGGCTTCAATCTCAAGCTTGTTGTCATTCGGGGTCCATGGTGGAAAGAAGCTCTTGGCTACCTTTTCTTCCTGGATCCCTGGGGATGGTGGGGTCACGTCAAAGGCATGCGATTCGAATACATGCCAAAAGATATCGAGAAATCTACGCTTGATAACAAGGACAAGGTCGGTCTATGGGAAACTGGGGGTCGCCATGGCTGGATTGAAGAAGATGTTGCCCCTGGAGGAGATGTCATCAAGCTCCTTCTGCTACCGAAACCCTTTTCACCAGACTTTCGCGAGGACTGGGATACTTATAGGCACAATTACTGGGAGAAGGAAAATGAAAGACGCTCTCAGCTACGAGCCATCATCAAGACAAGGAAGAGACAATTGGCAAAACAGGAAGGTGGTTGGCTCTGGTGGNACAGGGTGGAGGGATGGACTCGTCTGCGACACCCAACAAGACCCAATCATGATCAACTGAACAGGATGCAACGCGAAGCTTTGCGCGAGAAGCACAGTCTATCTCACATGAGGGAAAAGAAAGCCAGACCGAGCTCAATCTTGCGAGAGAACAGCCACTCGCGCTCAAGCTCGAGGAGTTCCACCNCTGAATCACTTGGTCGTCGGTCCGAAGAGAAGCTACGCAGGATGAGTAGCACTCAGAGCCTTAGGAAGGAACGCCCAAAGCCAGCTACTGCTAGGCGCTCAAGTCGTCTGGCCTCCTCTGACTCCAGGCCGGGCACACCAAGTTCTGTAGGCACTGCTTCTGAGCACGAGACCTCGCCAACGTCTTTGCACAACCGTGCGAGTAATTTGAGCATTAGCTCAACGTCGACCTGGACAAGTGATGTACTTAAGGAGGACACACCGCCTACTGATGTCGACACGGCTGGGAAAGATCAGACGACGCCTAAGCTCTAGCCTTGCGATTGCTGAATATGATAACGACTGTTCTTGTTCCTCTCCTGATCATGTACCAATGCTTGCTGCCCTGGTGATTGTAACATAGCCTAAACGCTTGCTAACATTCCTGCACTGAGACATTCAGATGACTTGACTCTCTTTAAGGGCAAGTTGAAGACTAGTCACATGTTCGGTTTGTACTACCTGCAATCGACACGAGCCGTGTACTAAACCATGCTGTGTCTTGACTCTGATCGAACATCCGCAGTCATGGCTGAGCAGAAACGATTGTCAACAGTCAGATATGAGGATCTCAGTCCGCGCAGTATCGGATGTCAAGACTGCAGACCCTCGTCATGTGGCTCCTATCGCCATCGCCATCAATCGAGGCTCTATTAGCTAGCGAACCTGCCAGTGCCTCCATCAATCACTATGGTCTGACGGAAACACGGTCACCAATTGCGTAGCTAACCTGATTCAGCAGTGAATATATTACAGACGCCAACCAATTCACAACAAATTCAACACTGCGCTTGAGTTCGAACCACTACAACAGCTGATACTTTCGCACCAGTCAACTTGTCATCACATGTCTCTCGATAAAGCGCCTCTGTGGAAAGAGGTCTGGTCACTGTCGAGAGGCTGGGGGAGAAGTGAGATTGGGGAGGAGGAGCAGAGGGTTCATCGAGAGTGATGGGTTGCAACAAATTGTGAGGTAAGTTGAATCTCCCTACACCGTCAGACCTGTGATTCTTTTTGCTGCTTCCGTAGCATTTGCGTAGACAAATTCTCTCGCGCCCTCAGATCACACTCGAATTGCCTGGTATTGCCATCGATACCGTTATGATATTTTCTTTGTTGTCTTATCACTCGTTTGGATCCAGATTCTTTGTCTCATTCTTTGTGAGAACACAACCACATTGTTTTACTGCTATGCTTGCCTTTCCAGACAATGAGTAAACAAAGAAAAGGGAAACAATGCTCTGTTGCTTCTAAGAATCTGCCGAAGGATCTCGCTCACTATTCAAACATTCATAAGCGCCCATCAACCATCCCGATATTTGGCCCCTTCACGCAGGATTTTCTCAGAAACCGAAGACATCCACTAAGTCACCATCCAACACTATTCTGGCAGGTCCCAGAACTTACAAAGGTAAGTCCATCCCCAAAACTCAACTGACAAAAGTACAGAGTTCGTCTTTGTGACAATGCCTTCGAAACACCCTGGTGAGTATGAGTTGGCCAGCTGGTCCGAGATCTTCTGTCAGTGCTTTCCAGTTCGCAACAAGAAGTCTGCTACTGAACCTGATATCGAGATGCAGAATATGCCCTCATCTTCTCACTACCCTGCAGTCAACAATCCTGTTGTTCCTAACCACATTGTTCGCGCCAATCACCCCGACAATATCCAAAGACCTTCGCACACTTCTTGGTGGTTGAGAGACGACTCATCTTCTTGCCCTTCTGCTCCTCCTAGCAGGAGCGGTGCGACAAACCCTATTGCTTCTTACCTTGATCCTACTCCTGGTCCCGTTGGAATGAGAACACCACCTCGTACTACTAATCCGTACACATCTCCTCGTCGTCTTAGATCAAGTCTTGATGTGTTCGTTCATAATCCGTCTTCACCTGAAGCCTCTGCTTGTCATACTCCTCAATGGGTCTCTCGTCTTGGGGCTGAAACGCCTGACTCTGGAGATGCATCCTCGGTCTACATGAGTGGTGGTATACCTGCTTCTGACTTTGATTACAGCAGTGGGCGCCTCCCTGTTGCTTCTTCTATCTACTCTTCTGATGCTGGCGACCACATTTCAGCTCTACCTCCTCATCTCACTGCTCGCATCCCAAGAATGAGCCCTAGGGCCGCTTCATACGCCGCTATACTTGACGTTCAAGCTGGTATCGATGCCAGACGCTCTGAAACTGTACAAACAACTGATCAGGCTCCTCCGTCTCCTACTGGCTCTGTAAACAGCATTGATTTCTTCACCGGTGGTGCTAGTAGACCTGATTTTGGTGCAAAGGTTGAAAGAAGTGGTGGTAGAACTGCTCCTGTCAGACCTGAGAGATTCGCTGGAACTAGTCCCTATATCGCTTAGATAGTGCTCTGGTGAGTCTTGCTTCTTCGTCCTTGTATGCGGTGACTTAATCAGAAAGTCTTCCCGCAAACTTACTATAACAGAAAATGATTAACTCTTTTTTTCCCTCCAAAATCTACCTTCTTCTTTGTGCCGTTGTGCTTTTCTGTATTGAATCTTGACTGAATTCTCCTCGCTGTGTCATTGTGGTATCTCACAGTCTCATAGCTCCCTTTGGTATCTTCTATCTTTCTGTCCAGGTTCCTGACGCCCGAGTGACGTTTTTGAGACAGTGAGTGATATAGCCGCCGTGGCGGGAAAAGCTACATGTGTCGAGAACTGGATAGCCAGGAGGATAGCGAACTGCTTTGATTTGCGTGTTGCTTGTTTCGGATCTGGTGTATACTCGGAAACCATCAGAGAGTCCAGGTGATGAGGCGCATTTTTATGGTCCGCAGTATTCACATCAAAGTCGGGCTAAAGATCGAGCTGTTATTAATTTCTCTTATACAAAGCCTGACTATTAGAACATTCAAAATACTACTACAAGTTAGAATAGTTGCAATCTATGGTCGGCGCAAGCGATGATCGACATTTATAACCTCACGAGCAATATTATACAGCTGGGGAGTACTTCTCCTCATCTATCGATGTTTTGCTTTTGGTTTGTCGAAGCAGGTCTTGATCAGGCGTCGTCTGTCGATGGCCATCCTCCTCTTCTGCAGGAGTCGTCCGCTCACCATCACCAAATGTGGGCTTGAAGAATCCATCGTAAGTCCTCCAGCAAGCTCTAAAGATGGATTCTGAGAGGATGCGTAACCAAGGCGGTGTGCGGCCATGCTCATCGGCGTATTTTGCGTTAAGGCTGAATATGAGCACAATGAAAGGCAGCCATAGAGTGAGGAAGATGAACTGGCCCAACTGCTGCTTGTTGGTGGTAATTGTGTATGGTCGAATGTTACTCAAATAGTCCTGGTACTCGTATGGTAGTCTGCACTCGGCGGCTCCGTCGGTGATGAGCTTCAGGTAGCGAGAAGAGGCTTGTGCGTATGAGGTGTCGGGACGCTGAAGTCTTCCTCCCTCTTTTGGAGGTTGAGAGCCAGGAGGAACAGCAGGAGCGAAGAGGGTATGGGCCTTGAAAGGGTTGGTGGTAGGATATACGGGCACGGGGTGACTTGGGTCCGCATTCTCGAAAGGATAACAGTCGATGAGGATGTCTTGGTACGAGGCACCACCTCCTTCAGTCGCAATAATGTGGGCATAGTCAGTGGCTGTGACCTCGTAGACTACGCCTATTAAGCCTTTGTGCCATCTATCCTTGTGGTAGTCATTGGATACAGGCGCCCCTTCCTTNTCCGATAGACTCGGTACATCCTTGTAGGGATCGCGGCGGGCAGTGTTTGCAAAGCATGGTTCCGAGTAGGCTATACCAGGTAGATCGAAAGTCAAGCGGAGTTGCGGGACCTGGACATTGATTTGCGACAAGGGCTTGATTCCTCGCTTGCCTCGAAAGGTTTCGTTGCACAAGTTGGAACCGTAGGCGAGATAGAGGAATGTTTCGGACTTGGATTCGGCACCAGCTGACAGAGACTGTTCTCTTCGCTCTAGGCTTGTTTCTGGTAATGTTGGATAGGTAGACAGGGCCAAGGTTCGAGGACGGGTCGTCTGTTGTGTGGCGTCGCGCAGGCTCCTGAAGGCCTTGGCCAGTCGACAAGTGTTTTCTGGCGATTCCATCATGGCTGTCGAATGATACAAAGAGGCGCACCGCTCCGGACTTGACAAGCTCAAATAGATCCTTGACCTTGACCACGAAGGTGTTTCGGCGACTTTGTCGTTCCGAGATTGGTAATCCTATGACGGCTGTGGTCTGTGCTCGATCATCTCTTCCGAGTCGGCTACGGACCAACAATCACTTCCGTCCTCGTTGCTTGTTGCCTGCATCATGAGCATCGGAGAAACTCTCTTGGGTTGAGTCTGTATTGCGTCCTGGTTGACTCGTGGTCAAGTATCCTTCCAAAAATGCTGTTAGCAGCTTACCGGGTCTTCTCAGACTCCTTCATTCGAGCAAGTTGAGTAGCATAGACAGTGACAGAGGCTCTTGAGCGAGTGAGGATGGCCAGGAGAAGCTTTGCAAATTGCTTTGACTGTCTTCTGTGAAATGCACTACCATATGTGATGTTTCTCGAAGGGGATCGCGTCTGCTGAGTCGATGTAGTCAATCAGGTAGGTGCATTTGGGCGAGCATGTGATAGAATTCGACAGTCGCGACTTCCCTTGTCATCTCCATCTACAACAATCGACCAGATGCGCAGCCATGAGCGCACTCGCCCACCTCTACAGCTATGGCCCCGCCGACATCTGCTGGCTTTAAACACGCTGTATATTATTGCCCCATCAACGCTAGTTCTGATCCGACACCAGAAAAGCCACCATCACAGAGGGCACAATACATTACCCAAGTGCCGAAATCGCCTTCTGCCTCTCAGCGAGCCCGCCCTGCTGCTGCTTCGCAAACCCGTTCTGACGACTTTGTTCAAGACTCTCTTGAACAACATCCTTCAGCGCCTCCTCACCAGCCTAGTACTTTCCTAGACTTTCTCGAGCAAACCGGGCCCGTTGGGAATAGCCAACCTGCAGACAGCTCTTGCCAGCAAGATATCATCGTTTCACGTTCACAATCTCAAGGTCAGGCCATTGCGCAGAGCTCCATTAAAGGCTCTTCACCTAAGCATCTACCCTCGCAAAGTCACTCCATTGAGGAGGACTCGGTCCAAGTCCCACCACCAGCACATCTACCATCCCAGGACAATTCTGCGGACGTTGCAGACGAGACATATCCTCGGATTCCGTCTCAAAGATCAGCCACTACAGAGCATCTTACGCAAGCACACACTTCCGTACACACTGAGCCGGATAACGACGACGAAGACGAAGAAGAAGTTCAAGATTGCATCACAGTTCGATCTCGACCTGCCACCCCGCCTGCCGCAGAGGTCAATACCAGGAAGACTACAAACAGCTCTGCTGGTCTGTCATCTGTTTCTCGTGGATCCGAGGACTTTTATAACGCAACTCCTCTGAATCGTAGTGGATTGTTACATCCTGACGTATCTGCTACCACAGGAATCACTACGCCCAGCATGCCTCCCAAAACTTCAACTACCAAAGGTACTACATCTACGAGCCAGAACCGGAAGGCTGCCAGCACAGCCTCCAAGAAGTCATCAAAACCTGCTCAGCCTCTTCCTGACATCGTCAATGAAGGCGAGACCTCAGCCGCTGCCGTCCTTCAGAAGATGAGATCTGGCGGTACCAGTCAGGCAAACACGACACGGCAGGCTTCGAAAGCCATGCCTGTGGCTGTTCCCAGAGCTGAGACTTCTCAAAAAATTTCAACGCGTCCAAGTCAAGCTCCAGCGAAAAAGTCTGCCACAAAGCCTGCACAACAACGGCAGAGCCAACCTCCAGTACCATCCACCAAAGAGCCTTCGCGTAGGGATGAGCTTCCTGATGGTCGCGGTGAGTCTGATTTTTCGCCAGACCCGGTTACTTCCACACGTCCTGCTGTTCCATGGCATCCTGAGGAAGGGAAAGTGAAATCAACCAAAACCACAAAGTCAACAGCTGCCTCGGCTCTGAGCAAGAAAATTAGCAAAAGTCAACCGAAGAAGAAAGCCACGAAGGCCCCAGAGAGTGATGAAGACGATGACGATGAGGAATACAGCGCACCAAAAACGTCCAAATCAAGAACGACGATCACCACACGAGCAAGTACACGAGCTCAAACGCGGACGACCATGAAGAACGACGGACCCAATGTTTCTACTCGAAACACTAGAGCAAGCAACGCCACACAAAAGGAATTACCTGTGTCACGAAAGTCCGCTCCTTCGCACAGAGAAGAAGAGATTGAAGACTTTGAGGACAGCGTAATTCGTATCAACTCTGGTGGTGCTGCTAGCCCGCAATTAACCACTTTATCCACGCCGGCAACGCCTCTCGCAACCAAGCAAACGAAGACTCGTCGCATGACCGAAAAGGAGGCAAAGCTTATGCACGATGCTGTCTCCAGTCCTGATCGGTNNAAGAACTAATTCCATTGCTCGATCGCTTTGCTTACTGATGTGTACAGTACCATCACTTCAGCCGCTATCAAGCCCCAGCGCAGCAACAAGAAAGCACCGGTTCCGCAGGCATCCCCCAGTCCAGTGCATGAAACTGTCCCTGAACAAGGTACCACACAACGAAATCCTGTCAATATCGACGAAGATGCCATGAACGAAGACCTCTATTCTAGCTATGATGAGATTATCACTGGTGTGATGGGGCAGAAGCCACAAGAGAAGCAGAAGGTCTCTCCGGCGAAAGACAAAGCTACCCATCTTCGGCTTGGGACCGCTCACGAGCATATGAGCGACATCCACTCCGATCTTGACTTGATGGCACAAGAGCGTGCTCAGAGAAAGCCAAATATTGTAGGGTTTGATGCCGATGGTCCCAAGAATCAGGGGTCACGACAGCAGAAAAAGCCTTCCAGTTTAGGAACTCCCAACCTGCCGTTTGAAGAAGCTTCCTCTCCAGATCTCGACTCGGTCAGTATGCAACAGCCACTAGTCACCTTCGTCAAGACACCTAGACCAGATATACGATCAAAAGAGGCACTCAATCTCAATGTCTCTGAAATTTCTGCCCGTGTAGTCACTACCGCTCCCTTGCGCCCAACTACACCAGGAGATGTTGCCCCTTCGAAAACAAATTCTACCAGTGGCCAGCCTCGAAAGACTGCAGCGAGCATCGAGATCCCTCCAACCAAGGAAACAAGCTCGACAGGATTTGAGTCATTGGCTAAACCAGTCGCCGTCAATCACAAGGAAACGAAAGCTCAAATGGTTGACAAGGGTTTCATAAACGACAAACATCTGAACGAGACGCAGAAGAATTTCAAATTACAGACTCAATCTGAGTTCCTCGTCGGGGAACCTGCTCAGCAGCTGCTCAAGAAGCCTGGAGACTTCGACAGAAAGCTGTACCAAAAGGCACACACAACTGAGTCTTCAGCACCACTGACCAAGGAAGCATTACTCATGTCTGAGATAGCAGCAAATCNNAATCGACTGTGGGATCCATACATTCTGGTTGCCAACAAGCACGTTCAAGCTTCGTCGAATCACAATGATCCACAAGAGCGACCCCACACTGTCCAGCTGCAACATATTGACAGACCGTCGGATACACGTGGCAGCAAAGCATTCATTCCTCCTGCAGAGCACAACCAGGAGAGTACCACAAGAACACGGTCAGAACTTCATCAAACCACAGTACCTGCAATAGATCGTAAGCGGCCGTCTGTGGAAGTGGCTGGAGGAGCTACAAAACGTTTGAAGGCAGGCACTCATGGCCACCGCACGCAATTGACACAGCCAGCTGCAGCAAAGGTCTCAGGCTTGCGAAAGCTGTCTCAAGTCGACGACAATGAATCTCCTATGCCTTATAGAGAAGAAATCTCCCAGGAAAACATAACACTCGTTACCCAAACAAGACAGAAAAGTGCCACTACTGCCTCGAATCTGACCCGTTATGCAATGCATCAAACTACGGACGAATCCTTTGCCCAACCTGCGGCATTGGTGCGCAATGAGATGGTCAGATCAGAGAGCCCTCTGCAGGAAGTGGGTGCGCTTGAGGAGAATACGCCCCTTCAGGTCTCGCAACCTATCACGCACGCGGGCTTCGACGAAGATACCCAGGTCACTGCCAAGTACCCAGAGACATTCGAGTTACACAGAGGTCTTGAGAAGCATGCATCTCCGGTACCATGCGGCAGTCCACCACGAAAAGCTCCACCTGCAAAGAAATCAATTGGCTTGATGGAAGCATTACGATCAGAGGTGGTTCAAAGAACAGATGCACCAGGAGCTGAAGAGAATGACGACCAAGAGAGTCTAGAGCCTGAGAAGTCTATGGAAGAAGAAGAAGATCCCGACAAGACGCTTGTAAACGAAGACTCGGATGATGGGGACGATAGTGACGACGATGGCTCTGAATCGCGGAATTCTTCGGATACAGATGGCGACGATGTGGCAAAGAGCGCTCTGTCAATGTGGAGAGATGCTCTGGAGTCACATCAGGGAGATGTTTACGATCAACTAGTGCGCATAGCCCACCGATTGACGAACCATCTGAAGGATCATGAGTCTGCCATCAAGGACATCAACACAGACTACAGCCAAGATGGAACGAAACTTGTCCAGCGTCTCGTCGAGGACAACGAAGCCAAACTTGAGGTATATTGTCTCGAGCAATCAAAGATGCAACAGGCTCTAGTCTATGGATGTGAGCAGGTGCATGGTAGCCTCCACAAGGACATGAAGGATGTCATGGCTAGCCGCGAGAGATTTGTGAAGACGTTGCAGAAGCAAGTGAATGAAGTCGGAAGACTGGACCAGATCATGCAGACTTATCAGGCATGATGAGTGGTAGGAGGAAGGAGTTGCTGTCCTGACAGATTTGGCATGAACAATGCTGTATGTTTATTAACAGGTATTAGATTTGATAGTATGCTAGATGGTTGCTGCATAAATATATGAAAGAGTTATACTCGGAGTGTGCAAGTGGTTTGGAGCCGAGGCGCGCGACGCGCGGGAACATCGTCATAGCTTGACAGCGGGTTGACAGGCATGCGCAAGCCTCTTGATACGCCATCCGTTGACTTTCTTTTGCTTTAACAACCTGCAACAAAGACCTGTGTCTCCTAGACTCTTGACCTTTTCCTTTGGATCGTTACCTTCCCTTTCGAACGTTTGACAGAGACCGGATCATTTCGCTCAAAGAAACGACACAGCACCTACCCGAGAAGCACCTTCCTGTAGCAGTCATGTCATCGGGATTCCACCCGTTCGGAGGGCGAGTCAGCAGACGTTTTGGAGACAAGGTATGTTGCAGACTTGACTGCTTTGCAGTTGACTACATCTCGAACAAATTTGCTGACGGAAATGGTATAGNNTCACTTCATCCGGATGATGCCTATCTCAGCTGTGAGTAATCTGCCGCTGCTATAGAGCGGCACCAGCTGACTGGCCATAGATCATGACATCCGATGTACGCTTTAATCTCCCGGTACCCTTTCATTCTGCGCACAAAAGACTGACCGAACAACTCAGTGACGGTTGAAGATGTTGACTGCATCAAGAATGACTGGCTCACCGATAACGTAATGCTGAACTACCGCTGGCATATAACCTCGACTAACGCGTGACCAGNNGCCATCGCTTTCTGGGAAGAATACCTCGAACATGAAAAGCTGAATGCCTACCCGAAAGCCCGCATCGTCCTCCTCCGCCCCAGCATGGCCTTCATGCTGCTCCAAACCAACGATCCCATGAGCCTGAAATCCGCACTACCGAGTTTCGAACACACAACACACATCTTCCTGCCCGTGAACGACTGCCGCGACGTCGAGGCAGCAGAAGGCGGTTCGCACTGGAGTCTACTTCTCGTCAGTGTCGTTGATGGCGTAGCTTTCCACTACGACTCGCTGTGCCCATCCAACATGGAACCAGCCAAGATGCTGTCACACCATATTTCGCAGCTGCTACAGAAGCCGCTCAAGTTTGTGAATCTGGACGATTCGCCGCAGCAAGAGAATGGAAGCGATTGTGGTGTGTTTGTGTGTTTGCTCATGCAACATCTGTTGCTTGGGAGATTGTTGCAGGCACATGCGCAAGATAAGGTTAGCATGAGTATGAAGGGCAAGAATGTGGATGCTACTGGTGGCAGAAAAGAGATGTTGCGGGTCATTGAAATGTTCAGGAAGGAAGGAGAGAGGAGACGCTCGTGAGTACTCTCTTCTGCCTATTTTATGACAGCTGTGAGAAATTCTTGTTGACCGAGGATACAGTGGTTCTCATCATCGCGGCGAACACAGTCCTTTCTCGCTCAGCTCGCCTAAATCAAAATCACCACCACGTATCGGAGACGACTAGAAGTCGTGGACGTGATTCTGGAGTTGATGAGCACTCTCAAAGTGAACGATCCTTGCGTGGAAACGAATATTGATGAGCGAAGATGGCATTGCGAAAGAAGCAGCATATGGTTTTTCATGAGATAGAAGCTGATGCAATAAAACGAAACCTGGGAGTCTCGAGAGTAAGGACTGTACGCATTTATGAATTTCTGCAGATGGCCAGCAAGTCGCCTAAAAGAAGATGAGATTTTCTAACACCCACTCCTATTGCAGCCGTACCCTAGAAAGAGTTTGCTCTTGCCCAGGACAAGATGTATCAGGAAACCAAAGCTCACCGTCTTGGCTTCAGTCCTTCCGATGTGCAGAAATATGTAATGCGTGTGGCTATACAATGCACCAGAAATAAAAATATGGCCAAAGCGAGGTGATGAAGAGATGACTTCTCAGTGGACACTATCCTGTTTCCCAATAGTGTTATGCATTCTATAGCATGTACTTTTTACTTCTCTGCTATGGTCGGAGTACAGTCGAAGTTAAAGAACCTCTAAATCATAGAGAAGCCGGTGATTTGGAAGATTAGCAGAACAATCAATTGTCTTTTGTTTGTTCCTGAGCCAAGTTGTTTGCTCTGGCTTTTACATGACCGTACAACCAATACCATACATGGCTCTCTCGACGTCCCTCCTCACAGCATACCAATCTGCCCTTCTTTCTGCAAATTCGTAGACCTCTTCTGCGCGGAAGATGCCATGGTAGCGGTCGGAGTCAGCTATGATCGTCGCTAATTCTTTGCAGCGAGCCATTCGTGTTGTTGCAGCAGCAGACGTTGAGAAGATAGAGGTCGAAGTGTTGTTACTGCCACCACCACAGTCGACGAGGTAGATCTGGGAGAGTTCTCGGAGTGCCGAGTAGTAGGGTAATAGGGATTTCTGGCGTAGAGAAGTGATGAAGGAGCTGTAGAGGTTGATGTCGCTGTGTTGAAGATAGTGTCAGACGAGTTTAGACGACGATGATCGAAGTGGAAAGGGGATTTACCTGATGAGCTTTATCGCTCCGTCGGCACTGATGCGTTGGCGTTTTATATGTTTGCACAGCACACCGAATAACCTTAACCCGACTTCTTGATTAAACACATCCAACATATTTTTATCCGTACTACCAACCAACATGCCTGTATGCTGTTGGATGGTATCCACTACACGTTTAGCAGTTTCTGTGGGTCCAATGTCGACCAGTCCCATCATACTTGCACGTTTATCGACTCCTGTCAGAGTTTTGGCATCCACGGCATCGGTGTTGAAGTCAGCAGTGAGCTGAAGCGTGGCGCACATGTATTCGACTTCATCCATGAGGACGTCGATGCCCTTGCCCATGCCTGCCGCTACACGCTCATCCAACATCTGCTCGAAACGTTTCTTCTCTTTAACTGCCGGGTTGAGGAAGTCATCGCGATCAGTAAGTCCAGGTGTGACTAGCTCTTGCATGTAAAAGACATCAACCATCTGCTGAATCAGATCTCCAACGTTGACGAGTTCGAGGAAGGTCACTAGTGGCTCGACTCCACCAGTCGCTCCCTCCTTTTCTGTTTGCCCTGAGCGAAACTCTTTGACAGCACGCGGATTGTAACTGCTCAGGTGACCTACTGCCTTGTCGAAGCCATTTTGGATATGTCGTCGGCCGAGAATCTCCAAAAGGCTGACGAAAATCTTGTCGCACTGTTCCTTCGTCAAGGTCGCGTATCTGTCGCCCATACGAATGAAGATAGCGGCTCGCTCGATTGACGCTTTCGCATGATGAATCAAGCTCAATGCTACCTCAATGCTGAACAAGGACTTGATCCCCTCAAGTCTTGAATTCATGATGGCGGTTTTGGCTGCCAGCTCTGTTGTTGGCGCCGGCCTGGGTGGCGTCAGAGTATCTGGTGTCTCTGATCGCGAGGTCTGTTCTGTGGTTGGGGTCTCAACTATAGGCGTCGCCTTGTTCGCAGATGGGAAGGTTGGTAGGGCGTTCACAGGCATCATGACCACCTTCTTGAACGAAGACAGAAAATCGCGTTTGGCGGCTTGTCTGTTTACGCCCGACATAAAGAACGATTCAGTCTCTGCCTCTTGATCCGAGAGTCGCTTCTCCCAAGCGCCAACTTCGTCATTGCACTTGGACGTGAAATAGTCAAGCTCTTCCGTAAGATAGCGATCCACATGTGGCTCAAAGATGTGTGAAATGACCTTCTTTATTTGATCATGGAAATCTGTGCCGGATGATTTTGGTGGTTGTATCGAGACTGCGAAGCGCATTGCTTGTTCGAATATTCCTGCTACAGCCTTGAGATATGTTTCCACGTTATTCTCGTGGGCTTCGATGAAGAGAGTCGTAATATAATCAGAGACAATGTCTTCACAGACACGGGTCGTAAAGGGGAGGAGGACATCGACGGAGCTTGGAAAGACTTGATCGATAAGCGTTGATTGCATCGACAACATGGAGGCGAGCTTCTCGAAGAACCTCTGCGATGGGTTCAGATCCACGTGCCCAGGCGCAACATCTTGGAGACATTCTAACGGAGTTCCGACCTGATCCTTTCGACGCATGTAGGGGTGGTTTGAAATGAAAATATCGACACCTGCAGCTCCACCATTGAGAGAAACCAGGACATGAGCATATCGTCTCATGCGATCGACGTCTTGAGCCTGATATGCCTGTTCGAACTCGTTGATCATAGCATTCTCAAAGATACCGAGCATGGATTCGAGCTTGTCTTGCCGCTGGCGCCATTTTTGGGCACCGTCGCTCCGTGCAAAGACTCTCAGATCCGCAAGAATACGAGCTTGCTGCTCAGAATCCTGCACAAGACGAAAGACAGCTGGGTCGGACGAGTTCTCTGATCGGACTAAATCGTAATAAAAAGGACCAAGAGCACCGTGGACCTTTCCATACTCTTGTCTAGCTTGACCTCGAATAGAGCGAACCCTGCGCAGCGCGGTGGTTGCAGCTTTCGCATCGAAGGTAGGATTTTGAGATCGAGTCATGTCGTCGAAACCATCAGTCACACTACTGTGCCACGGCCGCCGGGGTGTTGCAGCTTGTTCCAGTGACTTGCGTACTTTCTCTTCTTCGTCATGGGCATCGAATAGTGTTAGAGAGCGGTCAGCTTGTGGACGGCCACTGAGCCTCTTCTTCTTTGATTCTTCGTAGCGTTGGCGTGCCTCGGTCTCATTCCACACACCCATATCTCGTAATCTGGCCACCCATCTTGTATCATCATAGACCATCTCTTGCAAGCGTTTGGAGACTCGAGCGCATGTTATCAAGTCGGATACGGGGAGGTAGTCAAGGATTGTAGCAATGAGTTCTGAANNCATAGTCAGCATGAGTGTTCTAGTTAAGTGTCTTGGTATAGGAAATTGACCGGCAGGTAGGACAGGCTTTAGAGTGAGGATCTGAGTGGCCTTGAGAGATGCAAAGACATTGCTTGGAGTGTTCGGTCGTCGAGGGTCATCAATACTTGTTAGACCAGCCCTTTGTTTAGGGAGGCCATTTGGTCCAGCAGCGGCCCTGGGCAGTGGCTTGCCGTTCATGCTGATGCTATTCTATGCGTGACGTGAGGATTGAAAGCAGCAGACGACATGCTTGTGTATAATACTGTCTGCTTCCAAAGTTGACCACTTTACAGCAACAACAAATGACCCTTGGTGCGTCAGTCTGGAGAACAAGCTCCGCACGCTCCGGAAAGTGGAACCTGCTCCACCACCATCGCGCCTTCCCACCTTGTTGCGTTCCAGACCATCGTGTCCTTTCAATCTCTCCTGATACCATGCGATATACACTATGTCGGATCTCTAGGCGGATTTGTTGCAAGCAAAGTAGCATCTCGTCTTCTTGATACAATGTTTGCTTGCCTCTATCATGGTCACGACCGTGTCCTACTCTAGTGGGACTGGGGCTCCGCAAGACTCATGCAAGCCCAATCGCAATCTCGCCAACCAGCCACACCTCGACTCTCAAGCAGGTTTGTCGCGACTCTGCTTGTATTCCCCTCTGCCGTATCTCCAATCGTAGGTCCTTGAACTTTTTCTTTTCTCTTTCCCATTCCACTCTTGTCAACATATACCACCATGTGTCTCGTCAGCGTAAAGGAAGACCATGACGACTACGCCGTCCCAGCCCGAGTGGTAAGACGAGAACGCCGCCGCTCTCCTCCTCGCACTACGAGACTCTCTCGCGCATACTATGAGGAGTCTCCACGCCCTCAGGAGCGAACCTACATCATACAGCAACCTCCGCAACCTCCTCCTCCCGTGATAGCATATGTCCCGCCCTCCGAGCACGACCACCACAGCCATTACGATCCGTCTCCACCTCCGCCCCCAGCACCCGCATCAGAGAGGCATTCTCATACTGCCCCTCAATACGTCGAAGTTATCCCATCCTCGCGCTCGAGCAGTAGCAGCAGTAGCTCCAGCGATGATGGTCGCTCCAAAACTACCTCTCGCTCAAGAAGAACCACTGGCCCTCAAAGCGAATACCACCTTCGTGAGAAGGAATACCTGCGAGAACGAAGGAGTCCGCATCATCATGCGCAAAAGACGAATACGACACATATCGCTACGTCCAACCCCCTCGCAGTTCAGGCTATCGCAGCAGTGGGAACCTTGGACCTCGGAGCAGCCAGATTGACGACCCTCGCGCCAGTCGCTCGAGCTATAATACGAGAAAGATAGTGATTGAGGGTGGGAGGGAGCGAGAATACCGCCGTTGACTGGCTGGTCCTTGTCGAAGCCTGACTATAGTTGGGGATAACCCGAGCAATGCTCAATTTTACTCCGAACATACCCTTCTTGTCGCATGGCTGGCCATGCCTGTAATTTGTTTGCTGTACAAAGTAGTTCGTGTTTGTGCATATACGTTTCAATTCTACCTGCTTGATAGTATTGCTTCCATCATCCTGGCCGGATGGGTTCATGTAGGCTTCACAGCATAAACCCCACTTGCGCAGTCCTCTTGATCACAAAGCCCCACTGCAAGACAGCAAAAAGCATACCATGTTATCCTAGAGCAAAAGACAAAAGCTGTGGACGACTAGGGGATCGAACCCTAGACCTTCAGCATGCAAAGCAGACGCGCTACCACTGCGCCAGACGCCCAGTTATGATGTAGTGCTTGTAACTATAATATATAGAGACATAGCGAAGCAGTGAGGATGATGATCCACGTTCTGTTCATTGTCCGAGCTTCCCATATTTCCGTTCCATCACAGTCGGCACCAGTTGGACAGTAATCAACTATCGTTCAGGTATACAGCCATCTCAACATACCGTGACATCTCCATGTACGAACAACTGTTATGATATCGCTATAGAAATGCACAATAGTTTCTGAGAAGGAGTGTCATCCACAGAGAGAGTGATATCTCAGGGGCTCTCTCTGGCCATGTTCCTTTCAGAACAACATTGTGCATTTTTATAATATACTCAAACACTGTATGCGACCTTTGGGAAGATGTAAATCAGGAGATTTGCGAGAAAAGATATTGAAGTACATCAGAAACTTTATCACACATTTCAGGAGGTAAACAGCGAAACAACATGATTTTAGGAGGACGCTCGTAATCTCATTTCTTGTAGTACACTAGCTAATTTTACACAACTACGGATGCCCGGGTCCCTAAAGCTGGTCCCCCTGATCTCTTCTCAGGAAGTAGCTTGACAAGGCAAGCAAGAAGTCAGCGTCTTCCTCCTGGCTAGCAGGAGGGCGCGGAAAGAAGTATGGCCCGACAGGAGCCTGGCCAGCGACGCCGGCGGGACCCGAGGAGATCGGCGGGTAACCGAAGGCAGGAGGAGGTGCGGCGGCAGGGGGCTGTGCTGCGACGGCAGGAGGCGCAAAGAAGGGCGCGGGAGGGCGGGAGCAGCGACGACAACCGGGTTGTTGACGACAGGGGCAGGGGCAACGAAGAAAGACAGTAGACAGGAGTGATCGGCTTGAATTGTAGCGTGTGGGTGCCGAGCCTGTTGAGATGCCGAGACCTGACTCTGGATGGAAGAAAGAAAGTAAACAGCAGAGGAGTGACCAGCCTCAATTATAATGCGTGGGTGCCAGGCCCATGCATCGAATGCCGAGACTTGATCCTCGACGAAAAACTGTCGAGCACCATTCGTAGTCACGATAGTGAGAACCAATTCTGTGAGGCGTGAGACATCTGACCGTGCCTATTTGTGCGTTGAGAGCCCGGCCATCGATTTCGTCGAGACCTGACCATAAATTTCGTCGAGACTTGCTTAAGCATTCATTTCGTTTGACTCTCGACGAAAACCCGTCGAGCACCATCCGCAGGCACGATAGTGAAAGTTATCCCATGATGCGTAAGACGTCCAACCGTGATCATCTGTACGTTGAGAGCCCGACCATTTATCCCGTCGAGAACCTAGCCATTGTTTTCGTCGGACCTGACCATTCATATTGTCGAGACTAGCTTGACCATCCACTTCGTTTGACTCTCGACGAAAAGCGTCGAGCACCGTCCACAAACACGATAGTGAAAGCCATTCCATGATGCGTAGGATATCTGACTGTGACCCTTTGTACGTCGAGAGCCTTACCATTGGTTTCGTCGAGACACGACCGTCGATATCGTTAAGACCCCGACCATCCATATCGTTAAATAAACCATCGAGCACCATTCGCATACATGATGACGAGAGCCATTTTTATCATGCATGAAACATCTGACCATGCCCATTTATACGTTGAGAGCCCGACCGTCGATTTCGTCGAGACCTGACCATTGATATCATCAGATGGATTATCGATATTCTCAAGCACCATTCGCAGACACGACAGTAAGAACCACTCCATGATGTGTGAGAAATCTGACCGCGACCGTTTTTACATCAAGAGCCCGACCATTGGTTTCGACGAGACCCGGCCATTGATCTCGACGAGACCTGTCCATCGATATCATTGAGACTCCAACTATCATGAGTCTGATCATTGATATCGTCGGAAGCTGGGTTGTCGATATCAACGAGCACCAATTGCAAGACATGACAGTGAAAGCTATCATGTGATGCTTGAGACATTTGACCCCGACCATTGGTACGTCGTGAACCCGGTCACCGATACCATCGAGGTTCTGGCCATTGACACATTGTGAACACAATCACTGATACATCGAGGACCAGGCCGTTCATGCGACGGAGGCCCGACCATCAGCCTCTCCAAGCGCCCGGCCAGCAATATCGTTATATCACCAGCAGTCGGTATCGTTGAGAGCCCGGTCATTGATACATTGAGACTCTGACTATGGGTACGTCGTGAACCCGGCTTTTGATGCTTCAAGAGCTCAGTCATCAAAACGATGAGAGCTCGGTCATTGATACAATGAGTTCCGGATGTTGATACGATGAGAGCCCGATCATTATGTTGTCAAGAGCCCAGTCATTGACATTGTCGGAAGCCCGGTTGTTGATATCGTCCAGAGCCTAGTTATCGATATAGCCGAGAGCCCGGCTATTGATGCAAGGAGAGCCTGGCCATTGATACGTTGAGGCCCCAATCATCGACAGGTCGAGAGCCCGGTCATCGACACCATGAGAGCCCGATGATTGTTATGAGGAGAGGCCGGCCATTGATACATCGAAACACAACTCCCAAAGCTGGAAAAGCCGAGCATCAATGGCAGAGACGAGTGTGAGAGTCATAGTTCAACATAGTAGCAGAGACATTTAAGCCCGTCCATTGACATGGTTCAATCTCAACTCTTGATGTCAACAACATCAAGCACCATTCTTAGAGAATGTCAAGGATCATGGTTTGAGAAATTTTGGCTCTATCCATCGGTGTGTTGGGGTCAATTCTCAAAGTTGACATTGACGAACAGCATTTGCTGAGACAACAGTGTGAACCATCGTTCAGGAATACTCGATCTGGAAGCCATGACGTTTCAATCATCTGATTATCGTCCTCAGCCTGAAGCTCACGGCCAACGAGCTCGAAGTCTCATGTCAACTTCAAAAAACTGAGAAGGGACTTGCAGATGTTTGGCTTCAGATAAGGCGCAGAAGGCTGTGATCGATAGCAGGAGGACGTATGTTGACCTGTCCAGCCGTCCTCTTGAGAACGAACGACGTCTAGACAATGTGACCAAGACATGCGGCAGGATGGCAGAGGATGGAGACTTGATCGGCATGATAGCTTTTCCGGCTTGATGTCTGATACAGTTCTCGGCTTGTGCAGACGGCAATCAATTCTTGAGGTACAGCATGCACCTTTCGATCTGAAAAACAATTCCTACAATCACACCGGACGGTGATGTGTGATAGACTCAGGTGCGACGGTTTTAGCATCGCAGAGGCCAACCTCCTTGAAAGGAGGTTTCGGACCAAAGCCTTCCGTGGTTAAACAACAACTTCATCTTCTGGTTCTGGTGTACCATGGATCCCCNNCCTCTCGGTGACGTTCGCTTTTCGTTTCTGGATCTCCTTCGCAGCATCGTTATATTCAGCAATGAGTTGTGTAGCAAGACCACTGTCAGCAAAGTGTTCTTCTGCGAGAACTTCCAGAGTCTTGGATCTGACGATGTGAATCTGGATGGTACCATCGATCAAGTCGTATGAAGTCATGGTGTTGCCATCTTGTTGCTGTTCCATGAAAGCATCAAAGCGTGCTTGATCTGAGGACGCAATGGTGTCTCGTATGCTGATCATGATTGCGATTGCGATTGATGAGATGAAAAATGGACGGCTTGGCTGGAAGGTCCTCGATGTGCTTGAACTGCAACAGAAAGCATGGCCAGGCTTCGATACCGGATTAAAATCGTCTTTTGTAGGTTTTGATTCTTGTTCAAAATCTGTTGAGTCTTGAAGGATCAAACAAAGACACGTGAAACAGTCATCTGACTGCTAGCCGACATGAGATCGTCATGGTTGAGAAAGAAGATGGCCAACCCTGGTCGTTACCTTTGGGCGGGGTCGGAGACATGCATGATACTCCTAGATTAATCAGTTGCTTTCTGCATGATTATCAAGCCTTGGTCTAGATGGCAGTACAAATAGAGTGTTTGTGAGGATGACAAAGGTTGTTGGTGGATGAACTTCGGGAGGACTTGTTGTTCGTCCGGCGAGTCGGGACCTCTCACATGCCGCCTGAGGCCTGAGGCTCGGAGCAACGTCCCTCCTTGTGTAGACCCCTAAGAAGTACCAGGTAGGTACGACGTATGATAGGTATGGTAAGACAGTGTCATGATAGATATAAAAGACTGTGAGATCCCATCGTTAGTCACCTTCATCATAACAAAACAACAACATCCTTCAGTACGAATACACAATCTATCACAAACAAATACCTGTCACCAAAGACCAAATCATCATCCATCAATTCATTCATCACAAAGCGACAAACGTCCATCAAACCACAATGTCCAAAGCTCTTCTCATCACAGGTGCAACCGGCAAGCAAGGCGGCGCCACAATTGACGCCCTGATCAGCTCTCCATCCCACAGCTCCGAATTCACAATTCTAGCCGTCACCCGCAACCCATCATCAGCCTCAGCAGTCGCATTACAGAAGAAGTCTCCAGCCATAAAGCTAGTGACCGGCGATCTCAAAGACGTGCCCGGTGTCTTTGACGCAGCCGAAGCAATCCACAAACCCATCCATGGAGTCTTCAGTGTACAGACCTTTATGGGTCAAGGCCAGAGCGTCGAGACTGAAGAGCAGCAAGGCAAAGCACTTGTAGATGAAGCACTCAAACGCGGTGTCAGTCAATTCGTCTACGCATCGGTGGACCGTGGCGGCGACAAGTCTCTTGAGAACCCAACAAATATCCCGCACTTTATCTCCAAGCATAATATCGAGCGTCACTTGGTCGACAGAACAAAGGGCTCAAGCATGTCGTACACCATCCTCCGTCCCGTCGGCTTCATGGACAACTGGGTCCCCGGCATGATGGGCAAGATGTTTGGAGCCATGTGGGCTTCAGCGCTATCGCCAGACCGCAAGCTGCAATTGATCGGTGTGAAAGACATTGGCCACTTCGCCGCCGAAGCCTTCCGTAACCCTGCCCGCTACAACAACCGCGCCATCAGTCTCGCAGGAGATGAGCTCACTCTCAAAGAAGCAGACAAGGTGTGGAAGGATGCAATTGGCCAGGGAGTGCCAAAGACCTATTCCTTCATGGGCTCTGGCTTGCTGTGGGCGAGCAAGGAGTTGGGCTCTATGTTCAGATGGTTCGAGACCGATGGTTACAATGTCGACATTGCGGCTCTCAGAAAGGAACACCCTGGTCTGCAGACTTTGGGTGATTGGATTGTCAAGGAAAGTGCTTTCAAGAAGGAATAGTAATCATGCCCGGAGTTAGACTAGGTTTTCGATTACCAAGATTTTGTAGTAATAATGACAGTAATAATAGTGATGACCACAGGACTCCTCATATAAGAGCGGTCTTCCATTCCATTTGCATTCTTTCTCGTGCAAACTGATGTCAGCATTGTTTGAGATAATAAGAAACTCCGCTCAGCCTGCCTCCTCGTGCAATAAAGTCTGTAACTTCCACCCTACTCCGATTATAATCAATAGTAAGATGTGGACTATAAAAGGCACAATTGTTTTTAAAAGTAGAGGCATGTCCACAGAGAGCCGACAACTTATTGCCTCTTAGTGGATATCATCTTGGTTCCTATTACTATTATGCATTTCTATAGCTACTGTGTATACGCGTTACATACTTTAGTACATGGGGACATGCAAAGGAGTCCAAGGAAACATGAGCTATGTACCACCTCCCATGTGCGAAGATATATAACGTACACACTATAAAAATGCACGATTCTATCCAGAAATAGAGACGTGGCCAAAGAGAGCTGATGAGAGATTGCTTCTCAGCGGACACTATCCTGTTTTATGATAGTATTGTGCATTTTTATAGCGTGTACTTCACTGTCCCTTGTACTCGGAGAGGCAGCAACAATCCAGTGTGGGGCTGGCTCATGTTTGGTTGGAGCCACTTGGTAGTATATGACTCACTTGCACATTTGAATAGAGGCCATGTAGTGCACAGTAGATTCGGAAGGGCTTAAGATGGTGAGGCCAACGCAGGTGATTTTTGCTAGCGAGAAGAGCTACTACTTGCACCTCTAGCAACCCGTCCAAGTCTCTTTCCAAACCATTCGTGCTTTTGCGAAGCAATCGTCTGTCTATTGGTGCACTTAACCCTTACGTGTACTAGTCTACAATCGAAGCCGAGCCGTATCTGTTATGGCCAGCTGCTGCACCAAAAGAGACGCAAAAATCACGCCTTTGAGGAAAGAACCCTCTCAATCAAAGTGTGGGACGGGTACCTTGGTTCCCTCCTTGACTTTAGTCGCTGTTGCCTTCAGAGCCGTCCTTCTTCCTCTTCATCTCTTCCGCGATGTATTCGGAGGCGAATTGACCAAAGACGTAAGGCTGGTAGGCACGANNCGGCGCAGCTGATATAGTGTGCGGACTGGAAGGCTAGATTCAAGGGATGGGTTCGTGGGGNATAGACAAGCCACGAGGTGGATTTGTGGGAATACTCAAGCCGGGCGGAGGACGAGACGTGGAAGGATTAGCTGAATGCATAGGGGTCGACCATGAAGAAGCNGTATTTGTCAGGTCCGAAAGATGAAGGACTAGACTGAGTGTCACTGGTAGGAGCACCAGACGAACCGGGTGTAGGGTGCGTGGTGGAGTCGAGTCGAGGTGAAGCTTGGGTACCACTAGGAGGGTGATTGGGGGTGTTGAGAGTTGAAGCAGCCTGNNCAGAACACTTCCCTAAAGTGCAGCCTGAGGCTGGGCGGCGCCGTGTCTCTGATCCAGATGATCGTAGTTGAGTACAAACTCTCTGCGCTCACGTCTCCAGTTGTTGGCGTCGAAGAAGATGTAAACTCCACGCTCACTACGCTCACTCACGCGAATGGGGGCAGCCATCTGACTATCCTTCATCATCCACTGCTGCAGCTCCTTGTGCCAACGCCAGTCACGGCTGTATAGCTCACCAGCAGCGAGCTCCTGCACAACATCTCTAGGGTTCTGGTAGAAGACGAAGAAGAGTGTCTCGTCGGAGAAGGCATTCATGCGCGAGGCCAGCGCTGGAACGTTAGTGACGGTATAACCAGCAGGTAGCGTGTACTCTGGGATGACAGGGCGTGAACGATTGTCGGCGAAGGGTGTAGAGAAAGTAGCGAACAGCGATTCCGGGCTGTCCAAATCAAGACCTAATGAGTTGATGTCGACGCCCATGGTGAAGGCAGAAGATGCATCATTGCTGCGGATCTTGGCCAGCAACCCAGGTAGACCCCACTTCTCAGCCTCAGTCATGTCATCGTAGGGTTTTAACTGTTGTGGAGCAGCTTGATTGGTAATGGGAGCATCGACCATCTGAGGCGCAAAGTTGGACGAATGTTGTGAGGGTTGCTGCTGTGTGCTAGCTTGGCCAATGGGTGGCTGTTGCTGCATCAATCCTAGTTGATGGTCGATTCCCGGCGGGTTGGCAGGTCTGGGCCGTGATGCTTCTGAGCCGAAGGCACCGTCTTCGTGAGAGTATCCATTGACACGACCATTCAGCTGAGCCTGGTTGCTAAGAGGCGGGAATTCGTCTTGTGGCTGTTCGCTGCCGGCGCGGGCAGAAGTCGGTGATTGACCATCATACTGAGTGTCCAAATTTGAAGGTTCATGCTGCTGTGATTCGTGCGTCTGGGCAGATACAGAGCGCTGTTGTTGCTGCTGCTGAGACGTCTGGACTTGTTGCTGTTGCGCCGGGGTTGCGCGCTGAGCAGGGGCTTGCTGAGGTGTGCGTAAAGCGGTACTGTTCCAAGCCTGGGATACATTGGCTTGCTGGGGTTGTGGGCCGAGCGATGGAAACTCGCTGTCGGGTTCATGATTAGTCAAGGTGTTCTGATCAACAAGATAGTGGCCCGAGGTAGTGCGACGAGTGGTGGGAATGCCCAGCATGCGAGCATTGTAGCCAGCATCATGTTCCAAGTGGAGACTCGAATATCTACTACGTCTCCCTCTTCTGCATCCCCTGAACGGTCCACCTCTTCCTGCAGACATGAANGATACAAGATAACAATGGGTGTGGATGATGGATATGCTGGATATAATGGATATGATGAGAAGTTGGGGGACGTACGAGAGATCGAGCGGTGCTTGTGAGGCAGATGCGCCAATAGCTTGTGCAAAGCCGGCCAGTGGTGTGCGTGAAGAGGCAGTCAGGCCGGGAGCTCCTGCCGCCATGGGCATACCGAAAGCCCAGCTTGAAGCGCCTCCCAACTTGGCTGTCTGTCCTCCCNNTCTTTGCGAGGCAAGCGGTGTGTTGCGGCTTGCGCTTGCTTGTGTCTGGAATACGTTGCCTGCCATTGGGCGCAATGCTTGTTGTCCGTTTCCTGCATCATTTGGTCAGCCCCTAATGGCATCTTGTAGGGTGCATGCTGCTGCTTGGATCGTGGTTCTATGCGCAAGCTCTCGGACGATGTTGAGTCTGACGCGCATTGTTCGTCAAGCACAGGCATGCTGGATATGACCAGAAATCCAGTAGGCGCACGAGTGTACCAAAGGGACCATCTTACCTGCTCGATTCATTCCGTGTCTGTGCAAATCTGTCTCTCGACCCGTTATCAGATGACTGCTATGCGAGACTTGTTAGAGCAGCTCTGCAAACATCTACCACCTCTCATCAGCGTCGGCGTCGCTGTCGGCATCGGTCTTGGTCTCATCTTCGGTAATTCTTGCCGACGGGCCGAGATCCTCTAACGCTACCAGGCTAAAGAAGTGTCGATCAATACATGCCTACTGCTACGTAAGAACTCCCATTTTCTCACGCGATCATACCAAGATATCACAATATCTGTTCACCGCAGTCGCAAACCCGTGTACATGCTTTAGTCCTCACAATATGTCACGAAAATCACTCAGGGCATCAGACGCAGGCTCAAAGTCATTCAAGACTTCTGGCTTGTCGACAAAAGATTGGGTATATGTACAGGACAGACGGCAGTCATACGAGACGTGCACTATGCGGCCTGGGTCTGATCCTTCTCCTGCATCTTTCTTCTCGCAGCGAGCACCATTTCCTCCCTTCTTCGTCTCAGGATCTCGGATCTTTCCGTCTTGTTCTGGGACCAGCCCTTGGTGCCGGTTGCCTCAGACTCCTGCTTGGCTTCTGCAGTGTTGAGACGAGATGCAAGATTGTAGCGAGTGATCAGGTCGGGATTGACCTTGACCTCAGTCGCTGGCCTGCTGGGGGTAGGTGGGGCTGCGGCACGCGGTATCGGAGGTTGGAAAGATGGTGGAGGCTACGTTTGCTGTCAGTGACTGCCCCTCGTGAGCAAGCGGCTCGAACATACAGTCTCCAGACTTCTTCCACCGAGCAATCTCTCAACAGTTGCTTGCACGCTACCGCCGTTCCGATGCAAGTCCCAGATGATGGCTCGTCGGTCCAACTGAGGGTACATCTGAGCTACTGCCTCGACGTGTTCAGGATTAACTTGGCGTCCTCCATTGCGACCGGAGGATTGTGATGAAGGTAGACTGGGTCCAGAGAACCAGCGGTATAAGAGGAAGCCGACGACAGCGACAGCGAATATCTGGCCAAAGTTTATCGTCTCGGAGGCCATGTTGAAACGGCAGGCGGTCTTGTTGGATGCGCCGGAAGTGACACTGATAGATAGGCGGCTTCGAGGGTGTTTTGACAGAGGGTCTCCGAAAGGTTGTAGGTGTGAGAGGGATTCCTAGAGTTGGGTGTCGCGACGACAAGACAGCGTTGATGTACAACAAAGAGGCAGCGTCACCAGCGTCGGGCGGGAGAGAGACGGCTGTGTCTCGGCCAGGGCAGGGCTGGTCCGCTCAAGCCGTCGGGAACGTCTCCGATCCCCAATCGATAAGCACTTTGAATGCCATGCAGGGCAAGCAATTCTTTCGTCCAACACTCGTTTGCTGTTGCTCTTTGACAAGGTACACCGGGTCGCACTTGAGTTCTACTGTCAAGGTGCATCTGCTTGCTCGTAGCCATCTTCCTGCGACCATCAGGGTGTCTCTGACGTGGATTGCAAGTTCCACGTGATTAGGTCACGACTCATCGTTCCTGCCTCGTCTATTGCTCCCCCGCGTCCCAAGACCTCAGGGCTCTCTTGATAACCTTCTCAGCTGCATCTCACGTCGTCTCTCTTACCGCATCTTCGCATCTTGTCCAGCGCCATCGTCGACCGCCCGAACACTGCCATATCCTCAACCGGCACTGCCATCTCGTCTTCCTATTGCCACACTCTAAACTCCGCCTACCGCCGACTCCCGCCATCCAGGGTCTGGCCACAACCATTCCACTCGTCGACCGCCGTAGCGCTGCTCTACTCGCTGTGAAATCGCTCCAAGTGACCACGACCTGTTTTTCTGCTTGAAGAGCTTGGCCTTAGATCGCACCTCCACCTCCCGTTCCTGAAATCCTCTGCTCCGTATACATCCCCGCATCGCACCTCCCGTCTGGCGGCCTGCTTGGAATTTAGATCCCTACCAAGAAGCCTTTGTCGTTCGCCCACCATACGGTTCAGATCACGCAGCCGCCCAGCTGACAGCGACATGGGCTTGGCATACAACGTTTACCTCAACTGCAAGCGAATCTATGGCTGCAAGACTTGCAAGACCCATCTGGCCGACCATGATGACATAGTGAGCAGAGTACGTGCTAGCCATGGCAATACGTTTTGGGCTCCACCAAGCTTACGTTTGCAGAACTTTCGGGGACAGCATGGCAAGGCTTTCCTATTCAACAGCGTCGTCAACATTGTTGCTGGTGAGGCCGGTGAGCGCAACATGACCACTGGAAGACACGTTGTACGAGACATTACCTGCAGACAATGCAAGNAGACGGTCGGCTGGAAGTACGACAAGGCCTACGAACCCGCCGAGAAGTACAAGGAGGGCAAATACATCCTCGAAGCAGAACTGCTTTGCAGCGTGAATTAAGCATGTCGCTTCGTCGCTTTACGAATGTCGACAAGGAGTTTTGCTATGAATTGAGCTTACGAGAACAACGCAAGGAGTTATGGTGCCAAGGTTAGGAGCTGGTATGGAGTATTGTTCTACTTTTGCTATACGATACTATATGGTTGATCGGGGTTGCTGCTCAAAATGACAGGAGTTTTTACGTTTATGCTCAATATCGCTCATCTCAATCATCAACAAGCGGTACTATGATTGATTTCCTACAACGAATATACCAAAATCTGTTATACAACTGGGCTACCAACTGTCCGAGCTGTCAAACATTCATGTCCAAGAGTTAAATTAAACCTGTTCAAGCCGAGCAAATCCTCCAGCTTACTGACCAGGCTGGAATACGACCTTCTGCACCTTCATCTTGTCAAATAGATCGTAGCCTTCCAAAGCCTGAGACATCGGCATGATCTTCTCAAACATGAAGCCGAGCAGGTGTTGCTTCTGTCTGAGCTTCTCCAGCGCTTCTGCAAAGATGGAACGGACGGGACAGCGACCCATTTGGATGCGCAAATTCTTGTTGTATGCTTGATTGCCTGTCCAAGGGATCTGCGCGTATCCGTTAGCCAAACTGTTTTTCAAGTGTTTGTCTCATCACACTCTTACCTCGGCATTGTGCACACCAACACTTGAGACGATACCCCAAGGTCTGAGAAGATCGAAACCGAGTTTCAGTGCAGGTGACAGCCCAACGACCTCGATGACAACATCTGCACCTCGGCCATTCGTGAGCTCCTTGACTCTCTTCTCCAAACCTTCTCTGTCTGTCTGGAAGTTCCAGGTTTCAGCTCCGAGACCCTGGGCTTGCTGCAATCTGCTGTCTACGCTGTCGACAGCAAGCAAGTGCTTGGGTTTGTAGTCCAGAGCATTGACCAAAGCACACAGTCCTACGGGCCCAAGACCGAGCAGCACGACTGTGCTCTCCTGAGCCTCTTCCTTGCTCAACTCCTTGAATGCGTTCTTGGCTGCAAACATGCCAGTCGGGAAGATATCTGCCATGAGGACCAGAGCTTGCTCCTCGAGACCCTCAGGTGCCTTCATGACTGTACCCTCGGCTGTGGGAACACGAACATACTCAGCCTGACCACCATCAAGCTTAGGACATCCAAACAGCAAAGACTTCTCGCAACGAGACGAGAAGCCGTGCTTGCAGTAGAAACATTCACCGCAGGAAGTTGTGAAGGGAGACACGACGAGATCGCCTTCTTTGAAAGTAGTCACGCTCTTGCCGACTTCGGTGACTCTGCCTGTGAATTCGTGGCCCATGATGAAACCAGTGTCCGAAGGCTGGTGGCCACGGAAGACGTGTAATTCACTTNNGAATATTGTCAGGAAGGCACAGAAGATCTAGAGTTGTTGTACATACCTGCCGCAGAGTGCTGTGTACTCGACCTTGACAATGATATCTCCATCTTCTTGGATCTTAGGCACAGGGNNCCTTTGGAATCCGGTAAGCAATGGTATACACATTTCTTGATGGATTCGATACATACGGTCTTCAATCTCGACCTTGTGAGGTCCCTTGAACACGACTGCCTTCATTGTTTGCGACATGTTTGATATCGTCTCTTGTTTCTTCCAAAAAAAAAAACAACCTCTCCCTTGTTCACAAGAAATAGCTCCAGCTTTTGTACTGTAGTCACGATCCCGAGGCTCGGTGTTTAGTGGGGTATAGCGGGGCTAGATTCGGCGAGCGTCATCACCTTTGTTAGGGAACGGTCTCCGATATAGCTTGAGTCTTGACCACGATGTGATCAACACTTCAACCTTTGCTGGACCTCGACTCATGCGTGATTGCGACCCATCGGAGTTCGAAGGGCGCGCAGGGCGCAATGAGAGTTGATGTTCGACGGTGGTATACCGGTGCTTATGGCATTGAGATCTTCTTGCGACCATTGACTTCTCTCCAGGAAGACTGATGGAGAGCTTCCTCCTGCCCGAAACCTAGCTTGCTGAGACATTCTCAGCACTCAGAACTTCCGACTCAAAACCATCACCTTTAAGACACATCATACTCGTGTGCTGAAGACTTGTCACTATAGTTACAGGAATGCACAACACTTTCGTAAAGAACGTGGTACCTCTCTACTCCAGATGGAGGAGTGAGCAATCGCAAATCTGAAACACTACAATAAAGATCTATCTGGAAGGGCAGAACTCATCGACTCGGGTTGCGATGAGTCTCCAACTTGTGCTTCTTGCGATGCAATGACCCATGAGGTAGGACACAGCAAGGCTTGAGACGTTTGACTGTTAAAGAAACCAACCCCGGAGCCTTCGGGATGGACCCAGGAAGCTCACAAAACAGCCGTCACACAAAAGTCTTAATGGCATGCGACAAAAGTCTCATAATCCATGACCAAAACCGAGAAGATACGTCGCGGACTTGTAAGACTAGTCACTCAGCATCCACCTCCTTCCGTCTTTTACCTACTCTCACGATGGCTCGCAATTTTTCTGGCAACTGCACTGTGCATAAGACATGTCTTTCCCATGGCGACTAAATATACTTGGAACACAACCGACAGAACAATCATCTATTTCGAGGTATGGTCTTAGACATGACTTTTGTTGTAAAGTCTCATCGCCCCAGATAACCGATCTTCGCCGCCATCGTCGAAGGCATTCAAGTATATGAAGACGGCAGACAAGCAGACAATGGTCAAAAGCACATTGCGATCATCATCCCCACAAGGCTTCTTGAACCTCTATATCAAAACATCCTGATCTTGAGAAACAAGAAAAGCAATAGGATCAAATGACATCCTCTCATCATAGCCTGGACAATATGGACCTACCAGACGCTGCCACCATCTGCTTGCAAATCCAGGGCTTCAGAGGAGTCCAGCCAACTGACCCATACATCGAAGGCATGATAGTTGCTCTCGAACTGCAACTTCAAGAATTGGATATGGACAACAACACTTCATCCCATCTCTCAACATTCGACCCTGACTTCGAGAGTGATCGCGAGATTGTTCTTTCTCTGGCCATTGAGGACGAAATTGCTCTTGCTCTGGACAAACAACCTCTCTGGGTGGAGACTGATTGTACGATCTGCACGTCAAGAATCAGCGGATACCAAATCTTCGAAGCTCCCTGCGCACACTCCTACTGTCATGACTGTTTGAGAGACTTGTTCGAACTGACGATTAGAGATGAGTCACACTACCTACCCAGCTGCTGCCGCCTCGAGATTGTCTTGGGCCCCACCGTGGTGCCCATTCTCGGTGGCGACCTCACCGATAAATTCAATGAGAAAAAGGTTGAGTACAATACCGAGCATGGAAAGAGAACCTACTGTTGCGGCTCCAATTGCGGAGCATTCGTTCCCGAGCCCGCCATTCAGGATGGAGTTGCGACATGTCTTGATTGTGGTAGAAGGACATGCACGATTTGCAAGGAAGCAGCACACCGTGGTGACTGCCCTAAAGACGAGGATACGCAGAGTGTACTCGAGCTGGCTAGCAGGGAAGGCTGGCAGCGCTGCTATAACGCCAAATGCCGTCGAATAGTGTCTCTTGCTGTCGGTTGTAATCATATGACGTGAGTGGTCCATGAAACATGGTTAAGGTCAATAGAGCTAATGGATCATGTAGGTNGTATCTGCGGTGCGCAGTTCTGCTATGTCTGTGGTGCTCGCTGGAAGACTTGCAGTTGTCCTCAGTGGAACGAAGAATTTCTTGTAGAAGGAGCCAACAGACAGAGAGATGCAGGTCATCGTCTGTTCCAGCCACCTCGTGCTTTTCACTGACGGGACCATCTGATGAACGCGCTAGATGAACTGCGAGAACGTGTTCTCGTCAACACATAGTACATGTAACAACAGTAATAGCAGATAGGTCAATTAGATTGTTCTCAGCCGATAATTTTATGCTCAGCAATTTTGCTTTGTACGATCGGTCTATGATATAGATTCAAGTTTCTCTACGCCTGGCTGTTGATCAAGTACTCCAAGAGCATCCCAGGTCTTCGATGACAAGCGGCACTGGATGTGCTGCCACAGCCCAGTTGTCAGTGCGCCAGATGCCAACATACCAATCAGCACGACCTTCACTCATACCCTTGACGATGTTCTCACGCATCCAGAAAGTTGCCTTTTTCGTCTCAGTTTCAATGTCCCAAGTAGTGACTACATGAAGTCCCTTTTCTCGCAAATCTGCAGGCGACTTGATAGCATTATGAACATCCCGATCTTGTTGACAAAGGAGCGCACGTAGGGGTAAGAATGGCCCAGCGGGACCAAGGAATTTTGTATCCATGAAGACAAGCACAAATGTCTTTTCGAAGGCATTTTCAAACCTTATATAGTCAAAGTCTATAGAGTATTTCCTGATGTTTTTNGGATCTGGTAAGAGCTCATATCCTTTGAAGAGGCCAAAGTCCAGTGCAGGAAGCCAGATTGATGTCAAAGTCGTCAAATCAGCCATGAAAGGTTTGATGGACACCTTTCGCAACGGACGAGACTTGTCCAGCATCCGTCTCGCATCCGCAACTGTGGCTGGTGCAAAGTCCGTATGAGTTGCACGAGTTTCCAGCGGGTTCGTGATGATGCTTGTCAGAATTTCGGATAGCCAATGAATCGGATATCCTACCCCTTTGAGGTGGAGCAGGACCCGGAAAATGACTGTCAGATTGAACGGTGAGATGACGAGAAGGGTGTCAGGGACCTTTCGGCGTGCAGGGATTGCAGTTTTGAGTAGAAGACCGTGTATCCAAGCTGTCAGAGTCGGTCGGTCCATCAATTTGTCAAACTCAATATTCGTTGACAACTTTGACCAATTCATATAGTCTTCAGCTATCATAGCCATACCCGGAGGAAAGAATGGCAGCGAGGGTTTCCTTTGGAATCTACAAGCAAAAATCTTCTGAGCTGCTGAGTCGTTGGGCAGCAGATTGTACTCGCTGTTGTAGTCGTCTACCTTCTCAAATGCGGGTGGGTTCCTCAAGCATTTGAAGGCAAAAGTGTTGTGACCGTCAGTGCTTGTGCGGGTGATAGGAGCAGCGAACAAGAGGGCGCTAAGGGTTCCGCCTGTGTAGTCTGTGACGTTGGAGAGATGTATCCTATTGTACACGGTCGGGTAGTCTTCAACGGATTTGTCCTGACTACCCTCTGTCTGACTCGGTGCAGATTCGTTTTTACGATCAGTGTACAAGCCCAGCCTCATCTTCTCAAACGTTTCACACATCTCGCCAAGGATAGGCTCGACTCTGAGACGACCTCTTAGATGGTCTAGTGCACTGGCCAGGATCAGGAAATAGCCTGCAGCGTAATCATATAGACACTTCGGGTTCTGCGGATGTCGTGTCCGAATGTACTCGGTCCACTGTGCAAAGAGATCGGTTGCTAGGTCTATGTCCATCATCTCGATGGGAATGCCAGCCCAGGCTTGTTGTTCCACTTGGTCTACGTCAATAAGAGTGACGTTTGGCATCCAAGTACTGTCCAGATTTGATAACCACTCGGCAGTAATGTTGTTCGGGAACGACGTGTCCGCTACTATTTCTCTCACTTTCGCAGGATCTTGATTGGAGAATGAAGGCGGTGGAAGCGTCACACCTGCTCGATCGTAGAGCAGCTTGTCCTTCGCAAGTCCCTTTGCCAGGAGTGGTACTACATCCGGCCCTGGTATCCATGGATTCAAAGATTGCTGGAAAGTGTCGCTAGCGATCTTCTCGCGGAAAGTATTGGTAGAAAACATTTGAGATGTTTTGTGTTGCCAAAGCTTCAGAGCATTCTTGATTGCACCGCGATCCTTTTGAAGCACGTCAAACCAACTGAGAATTGCCGTTGGTTGTTCGAGTAGATTGATGGCTTTCAAAATGGTAGCTTGAAGCTTTCTCCAAGCCTTCGGAGGCATGATGTGGTTGATGTAAGTGTAGAATAACGTTCCCAGGATTTCCTCAGCTTTTTCCAGATTCAAAGATTTTTTGTCGGCCAACTCCTCAAGGAGTAGGAAGATCAGTATCGCGCGGGCAAGCACCTGAGGTTTGGTGTCTATGATAGTGAAGTGGTATTGTGCGAGTGGCTTCTTGTTCTTGCGTTCCTTTTCTCTGATGAATATGTCGATCCAGGTTCCATGCATGTTACGAGCATCGCCTATTCCAGCGAACAGATAGGCACTCCTGTCCTGGAGTACATCCTGTGGCTTGAAGATTGACTCCTGTTGGTCATGACCTATGTGATAATATTCCTGGATACTAAATCTGTTGTTCTGTTAGTGACAGTCGAAGAGATCAAGCACGCGACGACTTACAGCTGAGGTTTGAATCTCGGCAAGACATCAACAATTTTCTTCAGATGTTCGATGGATGTTTTATCCGGCTGCGACTTGGTCGTGTAGAAGGCGAGGCCATTCTGAGCAACGCATTCAAGAGACAGCGTGTCCTTCGGAAGGTCTTTGTCGTCTCTCACCACTTCGATAGCCATGTGGAGATGACCAAGGGTTATGTAGGCCTTGCATTGACGAGTCTTGAGTTTGTTGATCAATACCTGATCAGCATTGTTATTCGAAGCAGCAAGCCGCAGTGCCGTTTCGATTTCTAGAATGCATCGCCCATATTGGCCAGTCTCATATAACGCAGCAGAAAGATTCGAGAGTGGAGTTGGGTCTGATGGACATGCTTTGGATGCTTCTTGATAGTATTTGATTGCTGAGAAATTGTTAGCCAAGCACGCAGGTCGATGTACCTCAGTTAATGGTGTATTCACCTTCTAGAAGTCTTCCTTCCTTGTACAGGGCGTTGCCTTTCTGCCGCAGCTCGGTTGCGTCAGCCGAATGCATCCTTTACAGCACGATATACTAGGAGTCTCTACGAGTTTTCAGCAGACAGGTGAAGAAATTTAGTTAATTAGAGACAATCAGCAGAAAGATAAATTGTTCACAAGGCCAAAGCTCTCGAACTTGCTCTCCACAACTCAATGGCTCTCTGGTCTGACTCAAAGTGACCTCTCTGGACAAATTCAAGCGAACCTCGTCGTATGTAGCACTGCTCTACGTGTTTTTGAACAACAAAAAAAGGCGATGCGCGTAGAGCAAAACGTACAGCAGCAGGGATTCCCACGTGGTCACCCACCGTAGTACTAATCTGCCGTTCAACTGCTTATGTATGGCAGAGCGGACGGGATGCCCAGTTTTCAGCTGACTGTGGCCGTACGTGCTTATCACTCCGTTTTTGTAAAATACATCCAGTAGGATCGAGATCGTCACTTTTGGGAAGCGAGTCATTGTCGCCAGACTATCAATGCTATCACTTTTCTCAGATTTCACAACCACTAAAAACAGTCGGGGTTGGAGCTCAAACTAACAGTCGCCAGGGACCAGTCCCATCATCATAAATACTCATCATCATATGTGCTTCGTCCCTTTCACAACCCGGGACTCCCGCTAACCGCAGAGAAAAGAATCAATAGCCTAAAAGAGTAGAGAAGAGAATTTGTAGGCGGAGATCCATTTGCTCTACCTTTTCCTGTAGCCGTCAAGGCCAGGGTCGCCGAACATCTGTGCTGGGCTGTGGCCCTTCGTCATGCCATCAAGCCCCGAACCAGAGTCGCTCCTAAAAATCTCAGACTGAGCGTATGGGTCAGACTCCCACACCTCGAGACCTTCGAGTGGTAGAGACTCTCCATAAGCTTTGTTGATACCGTACTGATGGAGCGCACCGTTGATACCAGTGAGTGCCCATGCAAAGACAGCCTGTTCCCGAATCGAGTCCATGAAGTCATCCTGAGCAGGCCCACCAACTCTGACATGATCTGTCTGGGCGCTGAATGGACCCAAAGAGGGTGCAAAGTTTGTAGCAAATGCTTGCTGTGGGCGTGCTTCCATAGGTGGCAGGATTGGTTCTGTTGCCCAGGGAGCAGCGAAAAGACCATTGTCGTATCTCGAGCGTGTCTGAGTTGGGAGCATAGGACGCGCTCGCCTCAAGCACACAACAAGACCATCAGATGTGCAAGAAATGACCGCTTCGAGTTCAATTGGTTCTCTCTGGATCGGGGGCCTGGCACTTCCATCTGGTGAAGTCATTGAAGATGCTGACGATTCTTCGGCTCTGGAGTCACCGAATATTGCTGAATGTGTGTCGTGTACATCCGTGCTGCTATGTCCTGATGTGGTCCTGGAATTGGAAATGTGGTTTGACGAGTCAACGTCCATACTGTCAGATCCTGCGCGTGAGCCGTTTATATTGACACCCCCACCAACTTCTTGATCAACGCTGCTCTCTGCTCCCATGTCATCGTCACTCTCCTCGTCCATGGGCGTCGTGACTTCTTCATCTATGCGAGGGTCCCTGAACCAGAATCGAAGGTATGCTATAGAGTCGTTCGCCTTTGCATTCTCAAGACACTTGATGGCGTCTTGAAGGCAGTTCTCGGCAATGCAGTAATAGAAACTGCGGCCTCTCATGTATTCGGCTGGAATTCCAATAACTTCTTCCAGACCCGCCGTGGCGTACATGATGGTCAACGTCCGGGTAAATCGATTCAAAAACAGCGCAGCTCGGGGTTCGTGGATCGCCTTGGGAGCAGGTCGTCTGAACTTGTCCGAGATATGTGATAACATGTGGTAACGAGGATCACGTGGTGAGGATGAAAATAGCCGTCGGATGATTGGTGCTTCTTCTGCGCGCTCNTACGAGAAGTGTCAGCTGGACGATGGCTCTGAAAAGGTCGATGGAGACTTACTCTGACTCGGCAGACCTCTTCTGTAGATGGACGTGCATACGATCATGACATCGTAGACGACAGTGAAACAACACTCGACACCAGTCCATTGTCCTTCCTTGTTCTTTACTCTGCAGTACGACAAAACAGCGGCCTTGTCCATCTGCACACCCTTNTTGTGGAACGCCTTTGCGAAAGGCAGCTCATCTTCACAGAAAAACTCCCAGCAGGAGCGATTGACGACTTCGTCGGGAGTCCAGCCTAAGACGTCGACGATAGAGTCAGAAGAGTAGAGGACACGGGCATCAGGAGTAAGGTCNTGTCAAGAAGTCAGCAAATTTAGAGCGGACTCTGTGTATCCGACAAGCATACCGTGAATTGAGATGAAAGTCAAATCCATGGTGGCGAAGGAGTGGAGAGAAGCGTATAGGATTAGTGTCGAGAGATGGCTGTGTTTTTTGTGTGGCCAGAAAGTGTATGCAAGTTGCCACTACGGAGTGGCTCTTGCAGGTTCTGATGCAGTCGAAGGCTCTGCAGAGGTACAGTAGGGACTGCAAGACAGGGATGCGGGAGAGCTCTAGCTGAGGAGCGAGACGAGCCGAATGTATCCTCTTCTTCGGAATAGAGGGTTCAGGTGCAGGGTCTGGTCTAGTGATTGTCGAGGCGGCAGAGGTCGTCTAGGCTTGTCCAAGGCATGGGTCTCTAGCTTGTATATAGTGGTTGTGATGTCGAAGACGCAATGACAACTTAGGCCGGCTCGGCGTTTGAATCGGGGCTGACAGGATGGGGACGTAGTTGCGCAACAATATACTCATCTGTCCGTGCTAGCGACTAGATGCAATTCACGACGAGCACTTGGGATGCGACGAGCACAAAGTCGTGTAAAATTGCGGCCGACTAGAGGCAGAGGGCACGCGCCGCTCTAATCACTCTCGCCTCTGTCCGAGACAAGTCCTACCGCTTGCACAAACTGTCGTCGACGTCACACGAGACTCTCTCTACTTGGCGCGCTTTCTGCAAATCTTCAACTCATGACCCTGCTTTCAAGCCTCCACCCTTCACGAATTATATTGGGGACCAGAGCATTGGGATCTGTTCCGGAAGGAGCGGCTGCATTCTGACTTGACAAGACAACTCGTCAGCGCGAGAACGAGACACGGTTGATGTGAGTGCGGCCGTAGAGCAAGAGCCGCATGTAGAGTGGACGTGGTTCCTGTTCAGTGTTGCGCAAGTGTGCCAGGATTAGGACCGACCCGGCAGTCGCTTTAACTGCCCTAACTGAGAATAATGCCCGGCTTCCAGCTCCGTTCTCCAATAGAGAGCAGCCTATGCACTTGGTGGCTGCGGTGCGTGTTGTTAGCTGCCCGGGCTTGGATCGAATTTCTTGTGGGGATCTTTGAATCCACCAAAACAATCGCTGATTCTTGTTCAATCATCATTCATGGTGCTTGATATCTGCCTGCTAGCCACAGAGGATTCAATGATTGCGATTCGTCCGCGGTATACATAGTCATATAAACTATGAAAAGTGAAAACAAGCGAGTGGTTTTGCAATTTGGTTGATTGTGAATTTGATGATCCTCTCGTGTTGATACTCCAAGCGCAAGCAAACGCGCAGGAGTTTGGCGTCGGCGTTGTTGTTTGCGGCTGCCTCTCCAGACACGACAAACAGCCGCCTTTGATTGGCATTCACTGTCACCATAACTACCAAATTCACTTTTGCTCTCACGGCCGCTCTGGTGCACAAACACTTCTGCGTCACAAGTGCATTGCCCTAATTTGGCTACCACCATTCACCGTACACTCACACACACCATGCAACTTCCATCCTGATAACAATCCTTCGAGCGAGCCCGGCTATTCGTGCATCCAACTAACTATCGGGGTTCAGCCATGGACTTTCCCCAACTGAAAACATGGCTGCGATTACCTGTATGTCTCCACCTCTCTAGCCTTTTTCTGCAATGATTGCCTTTCTTTTGCTAAACAAGTTGATAGGATGAGGGACAAAATGGTATGTTCGCAACCATTTCTGTTGACGACAAACTCCTTCAATTTAACTTCGCCTAACCTGTCCCAGCCTCAATATACGATATAAAGTTCTATCCTTACTCAGAGCTGGGCGAGGATCCCATCTTCGCCGCCGTGGCAGAAAGAAAGGTAAGCCTGACACCATCCTCTATCAACAAACATTTGAGTAATCAGTTATATAAGTAGATCTACATATGCAAGCCGGTCGGCAAGTCAGCTACCTCCAAGACTAACAATCTGGATATCTTGACTGCGATCGAAGACCCTGATGTATGTCTGCAATGCACATGCAATGCTAATCCAAGTATTGATTCTTGTGCCCTAGCTGACCGCACATTCCAGGAACACTCTTCTCTCAACAGCGTTGCATGGTCAGTCGACATTGATACTGGCGAGCCCCTCGTCTGTGTCGCTGGATCTGGATCANAAAACATCAAAATCTTCAATGTGGTCACAGGAGAGGTGGTTCGGGTAAGCTCGATGTGACAGTATGGGAATTGCGTTTGCTGAGTAGTCACAACAGNNGTTCTTTATGGACACGGCGGCGTAAGTCCGAGTTCACAAAGCCCCTCGTAGCTGGGAACTGACATACTAAAAGNNGCCATCAATGATCTGGTCACATCACCTGTTTCGCCACAGATTCTGGCCTCGTGCTCGGGCGACTACACAATTCGAATATGGAACCTGGATGCTCGCTATCGCAAGCAGCCATGCGCAGCGATATTCTCGGGAGAAGGTCATAGGCAGACGATTCTCTCCATCGTTAGTGTGCCTGCTTCTGTTTCCGTGCAACGCTTACAAGCAGCAGNNGCTTTCCATGACAACGGTAGGTGGCTGTTAAGTGGTGGGCAGGATACGATGATCTGCTTGGTAAGTACCATTTTTGTTGGGAAGGATACAGAGTCATTGCTTACCCATGCAGNNTGGAGCCTCCCACCCGTGCCCGACGAGAATGCAGGCACGGATAAGCCGACGGTGGTCGTCTATCCCCACTTTGCCAGTATTGGCATGCACTCAGACTACGTAGACTGGTACCGCTCAAGAACACTATCCTGGTCCAGTAGTCGCTTCACACTAACAGACANNGACAGTGTCAGATTCTGGGGTGACCTCGTCCTATCTAAAGCATCTACAGGAAACAACATCAAAGTAACCAGAGGAGAGATCATGCTTTGGAAGATCGATGGATTTTTCTCGGGTGACGACAACCCACCTGAACCACCCATGCCTGGATACGGACGTCCGACACGTTCTGCCTTCGGCGACGGTTTCCAACGACTTTACACCTTCGACATGACCAACGTGGAACCATTCTACATGCGGTTCGGCCTCTTCAAAGAAATTGGCTACCGCCCTGTGCTTGTCATGGGCAACATCAAGGCTCGCTTCTATTTCTGGGATCTGCAGAAGTTCGAGGCGCGCCGCTCTGGTGCCAAAGATCCAAATTCTGTCGTGAAGGAAAATCAGCGAATCAGAGATATACTCGATCAAAACTACAAGAAGAAGAAAAAGACTGTCGGTCAAGTTCACAATGACAACAACAATGCTGCCGGTCAAGTCCTGACTATCAACACACGAGCCAGTAGTGTCACTAAGAGCGACACCAGCGACAAGATCAACCCGCTAGTTTTAAGAACAACAAGCGGAAAAGAGGAGATCTCATNNCAAAAGGTCTTGGTCAACAACACAACGAGGGCGAGTAGTGCTAACAGCGACTTGACTCGAGCAAGCAGTTGCATGANNCCAAGCAGTCTGGAGGTATGTGATTCAACCAAATCGACGTCTCCAAGTAAGCTTCTAACTTGTTTAATAGTTTCGCTAATACCTCGTTCCTCACTTGCGATCCCTGGCCCTACATCGGTACCCGCGATCAAGCCAGCCACGACCCCGGACTCAATGGATCAGAACACTTCCAGACCTACCCCTGAAACAGCAGATCTCAAGCCAGAGATACCTCCCAGAAGCATGAGAAACTACATTAGACACGCCGCTCATAAGACGACGGTAGTCAACTGTCCCATCGACTTCGCATGCAGAGCGATTGATTGGAGTTTCGATGGCAAATGGTGTGTTGGGGTCGGTGATCACGGCATGATTGCAATATTCGGCCGTTGGTTGGATAAGTGACATCGCTTCAAAGTCCCTTCGACTATATCTCAGTCGAACGCAAGGGTACATAGACCTCACCCTGCCTGCAACAACTTGCATGTACTAGGCCGATATCGATGGTCCAAATGAATGACCCCAGGGTCAACGAGAATCGCTTTGTGAACGAGCTCAGAGTTGAGACGGACTCTTGAGTATGCCGGCATGCAATATAAGCGTGCCACAACATCACTCTAGAGGGTATTGGTTTTGCTCTGAGAATGATGCAATTCTTCAGTTCCTAGATGGAAATGGCATCGATAAAGAAGCCAATCGAGAAAGAAAGGGGGAACGTATAAGACACATGGCTATGACGCTGATAAGAGCCCTCGGCTTAGCATTCGACTACGTACAATAGCACTAGGTCCTTTAACGAAGAATAATACATAATGGACACACCCTTGCTTCCTCTTGACCGTTAGACCTAGCATCTACTTAATCATATGAACCCTAGCATCGACCTAATCATGCAAACCCTAGCATCCACTTTACGATTGTCCACACTATACTGACAGGCCAGAGCATTATCGCTAGCACCCTTCCTACGGCTGTTCCAATACGTACGACAAGTGCTAGGCAGCATAGTATCATGGTTGCCCTTGACGCCACAAAAGCCAAAGCTTTGATCGCCTGCCAACGTTCTATAGGCTTGGTAGTCGAATCAGATAGTATGTGAATGGCTTGAATGAGACCGATACTCTGGCCTTGTGGTGAACCATCACGCGTTGACGATGCTGGTTTGCAGAACAATTGGTTGATTGCCCATGCCAGGAACCCAACCACCTGAGTTTCGAGGGGGGACAGTGACTCAGCGATTGGCGCCCCAGATAGAGAGGGTGTGTTTGAGTGGCTCCTGTAAGGAGGAGGCGGTGTAGAGGTATACTCGCGGGGTACGGGTGCACTCTTCTCGTGTTGTCCCTTTTAGTTGGGCTTTCAGGATGGACGGCACGAACTNCTAGGCAATTGTCGCAGATCCTGGAAACGGGAAGTGTTCGAGTTTGATCGCGCACGCTCGGCTCCTCCTAGAGTGGCACACTGGCTGGTTGAGGCTTCTTTTTCTCGTGCAGGAGTCGAAGTTGGCACACTCACGGCAGAGTCTCTACGTTCAACTCCAGGTGGTGGCGAGCACACAGATTTCCGAGATGAACGCGAAGGTTCGCAAGAAGAGAACTCTGAAACCGCAGACATTGGTGGAGAAGATGAAGTTGCCTTTTCTTTTCTTGCGCAAGTGTCTTCTTCGTCCGGTGTCTGAGAGCGAGGATTGCTAAAGTCTCGAAGTGCCTTGGTAGCTTGAGCAAACTTGCGAGGTCCAGCACCGATGCTGTGCATTCTGCCATTCATTCCTTCCTTATGCGATAGTCGTTGCGCTTTGTCTTTGTAGTACTGTACGGCCTTGTCTTGGTCTGCCTGTCGATATGGTTGTGGATCCTTGGCGGTCGGCATGGGAATCACAAAGCTATCCTCGTTTGCATGGAAGTCAGGTCTCGTAGCTGATGGGATGGTCGTAGTGGTCTTGGGAGAGCCGACTTCCGTGTCTGGCTCCATGTTCCATCCCGTCGAGTCTTGACGCCAACGGCCTCTTGGACCTGCTGGTCTTGGTCTCGCTATTGTGGCGCGTGGCTCTTCTGGCATTCGAACTTTTGGAGATGAAGTCCGTGGTGGCTCATAGCCGTTTCCGAACAGTGAAAGCGCTTCGGCGGGAGACATAGGCGTCCTGGGAGTCAGATTCGTCACAACACTCGGACTGATCAGACCGGTCCTTGGGTTGGCCGCGCGTGCTGTAAGATAGTCATCGGTACCTTTGACACCCATATTCAGACTTATGATATGTCGTTGTGTTGTTCTAGGTAGGGTGCCAAGGGATTCTCGATTTTGGTATTGATAATGATGAGCACTTGTCAGTAAATTCTGTTTTTGTGTAGGGTTGAATTTTGAGTTCTCAGTAGATAGTCGAGCAAGTAATTGATGGAGTCGCTGGGTGACGATGTCTGTATTTCTAGCATCCATGGTGGGGAAGAGGAATGCGTGGTTGCGGTGTCAACCACCAACGGTTTGTGGTTTCTCAAGCGGAACCTGGGGGAACTCCTCCCGATCCGTTGCTATCACAATCGCGACTTCCTGAAATCGAACCATCATTGACAGTTCATGATGAAAGACCGTTGATCATGCGTCACAAGTTTGCAAGTCGCAATTTCGGTCCTGGCGGGCGATGCTCAATTGTCGCCAATTGCGTCGACTTCCGCATACTGCATCCATTGGTCGTTGTTGGCTTTCTTCCACACCTGCACAAGTCCATCATCGCCAGTAGATACTAGTAGGTCTCCTNNATCGACCTGGTCAGCTTATAATATCTGCAAGATTGTTGCCTCGTGCTTACCCATCTGTGAAAACCCGACCCTCCACACCGCACCACTGTGTGCAGCAAGCTCGCCCACAAGTCTCGCTTCCTGATTGACTCTGCCGGGACGTCCCTGTTCCTCGTTTCTTCCGCTGCGTGGCCCTCCAGCGAGCCCAGCGCCAATTCCAGACTGATTAGGCTTTGAATACGTTGGTGATTTGAGTCCAGAAGGGACTTCTGTGGCTTGTACAGACTGGGTCGCCGATGTCTCCGAGATACCGGGTGTGTGCACTTCATAGACTCGAACGTAGCCATCTTTGCTGGCAGTTGCGATCACGTCGAAGCCACGCATTGAGCCATTTGCCCATGCGACATCTCGAATCAATGCATCTGATCCTTTGAGCTCGGCGGCTGTGTAAAACTTGCGATCTTTGTCACTGCGGAAGACCTTGACGGTATCCATGACTGAGACAGCTAGCGACAGACTTTTCCGATCGAGTCCAGCCATTATGGCAGGCCATGCAGGCAGTTTCTCGTGATGCCAGCTTAGACGGAAACCTGTCTCTTCTGTCCTTTGTGGAGTCTTGCATAGATAATCCTGCCACAATATCTGCCATTCTGAGAGGTTGTCGTGATCTACCGGTTCGCATACGGTCAACTGCCCATCGCGAGAGATGACGGCCAAATACGTTTCAGTGCCAATGTTCTTGAAGTCCAGAGACATGTACGGCACTCGCGTTGCCGAAGGTTGCTGGTAGATCCTCTTGAAGCGACGTCCTGACAGAGGTGCTTCAAGCACATCCTCCTGCCATATCCGTAACAGACCGTCTTCTCCGATGCTTCCTATGATTTCGCCCACAAAGGGTCCGTTCCATTTGACCTGGTGACGATCAAAAACGTGCTCAGTGTTCCGATAATGTCATTGACTTACGTCTGTAACTTCGGCATCGTGCGCTTTCCAGACGTCGGTCACGGTCCATCCATCGTCCTTTCTGTCCCAGACCTTTAATCGATGGTCTGATGACGCGGTCACCATACGCGTACCGTAGAAATTGTAGTCGACTGCTAGAACGAGGTCGTGATGTCCATGGCTAAAATGGTGAAAAGAGTTATTGGTAGCCATTTGATGTCCTGGTGGAACACAAAAGCAGTGTCACAAGCTGTCGTGGAGGACACGGAAGTGCTTGAGTAGCTGGTGTCTATATTGTGAGCGGCCGAGTCAACGTCAACGCATTCGGTTGCTTGATAAGATGTGTCCGATACGGCGGTTTTCAAATGTGTATATATGTGTGTGCAATCAAAGTGGATAGACAACCACATCTGAACGTGGTCTGGTCTCGGGGCCATATCTTAGCTTCGGACATAAGCGGGATTTAGAATCACCACATCTAGTAATATCACGATGTTGGCAGAGGAAGCGACGGCGAACATAATATTGTTGTAAAGTTCTTATCAAATTGTCTTTATGAAGGGGTATAAATATACATGAAAGATATAATAGGCAATATTGCCACTCGTGATATCAAAACAGCAAATGCAAAATAGTATCATCTGGAAGACCCTCATCGCTTTTTCTCATTACATCACATAAACTCCCGTGAAAGCAGATATTCGTTGCGTTGGCGTAAGACTCTACCACTCAAGAGGCTCAGTCTTCTCCTCGCCACGGTTGGTCTTGGGCACCGGAGCAGCTTCGACCTTGACGGGGCCCTTGCGGTCGCGCTTGAGGTAGCCGGAGCCATCGAGCCAAGGAGTGTCATCAGTACGTCTGCGCTCGAACTTGACAATCTTGTCATCCATCTGCATAGTAAGACCAATATCGTCAAGACCGTTGACAAGACAGTGCTTGCGGAACTCCTCGACATCGAAGGATGAGAGGACGGAGCCGTCGGCCTTCTTGATCTGCTGGTTAACAAGGTCGACTTCGATCTCTGATCCAGTGCTGGCTTCATCGAAGATAGCCTTGAGTGCCTTCTCGTCTCCAATGCGGATGGGGAGCATGCCGTTCTTGAAGCAGTTGTTGAAGAAGATGTCACCGAACGAGGGTGCGATGATGCAGAGAATGCCGAAATCGAGGAGTGCCCATGGAGCGTGCTCTCTGCTGGAACCGCAACCGAAGTTGGGGCCCTGAACGACAAGGATCTTGGCATCACGGAAAGGCTTCTGGTTGAGAACGAAGTCAGAGTTCTCGCTCTTGTCCTCATTGTAACGCCAGTCGTTGAACAAGGCTGATCCGAGACCAGAACGCTTGATGGTCTTCAAGAACTGCTTGGGGATGATAGCGTCGGTGTCAACGTTTGAGCGATCGAGAGGAGCGGCGAGACCCTTAAGTTGGGTGAACTTGGGCATGCCGGTCGATGTAGTAGGAGCACCGCTAGAAACGGTGTTGCCCTGAGAGGTCTCATCGAGATCCATAATCTCCTCAAGGTCGGCATCGCTCTCGGGAGCGGCTACTTCAGGGTCGGCAGAGACCTCACGAGGAGCCTTGCCGGTAACCTGCTGGTAGCCGTCAAGCTTGCGCACATCGGCGAGCTTACCAGCAAGAGCACAAGCAGCGGCCATGGCAGGAGACATCAAGTGAGTACGACCCTGGGCACCTTGTCTGCCCTCGAAGTTGCGGTTCGAGGTGGATGCACAACGCTCCTTGGGGGAGAGGATGTCAGGGTTCATACCAAGACACATGGAGCAACCAGCCTCTCTCCACTCGAAGCCAGCGTCAGTGAAGATCTTGTCGAGACCTTCAGACTCGGCACGCTGCTTGACAAGACCGGATCCGGGAACAACCATGGCACGCTTGATGTTGGATGCGACCTTCTTACCCTTGACGATACCAGCAGCAGTGCGAAGATCCTCAATACGAGCGTTGGTGCAAGATCCGATGAAGACCTTGTCCAAGACAACTTCCTCCATGGGTGTGCCGGCAGTAAGTCCCATGTACTCAAGAGATCTGATGCAAGCCTTCTTTCTGTTCTCATCCTGGAAGTCGTCAGGGCCGGGAACAACGCCGTTGATGGGAACGACATCCTGAGGCGAGGTGCCCCAAGAGACAGTGGGGGCAATGTCCTTAGCATCAATGAAGATATCGTAGTCGAACTTGGCGCCCTCATCGGTCTTCAAGGAAGACCAGTAGGCAACGGCCTTCTTCCACTCGGGACTGTCGACCTTGGGGGCAAGAGGCTTGCCCTTGAGGTAGTCAAAGGTGATCTGGTCAGGGGCGATCATTCCAGCTCTGGCACCTCCCTCGATTGACATGTTGCAAATGGACATTCTGGCCTCCATGGAAAGACTGCGGATGGCGGAACCACAGAACTCGATGACACATCCGGTACCACCTGCAGTACCGATCTGACCGATCACGTAGAGGACAATGTCCTTACTGCTAACGCCAGGGGCAAGCTGGCCATCGACCTGCACACGCATGTTCTTGCTGCGCTGGGTAATGAGGGTCTGGGTGGCAAGCACATGCTCAACCTCACTGGTTCCAATACCGAAGGCGAGCGAGCCGAAAGCACCGTGTGTCGAGGTGTGACTGTCACCACAGACAACTGTAGTGCCGGGGAGGGTGAAACCCTGCTCGGGGCCAATGATGTGAACGATTCCCTGTCTCTTGTCTCCCATACCGAAGTAGGTGAGGTTGAACTCCTTCACATTGTCCTCGAGAGTGGTGCATTGTAACCTCGAGTCGTCCTCCTCAATGAATGTGGCAGCGCTCTTGAAGTTCTTTCTCGATGACGTAGGGACGTTGTGGTCGGTTGTGACAAGAGTGCAGTCGGGTCTTCGGACTTGTCTGTTGGCATTTCTGAGGCCTTCGAAAGCCTGGGGCGATGTGACTTCGTGGACGAGATGTCTGTCGATGTAGAGCAAGATCGTGCCGTCGTCCCTCTCGTCGACAATGTGGTCTTGGAAGACCTTGTCGTACAAGGTTCTGGGTCCTTTGACGACGCCGGGCATTTTGAATATGCTTGGTTTCTGTGATTAATTGACAGAGTGATGGGAAATAGCAATAAGCGTCAATACTGAGTGATTGAGGCGTGGGTATCGAAATGAAAGGAAGAAGCAATGGGATTCAGAGAGATGTTTCCAACCGCTTCGACCTATACTTGTACTTTTGAATGCTCTCGATGACCGCAGCCTCCGATCTCGACGGCCGCTCTTACAAAATGCTGTATGTGATTGGCCTGATCATCCCCACATCGACCGTGCCCCTCCCACCTCGCCCCCGGTTGCGGCATCGCTGCACACTGAGCTCCGATCTCGCACATGACTCTTGACACATCTGCACACTGTCGTGATGATGATCTGTTTACCATCAAACTGATTCAGATAACCTTCTTGTGGGCGGTCTGGTTAGAACCTACCGATTCTGATGTCGGCTATATTCGCGTTCATGTCCTGTGAAGGGTCGGCATTGATTGCACATCCAGACAACCTGTCTCGCAAACAGTTGTGTGAGCCATCTATGTCAGTGCCGCTTCTAGTAACTACGCACGGCCTCAGCAGGTTTACCTCATCAAAATCACTTCTCAGATTCTCTCCATCGTCATCCCCGCCTTAGGGCGTGTTCTAGAATTGCCGCCTGTTTTTCTCTATACGCAAAAGATTATTGAACATAACTCTGTACAAATGTTTTTATGAGGGGCTATACATTGTCCTCTGCCACAAAGATCTAAAGATTATCCTGTGAGAATACAACCAAAGCAAGGCGATGTCTCACTGCGAGACCGAGCAGACCTACGAAGGTCTGCATGGCCAGAATCTCAACCGCCAGGCGATCTTCCCTCTTAGGCCCTCTCCAAACAAGCCATAGATTGAGAATAGTCAGATTCGTAGTAGATACGACTGTTCCTTTCTCATCCGTCTCTACGCGCAGCAGCTTCAGTGTATCCAGCACTTTCAAGACTTCTCCTACCAACTTGTTCAAAGGCTTTTCGGGCGTGAAAGTAGCTTTGGACGGCTCCAAGAGTCCTGTACGAGCGTTGAATCGAGGTAGTCTGTGTCGAGGGCATGGAACGATATGGAAAAGTTGAGGTGCAGAGTAGATAAAGTTGAAAACTTGGGGGATGAAGAGGAGAATCAGAGTCTTGCTGAAGTGACCCATGATACCCACCACAGCAAAGACCATGCCGGCAAAGTAACAGTAGGTGTCTCCTACGAACACCTTGGCAGGGAACCAGTTGTGCTTGAGCAGAGCGAAAGATACTCCGAGGAACGGCAGCAAAAGATAGACCGAGAACAGGTGCGAGTCAGTTGCTGGGTGTAGAGTAGGCGTTGACGGAACCAGATAGAATGCGTCGTTCAGGAGGATCAGCAATGCGATAACAATTGATTGAGCAACCTCGATGCCGTTGATACCAGCAAGGATGTTGATGCTGTTAGGGCAGAAGATAGAAATGGCTGACATGTACAAGTAGTACAATGAACCCAGATCTACGAGCTCCCCTAGGTATGGCCTAAGTGGGATGGGAACCACGACATGGGTAACACCAAAGTCGACGAAGTACAGTCCCAGGATAGGGAGCGATGCAAAAGCCGGGATGAAGAACTTGTGTCTCCATCTGATATCAAAGAAGTCGTCGATGATGCCGAGAATGATGACAGTCGCAAGGGTGCCATACGCGAATCCATACGATGCGAGCTTGNNACCTGTCAGAACACTCTACAGAGTAGTCCGGAATGCTGCACTTACCTTCTCAAGAGGAAATCGATGCAAAAATCTGCCCGTCTCAACTACCTGGGCTTCAATCACGATATCTTTGTTGCCGCCCCCTGAGGTCGCTGCTACGATATCGTGCTTGAAGGCGAAGGGAAGGAAAGTGATGATACAGAGCAGATAAACAAGAGCGCTGACCAGACCCATCATCTCTGGNACTGTATACCATGAGTCAGCATATCTTTGTTAGTCTGGATCGAAGATGACTGACAGTTCAATGGGTTGCTTCTTTGACATGTCCTTTCCTTTTCGCCCGACTCGGATGAATGCATCTCCTGTCCATCTTATGATAGCATACGATGACGAGAATGCCAGACCGCTTAAAGCAAGCGAAGCAAATACTGGAGCGCCATCACTGCTCCAAGTGTTAGAGAGTACGCCAAGGCTTGCTGCAGAGCAAGCCAATAGTGACCACGTCTCAGTGTTGCTGAGTTGTCCAGACATTGTTGTTGAATAGAAGGGTTCAATCGATCATGTCCATTGACTCGCTATTAGTTTGAACGATCGTTGAGAGACTCTGTTGTGCAATGACTTGGTGAGCATTTGTAAAAGGTGTCAACTTGCATGTTTAGGTATGGTGCTCCAAAGTTTAAGACCGCTTAGATCCGAAGCTAACATTGAATTGAGCCGCATCAACTCTAGACTCATCTCTTCACTACCACTCCTTGATTATATTGTGAAATTGTTTCAAGATTTAGTTGTCTTTCTAGAATGATGCCTACTGCATTGAGCTCAAGAACACGATGCAGCACAAACTGATGATTACTCCTCCCATGCGGTCGACGTGAGCTCTTGCAACTGTGTGCCAGAACCGAGATTATCACTAAAAGCTTGTTGACCATCATAACAAGGCCAAATGGCAAACACAGGCACTCGGACATATAGGGCTACCAAGTGGCTGATACAAAGCAGCAGCAAATACCACTCCAACTCTCGATGTTCGATCCGCTTTAGCATGGTAGGAGAACCAGGGTCATATACACAGCATAACGGAAAGTGGACTCCAAGTTGACCAGAAATGAATGCCATGGATATCCCTCGACAGCCAAAAAAGAGCGACTGGGAAGACGAAAGTTTTCTTGTTGTTGACCTCACAAAGCAGTCCCTACTCTTACAAATGCCCAAACCGACAAACACCAAAGCCCAGTTGCTATTGACATCTTTGTATGGCCCACCAGAATCAAATTTTGATATGTGCCATGCGAACAGTGAATGTAAGCCTTTTATGCCCGGCTTCTTTTGTACAGCGGAAGATGGAATTGGATATGCACACTGGAACGCTGACCATTTACCAACCCTGCTTCCTCATCTTGTTGACCATCTTGACAGTACCACGGAAAGCCTCCTTGAATCGTCTTCTCCAGCGCTCAGAGTGTAGACGCTTCCTCTTGAGACCAGGACGCTCGTGGAAGCGCTGCTTGTTGAAGTCCTGGCGAACTCTGTTTCTGCCGCAAAGTTGTTCGACCTCACGGAAAGCGCGGCCGACGTCGCCGCCGTTTCTGACCTGTACAGTCTTGCCGAGAGTAGGACCAGGGGTGAAATCGAGTTCCTTTACTGGCCTGATCTCGGGCTTGTAGAAGCTGCCCAGGGAGTTTGAAGATCTGTTGGAGGGTCGAAGGCTGGTGAGGAAGTCCTCCATGGAATCCATAGGCTTGACACGGTTCTTTTCCTGAGCAGAAGGAGTGGCGAAACGAGAAGTGCGTTGTTCAGAGACATTTGGGACGCCCTTGGAGCCATCGAGAACACTGTCCATCAAATCGACCATTGAGGGTGTCTCATTGCGTTCTTGTGCGGGTGCTGGAGCAGGTGTTGAGGCAGCATCTTCTCCGGGGGTGGCAGCGATGTCATGAGAGCGATTCTCCTTCTCTTCTTGTTTGAGCTGGCGAATAAAGGCCTCGGGCTGGTCTTGACGCAATAGGCGGGTGGTTGTGAAGGAGCGGATGGCGAAGGGAGAGAGTTGGTTGCGGTATAGCGGCGAGGAGTATAGCGATAGTGGACGACAGCGCGTCAACGCCGCGCGGCGGCTTGTGACAATTCCATGGTGGAGGGTGTGTGAGAGAATGTCTGGCTATGTCGCTCGCGCTCGTGCAGCGGTCGGCGACTTTTCCAAAAGTTCGCCAAGGATTGCCGGCAGCGAAGGCAGTCGCGCAGTCTCGAACTTGACCCATCTTCAATTCGCTCTTTCCTGTTTCATCTACTCGACCATCTGTGCCATGGCTTACAACAACTATCCCCGTACGTTGTTCTTATATTGTTGTTTTGCTCTACTCAAGTGCTAATTATTCACAGCTCCGGGATCGTATGGCAGGCCTCCGTATGGCTTCCCGCCCAACATGGGCCCTCCGCCAGCCATGGGTACGCGCTTGGTTGATACCATTTCTACATGACCATGTACTGACTACAATCTCTCAGGTGCTGCGCCTGGTATGTCGCCTCCGCCAGGCATGAGCCCTGCCGCAACGCCCCTTCCCGGTCGTCCTACCTCAGTTGCCGCGCCCTTCGCTCCGCCGCAAAACTTGCCAGACATCAACTTCAACGCTCCCGTCATTCGTCTCGGTGTCAGCCAGCCCGCCTCTAAGCCTTCCAATTATGGTTACGATTCACGCGCTCCCGACAATGCTTCTGGCAACCGCAATCGCGTTGGTCTGGGCGCCGACCAAAGAATGCCGCGCGAAACCGTTCAGCTCGTTCCCCCTACCTTGGAGGAAGTCAGCAGAACTATCTTTATCGGAGGTCTGGTCGATGGTGTTCCCGATGACGCCCAGCTCGAGGATATCCTAGGAGCCGGTGGTCAAGGCCCTGTCAAGCTTCGTCGCTGGACTCGCGTTACTGATGCTGATGGGAAACCCTGCCGCTTTGGTTTCGCCGAATACGAAGACGCTGGTGCTTTGCAGCTTGCCACTGAGATCCTCAAGGACGTCAATGTGCCTTTGCGCGAAAAGGGCAAGCTTCTGAAGGATGAGGAAGGGAATGTTAAGAAAGCTGCACTCCTGGTAGTGGTCGATCAGAACTCCCTCGAGTACATCGAGAAATGGTCAAAGCCGTCCGCCGAGGAGTTGCAGTTCCGTCTGGACACCGCAAAGGACGACCTGAACCGCGTTCTGGCCCATCTATCTTCTCAGGAGTCCTTGACCAACGGCGCAGACAAGAACGGAGACGTCGTTATGGAAGATGGTCACAAGCCAGACGGCGCAGAAGTCATCACCATTCCTGTCTCTGCCGAAGACGAGCTGTCTGACATTCCTGCCGAAATGCGCGAAACTGTCGCCGCCGAGATTGCCGCTTTCAGAGATCGTAGCATCCAGCGCGACCTCGAGCGCCTACGCAAAGAGGAGGAGTTGGAGGCCGCCGAACGCAATCGATCCGCACCGAGACCCAGTCGCCTAGCTTCCCCACCTCCTTCTGCTCCATCTGGCCCTGGAGGTGTCAACGGTGTACCTGTCGGTCCTCGTGATCGCACCGTTGCCGGAGCACCATCAGGTCCAAAGGGCTACAGAGGTGCACAAATGCCTAAGGACTACGTTGATGGCGTCAACTTTGTCAACGGACAGCACGAAGACGACGATGATCCAGCTTCTGACTCGGAACTCGAACGACGTCGCGAGGAGAAAAAGAATGCAGAGTTGGAGAAGGTGTATTTGGATCAAGAAAGACGCTGGCTCAATGTTGAGAGGAGACATATCCAGGCACTCGCACGTGCTGATGCAGAGGAAGAAGCCGAGCAAAGCGCTCGCCAGCAGCGTCGCGATACCCTGGCGCAGAAATATCGTGAATTCGATGACGAGGAGGAATTGCGAAGACCCACCGAACTGTTCTACCGTGACCGCAAGGCCTGGATCCGCGCACGTAGAGACTTCAAGCATGCCGAGCGCTCCAGGGACGAGAAGGATCGCGAGGACGAGAGAAAGGAACGTGCACACGAGCAACGCAAGATGGATGGTGCTCGCGGTATGGCTGACGACTTCCTGGCCGAGGCTGGACAAGAGCTATCTGCTCGCAGTGCCACCAAACCACAACCGAGAGCCTTCACTCTCAATCTCGGCAGCCTTGGTGGAAACGGCGCAGCTCGCGAGGAATCAGAGGAGCCAGAAGAACAACAGAAGAGAGGTGTGGCGAAGCAGCAGACCATGGCCGAGATGGAAGGTCTGCTCGACGACGAAGACGATACTACTCAAGGAAGCGGAGATCGCAAGAAGGCATTGCTGCGTGCAGTCGACTTCAAACCTCTTGCCGCTGGCGAGAAGATGAACGACGACGAACGTCAAGCCGCCACTCGCGCACTCGCCGCCTCCATCCCCACAACTCTCACAGATCTATTCAGCTGGCCCGTCAAATGGGCACACCTGCCCGACTTGGTCATCCGCGAACAGCTGCGTCCGTACGTCCAAAAGAAGATTTTCGAATCTCTGGGTGTGCAGGAGGATATGCTTGTCGAGGTCATTGAGGGCGTTGTGCGCAGACACGGTCGTCCCGAGGAGATTGTCGAGGAGTTGAGCGACACGCTTGACGAGGAGGCCGAGGGACTCGCAAGAAAGGTTTGGCGTATGGTCGTCTTCTTTTCAGAGTCTGAGGCTAGGGGCTTGGTTGTCAGGGAGTAAAAGAACAAGACTCTTTGAGCTTGAGCTATGTAGCGACAACAAAACCCATTCTCTCCCATTAATTGTGTCTCCTAAACTTATATTCAACTGATTTTGCAAACAGGTCGTTAGGTGGAACAGACTCGAGACGAGCTAGATGTTGATATGCTGTGTGTTTGCATCGCAGATGATATCGTTCTTTCATGCAATCCATTCGTATCTACAAATGATCGTTACAACATCCAAATATGCACAAAAGAAGCGAGCGTTGCTACCACTCCTTCCAACTCCACTTCTAAACCTCCTCAGCACGCCTCGGCAAATCAAACAACTTCCTGTAATCCACCTTGACACCCCCCAAACGCCCCATGCCCAACTCTTTACCCCCAAACATGGACCCTACACCCCCTCCCTCACCGTCAAACCAGAAATCCCCACAGTTGCGCATGACGCCCTTGGTAAATGGATTTTCCCGCCGCTGGGCAAGTACTTCTTGGGCGCGGGAGCCGTGGAGAGCGGTGGCGACGAAGGTGTCCACACCGAGTAGACGTTTCCATTGCGCGAAGCAGGATTCTGGGTTGGAGGTGGGGTGGCGTGGTGTTCCTGTTGTAGGGCCGCCGCCTGAGGAGCCAATGCTGCCCCCTTCTTGTGAGGTGGAGCCCGTGGTGAGGGCTGTGACTAGTGGGCCAGCGTGGTTGTTGCGCATGGCTTCCCAGGTTGTCATTGCGCGAGCGATCTGGGTGAGTTGGACGAAGAGGAGCATTATCGTCCAGGTCATTTGAATGCTGCCCCAGCCATTGACGAGCAGCGTGAAAGGATCTTTGGACCATTGTGCGCAGAATTCCTCCTTGAGAACTTCACAATGGATGAATGAGGCCGGCGGTGTAGGTAGGAGGGCGAGGTACGCTAGTGTGAGTTGGATAAGAAGCGTGATGCCGGTGAGGAGGAAGATTATGTAGAGGACAAAGGCCCGGTGATTGTTGACACCAACGCAATTGTTTAGCCCTGGAAGAGAAGATATNCGTTAGCAAGCCTGTGCTATTGTAATATGAGAAATGGGAAACTAACAAGGACAATGATGATCGTGTCTTGCTACACAGCGATTGCACCGCCTGCAGTGCTTGCTACGTAATGGTTTTCTGATCATACACATTGTGCAGAAGTGTTGTTCGTCAAAGGCTTTTGCGTCAATGAGCTCTTCAATGGTTGCTTTCTGTTGTCCGCGAGATGCTGAGCGAGGAATATATCCAGGGTCCATGAGCATGGCTGTAAAGTAGTAATATGCACAGAGGCCAAATGCGGCTACGAAAACCAAATTGAGGAAGAAATGACTTGTAAAAGTNAGCTGCAGAACTTTAGCAAATGCAGAGATGGCAAGGATTGTGATGGCCTTACTCGGAAGAATGTGAGTGATGTATCTGATGCCTACCCATGCAAGAGTTGATGCAAAAACTCCGGCCAGGAACGGNCTGTTGAGATCATGTCAGTAACACAGCAGTACGGCTCCAAGCATTAAGTAACTTACCGTCTTATGCATATGCTTCATGTCGCTGGGCGCCCATTTCAGCAACTTNTGCGACGCTAATTGCAGAAGGTACGATGTAATCATAGAGATGGGTAGGCCGAAATATACGGGCATGATGGAAAGAATGTACAATGTAACCCCAAGAACGAAAAATGGCCAGGCAAAGAAGAACCTTTCCAGGAACTTTTTGGTGTCCTTGACAAAGGTCAAGGGGAAGGTGCGAGGATTGCCTGATGGATCGAAGCCACAATCTGAGAGAGCGCGATGCCACTGTCGTGTCGAGTTCATGTCATTGGCAGTGACTGCTGGCGTCTTGCCTTCATTGTTTGCAACGAATCGATCGGCACCGTATTCGACGAGTTTTTGGATGCAGTTGTAGCTGCCCTTGACCAGAGCCCAGTGTAGCGCGGTGAAACCCAGATCATCTCTTGCGTGCACATCGGCACCCCATTTCAGCAGCACATCCAGACAGGCTGGGAAGCCCTTGTAAGCGGCCCACATGAGACTGGTATGTCCTTGCGAATCGGGAATGTCGACAGGTACGTCTGCTTGGTGCAGGAGGAGGATGAGCTGGAAGACATTTCCGTCCAGAGTAGCCGAGTGTAATAGGTTGTACCCTTGGTCGTCGGTCAAGAGAGGGTCTGCGCCTTGTTGTAGAAGGAGATTTACAACATCTAGGTGGCAGCGCTTGGAGGCCCATAGCACGGGTGTTGCCTCTGCGTCACCGCCTTTNGCGTTTACATTTGCGCCGGATTCAATGAGGTAGTGGCACAGAGCGTAGTGTCCGTTGATAGCAGCCCANCTGTGGTGTCTTGTCAGCGCTCCTGGTGTCTGGCGCATCTAATCCGAGGGTATTACATGCAAGGCTGTGATGCCTTGGGGATCTGCTGAGGTTGCTGATGCCTTGCCGCTGTCGAAGAGTTTCTGTATAGATCGCAGTTCACCCAGTCTAGCCAGGGCCATCAAGTCCTCCTGGATAGGATGAATGGGCGACGAGGGCATATCATCGAGTTCGAGGTGTCCATTGCCGTTGCTCGTGGGGGCACTCGGGGTGGTGATGGCGGCGGGCCGCTCGCGACTCGACGGCGCAGAGCCTTCTTTGGTCGCCATATCTCGGTTGCTAGGAGATTAGAAATTATAGTCGCATGCTCAGTAGCCTGGGAATGTGCTTGTATAATAGGTAGCGCGTCTTACGCAGCCTTTAATTCTTGTGGCGCAGGCCAATCTAATCTACAGACCCGTGGCTGTGCCGCTCCTTCTTCCGTCTCCCGCTCGGGGGTCCTTTCCGCATCGCAGACCTTGGCATCTGACCACGTCTTGATGCCACTTCCTATATGTTTTTAACGCTTGCCTTGAACGCAGCAAGTACCTCTGGTTCCAAATCGATGAGACCAGGCTGGAGTGTCAGATCACCCCAGAGCTTTTGTTCAGGCAACACACCACTGTTCACTTTGTCCGTGTAGTCATCGTCTTCCAAGTATCGGTTGAAAGAAATCGAAGTCAGACGGCCGGTAAGAGCGTCCCTTGCCCACTCGCCATTGAAGAAAGCAGCCAGTTGAGTCAACGCCTGTTTGAGTATCAGAGCCGCATCCATCTCGGGATTCTCGCGCATTTTCTTGTTGCTTATGTGTGCAAAGCTCTGGATAACACCCCGGGTGGCATCAATCTTTTCCGCTGTGTTGTAGGTGATCTGCTTTGTTTTGAGAAGTATGTCTTTNTCCACAGCTTCGAATCTCGAGATTGGCAGTCTGAGCACATCCAAGCCACGAGCGTGCTGGCTTACGACTTGCTCGATGAACTCTTTGTTGAATTGGCGCTTGAGACATTCGTTGAACATGGGAATCGCACGTTGCCCGTCCGTGCGATTGTCACAAGGATCAGAGAACGCCAACATCAGCATTGATCGAGCATTGAAACCAAGCGGACCCTTTAGTGCAATGCCAGTTGATGTGGTGCGAATGACCTCGACGCAGCTTGAACAGAATTCATTCCATTCCGTGATGGGCTTGTAGAAACCATATTGTGCGCCAGTCAGGTCAATGGCATACCTTTCTCCAGAGTGTAGGCGTACCAGAAGAACCTCGTGGGGNAAGTTTCCATCCCATTCGTGACTCACGTAACGAGATCTACGAGCTGCCTTCATGACTTTGACTGTGGTTTCCTTGCTATCTGCGCAAACATCTGAAAGAAGGCGAGTCAAATCGAGTCTCTGTGTTCAAACCTCCCGAACAGACTTACCTTTGAGCAGCCAGGAAGTAACCATGTACATGTGGCTCAACGAGTCGGCACAACACAATAAGACCAAGCAAGTCTCAGCATCCTGCTTGTTCTTGAAGATGGCATCTGGGAATTTGCGATAGAAACCGTGTTCCCTTTGAGTGGGCTCGGAACTGTAGTTGCCCTCATGGACTAAAAGCTCTCCGTTGACTTCCTCGGCTTTGATGATGGAATTGTCAAANGACTCCCTGCGCACAGTGTACCAGATCTTCTGCAGGAGCCAAGCAGCCCTGAACAGTGCCTTTCTAGCCTGCAAGTTCTTGCACTCTGTACGATGAGCGGGCCAATGGGCCTTCTGGCACTCTTTGTTGCAGTAGCGAACACTGATATGAGGCGAACCGTCAGTGTTGGGTGCTTGACTACAGCCAGAGCAGTGGGCCTTCGCATCCATGTTGCCACAGTTAGAGCACTGCCTCTTTTGNTTCGGGTTCTCGCAAGGGATGTTGACATTTGACAGATCATCGGATTTGTTGGTAGATGGCTCGATGTTGGGAGGGTCGCATGTATCGCTAGGCGAGATCTTAAGGCTGGAGAAATCATCCGTAATGGCAGTTGTGGTGGTCTGCAGTGTTGATGGTGCAGTGGTACTATAGTAGATGTCAGATGCTTAGTGAGGATGTAAATGACGATAACCTACGCTTGATCAGGTTGAATAAGGAGGTCATCTCCAGGAGACGGAGGGAGCTCTGGAGAAAAGGATTTGCTCGCGGCAATCATCTTGTGGTGTGTGCGGAAGACAACAGCTGTGTTAGGCGGGAGTTGTAAGGGAAAAGAGCAGTGTAAGTTGCGAGTTGTGGTGAAAGTGCCAATTGACTATTGTTGTTATAGTGACGCGGTTGAACAAGGCGAGGTGAAAGTGAGCTAGTAAACAACAGCCTAGAACAACAGGAGTCCGCTGAGCATCACCTCCAAAACAGTGTCGAGCACATGTGGCACATCAATCCATTGCCTTGTCTTCACTCGCAATATAAACCACTCACTTGCCTTTCACCCCCACCACCTCACAATCCACCCCTTATATTCCAGCCAAACTGTTGTCCTCTCAGTACTTGGTAGAGTTGGCACAATCGGTAAGACCACTTGTAAAGCCAAATAATAAAACTCCTGGAAGTCCTTGGTTCGACCCTCGGATGTAGCGGAACATTATGTTCTTTCTCTCTTGTAAAGGTAGAATACTTTGCAGGCAGGTAGGGGTTTTCCCAAGTTAGTTGTAACAGCTAGCCTGGTTTTTTTGCTCTTTTGGTTGAGATAAATCTTCTGCTTATCACTCGGTTTGCTGAGGTCTGTTGTGCGTTGCTGATGCCAGGCTGGGGCATATCTTTGGTTTGATCGTTCCTTCTGTTACTCGTGATTCGTTCCTCCTGCTTCAGCGTCTCTTTTTGGGAAGCGTCTTTTGCTCTCTTGGTCCCTCATCCACGACCGGTTTGACATCCTCTCTTCGTAGCATCCAATATCCAAACGCCACAACACTATGCAATAGATCATAGCCTAGAGCTTGTACTGCAGGATGACTATTCAGAGCCTCGAACAAAACGGAAGGCATCTGTTCCCAAGGTCCTAAGTCTGCAATCCTCTTGTGGGTAAGATACTGGATACCGACTGAGAAGGTAAACAATCGTAAAGTCGCTACATGCTGGAATGTATTGGGGCTGGTTCCAGGAGCTTGATCGCTCAAGCTGCGCAAAGGAAGAAGCAGCGGTAGCACGAGCAACACGCGTGCAGCGAGGATGGTATAGATAAGCCATTCTCCCTCTCCGGCATATTCAGGCGCTTTACCGAGGCAGTAGTTGTACAGAAGAGGAACAGAATACCAGAAAGGCCAGTACGACAGCGACTGATGGTTCGAATTTGCTGGTTGAGGCTTGGTGCAGAGCATGATATAGAACAGCGTTTGTGCAAATGAGGTAGGTAGGATCTCGAGAAGTGCAAAGAAAGCCCAGAGGTTTGGCACTTTGCATCTTCGACCTTCGATACCCATATACACTGCAACTGCAAGTGTAGACCATAGGCCAGAAGAAGAAAGAAGATATCGAGATTTGGTGGCTACAATGGCTTCACCGAAATCTTGAAATAGCGACGAGGTGATTGACCATTGCCATAGATGTATAGGCGTCCTATTTGCTCCAATCAAGGCTCCTAGAGGAATGCTGTGACGTGCTGTCCATTGCTGATAGGAGAGGATCAAGACATTCAGCATATGGTAAGAAAGAGTAGCGAAGCTAGATAGGGCCAAAGTTGCCAGGACTGGAGGGATCTTTGGTCTGCCATTGCTGAGGTATGACTGTCTGATAGTGTTCAAGACGATCCCAGTGCAGGCCAGGGCACCCACGATATATGCCCAGAAGATCAAGGCTCCCGAGAGATTGGTGTCAGCATTGATATCCATCTGTTCCTGATGTGTCTGTGGTAGTCTTGTTGTCAGATGGAGAAAAGTCAGAATTGAGATGTTCGATGATGATGTTAGAATGGCTAGCGCCGATCATTCCCTCTTTGAGTATTTCGATTTATACATCTTGAGAAAGTGGACGCAGATGCGTGGGAGAATATCTACAGAAAACAAGGCATGATAAAAGGTACACTGGTATTTTTACAAAAGCGAAAACCTGGGCGCTTAACCTCTGGTGGTCTTTCTCTCCTCGACACGTCTCTTGTACCTCACTTCAGCCTTTCTTCTTTCACCACCATCAATCTTGTGACCACGCTTGATCTCCCAGAGACCCTCCTTTGCGACAATCTTTGCAGCGCCGGGCTTCTCCTTGATAGCTTCGACATAGGGACCACCAATGATGTTTGATCTGATGACCTTTGTGCCTTGGACGGGCTTGATCTTGTCGAGTGGTAATGAGGGTTTGTCCTGGCCAGCAGGGACATTGACAACAATCTTGCGCATGCCAGGAGAGCTGGTGAGTGTAGCAGTGCCAGAGGCAGCGGGCACCTCGACGATTCTCAATTCACCAACGCCATCCTGGACATCGGTCAAGTCACCACCAATGCCGAAAGAACCCTGACGGAACTTATTGCGCCAGTGAAGTAGGTAGCGGCGACTACGAGCAGGCTCGACGCCGAGTTCGCGCAATTGTAGTGATGAGAGAGAGAAGAGAGCATTCCAGTCGGGGATCTTTTGTGCGTGCTGAGACATTTTACGGCCAATGAGGGTGAGGAAGGTTTGGGCGTCGGGGACGAAGGGAGTGGGCTTCGGTACGTCCTTTGCGGCGACTTTTGCGTGCAGGCATCGTAGCTGTGTCTGGACGAAGGAAGTTGTGGTAGGCAGAGCCTTGACGGAGAAAGGCCGCCTGGCGAACATGGTTGCTCCGAGTAGTCGTGTGCTTGGTTGTGTCGTGATAAAGCGCTTTCAGGGATTCAAGGGAGACGATTGAAGAAGGCACGGAGAGAGAAGTGGTGGGCGCAAAGACTCTTTGCTTGACGAACTGGCAGGAACGTCCAGCAGGCAGCGCCTGCCAAAAGTCGCTGTCGCTGCTGCTTGTTGCGCCTGGTCCGTGTGGCACGGCCCGCAGAGCCGCTCCGCATCATTCAAGACCAAATACACCCTCCGCCCTTCCCTTCACTCGACCTTCTCGACAAACGTCAGTTGCCGTGCGACATCGTCAAGATGGGGAAGGGTCTCTCGCCCGCATCGCCTGCCATGTTCAGGCCCGACAATGGGGCCGGCATCAAGGCAGCAACTCAGATGCAAGCCCAAACCCTCCACCCTGCCCAGCCTGCGCCAACTGCTTCTGCTACCAACCTTGCAGAGCAGCTCGATGATCAGGAGCGCCGCAAATATGTCAAGGGTATGCCTTCTTTCTTCCATGTCTCATTTCAAACACAAGTATTCATACTTCGCANNGGCAAGAAACTTGGTTCTGGTCAATACGCCGATGTCTTCTCCGCACACCTCGTCTCCGATCCTACCCAGCTCGTCGCCATCAAAAAGATCAAGGTCGGCCCTGAAGTCCAGGAATGGGGCATCTCACACGATTCTTTACGAGAAATCAAGTTCCTTCAGGAGCTGTCACATCCCAATATTATTCGTCTATTCTCCGTCTTCTCGACAAAGAATCAAAACCTCAACCTCGTCCTCGAACAGCTGCCGCAGGGTGATCTCATGAAGCTGATCCAAGACACCACAATCGACTACAACCCCAGCGATATCAAAGCCTGGATGAGCATGTTGTGCCGCGCCGTCTGGTTCTGTCACCAAAACTTCGTCCTCCACCGCGATATCAAGCCCAACAACTTGTTGATTGCCGCAAATGGCGAGGTCAAGCTTGCCGATTTTGGTCTCGCTCGCAGCTTTGCCGACCCCCACGCTCCCATGACTTACAACGTTATCACCAAATGGTACCGTCCTCCAGAGCTGTACTATCAGGCCAATTTCTACTCAGGCGCTGTCGATATCTGGTCCGTTGGCTGCGTTTTTGCCGAACTTGTCATTCGCTGGCCTTTCCTTCACCAGACTCCAGACGGAGATCTTGCCATGATAGGGAAAATTTGCGAGCAGGTCGGAACTCCCACAGAAGATAATTGGCCTGGCGTCAGCAAATTGCGAGGCTATGTGCCGGTTGCTAAAGAAGATGTCAAGCCTGTAAAGAAGCGTGCAGACTGGGAGGCAAACTTTGGTACTGTCGGGCCTACAGGCGCTGACTTGCTGATGCAGATGTTTGCCCTCGACCCGCGCAAACGTCCAACCGCTGCACAAACCCTTGAGCACCCTTACTGGACTGCTGATCCTCGTCCATCACGTCTCGAAGAATTGCCTCGCCAAGGAGGAGGTCTGGATGCTATGGGTGAAGATCTAAAGAGACGTGGTGGCGAGCTGCCCAACACTAGAGGCGACAAAGTGGCTCGAAAGATTGACTTCGCCTCTATGAAAGGTTGAGAGACACTTTTATCTGATACGAACGATAACTCAGCCTAAACCAGGGCCACCTAGGATCCGACAGCGTCGTGAGCAGCAAAGCTTTTTGACTGTAGCAGAACAGGCATTAGAGCGTTCTCAGAAGGACACTACGATGGACCTGCTGCACGAACTCGGAACATATAAAGGAGTGGACTGAAAAGAACCACGGCTAGCTTGTGGCGGACAAGACACCGTCCTGAATTGACGGCACCAGCTGCAACAGCAGGGTCACAATAAGATGACAAGTCTGCGCAGTCTCGATACATACCGCGACGAAGATCGAGCTTCACAAAGGCCTCAGAAATCGCACTTTGAGAAATAGCAGAGCCACGATAAGATTCAGGCGCAAAGAGGCAGTAATTGCAACTATTCAAAACTTGAGGATATCATATATAAAAAAAGCAGCGACTAGGTATTAATTACGTAGGGTGAATAACGCAGCAACAAACAAAATCAAAAAAATATCAAATTCATCACCACGCCATCTGACTCTCTTCCAACTCGAACCTTCGACCCCAGGATATCATGTTCTGTCGTCCACTTCCTACAATGCCCCAACCACTTTCCAGATGGTCAGTCTAGAACTCCTCTTGGAACTTGGTCTCGCGTGCGGGGCTCTGTGCCTTGGGCTGTCCGCCGAATGTAGGTGGGGGTGCAAGGGTTTCGTCAAAGTGATCGCGTGCCTCTTCGAACTCGTCTTCATCGCCGCTGATGGCGCTTATGCTGCTGCGGCCGCGGCGGGCAGTGGGGCGCGTCGTTGGCAGTTGCTCGTCGCTGGACATGGACGAGATGCTGTGCAGATCTGTGTCGTGGCGGCGGAACGATGAGTCGGAGACTGCATCGCTGGTTACTGGAGCCTCTGCTGCGACGCCAGATGTCGAGGGCTCGGAGGTCGAAAGGCTCTTCTTAGCATCTGTGGCTGGCAGAGTGACGGCAGCGGTCTCGGATGGCTGGGTCTTCTCAGCAGGCTTAGACTTGCGGCTGAAGCGAGAGAAGAAACCGCTCATACGGCTGGACTTGCGGCGTTGGAAAGCAACTGAGCTGGCGGTTGCAGAAGAAGTGGTGCCAGTGGGCTCGGACTCGGCGGCATTACCAGAAACAGCTTCGACAGGAGGAAGGGCGATGGCGTTGGTAGTGGTCTCAGGAACTGACAAAGGCACGTCTTTGCTGGCCACTGCCTCTGTGTTGCCGGCCACTGCCTCTGTGTTGCTGGTCACTGCCTCTGTGTTGCTGGTCGCGGCCTGCGTGTCTCTAGTCTCTTCAATACTGGAAAGACTCAGACTGCTGCGTGCGCTTGAAGAGCTGGAGCTAACAACAGTAGAAACGTGACGGTCCAATTCTGGACGAAGACCGCTCTTAGTGCTGTGGACTGTACCGCCGGTAGCGATCCTTGTCATCATGTCTGGAGAGTCTGTCTTCTCTAGCGGAGCGCCGTCAGAGGTAGGGACGTTCTCAGCGTCGACAGCAGGAGTACGGTCTGTGTCGACATCTTTATCCNNCTCATCCTTGACTTCGGAATGTTCGTCGGTAGCGACTGTAGCAGTACCAGAGGTCGATGGCTTGTCGTGCTCGTGAGTAGCGGCAGAAGCCTTGGTAGCGTCTTCGGTCTCTCTCTTGACCTCTTTAGATCTACGCTTGTCTTCTTTGCGTGCTTGCTTCTCCTCGGCTTTGCGGTTCTTCTCGGCTTCCTTTTCAGCCCTTCTCGCAGCCTTCGCCTCGGCCTTCTCTTGTTCTGTATTATCGTCAGTAGTCATATAAGATATATCAAGATCGCATCACTCACCCTTCAGGCGCTTCGTCTCAGCCTTGACTTCCCTCTCGCGTTCCTTCTCGGTCATCTGCACACGTCTCCTCTCTTCCTGCTCGAGACGGATCTCTTCATCTCTAGCGCGTTTCTTCTCTGCGTTATCGTTGATTTCATCCAGAGTGGGTCTCAGTCTACTCTGAGCGATGGCATCAAGCTCGGACTGTTCCATGTACTTTCCGCCACCAATGTTGACCTTGCCAAAGTTGCGCTGTCTATCCTCACTCTGAGCTGTAGCGCGAGCGCGAGCCTTGGCCTCCCACTCTTCCATCATAGCAGGTGTGACTTGACCGGTCTGTTGGTAGACTTGCTCGTCCATGGTATGCATTTGGGCCTGCACTCTCTTCTCGGCGGCGGCGAGCAGAGCAGCACGATCTTGGTTGCGCTTCTCGTCTTGCTGTGCAACTGAGTTATTCAAAGAAGACATCTGGTTGCGAATTCTACGCGATCTGAACTCGTCGTCGGATGAATCATCCTCATTCTGGACAGGCTTAGGATTGCTTTCGGCACGGTTTCTGCCAGGGCGATTGCGCAACGACAAACGCGAACGAGCTGGTTGTTGTTCGTAGCCGTAATGAGCGCGATAGCGAGCAGCGCCGTCAGGATCCATCTTTGCCAGGCGCTCGTTGGCAAGTTTCTGGGCAGCTTCTTGAAGATGAATGTATTGTACAGCCTGTTGGCGTAGATCAGGCTGAGTGGTAGATGTAGCTGAAGGTCCGCGGTTGTGTGAGACGGTAGCAGCGCTGGTTCCTAAGCGTTCTTGGACTTCTGCAGCCTCTTGTTCACGTCTTCTCTTCTCAGTCTGGTCGTACATTTGTTTGGCCATTGAGATGGCAGAAGCACGAAGAGCAGCCTGCTTCTTCTTCTCTTCGACCTCAATGTCTACTGGAGGTGTACCACCGAACATCTCGCGCGGCACGTTGCGTCCCATGTTCTGGACACGAGCAGCGCGCATGGCGTCAGAGTCAACGTTATTCGAGTCTGAAGCGGCAGTGGACTTGGACGACGGTCGGTTGGCCATGGTGGCGGCATTGAGAGCGTTGTATGCCGAGTTGGCAGAATCAGGGTATCTAGGATGCTCAACCGGCGGGGTTCTGGTGGATTGGGACTTGCTCAAAGCACCAGTAGCAGCCATGAGGGCCTTCTTATGACCATCCTCGGTGTAGCCGTAGTCGAGCTTGGGTCCCAGGTTTCCCTTGCTCATAGCAAGGCCGGCAGCAGAGTTTCCCTCAGCCGAAGCCTCAGGCTGCCAAAGGTTGAGCTTGGGGCCATCCTTGTGTGCAAGCAAAGCAGCCTTTGATCCAGCTGCGCTCTGATCTGGTTTCCACAACGGAGCCATCTTGTAATCCTTTGCTGCCATTGCCGCGATTCCCGCGTTCTTAGACGGGTCGGGCTTCCAGTGCTCGAATTGCTTGTGACCAGAGTTTGCCAAGTTGGCAGCGGAATGAGCGGAAGAAGATGTGTCGATACCGACAACAGGGTAGCTGGGTAGATCCTGAGGATTGGCATATTTGAGCGACGCTGCGGCACCTGTGAGTGGTCAGCATTGGTGTAGGACAATCGAAGGAAGACAAGTCGTACTGCGCGATGAGAGCTTGTTATTAGCATCGAGAACATCTTCTCTTTGTTTAGTGCTCTTGGCAGTCTTAGTGACGTATAAAGCAGCGTTCGAGGCTTGTTCTTGGAGTCTGGTGTCGCGGTGAGTGTGAGCAGCGGGATCCGGGCACACGGGCAGTGGCGATGCAGAGGCCGAAGTGGTCACGGGTAGCGGAGGGCCAGTCTTTGACTCGGTGATGGTTGATCTCGTCACAGGCGGAGGAAGGTCGAGGGCCTTGGAGCCGGGTCTGTAGCTGCTTCTAGCTTCGGCCTTGGTACTGCTCATAGAATCGGCCTTGTCATTGGCGACGTTGTCGGTCTGGTAGACATTGGTTGTCGTCTTGATGGGAGCATCGCTGGTCGCAGGAGTGGGGTTATCGCTGGTCGCAGTAGTGGCAGTATCGCCGGTCGCAGTGGTTGACTGACTCGGAGGGGCGTCTCCAGTTATGTGGGCTTTGGCAGCCTCGATGGGATTTGATTCGGACATGGGCGCCTTCTTCTCTTCAATGGGAGTAGGGTCAGGAGTATGTTGTTCGAGTAGAAATGTCGTGTCGCCTGTGCTTTTGACTTGGGCAGACTCCATCGGATGCTAGGAATGAATGATGTGACGACGGTTGGATGGCGGAGAGACAGCCAATATTGCGCCCAAAGAATGCTTCCACATGTTCGCCAAATGCGCTACGTCACTGCAACCGCCGTTACGTCAACAGCCTTGACTTGCTGCCGACGGTGCGACTCGACAACCAGATCTAATCTCAATCTTCTCGACCCTCGTTCGTCTTTAAGTCGAGCCATCTTGCCATCGCGTCTGGCTTTATGTGACACTGTTCTGTTGATGAGTGGATAGATCCATTTGATTGTGATCCTCTGCTTACCCCAGTGATCGACGTCTGGATCTGTTGTCGTCCAAGCTCCGCTGTCCAGAACCTGATTTGGTCCATGCGTGTCCAGCTTCCTTGTTGATCAAGCGCTGCTGTTACAAAGGAGCTTTCTGCTGTCGCTTCTAACATTGATGAACTCTCTTCCTACATTAAGGTAGCAGATACTTACTGATAAGTTGTTCCTCCTTGACCACAAACCACATCTTTCCGACATATTGTGTTGCGAATCGAACTGCGTACCCAGATTAACTTCATCATGGCACATGTTGACAAATTCGACCGCTTGCTGAACTTCCGTGATGTTGGCGCATTCATCAACGAGCTGACTGGCTCANAAGTGAGGTTGTCGCATATCTAGTCATGTACGCTTTGTAACGTCTTCTCTAGAAAGCTCAAGCCCGGTATGCTGTTTCGAAGTGCCAGACCAGACGAGGCTTCAACCGAAGATCGCAGAAGACTAAAGGACGACTATCACATCCACACTATCATTGACCTGCGCACCAAGTCTGAGCACATCGTCCAAGCACAAAAACGATCGATTCCTCTAGCATCGGCCGAGCCTGTTGCTCCTTCCAATAATCAGGCTGCTGAACCCGTCAAAATCCCTGGTCTAAACTATGCCGAGATCAACTTCAACGGCTCTTCGTACTCGTTTGCCCTAATTCGCCAACTGCGATACTGGTCTGCTGCCAAGCTCATCGCTCTCATGGCTGCAGGATATCGCACTCAGGCCATCAGCATTCTAGGCACAGAGGTCATGTCTGAACGCGGACTCATCGGTCTGGCCTACGACTCGCTCGCCCACTGTACCGCTGAAGTGCTTGCCGTGTTTCGCGTTTTGGCTGACGAGAAGAGCTACCCTGTTGTGGTGCATTGCACACAAGGCAAAGATCGCACTGGCTTAACCATTCTGCTCGTGCTATTGCTACTGCATGTCGATACGACAGCCATCAACACTGACTATATGCGAACGCAGAAGGAACTCGTGTCTGAACGCGAGGCCAGAATTGTTGAGATAAGAAGCATCGGCATGCCCGATACGTTCGCTGACTGTGATCCAAGATGGGTTGAGAGTGTAGCTGCTCATATCATTGAGAAATATGGCTCCATCGAGGAATACCTGCTTCGTTGTGGCGTCAACAAGGACATGCAGCATACCGTTAGACGCATCTTGCTGGAGTAATGTCTGCTTGCTGCAAGTTTGCTCAACGAGATTCCCACCTTTTCTACGCTATACAATTCACCCATTCATGAGTTGACTCAGCCCCTACTGTCGGAATATTCTTGGATGTGTATGCGAAGTGGGGCACCCTGTCCACGCGCAACTTTGTCAGCAACAGCTTGATATCATCTACTTGTTGTTTCTAGCAGAGCCTATGGTATTTAGAAACAGTGAGATATACAATCTTATAAGTCTGCTGGTTGATACAGCTGGAATGAGAGGTTGAGTTGGTTGACGATCTGTATCGGTAAGAATGATGCTGAGACGAAGGATAACTAACACTCGACCCATCGAGCTCAAAACATTGACTCGATCCTCTCTTTCAATATCAAGCATTTCAGTCACAATGATATCCACAGCATTTACCACTACTACAACTCTTATAGCACAGCCAAGTAAGCATATACCAACCCATTCTGATGTTAGCATAAAAGAACAAATAAAGAGAAAAAAGGACAATCAGGCCATCGATGCCAAGCACAATTTCCAACGCCCTTTTCCCTACGCACAAACCCCTTTGACCCACACACCAAAATTTTTTTGCTTTACTCTTGCAAAGAGACAAAAGATAGGTCGTACCCGGGATCGAACTGGGATTACCGGAATCAGAATCCGATGTGCTAACCATTACACTATACAACCATTGATGGAGGGCCTGTTGGCTGTTTTACAATATGTCACATACCATCACCCGAAACTGCACGAGTTTCACGGTCTGATGTTGGCGTCGATAGTACGCTCGACGCAAATCAAAAGACCTTGATCTTGTATTGGATGACTGTACTATATGCTTCTTGGAGGTTGTCGCTGATCTCATAGGTCAGGCCTGGTGTTAATAATGTTGCTACCACTCGTTGTACTTGACGATGCCATCGTCGCCCAGGAGTAACGTCCACTGTGATTCTAGTTCTTCACTCATACGCCAACCACGATGAACATTCCAATACAGCCGTCTCAATTCTCTCGCCCCAGCTTCATCGCTTGGGTGTTTGGTATCTGCAGCCATGTACCGGAAACCCAATTGCTGAAACCTTCTTCCCGTTCTCCCACTGGGACGAATTTTGTGGCTAACGCTCATGACTTTCAAAGTGGGCATATGCGAGGCTGCGCGTGCAGCTGCTAGGAAGAAGGCTTCAAGCTCTGGAGCAGGTTTCGTGCGGAAGTTTGAGGTAGATGGCTCTTCGCCATTGAGACGGGCATCGCGTTTCTCGTCCTCGTAGCCGTAAGAGTCTGGCGGTAGTTGGTCCATGATGAAGAAGGAATCTTCATAATCATAATCCGATGAAGAGTCCTCGCTGCGGCTGACTTTGTGGGCAATGTCGGAGGAATTGTCTATGTGTTCGTCCTCTCCATCTTCTTCTTCTTCATCGGAGGATCCTGTGTCACGGTTGGGGTCCAGCTCTGTATACCAGCCGCCGTCGGGTCTGACTGCACTGAGCTCGACGGTGAATACTTTTAGCGCTCGCCATTGCTGCTCCTGTACGGATCCTTCTGATGGCCAGAAGAGATCTGGACCTACAGAAATCGGACCACTTAGCTTGAGGTTAGTCAAACAAGGCGCCGACTGTGAAAACATCCGCAACGACGAGGCAATATCATCAACATCGGGTGAATAGAAACCACCGCGGACATCTCCATCGACGAACTTTCCATTGACCGGTTCTCTGTTGATCAAATGTAGATTGAACTTCTTGAGACTCTTGGGAGGCGCGAGTTGACTCAGTTGCTTTGAGAATTCTGAACGCAGTTGTCTCCGCTTATCTGGTCGTCGTCTCTCCATATCCCAGAACGAGCACTCGGTAGTGTCGAGATTGGGTAGTCTCGATATGAGTCCAGCGGTGACTGACGGTGCTAGCTTGCGCGCGGTCTCACCACGTATAGTCAAGGATGTCACGTTGTGTAATAGAGGCAGATTCTCAGGATCAAGTAGTTGCAGATACGAATCCCGGTAGCGGAGCTCGAAGAGATCGTGTCTTTTCCCTATGCTGCTGGCCATCTGGTCTGCCTCCAATTGCTCCTTGTCTCGGTGAGTAATATCCATGGAAGAATAGAAGTTTAGGAGATGTAGATCAATAGGCCTGGAGCCGTCGCCAGCATCGATGGTTGCCAGTGTGGAGAAGAGATCTGCCATCGCTCTACTGAAGGCCTTGTCGTTGATATCCCTATCTGCTTGTCTCTCGAAACGTCCACAGGCATTGTCGTCGTAGTCCGGAAGATGGATGCTGAATTTTACACGCCTGACAGCTGCACGGCGATGTGTGTACGATGACTCAAGAACAATTGACTTGAATTTGTCTAAATCATCGTTGGAGAAAGACAAATGTGAGAATGTACGCTCTTCTATTGCACGCTGGAATGCTCGAGATATCGTGGCATATTTGGTCAGTCGTTCCTCTTTGACGATGACCAGAGAGACTATTTTGAGAAATATCTCTGGTGGCAATGAATCCATTGTCATCTTGGCTGGACGGAACAAGCTCTCTCTGTATGTTTAGGATTAAAACGATGTTTGTGAAGTGAAGTTGATTTACTTCCTTCTGGACCATCGGTAAAACAAGGGGCAGATTTGGGCTTCCACCACCGAAGGATGCAGCCTGCGCAGGAGCCAGCTCGCGCTGATCTTCTGAGGATCGACTCACACGCGCATCTGTCAAAATACATCTCCACCAGCGCGTCGATCATAACATAACAATCATGAGGGCCAGCTTTGACAACATTCCTGCTCCATTCCTGCTCCTTCCCATCACAGTCGCCAAGATTCTCAACATCATGTCTGCACATCTAGTGTCAAATTGGTTGTCTACTACAATAACTCGACACTCATTCTTCTCCACCATTAATCGTCAAAACACCTTGCACTATGCATTACTGAGCGACCTTCATTCAGTAGGTTGCTCCCTAACAGAACAATTGTCATTATTTTAGAACCTCATAATGTCTTGTTCTCATGACACTATTCATGACACATAATCGGGTCACTATTTTCCTTTGCCAATGATACTGCCTAAAGAGCAGTCAGCCATTCAGGCAAGACATAATGTGCAATCGACTCAAGTCTTGATGGTATGGATAGCACAACCACAGAGAGTTGCTGACGCTGGTCACTGAAGTTCGACTCATCAATTGCGATCCGTGAACAATCTTGATTGCACCTGGTCCGTCCCAGCATGGACTCCAGATGTTGCTCCAACAGAGATAATCCTTGCAGACACTTGAATTTTCCTGCTCGTTCAAGTGACAGACACGTTTGCTCGCCCCTAGATATACCGCAATGAGCATACAGACTCTGCAATACCGACCTTGCGGCGTGATTAGACGTGACTGTGGTTGGGTGACAGGTGCCATGTTTGCGCTTGATAGTGATTCTGTGTGACCTCTGCCGTTCGACGGGTCGTACAACCAGTGGTAATGTATCGTGCATGATTATCAAGGACGATCTGGCCAGTCTGAGAAGGGGCTCGGACGTGCCGAGCTCAGAAAGTTGCGAAACGGTTCGCTCAGGCATGATTCAGGTCCCTAACCCTTTCTCGATGCAATCCAACAGCTTCGTGACAGCGAACAACAATGATTGAGAGGTGTTCTTAGCACTCTTGACGACCTCTTGTACTTTTATATCGAGCCGTCCTTCTTCTGCAAACTCAAGATAGTTTGATATGGCGTTCAAAAGTGTCCGAAACTCGTGACTTGAGTTAGACATCAAGAGTTTGTACATGTGACTTTCTTGCATCGCGCTGTTCCTCTCTTTCCAGATTGCACTGAACTTGAGATAGACTACGCGCATCATAGCTGCGTTCCGGAGGTCAACGTCACTCCATGCTTCAACGCTGTGACCAAGAGGCCCGCTAGTTTCCCGGAAATAGACCACGAAATCTTCGCTGTCCTGGGAGAGAGGGACAAATAGTAAGCTTTTGACAAATTGAAATCCAGGACGATAGTGTAGACTCGGAAAGTCGGTCGCAAAGTCATCAGANCTTAAAACGTCCGTCGGACTGCATGATCGAAGGTATTCGACCAGTGCAAGCCCTTCTTGCGGTTCTTGTGCAGAACCTATGAGTTTCTTGGTACCGTCGATGAACGATATGGCAAAATCTGCTCTGAGAGTCCTGACCAACTCATGTGGATCTGCGAAGGCAACCGCAGATTCTTTGCCGCAACGTGAGTCATGAGAGAAAGGTCCCGAGGCATCAAGAATTCGTGAAGCATTTATGTTTTCCAGTTTTGTAGAGGCTGAATCTGCGATGATACGACACAATCCACGGCAGAGAAACGTGATCGCGGCATGGCTCGGAGCAGATTTGCTCACGATGACTCCCCAGAGCTTTCCAGATACCCGCAGAGGAATCAGAACTCGAGATTTGGCGGATCCCTCGTCGAGTCCATGTACAGGAAATTCGGGCAAGGTCCGAAGATAAAGTGAATTGCTGTTCAGAACATGTTCATCTGTATTTCCTGGTCGGTAGATAAGACGTGCAGTCTCTTGATCTTGATTACAATGTTCCTGTATCTCCAGAGTCTCAAATATTGATCGATACTCAGGTGACAGATTACAGGACTGTGGACCTGAAGAGTGCGGAAAACAAGAGAAATGTTCATCGCTGTCGCTCTGTGCAACAAGCTGGCCATTGCAGTGATTATCGAAACGATGAACAGATATATCTGAATGTCCTGTGGCAACTTTGATGGAAGCGACAAGGTTCTCAAGCAAACTCTCGATCGTCGAAGCAACAGAGATGGTATTATGAGCTCTCGACATTGTGTTGAGAGTATTTGTTGCACTGCCACTGCCTCTTCGAGAAAGTGTAGGTCGTGCATCCGCCCTAGTCTTTCGAGAGGGTGTTCTCTGGCTTGAGCGAGGAAGCGGGGCAGGAGGCTGAGGGACAAACTCGCAGAGAATCAGGGAAGGTCTGGCTGTATCAGCGTGGATCACGGCTGAGAGACATCTGGTCGAGCCGCCTTGGTCCGAGATAGATAAATCGAAGACATTGAGAGTGTTAGAGTAGCTGGCACGATCATGCGCAGAAGCGATGTGTTCAAGCAATGCATCCGCTTCTTGACGATCCAGAAGGTCAACAAAATTATGCAAAGCAAACAGGTCCTCTGGTGAGTGGCCAAGGATGGCTTTGGAGTTGTCACTAGCCATGGATACTAGAAGCTTGCCATCGTCACTTTTTTCGAGGCCTATTGCGGCACCAAAACTCTGGATACTGTTAGTGGCGCATGACTTGCTAGGTACATCGGGCGTGGTCGCCGATGCTGAGACCTCGGTGAGATTCTTTGGCAGGCTCGTCGCGTCCGACGATGCTGCAGGCCGACTTGAAAGAGGAGGAGATTGCTCAGGCGGGCTGCTGTTTATTTTGGCCCGGCGGCGTGGGGATAGAGCGATGGGCACCGAATCGATTGAGATGAGAGAGCTGACAGGATAAACGCGACTCTGTGTTAAAGACATTCGACCTCAAGCACGATGGAGCTGCCTCGCAATATTTGGAAGCACGTTGGCAAAAGAAAACAGAACACAGACAGCAGGCAGTGAACCAACAACATCTTTTCTTTTCCGGAACATCGTGATGGCAGTCACGAAATCGTAAAGAGTTGTTTGGTGCATCTACGATCACATCGAAGCATCGGTCGCTGTTGCCTTTGCACCGGGCTTGGCCGGCTATGGAGCACCTCTTGCCAGAGGAGTTATTACCCGAGTCATGCGGACTGGATTGTTGCCATCATTGTTCTGTTGATGGCATTCTCCAGATACATCGTTGACAACACATGGTCATACTATTATCAACCTCGAGAGCCATACTAGTGATTTTGATTCTGTGGTTCGCATCGATAGTCCACGACGAAAGAGAAGAGAGATGAGCACAAAGAGAACCGGAAGCTAGACAGATATCACATAAAAGGATGACTAGATTGTAGAAGATTCTAGGCTTTGTCTCCAATAGAGAAAAATGGGCGTGGCGAGACATGCGCTACAGCATGGTAGTGTTTGTGGTTACTACATATTATTCATGTACATCATAAGCCGACTGAATTGGAAAGACTAGATACTCATTTCAAGCCTCGACACAAGCCTCTATGAGCTTCCATTGGGTGGCCATTGCCTCGTTCGCAAAGTCCTGCAACTCATAGTCCTTACCCTTGCCGTCCGGACCAGCATCGAAGACTTCGTACGAGAAATAACCGCGGAAGCCTGTTTTCAAGACAGCTTGAGTGAAGTCAACAACAGGCAGGTAGCCTTGGAAGGGGNNGAGGGGCCTGAAGTCATGGCTCCAGCGGCCTCTAGGACGAGTACCAGACTCATCGACGTCTTTGTTGAAGGGTTGCTTTGGCTTGTATGCATCGCTGATTTGAAGAAAGAAGATCTTGTCTGCTGGTACGGTGCGGGACAGTTCATCGAGCGACTCCTTCCAGTCCTTCTCCAGTTGGTCCTTGGGTTTGTCGACCAAGCCTGACTCGGTGGTGGGATCTGCCCACTCATAGCCACCAGATTGGAAGGTGTCTAGACAGAGACCGACATTGGGGCGATTGACCTTTTGAACAATGTCCCATACGTCTTTCCATGTGGGAGCATGGGTTGACCAGCACCAGTTTTCGTATGCCAAGCGGAAATTCTTCTTTGCGAGCATGTCGGCGAGTTCTTGCAGGTCGCTGACGAAGCGGTTGCGGTCTGTACCGATCTTCTCGGCAGGTGTGTCTGAGGAACCAACCTGTNNCTCATGGTCAGATATGACAATGCGCGTGTCGATCCAAGATTTTCTCACCTGGAGCATGTCTGTTCCAACAGCCTCCATGATTCTAATCCAGCCCTCGGCACGTGTGAAAGCATCCTTCCTCTCGTCGCTGCCTTCTTGCCAGCCCTCGAAGTTGGCAAATGGTTGTAGAATGAGAACCTTCAGCTTCTTCGCATCGCACATGGCCTTGACGACCTTGGCGGAGATGACGAGATCATCGTAGTCGTATGCTCCGACCTCTTTCTTCAAGTAGGTTGATGCGAAAGCCACAAGGTCTGGGAAACCGAGCTCGATAGCGCTGAAGCCTGCGCTGGAGATTGCTTCTAGCTTCTTGGGCAGAGTGTGTTCATCTCTACATCCAATCGAGACACTGGCGTAACAAGTGGGGATGTTTCTAAGGTTTCCTGCTGTAAGTGACATGTTGTGATTCTGTTGCAAGAGCTGAAGGTAGAGATGGGAGACAAGAGACTAGGAAGCTGCAGGTGATATACTAGTAACTCAACTATTCCGGGTGACCCGCTGTTATACATCATGATGAGCTGGAGGGCCTCATCCATCTCAACATCACCATCAGCATCGAGCACCCCGCATCATGTCTGGCGTGACGTCAGAAAATATATTTTTTCTTACAAAGTCGACGAAGCAGAAACACCAAACAGCCGACAATATGTGCTCTAGGCCGCTACGAAGCAGGTTCGACACATGACAAGAGTTGCAGCGAAGTGGGAGTGTATAATTTGGAAGCAGTTGTCGTCGAGCAGTAGAAATCAAAGAGCGATACCGGTGGTCACCAAGTCTAGACTGAGCGAATCACAAGCTGAGCAAAGGTTATGCGTGTGGCTTGTCGGCCCGAAGGCTGGGGTGAGCACCGAGCAAGTGACAGTTGACTCACGAACATATTCACCTTTCTCTGCCACATCCATCATTGTTTTCTACACGAACTCGTCTTGATACCCCAATTCGTTCTTGTTTTGCATCTTCTCATTGATATTCTTGTTCCTCACACACCATGTCTACCGAGGTAAGTCTTTTCGCGCCTTCTCCAGAAGAAAATTGCCCCGCGACTTTCCCCAAACGCCGCCTGAAAATGTCCCAGAGCCATGACTGACGTGGTATACAGTTCTTCATGGAGAACGCCTCCGTCGGCGATCGCAGCAGCAGTGAAAACTGGCGCATCCGTGGCATGACCCCTTTGACCGCTCCCGATCTCCTCCAGCACGAAATCAGACAATCGCAAAAGTCAAAAGACACAGTCCTCAAGGGCCGCAACGAAGCTTCTGATGTCGTCCAAGGCAAGGATGAGAGAAACAGACTGCTTGTCGTTATTGGTCCTTGTTCGTTGCATGACCCCAAGGCCGCTCTCGAATACTGCGACAAATTGTCCACCTTGAAGGAGAAGTACGAAAATGAGCTGGTCATCATCATGCGCGCCTACCTCGAGAAGCCTCGCACCACCGTCGGCTGGAAGGGTTTGATCAACGACCCCGATCTTGACGACAGCTTCAACATCAACAGAGGTCTCCGTGTTTCGAGACAGCTCTACCTCGACCTGACTGAGAGAGGCATGCCCATTGCCAGTGAGATGCTGGATACTATCACCCCTCAATACACTGCCGATCTCTTGTCTCTCGGCGCCATTGGCGCACGCACAACTGAGTCTCAGGTCCACCGTGAATTGGCCTCGGGTCTATCTTTCCCTGTCGGCTTCAAGAACGGTACCGACGGCACTCTGGATGTTGCCATTGACGCCATCGGCGCCGTCAAGAACCCCCACCACTTCTTGTCTGTCACCAAGCCTGGCAATGTCGCAATCGTCGGCACTGCTGGTAACGACGACTGCTTCGTCATTCTCAGAGGAGGAAAGAAGGGAACCAACTACCACCCCAAGGACATTCAAGAGTCCAAGGAGAAGCTCCAGAAGATTGGCTACACCAAGCCCAGACTCATGGTCGACTGCAGGTACGTCTTGACTCGATTTCAAAACAAACGACAACACGAACACTAACATGTAACACNNAGCCACGGCAACTCTGAGAAGAACCACAAGAACCAACCCAAGGTCGCCCACGAACTCGCTACCCAGATTGCCGCCGGCGAAGAAGCCATCATGAGCGTCATGATCGAATCGCACATCAACGAGGGCAACCAGAAGATGCCTAAGGAAGGAAAGTCGGGTCTGAAGTACGCAGTCTCCATCACCGACGCGTGTATCGGTTGGGAGGACACCGAGAGCGTCCTGGCCGAGTTGGCCGATGCCGTCCAGAAGAGAAGAAAGCACGCCGCTACCAACGGTTCCGCATAGAGTGATGATCTATATGGATCCTGGTATGATTTATAACGAAAAATAATGAGTGTGGCTGGAGATGGGCAAAAATTCGAAACAACCAAAAGTTGTCATTTTCTCCTTTTCATCCTGCAACATTTGATGTGCGCGTCAATGCCTATGCCTCGTGATACTCGACAATAGAAGGTTTCCCATTCCATCCTTTGACCTTCTCCAAATCAGTCAAGACAGCATCTTCTCTCCCCTGGACCTGCAACCTCAGCTCCAGTTCTCCAAAGTAGTTAGCCTCTGCGCTCGTCCTCACAAATCCAACGCTCTCGAATAAAGCAATGCTCTTGACATTGTCCTTTGAGATCTTGACTCGAAGGTAACGGAGATGTGCTGCTTGCCCTTTGCTGTATTCCTGCAGGATGGAGGATGTGTTGGTGAGGATGTAGTGCATAAAGGCGAGGAGAGAGGCCCGACCGTGTCCTTTGCGGTGTTGGGACTTTACTGCTATCATGAGCTCAATCTCTCCGAGGACAGACTTGGAAGCGGAAGTCTTGGATTCGTCTTCATCGTCATCATCGTCCACGAGAAAGAGGTTTATGTCGCCGATCATGCGAGATGGTGCATCGTCTTGCTTGGGCGTGATGGTTGGCCTCGAGTTTGGAGGGGTCGATGGGGGCAGACAGGCGATGAAAGTCAATTTGTCCGAGTCCTGGCGCCATGACCGTTGCATGTCGTACTCTTCGGGGAGGCTCAGAGGTTCAGAAGCTGTGAGCTCTTGGAGTTCCTTTNNTCTTTTTGTTTGTATATGTTTTTTTGTTTCCATTTTGTATTTTGTACTCGGAAGGTGATGAACAAGGTGAGAACAAGAAAGGGGAGTGGATGAGATAAGAAAAGTGGAAATATAATAATATTGACATACCTCGTCTTTCATCCATTCGTGATATGTAGGCACATGATGCTCACTGTAAGGACACAGCAAGATCTGGGATGTCACCAATGCTGCGAGTACGTACGTTCAGATTCTACCAAATACCTCCGCAATTGGATCATAACCTCTTACCTGTATGCTCGTTAAGCAACATTTTCAAATTGTGTCTGTGGATGTCTGTAGGTAGAAGCAGAATGCTCGCTAGATTTCTGTTGTCCTTGCCAAGACTGGTCGTTCAGAGTTGACCGCCAAAAGTGTCTTCATTCCCTGCCATCTTGCAATCATCACGACACATATAGGACATCAAGGAGTATGTCTTGGTTCTCCAAGTATGCAGTAAATTAGCTGCTCCTGAGGCTAGGTACCAAATCAGCGTGTCGCGCCCCTTCGATCAGGATCTGATCTCGTGGCGTCATCCTGTACACTTCGAAATGCTGTTTCTCGACATGTTTACAAATCCACCTGCCAGTCGGCAACTCCGATCTTGTTTTCAATTCGAGATTTCATTTCGAAACTCGGCTCTGTATTGAACACAGCAAAACTGCACTCAAAATGCCTCACATACTCGTAACCGGTGCTTCCGGCTTTCTAGGACAAGCAGTTGTGATGGCGATACAAAGCATACATCAAGATTGGACTCTGACAAACCTGGATCTACGGCCGCCACCGCTTCCTCAACCCAGTGTAAACTACATTCAAGCAGATATAACAAAAGCCTCCGAAGTGGATGTTGCCATACGCAAAGCCAATCCTGATGCGATAGTCAATGTAGCTGGCTGGGTACCCAATGGTAGCCTACGCTACAGCAACTCCAAGGCGCTACGGGACAAAGTGTTTGCCATCAACCACCTCGGAACTCTGAACGTTCTGTCCGCAGCACAAAAGACGAAATGCAAAGCATTCGTGCACACGTCAAGCTGCACAGTGGTGTCAGATGATCAGGACCATGATTTTCCAAATATGACTGAGGAGATAGTTGGTCGGGCTACTCTAGCCTATGGAGCAAGTAAAGCACCAGCTGAACTTGCAGTCCTGGCTGCAAACACTACGAACTTCCAAACTTGTGCATTACGCCCAGCAACCGTCATCGGCCCCGGAGACACCTACGGAGTGATTGCCACGATCCACGCGTGCATCGCTAAGGGCGAAACACCATGGATAATTGGTACGGGCGACAACATGTACGATTTCGTGTACATCACAAACATTGCAGACGCCCATCTTCTCGCACTTGAGAACCTCCTCTCCACCAAGCCTTTTCCCGAGTCTGCAGCTGGCCATGCAATTTTCGTGTCCAATCAACAACCTGTGTACTTCCGCGACTTCATGCTGGCTATCTGGAAACATTTTGGCCATGTTCCGCCATTTCAATTTGTCGTGCCTACGCCTCTGGCCTGGGTTGCTGGGCTGTTCGCCGAAATGAAGACATGGGTTTCAGGAGCAAAGGAGAGTACATTAAGTCGAGGGAGTGTCAGGGATGCTGTAGGGACCAGATATGCCAGTAACGAAAAGGCGAGACGGGTCTTGGGCTACTACCCCCGAGTTGACTTTGTGGATGCTGTGAGGTTGGCTTGCGAGGTGAGTATACCCAAATGTTGCTGCTTTGACCAAAGGAAATATCTAACTCGGATATAGGACCACGAACGTATCTTGGCGGAGAAGGAGAAGAAGAGTGGTGGTAAGGGTGTCAAGGCTGGCTAGATTGAAGTGCTGAGCGGGCTACCTCGAAACTGTCTCATAATACTCACAACAAAGAAATATCAGAATGAAATGATTCGAGTTAGGTTTATGACATGTAAAATGCGCGCGGTAGTCTTCGGATTCGAGTAGGCACGATCGGGCTGTGGGTGGAGATGAAAGGGAAGGTGCGAATCGCTGCTTCCTTCCCTCATGCCTCATAGCAACGCAAATCCATCGCCATTTCCTCGACGCCGAACCAAAAACAAACATCAACTTCCCACATACTCTTCATCCGTCTGCATCATCGCCAACACATCCTCCATCATCAAACAACTGCGAAGCCTTCAGCGACGGTGCAACCACGCGACACACCGCTTTACTCTGCCTTCCTTAAGGGGATCGAGAGACCCAAAAGACCTTCGCACTCGCATCCCTCTGTTTGTCCATGCTGCCGCGCTGGATATTCAAGTCTGCTTTTGCGTCGTGAGTCATGGGTTGCAAACGTGTAGAAGCGGGTTTCCCGGGCCTGATGTGTGAACGACCGTTTGAGATGGTGAGTGTGTTGGTGGTGATGGATATGGACGGTTTATGTGTGAGGTTTGTGGTTTGTTGACGATACCTGGCTGACCATCATGACTTTGAGGCTACAGTCCGTCGATCTCATCGTCTCGAGGTCTTTGTCTTGTCATCTTGTTCGGCCCACAGGATGACACCTCTGACAACGTCGAGCCTCCGTATATGATCGATCTCTGGATCCACAATTCTTGCTATCATAAAGAGGAGGACGGATGTTTACCTAGTATACCAGATCAGTCTCTTGTCTACCATGTAGACCCGTCCTTCCGAATCCCGCCCAATGTTGCATGGCCCAATGGACTTGGAGTCTAACGATCTTGCCCTGGGGTATCTTACTCCCTACTTGGGAGCAGTTAGCTGAAGGCATAATGGTGCTGGGCCTGCGCATCTTGCCCTGCATACTAGACGTGTCTTCAGGATCTAAGTTATGCTTGGTCAGACTTGATCTTTGACGACGTTCCATCAGAGACAAGTTCATCGCCCTCTGAAACTTCTCGATTGTCGAAGAAGGCCTCGTATAATTTATTCCGGAGACCTCGGAACCACAGCAGTGAGAACCACGCTCGACGATGGTTTCAGAGCGTGTCTTCGTAACTATCACCCCCACGGCTGTCGTCATCAAGCCTTGTCTGTACGGGAGCTGTTTGCAGCTCATCTAGTCCTCTCGGGTCCTAGAAGAGGGTAGAACCTGTCTATCCAGGTGCGAAGTGATCGATGCCTTATGAGGCGAGATCATGCTTAGCTTACAAAGCACATCGCTCGTGCCACTAGCAGGGCCTGTTCAACAAGTATTTTTAGAGGGCGACGGTGTGATTCATGATCATGAGACTAGGTGGCTGTGTAGCAATGCTCCGGCGTGAGGTTATATAAGATTGTGCCACATTACTGGTGGTCTTGGGGACATACCGAAGCTGTCCGCGCTGAGACTAGTAATCGAGCTTGACAGGTTGCTGACATGAAATACTACAACCCATGTTGGATCACGAGGTAGAGCACAACACTGACGACATACAGCGACAAGATCTCGTCAACTGCGACTCAAATGGTATAGATCCACCAAGATCGGATCAGAAAAGTCTATCTATCAGCTGTGAGATAGAGTATGCATGGTAGAGGCTTTAAAGAGAGGTTGAAGAGAAGAGCGTTATGTTGGGTAGCTTAGTCTAGGAGATCCTTTAGAACATCAAGTAATGAACACATGCATCCAGTTTCTGCTCAAGGGTCTGCCTGGTCAGTGAGTAGATATTGTTGAACGATGCTTTCGTCTTCGCGAAGAGGATGCTGGAATCATTTTTTCTCGTAGTCATTTCTCATTAAGGTATCTTGTGCTATCTCATATGCAATCGACCTAACTTCTGAGCGGCAGTATATGCTGAGCCATAACAGCCTGTCTACACAACGGGCATTCAGGCTTCTCCCTCACCCAGTCTGCGATACAGGTCCAGCAAAATACATGACCGCAGGTAGTGGTACTGGGATCACGCATAGGTTCCAGACATAGCGTGCACTTCCTCTGTTGACTGCTTTCTATCCACCCGAGCTTTTCTTCGTCTTCGAGGTTGATGATAGCAGCTTCCGAGTCTGATGGCGGCAAGGGAGTATGTGTCATTCTAGAGATCTTGCTGTGTAGACTTGAGGTGTTGTGCTGAGCAGCGCCATCTTCGAACAGCAGAGCGTTGTTTGAGCTGTAGGCATTTGGGTCTAGCGAGACTTCAACGCCATTGTCAAGCACGGCGCTTCCTCCGCTCAGACTTGCGGCATTGCTGACGGCAGGAACGGAAGAGTAAGTTTCGTGGGCGTGAAGATACGCTTGTACACCGAGTTGTAGAACCAATAGCACGCCGAGGACTTCGTAACCGATACGTTGCTCGCTGGGATCAAGACGTCTAGTGAAGATGTACCGCAGGCCGCTTAGACGCTTTGCGAGATGGTAGTAAGCACCGGTGAAATAGAAGGCCGTCAGACTAAGAGCGTGTATCGGTGAAGGAGAGGTGATTGTATCGAGGTTCCGAAGAATGTAAGATTGTAGGTTGGTCACCCACGAGGACGACTGGTCGGGCTTACTGTTTCGTCGCCGCAGAGACGCCTCTAACTTTGCGCGCAACTTCCTTCGAAAGGCTGGTAGAATCCTAGTGAGACCGTATGGCAGTAGGACGCTCGCAAGTATGTATCCTCCTCTTCTGTATGCGCTCGGAAGGCGCAGCGTGTCATCTTCGACCTGAACAATGTCGCAGTACTCCTCGCCCAATGTGCGGTTACCAGCCAGAGTGGTCAAAGATAAGTACAGTAGGTCGGCGAAGGTGCGCGTGCCTGTCATGTGTGTCTGAGCAAAGCGAGCGCCATAGAGGTTCCGGAGCACGGAAGAGAGGCGCTCTAGTAAGACGCCCTGGAAGTAGGCATCCTTTTGATGTGAGCGGATGATGTCTGGCGCTGAGGCAAACGGATACTGGAACGAAGATTCGTTGGCATTAGGAGCTCGATCATAGACTAAGTCGGACATCGTGTTCGCAGATGGATAAGCTATGTGCAATTGAAGCTGAGTAGTAGAATGCGGGATACGCTGGATACGGTGGCCGGCCGAGGCATTATCGGACTTTTCGGTAACCGACGACCACTCGCGACAAGTGCTGTCAAGATTGCCCTACCTTCTTCAGCCTCTGATATGCAATTGTGTTGAGATCGAGCCTCCAGAATCTCTATCTCTAGTGCAGTAGAGAGCGTGTAGTCAAGTTACTGATTGATCCTTGTTGCAAGAGTCGACAGTGGAATTGGTTGCTTGAACTCAGTCAGTCTGCTCTACGGACTACGGAATCTCGGCTTTCGGCACAATCGCCAAATAGGGCAGGTCAGTTATGAAGATATGATTGGTGCAGGTTGCAGGAGTTGCTTCTTTTATCGTTCAGCTTGGAACTGTTGAATCCTCTTCGTATCCATATTCTTCAAGTGCTGACGGTCAGAAGTTTCGTGCTTTGATCGATTTGCAAGGAGAGACGACGGTCATCAGTGTCACGGCGCAACAATAAGCCGGCTGCAAATGACTCTTGAGGCAAGGACAAGCGGAGACAAGCCTTAAGAGGCTGAACCTTGTTGCAGAGTCTGCATCACAGATCTGCCGTATTTTTGTTTATCTGCATCGGAAAATGTGGAGGAAGGCGTTTCGCCGACCGGCCGACTTTTGGGCCAGTTGGCAGCTCATCCTAGAGAACGTTGGAATGCTTACCAATACGATTTTGGCCGCAGTTTGAACACCCAACAACCGCAATCCAAGACTTGTGGGCATGATAAGCTCATTGAAACATAGGTAGACTGAGGATGATAACAAACGGTTGATTTGACTATCAGGCATCGTGCGTAGCGGCCACGAGTAACAATGTATGGTTCTATGTTGTTCCATGTGCAGTGGTGCATGCAAGTAGCGTGGGCGAATTAATGTTCGCTATTAAAAAAGCCTATGTCCGCTAGCGTATCGCCTCCATCGAAGATGCATCAAAGACGGCACAAGCGGAGGCCGACTCGGGACGATACAGACATGGAGGCGTCATGAACAATGATTAGTTGCTGCCTGTCGCCCAGTATGTTATCGTTGTCGTTCGCTCTTCACCCTGAACCCGCCTCCTACCAAGTTTGAGCCTGTGATCCCTAGTACTTCTCCCGGAAATGTCAGCCCCAGTGCCAGACACGGTCTGGACATCGGGCGACGCCAACAACCCACCCCCGGCTGCCGACACTGCACAACATGGATCTGTGGCCACCGAGCCTTTGGAAAGAGTCGGCACATCCAAGGAACTGAACGACGAGAAAGTCCTAGATAGGGAATACGTACAACAAAAGGAAGCCGAGAAACACGATGCAGAGAAACATGGTCGCTCTCCACTGGACCGTCACCAGAGTGACTGGACGTCTTCCTCGAGCAGCAATGAGACGCCGGACGACAAGAGTGAGAGGAGCATAGATCAAGAAAAGCAGACGTGGAGCGAGAAAATAAATCCATTCAAAAGCAAACACAAGCCGCCGATACCCACCGAACAGGGAGAGTCGAGAGAATACAAAGCCAATTTCTTCAGTCACCTCACCTTCCAATGGATGGCACCCATTATGAACGTTGGATATCAAAGACCCCTTGAACTTAACGATCTATGGAAAGTCAACCCGGACCGCAGCGTAGATGTCTTATCTGCAAGACTGAAGGCCGCCTTCAAGAAGAGAGTCGACAACGGAACCGAGAACCCCCTGAAGTGGGCTCTTTACGATACCTTCCGAAATGAGTTCTTACTGGGAGGGTTATGTGAACTCATCGCCGCCGTCGTCCAGGTTTTGGCTCCATTTGTTCTCCGTTATCTAATCAACTTTGCTACCGATGTCTGGATAGCTGAGAGAAGAGGAACACCCAAACCTGATGTTGGCCATGGTATCGGTTTGGTAATTGCAGTTACCGCTTTACAGATGATTCAGAGTGTTTGCACAAATCATTTCTTGTATCGAGGTATGACCGTTGGTGGTCAAGCTCGAGCTGTCACGATCGCTGTCATCTTCGAGAAGGCCATGAAACTATCTGGAAGAGCAAGAGCTGGAGGCAAATCAAGCACTGCGCCTGTTGGTCTTCCCCCTGGTATCACCCCTGGTAGTAAGGAGGAAAAGAAATGGCTGAAAGCAAAGCTTAAGAAGGATAAGTCAAGTTCGAAAGACAAANAAGGAGTTTCTGGCAGCGGAGAAGGCTGGTCAAACGGCAGGATCGTCAATCTTATGTCTACCGACACCTATCGCATTGATCAAGCTTCTGGAATGTTCCACATGATTTGGGCTTCACCAATCTCTATTGTTTTGACCCTCGTCCTGCTTCTTATCAACATCAACTACAGTGCACTGGCTGGATTCGGACTCCTCATTGTGGCCATGCCCCTGCTTGGTCGATCAATCAAAAGCTTGTTCGTTCGCAGAAAGGCCATCAACAAAGTCACTGATCAGAGAGTTGGTCTCACTCAGGAGATTTTGGCTGGTGTGAGATTCGTCAAATACTTTGGGTGGGAGAGCAGTTTCCTTGACCGCCTGAAGGAGATCCGACGTAGAGAAATTGGCAAGATTCAGTTCTTGTTGAACATTCGTAACGGCATTATGGCTGTCTCCATGTCTATGCCCGTATTCGCTTCTATGTTGGCCTTCATCACCTACAGTCTTACAGACCACAACCTTCAGGCAGGAAAAATCTTCTCATCTTTGGCTCTTTTCAATGGTCTCAGATTGCCGCTCAACTTACTGCCTCTCGTAATTGGCCAGACTGTCGACGCTAGTGCATCGATTCGCAGAATTGAAGAGTTCTTGCTGGCCGAAGAAGCACTGGACGAAGCCGCTTGGGATTACGAAGGCAAGGATGCCATTGTCATGAAGAACGCTAATTTCACTTGGGAAAGAACTCCCACTCAGGAGACAGAAAAGAAGCCAGTTGGAGCTCCCGGATCTAAAGAAGCGAAGGCTGCCAGGAAAGCTGACAAGAAGGCTGACNCAGAAGGCCGAAAAACAAGCGAAGAAGGATGCAAAGAAGGCCACCAAAGAGGCATTGAAGAACGCCAAAAGGGCGGTGATCTCGAGGCTTCTGACAGCAGCACCACCTTGGCTGAAGATAGCGAACATCCCTTCGAGGTCAAGGGCCTCAACCTCTCGATTGGCCGCGATGAACTTGTCGCAGTCATCGGAAGTGTTGGTTCTGGCAAGACTTCGATCCTGGCTGCACTTGGAGGAGAAATGCGCAGGACTGCAGGCGAGGTTACCTTCGGAGCTTCACGATCTTACTGTCCTCAGTATGCCTGGATTCAAAATGCCACTGTCAAGGAGAACATCACTTTTGGAAAGCCATTCGATCAGGATTGGTATGACGCCGTGGTGGATGCTTGCGCTCTGAGACCCGATCTCGATATGCTTCCTAACGGTGATCTTACTGAGATTGGAGNNAGGGGTATCACTGTATCTGGCGGTCAGAAACAACGTCTAAACATTGCAAGAGCCATTTACTTCCNNAATGCCGACATCGTCCTTATGGATGACCCGCTTTCGGCTGTTGACGCTCATGTTGGACGACACATTATGGACAATGCTATCTGTGGACTTCTCAAAAACAAGGCTCGTGTTCTTGCTACTCACCAACTTCACGTTCTACACCGTTGCGACCGCATCATCTGGGTTCAAGACGGTACTGCATACAAGATCGACACCTTCGATAACCTTATGGCGACCGACGCAGATTTCCAGAAGCTCATGGCTACTACTGCTAAAGAGGAAAAGAAGGAAGATGAAGATGAAGAGGTCGATGGTGATGAGGTCGAGGAAGAGAAGAAGGACGTCAAGAAGACAAGTGGTGGTAAGAAGCCAGCCGCAGCACTCATGCAGGTCGAAGAACGTGCCGTCAAGAGTGTCTCGTTTGGTATTTACAAGGCTTACATCAAGGCTTCTGGTTCTCTTGCTGTTGCACCTCTGATCCTTCTGACCCTCATTTTGTCGCAGGGCGCCAACATTTCAACCAGTCTGTGGTTGTCATGGTGGACTTCGAACAAGTTCGGCTACAGCAAAGGAGAATACATTGGAGTCTACGCCGCGCTCGGTGTATCGCAGGCTATACTCATGTTCGCATTCTCCAGCACGCTGACCATCTGTGGTACTCGAGCCAGTGCAACTCTACTTCACAATGCAGTCACTCGAGTTCTTCGCGCACCAATGTCATTCTTCGACACGACACCGCTTGGACGCATTACCAACCGCTTCTCCAAGGATGTTGACACCATGGACAACGCCTTGACCGATGCTTTCCGCATGTTCTTCATGACAATGGCGCAGATCATCGCCGTCTTCATCCTGATCATTGCCTATTACTACTACTTCGCTGCTGCTCTGGGTCCTCTGTTCATTATGTTCTTATTCGCCGCAAGCTACTATCGCTCTTCAGCACGTGAGATCAAGCGCCACGAAGCCGTCCTTCGTAGCAGTGTTTTCTCTCGCTTTAGTGAAGCAGTGTCTGGTGTCGCGACCATTCGTGCTTACGGACTGCAGGACCAGTTCTCGAGATCCGTGCGTGATGCAATCGACAACATGAACTCTGCCTACTATCTCACCTTCTCGAACCAACGCTGGCTTTCTGTACGTCTTGACGCTATCGGTACTCTTCTCGTCTTTGTCACTGGTATTCTGGTTGTCACTGCCAGTTTCTCTGTCAACCCCAGCAGTGGTGGTCTGGTTCTGTCATACATTCTCTCAGTCGTGCAGATGATTCAGTTCACTGTCCGCCAACTTGCTGAAGTCGAAAACAACATGAACTCTACCGAGCGTATCTACTACTACGGCAACAATCTCGAGGAGGAAGCTCCTCTTCACACAGTCGAGGTTCGTCCCTCGTGGCCTGAGAAGGGAGAGATTGTCTTTGACAATGTTCAAATGCGTTACCGTGCAGGTCTTCCTCTTGTTCTCAAAGGCCTGAACATGCACGTTAACGCAGGTGAACGTATTGGTGTTGTTGGCCGTACTGGTGCTGGAAAGTCTACCATCATGTCCACTCTCTTCCGTCTTGTGGAGCTCAGTGGCGGAAGCATTACAGTCGATGGTCTCGACATTGCCAAGATTGGTCTCAGAGATTTGCGATCACGTCTTTCAATCATTCCACAGGACCCTACTCTGTTCAAGGGTACTATTCGCAGTAACCTCGACCCTTTCAATGAACACACAGACATGGCACTGTGGGGTGCACTTCGTCAAGCCGATCTAGTTGGCGAGGAGCAAGACATCACCGATTCATCCTCTCGTATCCATCTCGATGCGCCTGTTGAGGAAGAAGGTTTGAACTTCTCCCTTGGTCAACGACAACTCATGGCTCTGGCCCGTGCTCTTGTACGTGGCAGCCGTATCATTGTCTGTGATGAAGCAACCTCCTCGGTCGACTTCGACACCGACCAGAAAATTCAGCGCACGATTGTCAAGGGTTTCCAAGGCAAGACCCTTCTGTGTATTGCTCATCGTCTGAAGACCATCATTGGATACGATCGTATTTGTGTCATGGATCAGGGACAGATCGCCGAGCTCGATCGACCCATTACCCTCTACGACCAGGGAGGTATTTTCCGCAGCATGTGTGACCGCAGCGGCATTCGCAGGGAAGACTTCTTCGCCAGCGCTGAAGCCAACTTCAGCGAGTGATTAATATCAACATAGTCTTTGTGTTTTTGTTTATTCCTTGCATGGATTGCATAGATGCGTACATGAAGAAGGCGTTCCTGGCGAAAAGCATTTGGCTTTCTGACGTTGTTTCTGGTGTATATACGAAGACCTATGAATATTTTTACTTTCTCACCATTGCTCTGCCAGAGACGAACCTGTCGGACTTTCAGACTGCTCACGCGTGACAAGGTTGAGGCCCAGCATGGTGTAGTGGCAGGTGTGAGAGAAAGACGATTGATTACTAGTATTTAGCAAAGGATATGTTTAACAAAGATGTCAATATTTTGTATTGTGCATCTGACTCCTATGTCGTCGTAACGACAGACATGTTTGGTGTTTATTTGGAGGCTGAGTCATGTATTTCAAAGAACCCATTCAGAAAGGAAATACGAGTGAAAAGGTCAAAGTCTCACACTTTGCCCCCTTGCAGGCAGCAGAAAAGATAGCAAGAGAAGATTGTGGAAGCAGTGAGATTGTGATTGGAGAGGCAACGACGCTAGACAGTGCAGGGTCTCGTCGACGCGCGCCAAGAAATGACTGAATGGCAGCCGTGGCGGGATTCAGAGAATTCGTCGGCGAGAGCCTTCACATCTTGGACTTGTTCACTCTCTTCTACAACACAAGAAACCTCACTCGTAAAAGTTCTGTTGTTTTCTTATTTGCTTTGTCGTCTGTGCAGCTGTTTTCCTGCGCATCCGATATAAGATTTCTGGTCCATCACTCGCCAGACTCGTTTCATATAATCAACCACGCCCCTTCGACTTTTTCGGTCATCCCACGCCGTATCCCAACAATCGACATCTCATAACACGACCACTTTTCAATCCCGAAAACCAATATTGCAAATATGGCCGACCAACTCAACATGGGCAACCTCTCGCTGAGCGAGTCTCAGCACGCCCCTAGACAAAATGGCAACGGTGGTTTCGTCCGCTCTGCCTACATCCCCCCTCACGCCAGAGGTAGCGCCAGAGGGCCCGCTCCTGGCATGGACGGTGCTCCTCCCATGAACGGTCACTTCGACGGCCCCAGGTGAGCCTGCTCGCACCTCTTTGCAAATGTACATTTGACTGACGAAATTTTCAGACCCGGCTACGGTGCTGGTCGCGGCGGCGGCGGCTGGGGTGGTGCTCCCACTTTCACTCCCAGAGGCGGCAACGGCGGTTTCGACAGAAACGCCTACGGTAACNCCGGTCACGGCGGCCAACAAGCCCGTGGTTCTGGTGACGGTCAGTGGAAGGACGGCAAGCACATCCCTGGTCCTTCCAACCCCCGTGTCGAGCGCGAGCTTTTCGGCATTCCCAACGACCCCAACGTCCAGCACAGCGGTATCAACTTTGAGAAGTACGACGACATCCCCGTCGAGGCCAGCGGTCAAGGCGTTCCCGAGCCCGTTACCACCTTCGCCAACCCTCCTCTCGATGACCACCTTATCAGCAACATCGAGCTTTCCGGTTACAAGGTCCCTACTCCCGTCCAGAAGTACTCGATCCCTATTGTCATGGGCGGCCGTGATTTGATGGCTTGTGCCCAGACTGGTTCCGGAAAGACTGGTGGTTTCCTCTTCCCTATTCTCGCTCAGGCCTTCCAGAACGGCCCCAGCGCCACCCCTGCCCAGACTGGTATGGCCCGCCAGCGCAAGGCTTACCCTACCTCGCTCATCCTCGCCCCTACCCGTGAGCTTGTCTCCCAGATCTACGATGAGGCCCGCAAGTTCTCTTACCGCTCATGGGTCCGCCCTTGTGTCGTCTACGGTGGTGCCGACATTGGTCACCAGCTCCGCCAGATCGAGCGTGGCTGCGATCTCCTTGTTGCCACCCCTGGTCGTCTTGTTGACCTCATAGAACGCGGTCGCATCTCGCTCCAGAACATCAAGTACCTCGTTCTCGACGAGGCTGACCGCATGTTGGACATGGGTTTCGAGCCCCAGATTCGCCGCATTGTTGAGGGTGAGGACATGCCTCCTACCGCTGGCCGTCAAACTCTCATGTTCTCGGCCACCTTCNCCCGTGACATCCAGCTGCTGGCCCGTGACTTCCTCAAGGAGTATATCTTCCTCTCTGTCGGTCGTGTCGGTTCCACCTCTGAGAACATCACCCAGAAGATTGAGTACGTCGAGGACGTTGACAAGCGCTCTGTCCTGCTCGATATCCTCCACACCCACGGCGCTGGTCTTACTTTGATCTTCGTCGAGACTAAGCGCATGGCTGACTCGCTTTCCGACTTCCTCATCAACCAGGGCTTCCCTGCTACCTCGATTCACGGTGACCGCACTCAGCGCGAGCGTGAACGTGCTCTCGAGATGTTCCGCTCTGCTCGTTGCCCCATCCTCGTTGCCACTGCTGTCGCAGCCCGTGGTCTCGATATCCCCAACGTCAAGCACGTCGTCAACTACGATCTCCCTACCGACATTGACGACTATGTTCACCGTATCGGTCGTACTGGTCGTGCCGGAAACACTGGTGTCGCCACTGCATTCTTCAACCGCGGCAATAGAGGTGTCGTTCGTGACCTTCTCGAGCTTCTCAAGGAGGCCAACCAGGAGGTTCCTGCTTTCCTCGAGACTGTCGCTCGTGAGGGCAGTGGCTTCGGTGGTGGCCGCGGTGGTCGCGGCGGTGGTCGTGGCCGTGGTGCTACTGCTACTCGTGATGTCCGTAGCTTCGGCGGCGGCTCGCGTCCCGCTTACGCTGGCTCTCAGTGGGGCGGCAGCGGTGGTGGCTTCGGCGGCGCTGGTGGCGCTGGTTACGGCGGCGGCATGGGCGGTGGTTACGGTGGTGGCATGGGTGGCAGCTACGGCAACCCCTCTGGTCCCTCCGGCCCTGGTGCCAACTCTTGGTGGTAGACTCCCCAAGCGCGCTAATGACCGACTTGCATTCTTCGGTCAACTGACCACTGGTCATGTTTTTTCCTTCAGTTCTTCATTCTAGCTTTCTCGTTTCGCGGTCCTTCTCTGGACGTCAGAACACCTACGGATCGATGGACGCGGTCCTTGCTCATACCCTCAGTCAGCATGATAGACAGCGTTGATTTTTCTTCATTCTCAGCACGGAGACGGCGCTCATCACGGTTTACGACTTTCTTCACGGCCTTAAGCGTTCTTACATGGCAACGCTTGATGCATTCGACGAGCGTGGTATCCGGTCTGGGCAGATGAGACTTCCAGAGGATTCGGACATCTTTCGATACCAGTTGTGTTTTACAGTTTTCCTTTTTCTCTTTCAAATAATGATCCTGGCATTTCATGGCATCACGAGGCTCTAGGGCATCTGGAAAGGCGTTCTCATGGGACGCTGAGCCAGGCTGGGCTTCCAACGATGTTACGGCTGTCGCACATGGCATGGGCAGCTTTCTTTTTTCGCTTTCGGATGGATACCCCAAACTTTATAGACTTTTTTCATCTGGAGGCAGGAAGAAATAGGCATGGCAAAATGGCTGCCTGCAAGGGGATATGCTGGTCGGCAGGATCAACCCCAAAAAAAGTTACTTTTATCTCTCTTCCTTTGTGTTTCGAGCCTTCAATATAGATGCGCAAATTAAGGCATTTCTTTGAGCTTGCATATTGTGTGACGGTCCTGAATGTTGCTTTTGAACAAAGCTACGACTAATGGCTGTGCAAGGTGAGTTGTGTTGCATCGAGTCTTACAGTGAAGTTGTCATGTGTCAATGGTATGGCAAGATTCAAAGAGGCATGTGGTGGTTCGAAGCTTCCCCAGACGCTCCGCGTCGTCACAGGGAAACCACGACGGGAGCAGCCGCTCTGTAGGTGTGGGCAGGAGCGTGATGAAAGGGAATCTGTTCTTCCCATCCTCAATCTCACAAGAGACATCAAACACCAGTGCGCCATGGTGGAGCAGGACTCTCGCAGCAGTTTGCGACACATCCTGGCCGACGAGCCAGCTGGACCGCTATCACGACCAGCACCACCAGCGACACCAGCACCGGCATCAGCAATACGAGCCACATCAAGCGCAGCTACAGGCGACCGCGACCCATCACCCGCACCCAAGGCCGACAAGGACGAGGAGAACGAAGCAGAGACGCCGCTATATACATCGACGACGCAGACGACGCGGCGCAATGCAAATGGCAGCGTGTCATCGGTCTATTCAGGAAACAAGATCCGCCATCTGAAGAAGGAGGACGGTGTACCGCTATGGCGCAAGGACATCCAGTACGACTTTCTCGACATCGTCTTCAAGGATGATCACCGCGTCTTTACTCGCTACTCGGACAACGAGAAGGGCCACACGTTCGCCGAGATCTACGTCGATGCCATGGCAAAGAGCAGTAAATGCAGCAAGATCCTCAAGGAAAAGCTCAAGGAAGACTTCGAATCGGCCATCACCATGGCTATGGTTTGCCTGCTCGTCAACGTCGGCCGCATGAACACAACCTTGAACTTCTTCCCTGAGATGCGCGCCCAATTGCGTACCTACCACTCCATTCCAGCCTTACAAGCACACCAAGACCCGAACGCCTACAAGCAACTACAAGACGCGCCACGCTTGAAGTCCATCCTCAAGGGCGCCACTGAGGACACGCCACAGCCAGGTACAATTGAAGACATTCGACAAGCTTCCATACCGCGAACCAACCCTGTCAACCTGATCTTCGTCCTGTCGCAGTATGCTCCCAAGATATCAGAACTGCACTTTAACCATCCTCGCGACTTCTTCGACCTCGTAATGCGACCTAGCTTGAGTAGCAGAAGCAGAGCAACCGCCTTTCTCTGGCTTATGTGGTGGTACCTCGAAAGCGATTTCTCCAATGAATCTGCTCTCAGCAATCCCTTTGGGGCAGGCTGTGAGCCAGAAGGTGGCGGTCTGCCGATCAAGGTTCCGCCGCTTGAGAGCTTGACCGAGGAGCAGGCTGCTCTAGAGAACGTTGACAGTCAAGAAGAGAAGGATTACGGAGAACAGAAGCGCAAGGAACGTATTGCAATCGTGGCAAGCGAGCCGAGCCCTGCTATGACGGCACTGAAACGCGCCAGGAAAGGTATGTTGCCCTGGTACTACTAATGGCTAAACACTAACTTGGGAGAACAANAAGAACGCAGTCTGTTTGCGGCTGGTCTTGGTGATGCCAATTCGGATGCTGGGACCAAGACCCCCAGCCGCGACTTTGATTCACCTGCACCTCATGGTTCGATACCCTCTCGACCGGCTTCTGTATCAACAACTGACCATCACCCAGACTCGTTGCGTAGGACATACGCTGGCAGCGACTACACACGTTCTCCTACACCTCCCACAAGCTCTTTCCAGGCTGTCAATACTGTCTCAAAACCAGCTGCAGCCAAATCATTCTTGACCGACATGGATGAAAAGGAACATGACAACCGACACTTGGCTTCACCTTCCATGGGCACGCCACAAGCTACAGCACTGCCCAAAAAAGGCGCTGGACGAGGTAACCGGAACACCAACATACATCATCCTTTTCTGCTTCCCAATCCTGTTCACACATCCCCTTCTGCCCCCCAAACCGTGCCGGATGGCGTATACCTGCAACCCCAACGAGCCCACGTCCCGACACCTTCGTACCAATCCCAGACACGGAACCGTCCGCTGACATCACACCAAAAAGCAGTCAGCGATTACCGCCGTGTGCGAATCAATCAGATCCTTGATACCGGTATAAGGCGACGTCACATAGCAGCCAAGCGTCAACGTCAAGAAGAGGGCATACTACTACGGGCTTGGAAACGTATTCGCATGTTGCCTTCCGGCTGGGACAGTGAGGACGAAGGTACTGCCGACAAAGGTAAAGAAGACGCCAAAGACAAGGACAAAGATGATGGTGGCACTGGTAAAGGAAGATCAAGAGAGGATGAGAAGGCTGCAGCTGCACTTCGCCGTGCTGCTGCTGGTGTCCGCATACTTGGAGGCTTTGCCCTACCACTCACGGACAAGGAACTTGAACAAGAGAAGCAACGACCGTTGAACAGCATTGCCAATATTGCAAGAGATGACGTTGGTGAAGAGGCACTGTATTTCTCTCGAGCCTTTTCACTTGGCATGGTCTCACTCGATCGCGAAGAGAACGCAGACCTCGAGGGTAGTCTGTTACTTGCGTCACCACCACTCAAGCCTGTTGACGACATGGAAGACGAACGAGAATTGCAAGCCATGGATGAACTAGCTGCTACGATCGTCAAACCTAGACAAGGCAGGAAGAGTCGTGGTGGAGGTGGCGGAGCAAGTAGAAAATCCAAGGGCGGTGCGAGTAAGCTGGCGGAAGAGGCAAAGGACGGAACACCAGACGCCTCAAGACTCTCCACCGCACGAGCCGATGAAGCAGAAGATGAGGATATGCATGACGAGGGCAATGTCACCGTTGGCCCAAGTGCAGAACTGGACGACGACGAAAGGGAACTGCTCGGCGAGGCGGACACGGAAGACGAAGAGGAAGACGAGGATAACATGGACGAGGACTGATGAGCATTGCATGAAGGTGTGTATGTTATTGTTTTGCTATGAGTTCTAGCTGCTAGCCACTCTGAGGTCGTCACCTCTGTAACACCACTATCAAATGTCGTTCTATGGCCGGACATTTCTCAGCCAGTTGGTCAAACCCTGCATTTTGCGAATTTGAAGTGAAGCTCGAGTGAAGGCTCGATCGTCCCTTCAACCACACTACATCGCGTGGGCTGACAACGCGCGTGTGGCTCGATCTGGTAGGAACGATTGCTCCTCGGCTTCATCTTCCCAATCACTGACTCTTGTCAACACTGACTCTGCGTCGTTCTTTCTTTCCCATCCAACATCCCCTCGCAAGTTTCAAATCGTCCTCACCCACACACTTGTCATCCATCGGCAAGCTCCATCATGTCTCTTAGTCCACAACCATCCATCACCGACGAAATCCCCGATCCTGCATCATCCACGATACGAGAGCGCACCTCATCTCAGGCTGTCTCGACCCTGTCCAAGAAACCCCAAAGGTAAGGCATGTGCATACGTATATGTTACAACTTTGCTAACGATCACCGAGCGAACATTTCGGGACTCTTGTCATCATCGAAGTTGGACCTCAGAAGAAAGCGTACTCTATCCACAAAGACTTGCTTTGCTTCTATTCGGACTACTTCCATCGTGCCTTTAATGGGTCCTTCAAGGAGGCGGTTGAGGGCAAACTATCACTTCCCGACGCAGACGCAGACCTCTTTTACATTGTCAACGGCTTTCTCTACACAAGACAGCTTCGTTCGCAGGACAATCAGACGGGTCCAGATCTTGGTTTTACGACGCTTGGTAACCTCTGGGGTTTCGGTGATCGATACCTGATGCCACTTCTTCAGAATACAGCTATGGATGCCTACATCAAGAGGGCATATACGTTGAAGGGAACTTTCTCTGCTCAATCAATAGCGCGGAGATACCGAGAAACCTTCCCGGGCTCACCATTGAGGAGGTTTCTTGTGGATTGGCAGGCTCACAAATCAGAACAATCCAGAGAAAAGCTTGGAAATTGGCCACAGGAAGCGGTGGTTGATCTCGCCATAGCCCTCTTCAGCATGAAGCCAGAACATCGGGGCATCAACAAGGTGCCAAATGATCGTGGCAAGTGCTACTATCACGTTCATGCCGAAGGAGACCATTGCTAGTGTTGCAGCAATCAAGAGTCACAATGATGAACAACGATCATGTTATATCGTGGGAGGCGATTCAGGAGCTGGAGAGGGGTTGTTAATCGACAAACATGTTAGCTCAGCAGACTAGCAAATGCACTTGTATTTTATGCTCCGATTCGAAAACATTCATCTGTATGCCCATCATGTTTCACTAGAATCATATTTGATTGGTGACGGCGAGATGATGTTGATTGTCCTTGTAGTCAGGGTGACCCTGTTCTTAGATGCAGGCACCAACATCGACGCCAACATCGTCTCGCCAATTCACGACCTTGCAACACATCAACACGTTCGAAAGATGACTCGATAGATCTTTGCGTACCTAAGAACATCGACCGCAATACTGACATTGAAGATGGCCACTTCTCCGGCAGCCATCGCAAATATACAAAAGAAAGTGTGGGCGGGTAGTTTACCGCTCGAGATCCGACTGGCGAGTGCAGACTGCAGAACCTACGATGAAACAGATCCATATCTGGTATGCTCCATCTGTCTGAAAGTTTCCAAGATAAACGAGAACCTACAAAGTACAATAAGAACCACATTTCCTGACCTCATGCACAGANTCAACCTCCCACGTCTATCCTACCTCGCCTTTCTACTGCCCCGTCTCCACGCCTTCTTCTCTCCTCAACTAATAGACCCGTCCATACCATTTCACAATGCTTGGCTGAGTTTTGAGAATGTGGCTTTGAAGTACCATTACCCAGTCGGCTTACTCTACGACCTGTTTTCTGGAGCCGCACCTTCGAATCCAGAAGATGATGGCACCGAAGATGTAACAGAGTTACTGCCTTGGAAATTGACGCTGAGGTATTCTGNNGAGTTTCCAGATGAGCAGTTGATGGGACTTGATGCAGAGGGAAAGGTGTTGAGGGATTGTTTTGTCAATGCGGTGAAAGAGGTGAGTTTCTCCTCCTTGTTGATTACGAGGATACGCTTGGCTAACATATAACAGGCAGATGTGATACGAAACGGCAAAGGAAACGTGTACATGGGTTTGAGCAAAGATGACTCTGATACATTGTGGCAAGCAGTGCAGGACCGTAAGTTGTATCTCNATTTTCTGTCTACTACAAACGTCACTTGACTAAGAGACAACACAGACAACCTTGCCAAATTCAACACGGTTCACAATAAGCTGCTCAATCCGCCTGGCACACCTCTCCGCAACATCCCAATCAAGATCTATCTTCCCACCACAGCACCGACATCGAGCTCTGGTAGTGGCGAAGCGGAAACAGCGCAGGCCAGTATAAGGACGGTGCAAGGTCTTATTGCTCCACTATCTGCAACGCGTAAGTCGAACACGATATTCATGCGCACTTTTGTTTCTGCTGCAACACGAGCTGATTGTTCTATATAACAGGCCNAGCCTAATACTCTTGGCATGGCGCTGAACGAGATACTGCCGACCGTGTTCCCTAGTAGGCGAAACCCGGTGCTGGCAGCACCTGTGTTGCATGGAGCGGTTGTGCCTATGAATGCACCTGTCGAGGAGCTCATGAGAGCTGCTGCATTCACGGATGGGTTCTTGCATGTTGTGGTTGTTATGCTGTGAAGGACAGATGATAAAAACGCAACGAGGACGAATGACTGAATGATACCCCTTGCAGCAGGCCCTTCTTGATTGCATTACTCGATACTCGTTGCATCAAATATACGTTACTTGACGTTTAGTCAGACCGTTGACTATGTCGTCCAATTCATCTCTCTTGCGTTTACGTTCCATGGCATCTTCTCCTACTTCGTCCTCGTAGTCTTCATCTTCGTCGTCAAGCGCATCTTCCCACGTGCGTGGTTTCCAGCAGCGAATAGTACCGTCAGAATGGCCCGAGTAGAGTTCAATGTTATGAGCTCGCCAGGCCAGACTTGTTGTCTTGTTGACAACGTTCCGTGTGCCTGATCCTGCTGCGACTTGTATACGTGCCGATGCGTATGAAGGGGTTCTCAGGCGGGTTATTAGTTTCCCAGTGTGCATCTCATACACGAGCAGCTCGCGTGGATTTGGGTAGACAAGAATTTCTTTCGTCGGACCAGTGAGATGAGTGGGACTGAGCAGAGGCAGCAGGGTGGATGTGGTGGAGCTCTTCACAGCAGGACCGAAATTGGTCAGGGTATTTGCACCCGTATTCGCGTTCCAGACACGGATCTTGTCATCTTGCCCACAGGAGACGAGGAAGTCTCCTGCTTCGTCCCATGTAATGCCGTTGACAGCACCGGCGTGAGCCTTGCCGCGCTCACGCCGCAATGTATTGCCATTGGCACCTACGCCCCTACTGTCTTCCATGTCGAGTACACCTAAACTACTTGCGCTGCGACGGATGTCCCAAAGGCGGACTAGACCATCGGAACCACCACTTGCTAGTACGTGTTCGCGTTTTGGATGCCAGGCGGTGGAGAGTACGGCACCACTGTGGCCGGCGAGTGAATGAGTACTGGCACCGGAGCGAAGATCGACGAGGCGCACGGCAGGGTGTTGTGTGGCACAGGCTACCAGCAGGTGTGAAGCAATGGGCGAGAGGGCGTGCGAATAGACGACGGCTTCGAGGTCGAAGGCAGCCGAGGTCTCGAGGGTCTCGGACGAATACAGCTTCAGCGAGTGATCATAACTGCTAGACAGGAAGGCCAGAGAGTCGAAGGGATAGAAGGAAACGTGGGTGATGCCAAAGTTTGCCGTTTTCGAAGTCTTGGGGGCATATGCGAGCGGCTGAATGAGCCGAGTCTCGTCGGACTGGCTCGTCGGCGTCTCGAGGTCCCAGATACCAATTGACGAGTCTGCACCGCCTGATAGAAGCCAGCGGCCTTCAAACTTGTCGACAGTAATACTATTCACGCCGGCCGGGTGTGCAACGCCATTCTGAAGGGCGTCTTGGTCGTTGTCCGTGTCCGGAGGGCTGATGGTCAGTGATACATGACTGGCTGGCTGAATGGAGTAGACAAGACGGGTGTTTTGCGACCGCGCAAGGGCGGCAGGGCTGACGCTACCAAGAGCGCGATTGAGTAAGAACGAGTTCATCCGGCGACTGATTCATCTTTGAACATGCTAGATCTTGCTTGATAGAGAAGGAGCAATCAACGAGCGTGACGTAGCATCGGAAATCGCGACTCGCAACCTCGCGCCAAGACATGTACTTTCCTCGACCATCCAAATTTGACACACGACCACAAACACAACTCTCTCTTGACACTGTGAAGCTCACGATGCGAACGGATATTCGTACGGAGCGTCTGGAGCGCTATAAGCATCCTGAAGACGCTGTTGAGCCCGACATCGTCGCTCGTAAACGCCGTAAGATCACTGTCTATGAAGCCGTCGCTGGTAAAGCTGGCTACGAATCTCTTCTCCCACCCGAGAAGCGAACTGCTACAAAGTACCGAGACACCCAGACGAATTCTTTGCAGTCTGTTCCACCAGACGAAGTCTTGTTTCGTCGTCAGGGAGCCCCTGAGCGATATGAAGAATCCGACGTCTATAAGGCTCCTGACCCAACCACTCCTTTACCAGATTCTGACCTACTCAAACTTCTTCACCGATATACATCCGATTTTTATTCCAAGGCTATTCCGGACAAGGGGCAGACTGACTTCAAATCACTGGATGAAACCGCTTTGCTCGCTTTGGGCATACTCCTGGAAGAGACAGCCGCCTTGCACCTCGGCGAAACTGGCCATTCTGCCTTTATCGAGGACGAGAATGAGGACACCATGACTGGTAAGCGGGAATACTGGGACGGTGCCACATGGGTCCGGAGTGTTATCGAGAAAAAGGCTGCCGGCACCTAAAATGTCCACCTCAGCTTCCTTGTGCGACAGTTTACACCCACACAACACATGTGACAAATACACTCATTGTACCCTTCTGGCTATCACAGTGACTACGACCTGTCACACAGCAGTCCTGACCCGTATCGAGATTTATCAAAAGCAATCTCTGGATCGTCGCTTTTGCCAATACATCCTTTGTGCGAATGGTCTCAAGACCAGTATCTCGCCACTGCTTGTACTGAGATCGGCAATACCGGGCCTTCGAGCCGTATGGCGAGCATCCATCACATGTCTGTCCCGCGAGCCATGTCTCCAGACTCGACCCATCTCGGGCGACCCCAGACCCCATAAAGCACCCCAAAGTCCTAGAATGGGCTCGATCGCGACGCTACTGCGACCCGGGGGATCTTGAAGAGATCCAACGGTCCAGCCTTCGCTTGAACCGCTCGTCTGCAGTGGAAATCTCCGGTGTGCTGCGATGATAGGTACTGCTTTAGCCGCCAGAAGCGCCAACAATAGCCTATCATGAGCGAGACGCTTGCCGTGCGTCGGACTCTGGCCAAACGACAATAGGAGAGAGATCTGAGCTGTTCTACGATTGGTCCCAGCTCTAACGTTGGTGCAGCTGCACACGTTGTTGTGTCTCTGTCTAAGGATGGAAATCTCAAGATGTGCTTCTGCATACAGAGTGCGCAAGCTGCAATACATGTCGATCATCATGCAACCTTGATAGATTTAGACATATCTTCAAGAGCAAGAAAGCACCGAGGCTTCCGACTGTTCTGGTCATATTATCTGTCATCTATGCACAACAAAACAAAATTGCGGTATATCGCCCTTTACTACGTTTTACGGATCCGTATCAGCGCTCTTTCCAAGAAGATCATTTGCTTGGCTTGGCCGACAAGAGGCTCTAGAAGAACAACACACACGCATAAAGAACAATTGGCTAAACACACTCGCTGGTGGCCTATCAACTTTCTTCTGTGCGGCTCCTTTTCGCGAAATGCTTACTTCTTTCCAAGCAGTCCTCTTGTCAATCTGCCTATACAAGTTAAACATACCACCTACGTCTACGACTACTTGTCGTCGTCACCGTTTGAAACCGAACATCAATAATGGCAACGCAAGGCGTGCCACGAAGCTTGTTCATGGCAAGTTTGGTGTTAGATGGGTGACCACCAGTATTGATCTGGTACAGGCAAAATACACCGGCTAAATACAAGGGCGTGTGATCAATGTAGCCTGTATAATCGACTATACCGCTTTTGGCTTTGTACCCTCCTTCTCCGGGCGTTCGTACGACTCTGTGTGGAGCTGTAGGAGGATAACCGCCCCTGCGTGCCGGATCACCATCTCCAGATTTCCTCCACATTTCGGAGCGATGATCTTTTTACTATGCGTGGAGTTCGACTCCATGCTGTATACCTCAATGTTCAATGATTGCTGAAATGCCGAAAACATTGCACTAAAGTACAAGCTCATGGCAATGGTTTCGCTTCCGTCTCTCAAGGCGCCACCGTCCGCTAGCCTCCTGGCAACCTAATAACGATGGCGATCCTTCGTATGGCTAGCCTAGTTCTGCAGGCGAGGCATCTTGGCTTCCAGGCCACAAACCACGCGATCACCCTTTCCCATTCATGCGGAGCCCCGCGTGGCTAAAGTACATCGTCTGTGGGGTAAACGAGAATCGATAGTGGCCAAGATCACTCTGGCCTCCCCCTTGTGCATGTGCCATGCCGCCGGGTCAACACAAGCGAGGTTTGGACGTCTTTGTCACCTCAGTATGGAGGTCTGCTGGTGGACGTGCCTGGCGGCTAAATGAGATGGCATCCTTTGTGCTGTAACTCTCATTTGAGATATATATCTTCATTGTCCTCACCCCATAACTTGATCAGCCAGGCACTCGACTCCACTGTCTCTCGGGCATCAATTGCACTCGCTGATCTTTTCTCTCTTTCTATATCCAACAATCGTTCTTTGTAACACCGAGTCGACATGGAGGCCGCAACCAAAGGCTACTTCCGCCTTGCGGGACAAGAGTTCCCCAAGGTCAACTGGCTCACTGACCCTGGTTTGAGAAGGACTTACATCTGCTTGATGTTCGTCGTGATCACCAGTGCCACCAACGGTTACGATGGCTCCATGATGAACGGTCTGCAGGCGCTCACGATCTGGCAAGATGGTATGTTCGTATGCACATAGAATTCGGATCACATGCTTACCGATATCANNGACTTCAACCACCCTTCTGCATCATCTCTGGGCTTGCTCAATGCCATTATGTCCGTCGGTTCTCTGGTCGCTCTTCCCGTTGTCCCCTACCTCGCTGATGGTCTTGGTCGCCGCGCTGGTATCCTCACTGGTTGTATCATCATGATTATCGGAGTCGTCCTCCAGTCTGCTGCCATGAAGTTTGGCATGTTCGTCGGTGCTCGTTTCCTCATCGGATTTGGTGTTGCTATCGCTCACGGTGCATCGCCTCTGCTTCTTACAGAGCTCACTCACCCTCAACACCGTGCTTTGTTCACATCGATCTACAACACCACTTGGTACCTTGGTTCGATCGTCGCTGCATGGCTTACCTTCGGAACCTTCCACATCCACAACCACTGGGCCTGGAGAATTCCCTCGATTGTGCAAGCCTTCCCCTCGGTTCTGCAGCTCATCTTCATCTGGTTCGTTCCTGAGTCTCCCAGATTCCTGATCTCTAAGGGCAAGGTCGAGCAAGCACACAAAGTTTTGGCTGATGTCCACGCCAATGGAAACCTCGATGACGAGGTCGTCATGCTCGAGATGGCCGAAATCAGAGACACCATCAAGATGGAGCAGGAGTTCGAGGGCAATGGTTGGGCTGAGCTGTTCAAGACCCCCGGTAACCGCCACCGTCTGATCATTCTCTGCTCGGTCGGTTTCTTCTCTCAGTGGTCAGGCAACGGACTTGTCTCTTACTACCTCACTCTTGTCCTTGACCAGATCGGTATCACCGACACCAACACCCAGCTTGTCATCAACGGTGTCTTGCAGATCGTCAACTGTATCGTTGCTGTCGGCCAGTGTTTCTTCGTCGACAAGATTGGTCGTCGCACTCTCTTCTTGATCTCAACTTCTGGTATGATGGTGGCCTTCTGTGTCCAGACTATCTGCTCCGCCCGCTTCAAGATCGAGGAAAGTCAAGCCTCCGCCAACTCCGTCGTCGCTTTCATCTTCATCTACTACGTCTTCTACAACATCGCCTTCTCGGGTCTTCTGGTTGGATACTCTGTTGAAATTCTGCCCTACAAGATCCGTGCCAAGGGTATGACTCTCATGTTCTTGTGCGTCGACCTTGCTCTCTTCTTCAACCAGTACGTCAACCCCGTCGCTCTCAAGGCCATCGAATGGAAGTACTACATTGTGTACTGTGTCTGGCTTGGATTCGAGCTCTTCATCGTCTGGAAGTTCTACATCGAGACCCGCAACACTCNNCCCCTCGAGGAGATTGCCAAGTACTTCGACGGCGAGAACGCTGTTATCGGTGGTGCTGTCGCTACCGAGAAGGGCAAGGTCCTGGCAGCCGAGATGGGTGGTCTTGGTACCGTCAACATGACCGAGAAGGATGGCATGGCTGTCGAGCACAGAGAGGTTTAGACAAGGATACCATGGCTGTATATGTGGTTGGCGAGTTTACGTGAATAATGGGTTGTTACGATGCTTGAATGTCCGAATATACATTCGCTTTGAATTTATGAATTTTTCCATCGTCAAACATCTTTATGAGCTCCTATTTCCTGTGACTGTCTATTGTTGTTCCTTATCCAGATACCATGTTTTCTTTTCAATTCCGGTCGCACCCGAAGAGATAGACGATACTATCCTGGATAAAATGAGAGTTTGGGGGCGTTCGGGCGGCGTTCGTTGCCCATGACCCACCTTCACGACAGCTTGACCTCCACAACCCGACCTTCTCTTTAACCAGACTTCTCCACCAGATCCAAAACAACAACTTCTCGGGTCTGCCACATTTTTGCACCTATCATCTTCAAGAAACCCATCGCCATGTCTGAGACCAAGCATTTTACTCATACCATCAAGCTGTCACCAGGCTCATCTCATGCTGGGCAGGAGTTTGAAGGCAGATTAGCCTACTGGAGCCTCGGCGACGTTTCCAAGCCCACGGTCTTGATGCCGACGTGTTTTGCCGGCAAGCTCGAAACCACGACGCCTTTCCTCTACAACGCCGAGACCTGCGCTCTGCCACTGTCTAAATACCATGTTTTGGTGGTTGGACAGTTGGGTGGTGGCGAGCNNTCGTCGCCCTCGAACCAGCCTGCTCCATTTTCTGGCGTTGACTTTCCGAGGGTGACGTATGAGGATAACATTCGTCTTCAATATGCTCTGTGCCAGAGTCTTGGTATCGAGCATCTTGAGGCTTATATTGGCTTCTCAATGGGTGGACAGCAGGCTTACTATATGAGTGTGCTGTACCCCAATTTCGTGTCTAACGTTGTGATGCTGGCAACCTCGGCACGCACCTCATGGCACAACTACAACTTCTTGGAAGGTCCCAAAGCTGCTTTGGAAGCCTCCGTCGACTTCAAGGATGGTCGGTATGAGAAGAAACCTCTCAGAGGTCTCAGAGCTTTTGGTAGAGTTTATTCTACCTGGGCGCTCAGTCAGGCATGGTACAGAAACGAGTGCTGGAAAGTGCTTGGCTTCGACACGCTGGAGCAGTACCTTGACACCAATTGGAGCAACAAGAACAGCGAGGCCAATGACTTGCTATCCATGCTGTGGACATGGCAAAATGGCAACATTGCTGCTTGCTTCCCCGAGGACAAGGGAGACCTGCCTACAGCACTTGGAAGAATCAAGGCGAAGTCGCTGGTCATGCCCTCGAGAACCGACTGTTACTTCCCACCCGAGGATAGCGAAGAAGAGGTCAAGCATCTCAAGAATGGAAAATTGGCTGTTATTGAGAGTATCTGGGGCCATCTTGCTGGTGGTGGTGCCGGCACAGACGAAGATAAGAAGTTCATCAACGAGCAGGTCTCACAGCTCCTGAAATAATCAAATAGCTAGTCATACATCTGTATCAAAACTCAAGAACTGAACCTCTGTCATGACTTTCTCCGTCTTCTACAGTGGAGATAAGATGTCTGGCGTCACCCATGAGTCTTTTGAGCCATGTTTCAAATATAAACACGAAGCACGACGCTGCCTCTTCGATGTTCCTTCTACGATGATAAGCTTTCACATCAGCTGACGAATACTCCCAAATAGCAGTTTTGTCAAGAAGAATTTCTTTGTTCTGGTGCTCGAGGTATGCTGATTCTGGGACAGGGTGGTATGCTCAACATCTTACCACCTGCTGTACATATGCAGTAATCCTGTTCATCACTGCACTGTTCACGTTTTTGACCAAGAGAGAGCGTATCAGGTGGGTGAAAGTGTATATCAAAAACGGTAGACCGGAAAGTACGTTGTTAAGGGAATTACAGAGTTTGAATTTGCGCCATATGATGCTCAGCATTGGTGTACAGGTGTGCATAAGAATAGGCGATGCAAATAATCTTTCAAATGCGATCATTCCTGGTTGAACTATCCGAGAAGCTATCTATTGAACGGGAAGGTGCTTCGCAACCAGTTAAGCAGTCAAGGAAGGGGCGTCAGACTTACACAAAGCCGCGAATTCATTGTGACGCTATTATGGCAGAGCCCGGCCTACCACTCCGTCTAAAGGTAACGCATATGAGATATGAGATGAGAGGTGCTTGCATGTAGCAACGAAAAGTGTGTGATTAAAAATCATAACGTAGAAGTTGATGCATACAATAGTTACAACGAAGAGAACTCCCACCCGATTCCTGGTGCAATCTGGGTTAGTCAAACATGGGACAATCAGGTCGACTCCTGTTCGCTACCGTCGAGCGGTGCATACGGTCTACGATTGTAATCCCAAGGATCCCCGCCAGGAACACACAAACCAAGACGCCAGAAGTAGTCCCGATGGGAGAANAACAACTGCCACAACTTGTAGCGAGATGGCACGACCCAAGAACCAACAGCCCGCTTCTCCAGCTCGCGCTCATCCGCAAGGTCGTCGACTGAGCGTTTTACCTGAGCTCTCAGGTCATCGTGCATGGCAAGAGTCGACTCTGTTGACAGACTGCCATCTTGACCAGCAATGCACCGATGGTCTTCATCACCAGCACAGTGTTGAAGATCTTGGATATCGGGGCTCAAGGCAGACTTGGAGATGTAGATTTCGCCAGCGTGCATACGATAGCCCCATTCTGTAAGTGGTAGCAGAGGTACTGGGTCATCTATATGCGTGACACGGCGATAACGCAATTGTCGCTCATCGAAAGTGTTTGCCCAGGCTTCACTGGGAGAGTTGAGTAAGTTGAACTGCTGGTCAAGGTATTGGTTTAAGGCAGCATTTCCAAGTCTGGGCTCGCCAAAAGTAGTGACAGTCGGCTTCCAGCCCCGTGAGTCGAGTTCTAGCCCAGCGAGGGCAGCGACAGCGCCTCCGAGGGAGTGACCAACAAGAGTCAGGGCGTAATCTGGGTATGCTGCGACGGCAGCCTCCAAGTCTGGCAAGATGGCAGAGGAAGCCACTTTCCAAGAACGATAGAAGCCCGTGTGCACAGTGCAATTGTTGCAGCGAGGGGTCTTTGAATTCTCTTGGCTAGCTTCTGAAGCTGCTGAGTCCGGATCACCAGGGTAGGGGATGTATTCTTGAGGGACAGTTGAGAGATCGACAACAGTGTTTGCGATAGAGTAAGTGCCACGGAATGCAACAATGATGCGAGGATTTGACTGTGAATGAGACAAGGCGATGTAGCCGCAAGAGTCGGACATCAGCTGGCCAGTATTCCATGTCNNTAGTAACATGTCGGCGCATGGTCAAACATGATCAATACAGACACTCTCTCTTACCTTGACGAGCTCGAAATCGGGGAATTCAGAGCAGCGACTGAGACATTTGAAAGGCTTCGATATGCCTATACCAGTGAGACCTACACAATAAGATATATCGACGATGCGCGCGAGCTCTTCTAGGTCAGAGAATAGCTCTGGAGAGACTGTGCGATTGTCTGCAGCATGGCGAAGGAGAGGAGCTTGTTGAGCAGGCAGAGCGCCCGTGACGACTGACAGGGCACTCAAGAGAGATAGCAGAAGGAAGCGCATGGTTGTTGTGATGATCTATGTCATGATCCGGCATGAGAGGGTGGGTAGGTGATTTGCGGCGGCTTGTACGTAGGTGATATATCAATGCTTTTCGATGACCGACATGGCTTGTGTGACTTGTTACAAGACACGCAAGCTTTCTTATCCGACGCGGCGCGGCTCCTCGATCTGAAACAAGCTATGCAGATGTAGGCAGCCTTGCTGGTTGACGAGAGAATGACACAAAGCAAATTCTAGTAGTCCTCTCAACTGCATTCTGAAGTTCAAGCGATTCCATGTATACTCAAGAGACAATGGAATGATGGGTTCATTGTGGATTTGTGAGTGACATACATGCGCTGTATAACATTTCGTATGCGTCTGATAGCGACTCGTGATGATCGGAAGCGTGAGCGAGGCTCCTTGGCATTCAGCCTCATAGCTGCTCCTATGACGAGGCATGCAATATGAGGAGGGCGCGGCAGACGTCACGCTCCTGGCCAGGGTCTCGATCTTGAAGCGCGTACGTTGGTGGATATCACACACAATCCGCCGGTCTCTAGTCTCGAGCTTACATGTATTGCAAGTGTTGAGCACCTACTTTTGCTCTATTTCCATATACACAGCCTCGTCCTGATTCTACTTGAATCTCAGTCGTCCAAGCCAGTCCGCTCTTTGTTCCGGTACAATCTCTAGCCGCACTCCGGAACCAGAAAGCCATTGGGAAAACGCTCCGACAATCACCTTCCACTTTTATAATACGTGCGTCGCTCGTGCCCCGAACATGCGACTTAATCCTTTACTGACGACTGGCAGCATAATACCACTGCCTCGACACACGACCAAACACACGGCTCGCCATGCCGACGTCTCCAACAGTCGAATTTGCGCCCTCACCGCCGCTTGCATCTCCACCAGTCGATGGTAGTCGTAGTCGCTCACTTCCAATGTCGCCCACCGGTGATGGTGTGCGTTCACCTTCGGGTGTGCAATCACCTGTCGATGGTAGACACTCCTTCACGGGAGAACGTAGATCGTCCAACCCGTTCGGTCCTCGAAGGTCTTTGGCTCTGCCCCGAACCAGTCTTGCAGCACCCGCCAGAGATCCTGGAGCTATCAACCCATACGCACCGCCATCGCTAGAATACGACTTGCGCCAGAGGAAGCGTAGTATCTTCATCTTCTGGTTCCTCATTCTTTTCGACTCTATCGTCATGCCCTTAGCTTTGTACTTCGGCTTATGGTACGGAACCAATCTCTCACCAAACACCGTCTTCTCCATCGTCACAGCCGCACTGGGCGGTATCAGTATCTTTGAATACGTGCTACGCTTCTGGCATCTGTGGAAANAGGGTAGCAAGTGTCGTGTCATTGGTGGTCGTAGATCATACGTAAGCCACCTCTTGTACAACCCACATACAATGATACTGACGCAGCTTATAGNNCTTGACTGGTTCCACTGGAACTTTAGCTTTGCCTGGGTCATCATTATCGTTGAGCTCATTATGTAAGTCATGGATTCAAGATGGTCTGCAACGTGATACTGACCACTCATTAGCGGCACTATTCCCGAAAACCCTCCTATCCGATTGCTAGCAATGCCTGTTAGCTCCCTCATGTTTGCCTTTGGTTCCGAGTTGATCATTCAGGACGGCATGCGTCTTCTGGGCATTCCTTCACCCTTCCGCATCTCTTCAATGCCTGCTGGTTCCCAACTGCGCCCTGGAATCTATTGGATCATCGAAGACATTGTTGCCGTTGATGGCGGTGGTAACATCGAGTTCCGTGAGAGACTCAACACCAGATACGAAGCCAGCCACTACTTCCGTCAAATGCTTCACCGTCTGACGTTGTTCTGGGGTATTGGTGCCGAGGTGGCAGCTGCCGTGATCACTGCTCTAATTTTCACCATCCAGAAAGATGCTGCTTATGTGGTCGGCTGGACCGTTCCTTTCATCTGGGCTGGCATATGGACCCTGTTTACCTTCTGGTACGTTAAGCGCTGCCTGAAGCACGAGGCCGAGATGTGGGCTATTGAGCACGGAAAGCCCGAGGTCTAGATGTACCACCATGGCCGTACTCTTATCTTCTTCGACCAAACAAAATTGTATAATTACGACAGAATGAAATTTTAGCGTGGTGGGACTGGGCATTGGATGGGGAGTTCTCTTTGATGTTACAGCATAGATTTGCTTGTCAGGACTGGGTATATACGAGATAACGAAGACCTTTTCTTGAGCTCGCCATTTCTAGAAGCCTCTTCGTAACACACATCTCTAGTCACCATGCATTCGTCTTATACACCACACGTCCGCGAACATGGTTGTAGGCTTTTCAAAAATGCACAATGTTATACTGAAAAGGAGTATGGCCAGAGAAAGCCCCTAGGATAGCATGATCTCTGTGGATAGCATGATCTCTGTGGATAGCACTCCTTTTTCTTTTGAAAACTATCGTGTATTTCTATAGCAATATGAAAACAGTTGTTGGTACATGGAGGTGCTGCAGCATATTGCATTGGTCGTGTGCCTGGTCGATCATTCCTGACTCATCACATATCTCTTGAGTATACTATAAGAATGCACAATATCATACTGAAAAGGAGTATGGCCTGAGAAAGCCCATAATATATCACTCTCTCTATGAATAACACTGATTTTCGGAAACTATTGTGCATTTCCATAGCGACATTATAAGAGTTGTTCGTACATGGATATACTGTATAAACTGGATCGTTTGTGTGCCTGATCGACGGTCTCAGATATCGTTGCATCTTCCTGAGTATACTATCAAAATACAGAGTAGTATTGAAATTCACTGGGATGTCCACTGAGAGCCTGGATATTACAAGCTTTTGTGGATAATTGCAGGAAGTCAAATGATATTGTGACTTTTGATGCTATCCTTTTCTGGAGAGACCATAACTTCTCTGTGGACGAATACAGAAAGTCGGATTATATTGTGCATTTTGATAGTCTCTTATCGTATGATGATTCGTGGAGGAGAAACAGAAACTTCGTTTGCTTAGAGGAGTTGCCTTCAACTTCAGTGCACGTTGTTCAACGAGCTATCAAAATGCAGAATAGTTTCGAGTTTTGATGGAGCGTCCATTGAGGGCTGTTGTCGATCCGAGCTCTCAGTGGATAGTTGCTGAGAGTCAAATGATATTATGCCTTTTGATGATAGTTCTTGCAAGAGTGGTTCAGGTGGAGTATCATTGCTGCATGCAGATTTTCATTATGGATAACGCATGTCTTTCTATCAAGCCTCTGGCTGGGCAGCATAGATCCTCACAGGATACAGGTCTTTGGGGAATCCTCTCTGCAACTCAGTGGCCACAATTTTCAAGCCTGCTTCCTTGAACAAGGCTCTGAACTTGTCATCCGTCCGTGTAACACTTGAATCCGTCTCATCATAGACATCCTCGCCGAATTGATGATTTGACAGGTTTTCCTTGAGCACGATCCAACCACCCGGTGATAGGTGCTTTTGTGCGCGAGTGAACAGAGCATTGACTTGTGTATCCGTGCATTGTCCTAGACACCACTGGATCCAGATGATGTCGTAGGTGTGTTCGGGCTCCCAGGCCTCAAGTCCCACATTGTATATTGTGCCAATTTTGCCTTGCTCTCTCAGCTGCTTGAAGTCATCACCCTCGGAGATTTGTGCTGTGAACTTTTCCACGGGCTCGACGACATCGGTGACATCGGCAACTTTAGACAAAAGTCCTAGAGTGATGCGGCCGATGCCCGCGCCGCAGTCGACAATGCGCGCGAGCGGGGTTGTTGTAGGGTGTGTTTTTGATGCGCGGCGGAGTTTGGCGAGGAAGGTGGTGGATTGTTGCAGATCGATGCGAGAGACTTGGGGNAAGCCACCTAGCATGCCTGTCACTGAAGGATCACATGAGTTCCAGTATGTGAGAGCGGCGGAGGTGTCGATTTTTGAGTCTGGAGCGGCAGCGGCATCCAAGTCGGAAGACATGATGTGCGTATGGATGGTATATCAGATAGCAGTTGATTCAGTTGGGTTCAGCAGATAGCAATGCTTGGTGTTGAGATCGAGTATAGAGATGTGTGTTCCCAAAAAGCCAGCAGGCGCGAAGAAGCTGCGGAAGACGCGTCGATCAACACATCAACGTCACACCTCTCGACTCGAACACGGTAGGGAAACTGCTCATCAAGACAGCAATAACAGAGCATTACATATGTGCCAACTATAACTATACTTACTCAGAGCAATTACAGGCAGCGTCAGAGGGCGCACGATCTTCCAATATCACACTACTATCACAGAGCTCACACACGTCTTCAAGCACTAGCCTCAATTCTTCTTCAATGTCCAGCCAGTAGCCAAAGCATCAATGAAAAAGAGCGTAACAAGAAATGTTGTTTGTTTCCAAAAATTCCTTGACGATCGTGAGACCATCAAGAGCAGTCAGTTGATAGTTTTCAACTAGCAAAAACACGATCTCGGACGAATCCTCACTGATACTGTACCACATGTCAGTAGTTGCTCGAAACAGAAGAAGGTGAGAACAGCACATACCGCGTTAAGCTAAGGCATAGTTAGCGTCAGTCTGATAGCAGGAGTTCTGAGAAGAAACGTACCCCGTGCACTGGGAAGAGTTAGTATTGGAGAACAGCATGGGTCAGATCTGATGGTACGAACCTTGGATAGTTGGTGAAGAGGGGTGTGGGAGGGCGCCAGTACTTATACCTCAGCGGCGGAGCACGTGCTTACGTAAGCAAGGTAACAGTCTTCAGTCAGGGTCATGCCATTGACATTCACTTTCCTCCGTTAACCAATCTTTTGTCGACCATCTCGAGCTTCACTTGATTGCTGCACCTATCAGGTGGTGAATATCTACGCTCTAAACATCGCTCATCGGCTCATGATGTGATACGAGTATTATGTGAGGATAAATATAGAATTCGATGGATGATGCGGCCAGCTTGAAAAATTGCAGTCTCCCTCACGCTCAAATGAATACACGCTTTTGACCTGTTCGGAGATTCGAACCATTAGTCAAGACAAATCCGATTATCATGTATATCTTGTAATTATCCCTTAGGATGACCATCGACAAGATTGTCACACAGTGAGCAGGCCGTCAGAGCAGCCAATATATTCGGAGCTTGAGATGATGAGGGGCTTGGCATGTCATTCACAATCACCTTGATCTCGCGGCCTGTGACAAAGCTTCCAAGATGAAGTTGCACATTCTAGGACCAGCTTTTGGGCTGCCTTCAATAGACGCAGAATGTGTTGCTGCTGTAGCGTTGATCGAGCGTTACACTCAGGGCAGCAGTCAGGCATGGGCTCTGGTCGCCAGCCATGAAGCCGCGCCAGGCACCCGACTCCCTTTTCTTCAAGTCGGTGACGAGACATATTCTGGCTTTGATAGGATAGCCCAGTACCTCATCGACGCGTCCGGTAGCACTGTTCCTGGTCTGGCGACGAATCTCACAGCACAGCAACAAGCAGATGCGACAGCGTAAGACTCGGCGCCATCTACAACGACCAAGCAGACACTGACCCTCACATAGANNCTCTCGACCTTTATCAAATCTGAAGGCCAATTACTGCTCGATATCTCGCTGTACGTGTCGTTTGAGAACTACCGTAATCGCACCCGTTCGGCTTTCACAAAAATCCTCCCGTGGTACGCGAACTTTGTCATTCCTCCCCAGCGCCGTCATGAAGCACGACAACGCACTCAGCACCTCGGAGTATCCAGCCTCGATGTTGACGACATACACGAGGATGTCATCGACAAGCCGTCGAGCATGCAGTCCGAGCAGCAGAAAAAGCCTTTCGAGCACGAGACCGAGAAGCACGCCAGGAGATTGCTGGGACGCAGAGACACAGTCCGCACCTTACTACAAAAACCAGAGCATGCTGCTGCCTTCAAGTTGAACGCATTGGCCGACAACTTCTTCGAGCCGCTGCAAGAAATCTTGAAGAACCACTCCAACCTCCTGGGCACCGACCAGCCCGCAATTGTCGACTGCCTGGCATTTGGATACCTGAGCTTAATGTTCTATCCCAAGATGCCCCAGAACTGGCTAGCCTCCACTATGCGCCTGAAGTACCAGAAACTTGTCGTCTACCTGGGCTCTTTGAGAGATACTTTCCGAATCGACGCCCACCCTGATGAGGCTTTGGATGCTGTTTCGCAATCCGATAAAGGTGCTGCTGAGCTTCCTTGGGTATCACCGCAAACCTTTGGTCCCCTTGCCGTAGTCAGCTACATCGGACAGAGCCTCTTCAGTCAGCTTCCGCTACCGAAGACTGACTCGGGTCTGGAACATTTACCCGCCAGGCGTCAAACAAGCTTCCTCAAGAGATACCTTCCTGCAGTGCTTGGTCTTACATCTACATCGCTCGCTCTGCTGGCATTCTGGGCATACAACAACCTCACTTGGCCGCACGGAGAAGCAGTCCACTTTNTTGGCCGAAGGAGATTAGTAGACTATGGTGCTGCTGGCGCAACTCTCTCTGCTCTAGGTAGCCTTGGTCTGCAGATGCAACAACAGCAACAGCAAAATCAAGCCCCTGTGCAGGTTGACGTTACTGTCGACGAGCAGGTCTCGCCGTAGAAAGCTTGTGCGACAGCCTTGGCAAGCTTCATTACAGAATAGCTCACCAACAACATGCACATATTCGAAATTACGATACTTGTTGCTTCAAACTGCACCAATAACTTTTATCGCTCTTGATTTCGACAATTCACTCACCGCCAAATTACCAAGCAAGACGACTGTCCTAGTCGTGTAGGCAGACGCGCATTGTTAGATGCTCGTGCCTGGATCGCATCCTAAAAAAGCCACAACCGCCAAAAGATTAACCAAGCGAAAAATGCCTTCCTAATACGTACGTAGAACGGCAGGCAATAAAGGTAGCTCTGGCTCATATCATAACTTTCTCCATCCTTCTCAACGTCTGTTTCTATATTGTGATTCTCTCCCACCTGCTTCAATTGAAAAGCATTTTGTCACCTGCATAACGTTTCCTTTGTTTTCGCAACATCATGTCTTCAGAAATCGACAGTCTTTCCACATTACCTTCATCATCAACGACAAGCACCGTGGTCGTAACGGAAATAGCCACAACGCAAGCATCCACAACAACCGCTCTGATCACCTCAGTGGTAACAGCAAATGCTTCGGCAACAGACTCAAACCCAGCAGTCGTGGTGTACACCGTGACAGCAACGCCGACATCACAACCCACATCAACGCAGGATTTCGATGTGCCCCATCAAGAGGGCTTTCCAACAGGCAGTGCTGTCGGGTTTATCATTGGACTGATCGCATTGTTATCAATTTTACTGGGGTGGGGTTCTATTACTGGAGGCGATGGAGGCTGAGAAGGAGAGAGGCAAATCGTGCACAAGAGGCCAGCGCTGCGCAAGGAGAAAATGGTGCGCCGCAGATGTCAACATTATATGGCTGATCAGGTTGGCAAATGATGCTTTGAATCTTCTTGAGCTGATTTGCCGACATCCTGCTTTCCATTGGACTCTATACCTTGGTGTCCATGGCCAATTGGTCTAATCCGGCTTGCGCGATGAAGCCTGATACCATTGCGCATGAACACCAAACAGCGACTGCATGGGTGTTGTGAAAGGAAGGGCCGATCACGAGACAACAACTAGCGACTCCAGCGTGGTAGTGATTCGATCCTTCCCAGTCCAGACTTCTTCCTTCCTCAACAACCTCCAACATTACGACATCCTATTACTATAATCTCCTAGAACAGAAAGAAACAACGACGGTATGAGCGCTGACCGCCTGAATCGTCCTCTTTGTCTTTCCTGTCATCATATGCGCATACTCTTCATTCTGCCGCTTGAACTTATGGCGCCTTAGATAGATTTTGCACAATCTTTCACGACTCCCTCTCTCGCTGCTTAAGAGATATTTAATTCTCTTGACTTGTTCGTCGAGGAACCATCGGAAAACAAGCCAGGCCCATCCTCAATATGCTACCCCGAGCTCTCGTAGGCAGCTAGATGTTCACCTTCAAACCTATGAATATAGCACCATTCGTCCTACCACCTCTGTGGAGATCGCGGGCCACTAGTCTTTGGTCATGGACGTCGTCATCGTTGTTGCTATCTCTATGTGTCCGTGTCATTGTCTTTGTCGGCAACGTTTCTCTTCTTCTTGTTGTTGGTATTTAAGGCTGCACTGCTGGCAGAAAAGTCGATGGGAAGCAAATGTATACATTGAATCCTGAAGCTTCCCTTACCTCTTTCCTCATAGCAAATAACACCAGACATTCAATGCAAAAGACCTCAATGGCCGGAGAGAAAAATGACAGCTATCACATTGGGTTCTTGCTATCATTGTGTAACACCAAACAGGCACGTGCTCGCCAATTGCCCGTAAGCGCCCAATATAAAGGAGAAACTTCCTTCCTGCATATCTTGCTCGCAAAACACCGGGTTCAAGAGAACCCTGTTTTGCAAGAGACGGGTGGCTGCATTTATCACAAGCCCGGGACTCCTTGGCTCTGTATGTATCGGGCTCAACAGAAAATGCACTACAGCATGCCAGGTAACCAGCATGTCAGCAATTTCCCTACAGCGTACGCAATATGAACACCAGACACATCACATGCAGACTTTTGCACTGGATCCAGGATTTGATAGCTGTGGATGATAGTGTCGATATCTCGATTCAGAAATCACAAAGTCGAAGCATGCGTTGCATTTCCCTTTACTTGCAGCTTTTCGTTGTTAGAAGGACATGTCACTGACTGCGGCCCAACACACACCAGCTGAAGGCAGTCGCAGTTTCGAAGTCCCGATACATGCTTGCTTCTGCAGCAAGCCTTTGTGCTACAGATCAGGAGGGGTAAGGAAGCAAGAGATGGAAGCAGGTAAGAATCGTGCTTACCCTCGTGCATGTTCTTTTTACCACCAACAACTTCCCCCTACTTCTAGATGTCAAACTCTCGACAAGCAAAGTTACTGCATCATACTTCACAAGCATCAAAGCAACCACACAACCCCCTTAGCTTTGGCTCTTCTTTGAACGCCGCTTCCATCACACCCAGCTACAATGACCACACCATCAAACACACCCATACCTATATCCTCAACGACTACCAAGCAAACCAACCATTCCAAGGCGGCAATCATTGGTGGAGCAATTGGTGGCACGGTCTTCCTCCTCCTCATCCTTGTTGCAATCTTCGTCCCTCTCTTCAGACAACGGAGATCCTGTCTCGACGTTGCATTGCGCCGACACTCTGAAGCCACCACCACCACCACAAGCATCCGCAAAGATTCGATGCAAGACGAGAAGATCGTGCAGCATCAAGATGCAAAAGGCGAGGGGGACAAAGAGAAAAGGAGAAAAGTGGTGCAAAGGATGAAGAGGAAATGTTGGGCTTGGAAGAAATGCTGAGAATTGAATTCCCCAGTCCGTCGCGGTATGAATTGGATGCTGGAGGCTTTGTCGAAGGACGCGCGAATTGGGAGATCAAGTTTTGAGATGCTGTCTTTTACCTTTCCTTTTGTTCTCGATTTCTGTTTCTTAGCCGAGGGGTTTGAATGATCTTTATGGCTCCAAACATCGAGACCGTGTTTCAGTAAACCAGTTTCAGGAAGGTTTGTCTTGAAACCACAATTGTTCGAGATTGTACTGTATATTGATTTGCTATATGTTCATTACCACTCAAATCTTCTCTTGTGCCCAAGGGTCTTCTGCCGCTACTTGGTTCGCAACGTCCTCTTGATGTGTCCTCTGTACATCCTCCTCTGCATCCTCCTCCTGATCGACTTTCTTGACATCGTTACTTCTTTCGCCTGCGATTGGTGCGCGTTCCTTACTCAACTCGGACACACTCGTGACTGCAGGTCTGGAGTATTCTGCAGACCACATCTCAGTAGAAGCCAAAGTCAACGGTATAGGAGCAGCAGGAGCATTGTTAGTCTCGGGCTTCTGCCAATTCTTGCGTTTCTCAGATGCCCAAGCACCCCATGACGAGAGATAGGCTCCGGCACGGGAGGAAGCTGCTTGGACTGATGCTTGTGCTTGAGCCACTGGAACACGAAAAGATTAGTGTTAACGGCCTCGAATGAGATGCAAAAGTAGAACTTACCTTTTNGGAGCAGTTTTCTCCTCAGAAGTTCTAGGGTTGCTAGCAGCAGCAGCCTTACTTTCCTCAGCACGTTTACGCTGAGCTTCTCGCATCACTTCGATGTCGGCCCAAAGTGTGTTGATGGCGCCAGCGACACGTTCGCGGCCTGTTGAGATATGCTTGCCCATAGCTTCTTTACTGCCTCTCCAACGCTCGTCCAGATGTAGCTCCGAGACTTGAGCAGCAAGTCTGCGTTGCACGTCTTCGATGGTCAAGCCACCGGCACAAGGGTGTCGCGGCTCCACGACATCGAACAAGTGCGAGTCCGTCGTACGTTCGAAGAGAGCAAAGTTCTCAGTCAGGGCCCATTGAGTCATAAACTCGCTACCAAACTCGACAGAAGGATCGCCTTCGACTTCTGAGAGTAGAGCTTTGGGGTCACCTTTGTGACTGGAGACGAAGCGGCTGTATTTCGAGGACGAAAGCAGGGAGAGCAAGTACTCTTCGAACTGCAGGCGGATAAATTCTTCGCTGCCTGCGTAACCCATATCCTTTGGCCGGCTCGGGTTCTTCTCGTCCCAAGTGTCGTGAACAGATTGGGTGAGGAAATCAATCCATCGCCTGTCTGCCGTCGATAAAGCTAAAGCATTACGCAGAGATGGTGAGTATACGTTGATGGTGTTATCATCAAGGTTCACCAAGATATCTGCATAGCGATCCTTCTGCTGAAGAAGCAGTTGGTTAGTAGACCCGACAACATACGATTTTGTGTCTTGGTCAGCCAATGTGTCGAGCTGTTGCAATGGCGTATATGGACCAAACAGACTGCCCTTTCCAAAGATTTGCAAGGGCACTCCCATGTAAGCCAGGAGCGAAGCGCGTTCGCTTGTCCTCAGTGAGGTAGGCTTCTCTACGTGTGTGGCATAATAATCCATGCGGGGATCGGCGCAATCGCGAAGATGGCGCATAAGAGTGGGTATGAGTGATATGAGGGAAAACTGGACCAGGCACATCTTTTCACAGTTTGAACCAAAGAAGAGCATCNNTAGGACTATCTCAGCACTGTCCTCTCTTGGGATGTTGGTAGAGCCTACCTTTGGCTGCAATAACAAGCATTTGAATAAGACCAGAGTCTGCCATTTGAACTGGTGAATCAGCTCGCGCATGGACAAGCCNTGTTCGAGGTATGTCAATAGGCAGTGCGATAAAGATCGCCGAATCATAGGCTTACCAAAGTAGAGATCTTTATCATCTTCCTGACTGCCGAAGCCTTTGTTCAAACTCTCTTGGAACCGCNNTAACAGAAGTCAACCATGCTGTATCTCGATGACGACAGAAGTCTAGCACACCTCTAGGATCTCAATATCTCCAAAGTCTCTAGACGAGAATCAGCCCCTGCGTTTTGTATGGCAATTGTCCAAGACTCTTTCTAAGGTGGGGCGTACTTTNTGTGCAAACCAAGCCTTTGTCACAACACTGAGCTTCTCTCTTATGGCGGTGAATGTTTGCGGGTTCTCGGTAATGACGACGACTGCCTTCTGGACGGTGCTGCGAGTGACATCTGCAGGCCTGTTGAGCAGCTCTCTCGAGTCGAGCTGGCGGGTACAGCTGATGCCGAAGAGCGAACGCTCGGGTGTGCTCTTCAGTACGAGGGTAAAATACGAGAAGTCCTCTGTAGCACTGGATTCTCATTGCTGGTTAGCTTCTTGCATCAAGACATTTGCGTGTAAAGGGGGATCGAATTACGCGTGGGCACCGTCAGATAAGGCGAGGAAGGGCAGCAGCTGCCAGTCGTTGTCAATGGCGGGATCGTATCCTTGGTCTACTCCTACCCATCGCTCGACTTCTGGACCNACTAGACTGAGTGTGAGCTGTTGTTTATCTAGGTCGCTAGCGACTGGGAAGCTCTACCGCTGGTGGTGGAAGTCGACCACTGCTACTATGGGGCGATATGTGTCGGCCATGGTGCTATGCTATCGCCAAAGGGTCATCCTGCAGCCCTCAAGTAAACACTGCTATGCCAACCCAATGCCTAAGTGTCATGTGTCGATCTAGGCCAAACATCACTGGTCACATTCTGTATGACATCTTCACGCCGCTCCAACTAATTTGGCTTGGCGGACTACGAGCCTCTTCAGACTCCATGTACCTCTCGGGACTTGCAATTCAACATGTTCTGTCTTCTTATTAAGTGCTTGGTGCTTCTTTTTCTTCTTCTGCCTGTTTGTTTCTATGGTGGTTCCCCCAAAGCTCCGCAGCTATGCTCGCTCGTATCTCCCACGCTGACGCGGCGCCTCATTTGCACCCAGTCTGGCTCATCAGTCACTGTTCTCCTTGTGGACGTAGATTCGCCGGAAGTTGTCTGAGCCAGACTGAATGTGCAATGCACTCTCGTCTTGTATATCCATGAGGTCAAAGGTTGTGCCAGTGCTCTTAAAATCAAAATAATAAACCAGTTCCATCATTGCGATCCCAAGCTTGCATATCCTTGGGGTTTCGCTGTATGCGCCTGCTCTTTCTGTATCATCGCAGTATATCGGATCATGCACGTCTTCATCCCGCCTATTGAGGTACACCGACTTCTTCACCGTTCTGGGCGTCCACATTGTGGTAGTCCAGGATTTCAGAGTACCTAAGTAGCCATGTCAGTCAAACTCATCTTGACGCTCGTCTTTGGATGTGAACGTACATCATGATCTTCCAGGTATCAACCGGCAAGTCTGCATCGTTGAATGACCAATCGAACTTCTCCTCGGCCTCGGGCTCATCGGTAGGATCGTGGTAAGGGGCGAGGTAAGGATCAACCAGGGCGTCGCCAGCTCTAATACGTGTGCGGGGGTCGAAGACGAGCATACGCTCGAGCAACTCAATGGCTGTGCAATCGTCAGTTCATGCTGCGGATGCACTTCATCTATACGTACCTTGAGGGTCGGCGTTCTTGAACTTCTTGGTCAAGGGTTGGCGCTCACGCTTGGGCAGAGACTGGACGAATCTAAGAGTNCTAGAGCAGGATACGGATTAGCTCACGTTCATCATCAGATATAGTTTGTAGTATCTTACGTTCTCGCTGCAGATGGTCTGGATAACATCATCCGGTGGGGTTCCGAGCAGCTCGGTGATGATGGAGAATTGGTTGACGTGGTCCTTTCCGGGGAACAAAGGCTTGCCCTCGAGCATCTCGGCAAAGATACATCCAACACTCCAGATGTCGACTTCAACGTCGTACTTTTGCCAGGTGAGCATAATTTCTGGAGCTCTGTAGTATCTTGTCGAAACGTAACCAGTCATTTGAGGGTCTTGAATGCGGGCCAGACCAAAGTCGCAAATCTTCAAATCGCAGTTCTCGTTGACCAGGATGTTGCTGGGCTTCAGATCACGGTGGACAACACCGGCGGAGTGGACGTATTTCAATCCTCGCTAGAAGCCTTATCAGTCGCGATATCAAAGATGTCGTTGTCTGGTGGAACGAACCAGAATCTGGTATAGGAAGTATTGAATGAACTGCTTCTCAAGCGGTCTCGAGGTGAGCAGACGGTGAAGATCGGTTCCGAGGAGCTCGGTGACGAAGTAGNNCTGAGTGATGTCAGTCGATTGGATGGAGAGTTTGTATAGGAGAGGTACGTACATGTCCTCGAGGGGAGAGATGAAGATGTCGCTAAGACTGATGACNCTGTGGAAACCAGTCAGATAGATTGATCGAGCAGGAAAAAGTTTTCCATCACACACATTCTCATGCCTCAAATGCTTCAGAAGCTTCAACTCGCGGTAGGTGCGTTTGGACAGGACAGGTGTGCTGAAAGGCTTCATGATCTTCTTGACAGCGACAGCCTGGTTCGTGAGCTGATCCTTTGCCGAACTGNNGGGCTTTGTTAGAAGGGGTTTGCTTGCAACGATGATAACCGCTCACCAGACAAGACCGAAAGCTCCCTATAATGTCATTAGCATCAATGCGTGTCATTCAGAAGCGAGAAAACTCACCATTCCTACGGGAGCCAGTTCCGTGTAANNCTTTGGAGACAATGTTAGCATTCGCGCTTGCCGGAGAAATGGGCCAGAAAGTCAGGCCTCGATTGATATTTACCGGCTGGTGATCTCGAAGGTAGTTCCGAAGATCTGCGCGCGCACAAATTCTGCCATGGCGACGGTGTTGACGGGGGTAATGGCTCAGGAGTGTTTTGGTTGAAGAGACGGAGGTCGAGAAAGCGGATCGATGTTATGGACCGTGGAGCGTGGGGCAGCCGAACGAACCAAGAATGACGTGGGCGTTTTTGTGTGGCTGGAAATCAAGGATTTATTCTCTTCTTGTCAAAGTGCGACTAGTAGTCAAGCCCAGCGACACGATATCTATCGTGTAGTTTGGCTGGTTTGCAGAAGACAGATAGCAACCCAAGAGTAATACAGAGGCTGCAGAATTGCTGCGCTAGGGCGTGGCGACTTGGAAAGTGCTAAAACGCTTGTTGAGGGAAGCGAGTGCGGGATTGTTTGGATTTGCTTGTGATCGTCGCTGTCCGCCGGGTGATGGAATATTGTACCTGAGTGAACAAGAGGACGAGGAGGATGGAGGAAGGAAGAGAAGAAAGCCCTCAGGAGAACCAACAACAGAACAGCACTGTCCGCAACTTCCATGTTTGTTCACACGCACGCACATAGATCGATCGATCGCAGCTTGCCAACTCCAAGTTCCGCGTAAGTGGCTGCTTTGTTTAAGCTTCGACCTTCGCCCAAATGCTTCCCGACGGCTACCGCTGCTCGATTGTCCGTCTGTCTGTCACCAGCACATCTCCCAAATTCAGATGCGGCTTCCGGTTACGGAACAGGATACGTACAGCGTGGATCAACAAATCTGACGACGGAGTTCGTGTCCTTCTCTGCCCATCTGTGCCTTCTCCCTCCGCCATTGGCTGCTCCCCAGATGCGGGACCACGAGATCCACGTGCCAAGCAAGAAGAGGCTCAAATGCGTGAGCTCTTTCCGATCCGACGATTTCACAATAGGATGCGGCTCCTGCGGGGCGTCCTTTTCAAGACTGATGGGTAATTTAGTCACCCTGTCTCTCAAGCATACAGGCCGCCCTGCGATTAATTTCCCACTCTCTCTAGGGCTCTCTCTGGTGCACGACCGCCAGCATGTCACATTCTTAGCTGCACCATGCTTTCGAGCCCGGCCACTCAGACGAGGCCTAGTAGTTCTCAATTATCGAGCTCCTATGGCACCCACTCCTCTTTGCAGTAACACTCTGGTTTGATGATTGCATTCTCGCGAAACCCAATCGTACTACGAGTAAGATCGATGCGCTTGTGAGACTTCCATCGCGGCTTCATGCTCACATGTATGCCATTGATGTCAAAGACCACTGGTAGACTAAGACGCATTCAGACGCGTTGAATATGAGGTCAAGTGCCTGGGGTCATGAGTGTTTCGACTTCGAGTTTACGCTGTATAGTAGGTTGTGGGCAATGCTCCATATACTGTCCGAACCATCAAGGGTGTTTGACGGGCGAACGGACTTGGGGTTGGCTTCCAAGTATGGTACCGGAAGGATGTGTTGTAGGAACCTATTGGAAAGCAGGCAACGTCCGCCCCAAACAACTATTTGATACGAGGTGGGTTGATGGAAATGCACGAGTGGAGACTCCATCAGCAAGTCACAGGTCGGAAGGAGAACAAGGCACCGAGGATTATTATGCATTTGATAACCTCTCGGCCGAGAACTCACTCTGTCAATAGAACGATAGCTTGATTGCGACCAGGGAAAAGCAGTCAAGCCGGTAGTGCTCCACCACCAGCCGGTCGATGTAGGAGCACGAGCGTCGGCTGAGGATGCTATAACAGACTGGCGACGGACGAACTCTCGCTTCGGAGCTGGTTACGAACAAAGGGCAAGCCTGTCTGCACCGGCTAGAGCAGTCCACACTCAGCGACAAGCACGATCCGGCACTCAATTATTGATTTCTCTTCACGAAATCAACAGCAACCCAAATCGCGATGGCAACGTTTCCACGAGGGAGGATTCAGATCGTCAGCGGGAATTGACACTTGGAAGGCCGAGACAGCGGTCGAGGACCGAATTAGGAAAATTGCAAAGGACAGGTATAGGACGTTTTGCTAGCTTTATGACAGCGACAACGCTGGTGCACCAGTGTGACGGCAACCGTGAGCGATTGGCGTTTCGAAACGACGTGTTTATGCACAAAGTTCAGACAAATTGTGCACAGAGCAGAAAGGATGGCCCTCGTTCCGCAGAGTAGATAGCAGATAGTGCGTCTATGGCAAGGCGTAACGGTGAGCGATTGTGTGGCGCAATTCCAATAGGAAACGGCAGGTACGGTGTTGCTAACAGCACGATGGGCGAGGACGGTCGTGATACAGGGTGGATACAGCAGACATGACCAGTAGCTTGGTTGCTACTCTCATAGTTTTCTTTTGATTTGCCTCACTCTCTCCTTTCCAAGAGTTTCTCTGCGAGTGTTTCAGCTCCCATTTTGCATTGCAGCATTACAGCAGCGCAAGCGCCTGGAGCAATTAAAGGAAGGCTCAAAGCGATCTAATTGCGGGGGCCCTGTAGCAGAGACAAGGCACGGACGAACTCGACAGCGGCAGCGTCCCAGAGAGTCGACGCTCCCAGACACATCACCAACTCTATCAACAAGACTCCGACACGACCCATCCTCCTACCTAAACCAACCACTCACCCGTTGTCGCCTCGCACTTTGCAGCTTCCACGCTCTCAGTCCTGCAGCTGCCACCACACTGCCCTTGTTTTGTCTGCCGTCGCTTGGTCGCTTTCGGAATCCGGCAACCAACGAGCCATACAAAGCCCTCTCCACCCACCCAGCCACCCTCGTCCATCCACCTCGCCATTGTTCCGATTTATTGTTTGCAACCAAACACGCTCCCATCAACCCAACGCCGAGCTGTATTCGCACCCGTCAACCTTGCCTTGACACCTTGATCGAGCTTGCGACATCCGGCCGAGGCCGGTCCAAGCACTCGGAACTGTCATCATGGGTAACTGCATGAGTTCTAGGGGAGGAGACGATGAAGGTCAAAAGAAGAAGAGTCAGGCGATCGACCGCGGCCTCGAGGAAGATTCCAAGAAGTTACGGCGCGAGTGCAAGATCCTGCTGCTGGGTACGTTAGCCTTTAAGCTGTCCTATCCATGGAACCTGCTAACCCGTCCTGCGCAAANNGGTTCTGGCGAAAGCGGCAAGTCGACTATTGTCAAGCAGATGAAAATTATCCACCAAAACGGCTACAGCGTCGACGAACTGCGCCTTTATAGGCATACCATCTACAAGAATGTCATCGATTGCGCCAAAGCTCTCATCGGTGCAATGCAACAGTTCGATATATCCCCAGAAGTCCCCGAGAACATTCAACACTGCGAGTTCATCATGCAATTCACAGTCGACCCCGACCCGAATGCACATCTGGACGCAAGATGCGCTACTGCAATAACTGCAATCTGGAAGGATCCGTGTATATCTAGAGTCCTCGATCACTCAAGCGAGTTCTACATGATGGACTCGGCATCTTAGTGAGCACGCCCAATATGATTTTGTTGCTGATCAGCGCTGATTGCCAATAGCTTCTTCGACGAAGTCCACAGAATAACACAGGACGATTACTGCCCAACGGAAGCAGACGTATTACGAGCAAGAACAAAGACTACGGGTATCTACGAAACGCGATTCCAGATGGGACAACTCAGCATTCAGTGAGTGCCATAGTCATGACCGTATCTCGAGCCTTGTGCTAATCAGCCTGCAGCANTGTTCGACGTTGGCGGCCAACGAAGTGAGCGTAAGAAATGGATTCATTGTTTCGAGAATGTCACCTCTATCATTTTCTGCGTTGCGCTCAGCGAATATGATCAAGTGCTCTTAGAGGCGAGCGATCAGGTATGTGACTATACCGTTATTTACCTCTACACCCGCTTACCACTAAACAACNAGAACCGCATGATGGAGAGTTTGGTCCTCTTCGACTCGGTCGTCAACTCGAGATGGTTTATGAGAACATCTATCATCCTCTTCCTCAACAAGGTCGATTTGTTCAGGCAANAGCTGGGCAAATCACCGCTCTCCAATTACTTCCCGGATTACTCGGGTGGAAACGACGTGAATCGCGCCGCGAAATATTTGCTCTGGAGATTCAATCAGGTCAACAGGGCGCATCTCAATCTTTACCCTCAGTAAGTCAGTCTCGTGTCTCTTGACGTCCAGCCATACTGATCCATCACAGCCNTCACACAAGCGACCGATACGTCAAATATTCGTCTGGTCTTTGCAGCCGTGAAAGAGACAATTCTACAGAACGCATTGAAGGATTCAGGAATCCTATAAGACACGGCTTAGCTACTTGCTGGTAACCAGGAGCCTACCGGCCGACACGCAACCCACTATGACGACCCTTCTACGTTTCTCGCATCGACATACATCGTCCACAATCTTCCCTATCCTCCGACACATACGCCGTCACTAATACAATCGCGTAAATGCCGCGCGTATTATGAATTTGATTTCCAGCATAGGCGTTGTGGTGTAAGACCTTTGGCTACTGAGGGAGCGCTGGAAGCGACTCCCGCGTGGTTGCGAAGGCCATATGTGGTCAAAAGATCGATTTCGTTTACTTTTCTTCTTTTGCTTCATTGTTCCTTGAGGGGTTGATGGTGGTATGCGGAAGGATACATTGTCCAATAGCACCGTCCAGAAGTTTTGATGGGTTTGTCCATGAAGAATCTGTTGCTCTTCCTGACAGCATGTCCAGAACACGGTCGAAGCAAGCATTAAAAAGTGATGGAACAGCTTGGGACTCTCTTATTTGCAGCGGTTCAATTCTCTTTTCAAGAAGGAGCAGGAAGGAAAGACCATGTGTATTAATCATTCTACAACTTGCGTATGCAAATGCACCAATTTGTCATGTAGTTCCCTTCGGAACCTGCAGGCTGTTCGCTTCTGTGCCAATATCAACGAACGAAGCGGCAGAACCCTCAACCTATAAAAGTTCAGTGGTCTGATACACACGCCATGGCCTATATTGGTCTCATCTGTAACAACAAGCGGCAAGCGAGGACTGGATTCAAGTAGGCGATCAGGCCAAAAATAAATCGACCTCGACTCTTATGCACTGCACGAGTTTCAGCGAACCGATTAGGGAAATGGTGAAACCCTTGGCGCTGGCTGGCCAGGGTTCCTGCTAATGGTCGAATATTCATATTCATGGCTCCTGCCTCTGCGAGTTGATTTTGCCCATCGACTGGATGTCTGTCTTTTCTTTGGCTTTTCTTGTCCCCGGTCGGACGTTTCTTCTGTGTGTTGACCTCGAAAACACTCTATACCTAATACCTACATCCTTCCATCCTTCCATTTGCGCCAGCGCTTAAACGAGGCCATCCTAACATTCACATGATCAGACGATCTCTGCAACAACTCTCTTTTGATTGCATGTTCAGCATCCACGTCTGCACGACCAAACCTCTTTCGTCCTTTTCCAATAAACCTGACCAATTCTTTGACCGCTCACTTCTCGGCCTGCATACTGGCTCCCGCTTGGCTGCAGTACCACCTTAACCAATCCCGAGCCGCACACCTACCCCTCTCATTCTGCCAACTAAAACTTGATCTTTATATGTGATCACGTATTCTAACCCAGGACGAAGAAAAAGAAGATTGTCTTCTGAAAAGTCACTCGTTTTTGATTTTTGTCCTTTCTACCTACTTGATCGCCCTTCTCCTGTCTCAAGCATCACTTTTGCGCTCTCGTGTACTATCACTTACAGAACATCTCTTACCTTCGTTCTTTATATCTGGCTGCACTTGATTGTGTAATCTTTCACCTATTCTCATACGAGATGTGGCTCGAACACTTTCGCCGTGCTGTGGATGAGAATGGCATACCATCCATCTATGATCCCTGGCCAGCAAAGGATGTAAGTCGAGCCATATTTGATGGACTTTTGAAGTCGTACTAACCTTGACAGATTGCTTATACCGCGATCGTTGGCTCAGTCATGCTTGCTGCCCTTCTCGAATGGTTTCTTTGGGTTGCTGCTTTCCTATATTGTTTGGTCAAGGTCTTCCAGAAGGCCGAGACTCTCAGCATCAGAGTTCTAGCGGTTGTAATGATGTTCGCATTCACAGGTCTCAGGTATGCTACCGCCGCCATCGAATAAAACTGGCTCCCTCTGATCATTGAACNNAGATGTATATTCCTGCCTATCATGGTCGTCACTCTCCCTCTTCCCAGCCAAGTCGTACGATACTTTCCTCAAGAAATGGTCAGCTTCCTGCAATGGTTTGCATTCTGGTCGTTCTCTGGACTCCTCATCATACCTTGGCTCATCTGCGTCTATCAACTTGTCACTCACTCTGTTGGGAGAACAAAGCGCATCAAACATGTCCTTGATGAGGATTCGGCTCCCAAGGTTGTCATCGTCATGCCTTGTTATAAAGAGATTCCCGAGATCCTACTCAGAACCGTCGACTCTTTGGCCGATTGTGAATACCCTCCCTCTTGCCTCCACATTTTCCTTTCCTTTGACGGAGATCAAGAGGACGAACTTTACCTCAAGACCATCGAGCAACTAGGTGTTCCCCTGACGCTTGACACGTACCCCAAGAGTATCGACGTTACCTACAGAAGCACCCGTGTGACCATCTCTCGTTTCCCACACGGTGGAAAGCGACACTGTCAGAAGAGAACATTCAAGCTGATCGACAAAGTCTATGCCGAATACCTCAAACGCAATGACAATCTCTTTGTTCTCTTCATCGACTCCGATTGCATTCTGGACAAAGTGTGCATTCAAAACTTCATGTATGAGATGGAACTCAAGCCCGGAAGCAAGAGAAACATGCTGGCCATGACTGGAGTCATCACCTCTACAACGGAGAAGAACAGTCTGATCACAGTTCTGCAAGACATGGAGTATATCCACGGTCAATTGTTCGAGCGATCAGTCGAGTCGGGCTGTGGTGCTGTCACCTGTTTGCCAGGAGCGTTGACGGTCCTGCGTTTCTCTGCTTTCAGAGCAATGGCCAAATACTACTTTGCGGATAAGGCAGAACAGTGTGACGACTTGTTCGACTATGGTAAGTGCCATCTGGGAGAAGACAGGTGGCTCACCCATCTCTTCATGATTGGCGCCAAGGAGAAATATCAGATCCAGATGAACACTGGTGCCTTCTGCAAGACAGAGGCTGTACAGACATACCAGAGTCTGCTCAAACAACGTCGACGATGGTTCCTTGGGTTCATCACCAACGAGGTGTGTATGCTTACAGACATCCGTCTTTGGAAGCGCTACCCCGTTCTCTGTCTGGTCCGATTTGCACAAAACACCATTCGAACCACTGCTCTCCTTTTCTTCATCATGGTAATCTCTATCATCACAACATCTCAGAAGATCTCCAACTTGCCCGTCGGGTTCATTGCTGTATCTCTCGGCCTCAACTGGGTTCTGATGCTGTACTTTGGTGCCAAGCTTGGGCGATACAAGATCATGATGTACCCTATAATGTTCGTCATCAACCCCTTCTTCAACTGGGCATATATGGTATACGGCATTTTCACTGCAGGACAGAGAACTTGGGGTGGGCCGCGTGCCGATGCTGGTGCTGCAAACTCTACAACCACACCACAAGCTGCCATCGAACACGCAGAAGCGACTGGCGATGATCTCAATGTCGTGCCAGAAACCTTCAAGCCAGCAGTCGAAGCAATCACACGCAAGAAATCTGTCAAGAACAAGAACGTGCTTCCAGATCAGCACCTCGAGGGCAAGTTTGCAGCACCCGAGCTCATGCCTGGTGGATGGTACAAGCAAGCGGCCGATTCAACCAATACTCTTCCAGACATCGCTCATCATCCTGCAATGCGCAGAATGAGTTGGGAGTCGGGAGTGACTGCCACTTCAGGTGTCAACTCGGTCTACCTTCCACGACGAATCGAATCGATCATGGGACCCGAAGATCAGAATTTGTACCACAATGCACAAGCCCATCAAAGGCCGGCTGGTGGACTGCATTACGAGCAAGAAGAGTACGAGACCACCCGACATGACACGGGAACAACCCTTAAGGGGGGTCATTCGGTGTCAGTACAATCGGCGAGTGACGACGAATCGACATATGGGCATGGTCGAATGAACTCGGACAATAGCGACATGAGTATGGCACACGGAAAAGCTCTGGCGGGGACAGAGAAAGTACTAGCGTACCCTGGAAGAACAAGACAGGCGCATGACCATGGAAGCAACCGCAGCAGGACAGGCAAAAGTCCATTGGCGCGAAGAAGCTTTGTCAGATCCGCGTCGGACTTGCTGCCAGACATGGCCGAGGCTCAAGGAGAACAAGCGATAGAGATGAGGGAGCAAGGGATTGGTCTCATGGACCCTCGAGCCAGAAGTATTAGCCCCCTAGGCCCCCAGGCGCAAAGTGTACCTACACCAGCGTCAGCGCCAGCACCTGCAGCTACTACCGCACCCGCTCCTCAGATTCCACCCTCACCAACGGAGGTGACAGAAGACAAGAGCAAAAAGGAGCGGAAAAGGTTGAGTAAGGCGAGACCCGGTAGCAGTGGAAGCGGAAAATAGGTATGCAAAAATGAGATTGGGTAGTGGACAAGGGATAATAGTAATGAAAAGCTCTTTTCTTTTCTCGTTTAACACATGGCCTCATGCAACAGAGGGTGAAGTTGGTGAAGATGGAGACCAAGGCACACCCTTCCAAGTCAAAGCAACCTCGGAGTCGCCGTCAACCAGATATCTCAGAGCGACACCTACACCCTCCAAACCACATTCTACAGCAGCATGGTTCCAGACAAATTGTCTGATTTTACCGTCGGTGGTGATGTTCAGATAGGCCATGGGCAAACCACTTCTACCCACAGCGTCCCTGACACCCTTTGTCGCCTCTTTNGCCGCAGCAAGAATGGCTATCGTTCCCTCGCCTCTATAGCGCACAGGCGCACCCACAACAGCACCCTCCAGCTCCCTGATCATGCTCGGTTTGGGGGCTTCGGCTTTACATTGTATCAAGACATTCAGAGGCTTCGGACGAGAAGGCAATGCCCAAGAACCCAGCAAATCGATACCGAGATCGCTAGCACGGCCCACGCGGGTCAAGGAAAAAGCGAGGCGCTCGAGAGCTTCTGCAACAGTGTATTCATAGTGGGTGCCGCGGTAGACGGTGCTTGTGGGCGAGAGGTTTGCAGTGTCGGCGTAGCTGAGGAATTCGGATAGAGAAGTGTGGTGTAGACTGCCGTGTGTGATTGCGTGTTGATCGTCTTTCGGCGTNTTTGGGTTTGCGAGTGCGCTTTTGGATGGTGTTGAGGTGGACTCTTCTAAGGTGTCTGGTTCGGAGTCGGTGGCCTTTTTCGGACGACCGCGTCTTTTGGGGTTCTGTTCCNNAGAGTCTACAGGAGATGAGGCTGACTCTGCATTCTCAGAAAGAGGACTTGGATTTAATTTGCGACTGGACGTCTTCTTCAATGGCGTAGTGTCGTCCGGGATCAAGGGTATAGAGGGGCCATGGTGGAGGTTGGCGGACTCAACGAGGCCAGGCTTTAGATTATGCGATAGATAACGTCTGAGTGATTTGTGAATAGAAGGGCTATTCAGGCGACTAAAAGTGATCAGGGCATGGCGGAAGTGCATGAAGGAAAGGTGGAGAGCAATAATTGCGACTTCTCAAAACACCTTGAAGTTTGCCGGGGAGCGTCAAGCCGAAGCTCGTCATTGCACCTTCCACTTCTCACTCCTTGCTACCCAATTCAAACCAAATACATATCACAAAATGGCGGATCGCTTGACACAACTCCAGGATTGCCTGGATGATGTGAGCAACTTCTCTCGCGACCGCTAAAACGCCAACTGACAAACAACCAATAGCNTCGCAACCCAAATGTTCGCATCCATCCGCTACATTCAGACGCGCCATCAATTCGCGAGCATACCAAACCAGCCAGACATGTCCGAGCCGACTGCTCCAAACGCTCCAGCACCTCTACAACCCAACGCCGCTCCCAACACTCTGACCGCATCCGCCGCCGAACAAGGCGGTCCCAATGCCGCTGCCCTCCAACAACAAGAACCCAACCAACCACCAGGTCCCGACGACCCAGCAACCTTCCAAGCAGCACTGAGAGAACTCGCCCGAGATCTAGTGCTCAAAGAACAGCAAATCGAGTACTTGATCTCCGTCTTGCCTGGTATTGGCGAGAGTGAAGCAAACCAGAGTCAGCGAATCCAGGCGCTGGAANAAGAGCTACGCGAAGCTGATGAAGAGAGGAAAGTTGCTCTGGCAGAAAGAGAGGCTATGTTGGACAAGTTGAGTGCTCTGGCTGCAGAATGCAAGAGGGTCTATTGATCACTCATGTGCTTCAGCGAAACGACTTATGATTTTTTATGATACCCCTCGGTCTGCTGATAGACCAATACGCGAGACGAGATGGCCGAAATATACACAGACCAAGCAAAGATTGCTTCCTCCCTATGTGCTAAAGACAGTCACAGTGTAGCTGTAGAGATGCACAATGTTTTCGCGAAGAACATGGTCTCCAGAGAGAATCTTGATGAAGGATATCTCAATGGCTACACTTTGTATTCGAATTAAAACTGTGCATTTCGATAGCTTACAACAACCCTCATAGCTCGGCATGGAGGAACCAACTGCAACTGAGAGACGCAGAACCTCGGAGCTTACATGGACCCGCCCCGCGATCCTGCATTACTCTTGTTTACATCAACAAAGATTTCTCAGTTGATTACAACTCGTCGACTCGTCATGCTCTCCGGCACATCAACCAGGACATTCTATCCATCAGATGTATTCGTCATAAGCTGTGGAACGTTTCCAATCGACATACATCACAGGAAACTACTCCTGATACGTATGCTCTCTACCAACGAAATACTTCTTCCCAAAGGACGCAAGGACGAGGATGAATGCTTGAAAGCAGCAGCACTCCGAGAAACATACGAGGAAACCGGTTACTCTGCAACCATCTTACCACTAAATACTCCCACACACGCTACCAACAGGACTGGCGATGGAGAACATGAGGAGCCCATTGCAGTGACACAACGTGTCAAGAATGGCGTCTTGAAGATCATCTTCTGGTATGCCGCGAGGGTAAACTCGCAGGAGGTGCCTAAACAGGGTACGCAGCAGGAAGGAGAGGACTTCGAGTCAATATGGTTGGATTGCACGCAGGGGCTTGCAGCATTGACCTTCAACGACGACAGAGAGGTTGCTCAGCTGGCGATAAATGCCGCTTTCGGTCCTCATCGTGGCCATGAGTTTATCACCACCTCTCCTCCTACAACGGCATAGAGCAGCATTTGGGCTACAGAAAGGTACACAGGCTCCCAGACGAGATATGAAATCACAGAGTCTATCGTGTGTCGCCTCATGAAAAATATTCTGGTTCGAACATTGTGATGCACTTTGTGCCTACACACATTCGAATTTTAGCTCGCTGCGGCTGAAGAGGCTTGGTTCTCGAACGGCCCGAGATTGGTGCACACACCTGCACAGCTGAGTCTCAGAAGAACACTCCACGTGAACACTCCTATCTTCGGACCTGCATCTCAATCCGCGGGCGCTTACAAAGTCATGGTCAGCCTCGATTTGAACAGGATGGCAGCAGTTGAAGGGGTATATAATGGGAGCTAACAACCCACCCGACATGATCCTTTGCAAAACCTACTGCAGTGCTCTAGTTGTATATATAACACACAACTACCACTGATATCGATATGCGCTCCTTCATTCTTGCAACATTGGCGGCCCTTGCCGTAGCTCACCCTTCTGTCGCTCCTCCACCTCNNCACCCGGGCCCGCACCCCCAGTCCACCTGCACCCCCACTACCTGCATCTCAGCCTCAGATGCTTCTCTGATCGCTACCAAGTTTGGCTTGACCATCTCAAACTACAGCGAACCTCTCGCAGTCCAACTGTTCACCAGCAACTTTACAGACCAGTCTGATGGCGTGCTAACCTTGATGCACGAACCTGGCTTGCAAGCTCAAGATGTGAGTACCATACCTACCTATACCTCCACTAGGCCTCCAGAAACTAACACCACCTCTTTCCCACTCCTAGNNCTCGGAAAATTGACCTTTTCCTCCAAAGCAGAGTTTCTCGCTGCTCAAGGCGCTCAACCCAACATCCCCTTTGAGATTCTGAACTTATGGAATACTTGCAATACAGTCATTATCCGTTGGTTGTCTGCTCAAACGCCATTTCCGGTTCAGGGCATTAGTGTGGCTACGGTAATACCAGCAGTAAAAGGTCAGGGTGGTGGTTTTGGTACCGGGCCCCAGAAGTGGCAGATTGAGAATATTGTTGCTGAGTTTAACTCGGGGGCTTGGTTGGGAAATCTGGGATATCCGGAGTGTGGATCTGGTTCTGGTAATACAGGCTCCTAAGGGAGATTGATTGTGTGATGGACGTGACCTAGTTGTCGAGGCTAGCTCTTATGTTTCGGGATCATTGGGCTTGTGTCCTGATCATGATGAAGTTGCATGTTGTGGTCGAGCAAAGCACCTTCTCTTGAAGCTATTAAAATGCCACAATGAGCACTCTCGACTTCTGTAGAAGATGGAAAGATGAAACCTGAGTTGACCTTTAGAGTCAAGGGTTAAATCTCGTAACAGGCTATGCAGTCCTTCTGCTTTTGCAGAGCCCAGTAGAGTCAAGCTGCTTCTTTTCTTTCGACAGTCTTGATCTTTCTCTGAAATTACGAAGAAGGGATATTTTAACCATCAACTTTGGCTTCGTGTCTAGGACCAGAACCTTGATCCCGAATGGAATTGTAAGTTCAGGGAGTGCTAGCAACTCCTTCGGTTGATTTGGACTGACTTATTCACTGCAGCCCATCTCGTCTTGTATACGGCCAGGCGATTCACTCAGTTGACTTGAGGAGGGCAACGATGAGTACCTCTTCATTTCTCTTTGCTCTTTCCTTTATAATCTCTTCTGTTTTTGTTTCTTCCAGTTTTCAATGTCTATCGTCTCTGCCTTCATTTGTGTGGTTCTTTTTGACCCGTCTATGGTTCTGAACTGCTCTCTGTTCGCAGAAGATATCTCATTGTAGCTATAGTTTTGCACGAAGTAAGCAATGACTACGGGATATACTTCTTCTTATTGTATTTTATATAGCCATACTTCTGAAATCAGAGTAACCCTGCATCTTCCAGGCCTTACGGTTTCACTCCAATGTCACCGCGAGATAGAGGTGTGCTCAACCATACCAGTTCCACTTGTCAAGCTTCATGGTTCCATGATCAACAAGATGCTTGTGCATATCGAACGAGTTGAAGAGCATGTGAGGCTCATGACCCATGCCCTTACGCAAACACTCAAACTCGGCCTTGTTGAAGTAGTCCTCGAGGATCGGCACGTAGTCAGGATGAGCACACTTNTTGATGATGACACGGGCACGCTCACGAGGAGACAAACCTCGCACATCAGCAAAACCTTGCTCTGTAACAACAACATCCAGATCGTGCTCGGTCTGATCGACATGAGTGCACATGGGAACGATGCAAGACACACCATTGGGGTCGGTCTTGCTGGGGCGAGTAGATGGAGTGTGCATGATAGAGTACTTGGCCGAACGCAGAAAATCGGCACTTCCTCCCAGACCGTTCAACATGCGTGAGCCCAGGACACAAGTGCTGTTGGCATGAGCGTAGATGTCGACCTCCACAGGAGTGTTCATACCGATCACGCCCAGACGACGGATGACTTCAGGCGAGTTTGAGACTGCCTGACTGCGAAGCAGAAGCTTGGGATAGTAGTGCTCCCAGTTATCGTAGAAACGCTTGAAACCATCAGGAGAAAAGCGGATAGAGGTAGCAGTTGCGAAGTCAAGGTTGCCTGAATCAAAAAGATCAAGGAAGGAATCTTGAAGTACTTCGGTCCAGACCTTGAGGTTCTTGAAATCGGCATTACCTCCGGCAAGACCACCGATTACGGCATTGGCAATGTTTCCGATGCCAGATTGAAGTGGCAGGAGGTTCTCAGGCAGACGTCCTTTGCTGACCTCGTACTTCAAGAACTCGATAAGATTGCTGGCAATAGCTCTGCTAGTATCGTCTTCGGGTGCATTTGGCTGAGTCTGGTCGGGGTAGTCCGACTCGACAATAGCGACAACCCGCTCAGGGTCAATTGGAATATGTGGAGTGCCAACACGATCCTCGGGGGCCATAATCAGGTAAGGCTTGCGACGAGGAGGAAGATCAGTCATGGTGATATCGTGGAGACCCTCAAACGAAGGAGCAGCAGTGTTGACTTCGATGATGATTTTATCCGCCATTTGGACAATCTCAGGACTTGCACCAGCTGAAGCACCAGGAATTACGCCTCCATCTTCGGTGATGGCGCTAGCTTCAACGATAGCTACGTCCAGACGGTTGTTTGCCTTCTCCCTCGTGTAAAATCCATACATAAGATCCACGGGAAACATGCTCAGGTGCTTGTCGAAGAACTTGATATTGCCGTTGTTGATTCCTTTTGCGATCTCTTTACCGACTTGATGTGGAGCACGACGCTCGATCATGTTGAGCTTGGCCCATCGATTTTCTGTTTCAGCACCAGAGGAAGCGCCAACGAACAAGTTGTACTTGAGTTGACCCTGAAGGCCATTCTTCTCGACATGGTCAGCCATAGCCGTGGGCACCTTCCTGAACTGGGGTCAGCCATTGATCTTCTTTACCTCTTCCCTATGCTCTCATGTCTGGAAATAGAAGCTATTGGGGTGCACAGTTGATTCTGAGCCAGATATCTGTCCAGAGAAGGACAGGCAGAGGAGACTTCTCAACAGAAGCTGCTCCGGGCACCGATACCACTGTGTATCTTGAAGCTGTATTCCATAGATTCCAACATGTCATGAGAGAATCGTAGGGCTTACTTGGGATATCCAACTCCAGTGAAACCAGACCAGCCGATGTAGCTGCCATTAGGGAAGTGGTGCATCAATTCCTCAGCTTTGGCAAGCTTCTTGAGGTAGCTCGGGCGTCTTACACGACTTTTGAGAAGTGCTGATGCCGACATCTTGTTTACGTCTGCCGTCTGACCTGCGGGAGTATAGTGAACAAACCTACCGAGGGATGGACAATGTCCTAGAGTGGGTTTTATCGCAACATGGAAGGAGCTGTAGTATGACGTTTTGGCGCGAGCTCTGAACAAGCGAATCACATGTTCTCAGGTGGTGCCAACCAACATCTCGCATGTTGGCTTGGCTTGACGCCTTAACACATAGTTGGTGTGAATCGCAAGAGCTTGATATTACATAGAGACTCCTCAAAGAGCAGAAGTCAAATTCATGCTATTGGATGTATTTTTGCATGCAACAGCGCCTAAGGGCTGACATCCTGTACAGATATCCAGCAAGCATCCGCCACCGTCCATAATTCCGCCTCCTGGTTGAATCCCTCCACCGATGATTTCAGTGCTGTAGACTCACGAGACACCCACTATGACTGCCCGAGGACGATGTTGATTCTTGTTCCACCTGGTGTTGGCTCAGTGTGGAGTGAGAAGGTGCTCTCTCCGCGAGAATGACGAGGGTTAAAGACACCAATGAAAACGTGATTATCCTCACTGTCATCCTTCTCGTCGCTGTCCTCGACCTCGTCTGAGCCATCCTTATCGCTTCCCTCAAGCTCATTCAAATCACCATGATCGCTGTGCTCAGCCTTATCGTCACCCTCGTCTTCATCCTCGTCTTCATCCTCATCTTCATCCTCCTCTGAATGTTCCTGTCCGGTTATACATTTGTCGGCAGTACGGGTGATGGATTCACGCAAGCTAGCAGGTAGAGAAGGGGACAATGATATCGAACCGGAACCTTCGGGTCGGTCTAGGTTGACCTGCGTGTTCCAGACACGCTGGCGACGATGGAGACCGGGGAAGTTGTGTTTGTCATTGTTACAGATCTTGATTTCTCCCNNTAGATGACTAGATCAGCGGATTTATTGGTGACGATGGATGAAGCAGGAAGAACTTACCGAAACAATGCGGGCAACACGGTCCCTGTCCTGGCGGACATACTCGTCCTCAAAACCATTGGCGGTGCCTTGCAACAAGATGTTATTCAGATTAAGCAAGACCTCAGTGTATGCACTGGGACGTTTCTGGAGACCTGATTGCCAAAGCTTGAAGAAGCAGTCGTAATGACTCACGGCCGACTGGATCTCGTCGGGAAAGGCAAAATAGCCTGTGTTCAGAATCATTTTGCAGAAGTGAATGAAGAACTTGCAAGTGTTGTGCATCTTCATGTCCAAAGCCATCTTTGCCATAGTGAGTGTGCAGTCAAGGCTGAGGATTTGTACGTGGTATTGCCAGGAGGAAGTATCTTGGTCATGTTGTCCATTCTCCATGGACCAGTACGCCAAGGGCACGCCCTCTGCGTTGAAGCCGGGTGAGTCGGCCTTGAAGATGAAGGCTGTCGAGGTTGATTCGTTGTTGTCAGGAAAGAGCCATCCAAGGCCGGCGATATCCTGGTAGGCGTTGTTCAGGTCAAGTTGCTTCGGTGTTTGATGGTTAGGTATCTGATCCAAGTACTGCTTCTCGGCCTTGATGAGGTGGTAAAGGTCCCAGCCGACGGCATCGAGCGAGAGTAGGCGTGGGGCCATAGCTCTGACCGTGCTGGACGCAAGATCATGTTCGGCACCAAGTATCTTGACATTCTGTCCATGATTGACAAGCTTGGAGATGGGATCCAACAGTCTGATCTGACGCTGGCGCAGCTCGGCTTGAGTGAGGTCCTGATGGAGCGGCTTGTTGATCTTCCAAACAAAATCGATATGCGTCTGAGCTGGACTGGCTGACCACTCGACAGGACTTTCACCAGGCGCTGAGTGGACGTAGATGGGAAGGGTTGGCCAGATGTGGTAGGCCAATCTGAGATGTCTGATAAAGACGTCCAGATCTTCGGCCATCAACAGAGCACGGGTCACCTTTTCCGGCACTCGCTGGTGCCTGACAGAACAGTCCGAGCCAGGAGTGCACCCGCATTTAGTACTCTGATGCTTGATCGTGGCTTCCACGGTGGGACACTTGAAGGCTTTGGCCGCGTTTCCGACAGCGACGTAAGGGAGGAACCTGCCTTGGTCGATCTCAAAGACAAACCATTTGGTGTGGATGAGGACGAACTCGTTGTGGCTTCGAACATACACGGACGCGTCCTGGTTGAGTCTCTTGTTGACAAGCATGATGGAAGTGTCGAACTTGTACTTGTGGCCAGGTTGCTTGCCCTTGGTGGAATATTTGACGTTCTTGCTCAAGAGGAGATGGGAGAAGATCTCGTTTTTGATCTCGGTGGGCAGAGTGTCCAAGGTTCGCCCACCATTGGCGCTTGAAGTTGTTGAAAGCATCGCGTTCCAACTTTCTGGTGAGTTAGAGTGAGAGAAGAAGCAGAAGGAAGGAGGTTGAGTCTACCTAGAGGGATGAAATGGCAGGTGCCGTGCAAACAGGCGAAGTTCGGGAAGCTGCAGGTCGTGTTGATATATCTGTTTCGAGCTTGGCGCGTGTGAAAGTGAAAGAGGTGCAAGCATGCTGTGACCTCTCTGAGAGTCAATCACAGACACAACCACACAGGCTAAGGTCAAACCATAAACAAAGAAGTTAACAACAAGCAAGGCTCGCAGAGTCGTCGCAGTGAGGATCAATCAGTGGTCAAAAAACCGAATCAAAGTGTCCATGTCATCCTCAAAGCTGTGACCGCAAACGTCAGACACAAACATTGAACACTTTTGAATTGCGCTTTGCAGCCAAGTAGGTTTAGGAAAACATAAGGTAATCGTTGCAATGATGTATCATGCAGATCTGGGTCGCGCGGCCAATACGATGAGTCTGATAGATCTTGGAGTGATGTATTTTCGCTGGAAGTGATACATATCTTCTCCAGACACCTACTGCCGTGTAAGACATACGGTACATGATTTCTAGCGTATGTTCCAATGTAGATAATTCAGTTCAACAAAGAAACCGTGCTCGATAGAGACGAGCTGGCGTGGGAGATGCTCAATCTGCTGGCTGTCCAGATAAATCCTCACTGGTGTGCATATTGCAAATCCATTCTTCTTTCGGTCTCCACGATAGGCTCCCATCGTGGTGAAATCTGTTCAACAACATTATGAGCTCTCGAGGACGCCAGCAAGCAGTCCCAGAGTATACATGTGTGCAAAACGAAGCTTACCGCGTCCATCCATGGCTGGGGCGAGATATCAAAACACAGGAACTGCTGCAGGCTATCGATATGTAGCTCTTCTTCTGTGTCGTACATAGCTGAGACGCCGAATGGATTGAAGCGTACATTTCTCCAGAGGGGGAGGCAAGCAGATTGGAACACCCGAGTGTTTGAACTCTGGCGACAATTCGCCAAACCAACCCCGCAGACAATCTTGAAGGGTGCCATTGCCATTGTCGTCAGCAACCTCTCGACCGCACTTCCGAACAATCAGTCGTCTCATACCTTCGAGGTATCTCGCTCTCCGAATGAGAACTCAGTCGAAGGCCCGTCCGTCTCGTGATTTTATTCCCATGGAAACCGCACAGACAGCGCCATGCCCGCGCACCGCCTCTGGAGAAGTGGGTCTGCGCCTAATCTGGGGGCAGCTCGACTCAGCGAAAAATACACGCCCAAGAACCTCGCATCAACACCAAATCGTCATCCGGCATACCATTTGCTTTCCAAAATGCAGTAACCTGTTCTGAAATCGATCCTGGCCATAGAAGTATCACGAAGGTGCAACGCAGCACTTGATGAAATGCTTTACTATGATCTATCGTGCATTCTCATAGCGAGAAAGCCTACAGCTCGTAGTCGTGGAGGCTGGCGAAAGACAGTCATGGTGCCTATAGGCAGTACCTCAGATTGCAGCGAACGTGATCACAACAGGTCTGTTCCTTGCTTTCTCCTTCTCTTCTGCTCTGTACTTATCCTTCTTCCACTTTGATCCCTTTCTGCACCACTCCCTTCATTTCCACTCCACTCAACGATCTTGGAACCGTAGAGCCACGAGCTCGTATCGAAGAGACATTGTAAGACCCACAGAAGATCTCGATGTTGTAGAGCCACGAGCTTGAATCGCAGGGATGCGAGAACTATTGCTGTACCGCATGTACCGCGTCCATGTATAAACAGAATACAAACGAAACTTACCAGATGAGACCCCGAATGTTGTCTCGGCAGACGGAAAACTAAATGACTCGCCGAAAAGACAGACACGAGTCGTTGAGATGATGACTTGCAGGCCTTTTTCGAATCCGCTTGTCTTTATCACAAATATGTACGCCGCTTCTTCCAACTCGCAATTCCACTGATCGAACTGACCAAGCCCGAGGCCACTGGCTTATCCGCTGCGCGAAGAAACGCCCAAGGTCAAGAACCTAGGTCAACTTCAGGTAAGGTATTTCTTTAAGATGGATACATATACGCTTATATTTATCCGAATGCCATATTGCTTGTCAACTCAGTGTTTGCGGCGAGGAATGCGAGTTTGACCTCTCCGTGACATCGACCGGAGTTGTATGTCTTTTCAGGCCCAGAGAGAATGCCGTGCACCTTGCAAATTTGAACGAACATTGAGTAGGCTTGTGTATTTAGTAATTTCATCATGTGCTACAGTCTATAAATTCTTTCTTGGTCAGACGCTTATGGTGATGTTGTAAGTACTCATATACACCTTTATTTCTTTCTGCGATTTTGGGTAAATTTGAAAAGTGATATACTGAAAGCGAGCAGTGGAGGTAATGACATATCATGAATGCTGTCTTTATTCTTCATGGTATTTGTGCATCTCCATGGCGACACACATACTTTGGCACAGGGTGAGGATCAACAAAAGTGCTGCTTAGGAGATGGGAATTCTCTGCCGGATGCTCGGGTTTCGATTCGGTATGTTCTAGAAAAGTGCTCAGGAAAGCTATCCCTATTTCTTTTCTTTTCTCAAGTGAATTTAGCTATGTTGAACAGTGGCAACGAGTGAGGCAAAAACTGTTGTTGTCGGAGCCAAGTTTGGCGAATGAGAGCGGCCAGCGGGAACAGCACGCACGGGCTGGCACGCACGCCCGTCGAAGCCAGGTGTAAGTCTGACTGCCAAGACTCGCTGTTGAGCCCGGCAGAGTTTTTTCCCCAGCGTCGACTATTTGAGTCTCCCCTGCTCGCCTCGTCGACTCTCCTTCACTCATCCACCAAAATGGCAAGCAAACAAGCCAAATCTGAGAACCAGCAGTCGCTGAAGGTGCTCGAAGAGCTCCTGGCCAAGCTGAACGTCTCCAAGGCCCAGGATGAGATCAACGGTGTCTCTCAGGAGATTGCCATCTTCATCAACGGTGACATTGAGGAGGAGGATGCTCCCACCAAGTGAGTCGCCTTGCCATGCATACCGCGACGAGCTTGTACTAACCTGCTCTCCAGGGCCGTTGCCACCTTGAAGAAGGCCCTCGCCAACAAGAAGGATGCTCTCGCCCGTGAGCGCGCCTGCGATGCCATCAAGGCCATCGCCTCGCACTCTGAGGTCAGCTCCGCTGTCGAGCCTTTCCTCGTCGACATGCTCCCCGCTGTCCTTGCCGCCGTCGGTGACAAGATGGTCCCCGTCAAGAACGCCGCCCAGGCCGCCGCCCTCGCCATCACCCGCATGGCCAACGCCAACGCTGTCAAGGCCCTCATCCCTCACTTCATCGAGTCCATCCACAACGCTCAGAAGTGGCAAGAGAAGATGACCGACCTTGAGTGCATTGTCGCTCTTTCCGAGTCCTCTCCCATCCAGACCGCTCTCCGCGTTCCCGACCTCATCCCCATTGTCTCCGAGGCCATGTGGGACACCAAGAACGAGGTCAAGAAGGCTGCTTACTCCACCATGGAGAAGATCTGCTCCTTGATCGTCAACAAGGATATCGACCGCTTCATTCCCGAGCTCATCAAGTGTATCGCTAAGCCCGAGAACGTCCCCGAGACCATCCACTTGCTCGGTGCCACCACCTTCGTCACTGACGTCCACGAGCCTACCCTCGCTATCATGGTTCCCCTTCTCGAGCGTGGTCTTAACGAGCGTGAGACCGCCATCAAGAGAAAGTCTGCCGTCATTGTCGACAACATGTGCAAGCTTGTCGAGGACCCCCAGATTGTCGCCGCTTTCTTGCCCAAGTTGATGCCCGCCCTTAACCGCAACCACGACAACCTCGCTGACCCCGAGGCCCGTGAGAAGACCAAGCAGGCTCTTGATACTCTCACCCGTGTCGGTCACGTCGAGAACGGCAAGGCCCCTGAGATCTCCAAGGATGGTGACATGTCCACCGTTGCCGCCCACCTCAAGTCCATTGTCGGCTCCAAGGCTGACAAGTTCGAGACCATTGTCAACTACATTGGTGCCATCGGTGGTCAGCTCGTTGACGAGAAGGTTGTCGAGCCCATGGTTTGGGCCCAGAACACCGTTCCCTTCCTTACCGTCATGGTTGGTGATGATGCCAAGAACGTTGCTGAGGAGCTCCGCAAGAAGGCTTCTCCTCTCGCCGCCGCTGGTCGTGACGTCGAGCCTGATGAGGAGGAGGGTGAGGATCTCTGTAACTGCACATTCAACTTGGCCTACGGTGCCAAGATCCTGCTCAACCAGACTCACCTTCGTCTGAAGCGTGGTCAGCGTTACGGTCTTCTCGGCCCCAACGGTTCCGGAAAGACCACCCTCATGCGTGCCATCAACAACGAGCAGGTTGAGGGTTTCCCCAAGCAGTCTGAGGTCAAGACCGTCTACGTCGAGCACGATCTTGACTCTGACGACACTGAGAAGACCGTCATTGGCTGGACCCTGCAGAAGCTTGCTTCTGTCGGTGTCGAGACTCCTGAGGAGGAGGTCCGCAACACCCTCATTGAGTTCGGTTTCCTTCCCGAGCAGCTTGATGGCCCCATCGGTGGTCTCTCTGGTGGTTGGAAGATGAAGTTGGCTCTTGCCCGTGCCGTCTTCGAGAAGCCCGATATTCTTCTTCTCGATGAGCCTACCAACCACTTGGACGTCAAGAACGTTGCTTGGCTCGAGAACTACCTCGTCACCTCCCCCTGCACATCCATCATCATCTCTCACGACTCCAAGTTCCTCGACAACGTCATCCAGCACGTTATCCACTACGAGCGCTTCAAGCTGAAGAGATACCGCGGTAAGCTCTCCGAGTTCGTCAAGCGCGTTCCTTCCGCCAAGTCCTACTACGAGCTTGGTGCCTCCGAGATCGAGTTCAAGTTCCCCGAGCCCGGTTTCCTCGAGGGTGTCAAGACCAAGGCCAAGGCCATTGTCCGTGTCAGCAACGTCTCCTTCCAGTACCCCGGTACTGCTAAGCCCCAGATTGAGGAGTGCTCCTTCCAGTGCTCTCTCGGCTCGCG